TTTTTTTTGTTTTTTTTTTTTTGTTTTCTCCCCCCGGCCGGCCGAAGCAGTTCTAGATGATTAGGCAAGACCGCAACACTCTAGGTTAAGCATAGACTATGATTCACGTCCACCTTCGCAGAGGTGTGCGATAGGCAATGCCAAAGATCGCCGGGCAAGGCGCAGGATCTGCCTGCTGCGTTGTGTCTCCTCCGAACTACAGCTTTTCCAGATCAAATTCTTTTGCGTTCGCTTTCCAAACCCCGATGGATCGACCACGTTTTATGAACTGGCCAAAGGTCTTGTCGCCGACGACTCCGCCGTTGTCTCGGTCCCAGACGATCTTACCGCGCAAGATCGTGTAGCGCGGCCAGTTCTTGATCGGCCGTCCTTCGAACGGGGTGTAGTCGACGTTGTGATGGAGCATGTCGTTCGTCAGGGTCGTGTTCACCCTCCCGTCGGGGTACCAGACGGTCAGATCGGCGTCCGACAGGCCGGGCAGCAAGGCGCCCTTCTTGGGATAGAGGCCGTACAGCTTGGCGGCGTTGGTGGACGTGACCTCGACGAACTTTGTGAGGTCGAGCCCGTCCGCGGCGGACAGGGTGAGGGGCATCCTGGTCTCGACGCCCGGCAGGCCGTTGGGGATGTGCCTGAAGCGGCCGAGCGGGTACGCGTCCGAGAGGCAGGTCTTCTTGCCGGTCCGGTCGTCGTCGTAGCGGAAGGGGCAGTGGTCGGAGCTGAGGAGGGCGAAGGTGCCGTTGCGCAGGCCCGTCCACATGGCGTCCTGGTCCGCGCGCGTGCGCGGCGGCGGGGCGCACACGCACTTTGCGCCCTCGAAGCCCGGCTTCGCGAGGTCCTCGCGCGTGAGGAACAGGTACTGCGGGCACGTCTCGGCGAAGACGGGCTGGCCGCGCGTCTGGGCGTCGCGGATGCGCGAGGCGGCGCCGGGGTCGCTGATGTGCACGAGGAGGATGGGCGTGTCGGCGATGAGGGACGACAGGGCGATCGCGCGGTTGGTCGCCTCGGCCTCGAGGATGGGCGGCCGCGAGTTGGCGTGGTACCTTGGCGCGAACAGCTGCGCGGCCTCGAGCCGGTCGGTCAGCCAGTTCAGCACGTCGCCGTTCTCGGCGTGCATCATGACGAAGACGTCGTTCTGACGCGCCTTCAGGAGCACGGACAGGATCTCGTCGTCGCGCAGCTGCAGGGCCTCGTACGTCATGTAGATCTTGATCGAGCTGATGCCCTCGTCGTTGAGCGCCGGCAGCTCCGACAGGGCCTCCGGGCTCGCGTTGCCCATGAGAAGGTGGAACCCGTAGTCGCAGTAGCAATTGCCGTCGGCAACGGCGTGCGTCGCTCGAACGGCAGCAAGCGGCGAGAGGGCTCCCTTCTCCAGCGGCGCAAACGAGACGATGGTGGTGGTGCCTCCCGCGATGGCCGACCGCGTCCCAGTCTCGTACGTGTCGGCACACCTTCCTTTGCCGCCAAAAAGCGGTGGCTCTTGTAGATGCACATGACAGTCGACGCCGCCCGGCTGTCGACACGGTCAACCCGTCTGCACAACGTCCAACCGGGGGTTCTGCAAGCTCACCATGACGTATCCGCCCTCGGCGTCGATTTCTCGCGCTCCAGTGCCCGCCAACGAGCCAGAGGGAGCGAGCAGTGCGATCTTCCCATCCTTGATTGCAATGTCGAGTGGAGCAATGTCGGACGCCGTGACACACACTCCGTTGGTGACAACGAGATCGAAATCGAGACGTGCCGTCATTTTCCTCGCTCTTTGCCCACAGGTCTACCAAGTCTTTCCGATGCCGCTGCTGCCGTGCACTTGGTTTCGGCTTGCAAGAGGCGACTCCGAAATATCTTGCCTGTCTCATCTACGTACCGTACCTCTTATTAGTCGGCTCCGCTCCACATGATAATGGTCCAGCGACGCTGCACATGATTGGCCAACACAGCGCTAGATTGGACCAAGATAAACGAAGCCGATAAGGTTTTCAAATGACAACTCGGGGCCGCCATGCTGTGGTCAAATACAAAAGCTGGCGAGACAGGACGAAGATGAGCTCAAGCACGCTGTCGGCTCAGAGGAGACGAACAGGCGCTGAAAGTGTGCGTTCGCTCGTCATGGGCGGGTTGATCCTTTCGCCAAACGCATGACGCGCAACAAGTCTTACAACATGCGACGCTGCAGTTTTCGTCAGGCAAGGAATCTGGCATCACAGCAGCGACTGGTGTGCGAAACTGGGTCATCTCGTACTTGCACCAGCAAAAGGGGATGATCACGTGACCCACTTTCCGTGAAATTTCTGAAGCCGGAGGCTGAGGGGCTGCTAAGTTAGAGTGAACGAATGCCAGTTCTCAAAGCAGGCTCGAAAGGATGACACTTCCGTCAGGGGACTGTTTTCCAACGGTTTCAAAGGCATGGCCAACACAAGCAACGCAAAGCAACTCAAGCAACAAGGTGCGACAGTTTGGCAGACCCATGTGGCAGTCGACATCCGTGCGGTCGCTCAGCGCCGCTGCTTCGGGAGCCCTAAGCGTTTTGGCTGTGTTTGACGACTGGCCCCGAATTGTTCGGCTAGACGCTGTCAAAAAAAAAATTACGGTCTACAAGACATGCGTAAAACGAGACTGTCGCACTACTACGGCGCAGCACAGCGGTGGCCAGATCGAAAAGAGGACATGCCGACGTCGTGGGGGGCTGGTCTGGCACCGCGTCGGCACGGCAGCGCGCGAGGCGCCCACCAGGCGAACCCGCCAAACCTGCGCACAATCCCGTACGTCTACGAGCTGAGTTGACTTCGTGTGCTGCAGCGCTCTGCATGACGAAGACGGACGTTCTGGTGATGGCAGAGGGCATGGATTCGGCCGAGAGCTGTTCTCGTTGAAAGGGCGTTTGGCGGCCTGTCGCGGCCGCAAGGCTGTCTCTCGAACATGAGAGTACAAGCAGAGCCTTGCGCAGTAGCCATGAGCGTCGTCGGCGCTGACCGTCTCTGGGATGAGGGCGAACGACACAGTGTGATCGATGCGTGCTGCGAGAGTCGTCGTGGGCTCGCGGTGGGTGCTGGAGGGTGGGTGGTGGCGCCGGCAGGAAGCCGCGGGCGGCCAATGAACGCAGCAATAGCCATCAAGCCAGGCAGAGCCCCGTGCCCAGACTCTCTCGCTTCATGCTTAGCACCGCTGCATCGTCGGGTCCAGCATTCATTCCACCTCCCACTGCGTCGTCCCTCGCACCCGGCTCGTACCAACTCATCCAGCGCGCTCCCATGCTTACGATTGTGCGGACAATGACACATCCTTCGGGGTAGTCTCTTCACCCATAGCGACGTCTGCTGGCACCCAGCAAGCACTGCGACGCCTCCCTTGCGACGGCGAGCGACGCTCCCGCCACGATCGCCATGGCCGACCTGTTTCCACGTCGTGGACTTGAGCCTGTCATGAAGCAGACCACCACGTCGAAGCCGGTACGCGCATTCGCTTTTGTGTTCTCGTCGACGGTGGGCGACCAAGCATGAGCTTTGACTGACCGCTTCCAGCACTGTGCCCCCTTTACCCTTCCCTCCGGCGGCCATATCCTGTTGGCTCCCACGTCGACCATCACACTGACCGCAGACGTACTCTTCACGCCCGAGTGTAACCCTACCGAGACCGCAAGCGCCATATATCAAAATCAGGGCATATCTGGAATCACGGATGTTAAGGATCCTTTCTACGCTTCAGTCACACCGCAGGTCTACGCCACCGCTGCCGCCACCGTTCTCGCCTGGATGCTGGTCATCATGCTCTTGATTACACCGAGGACGTACTTCGTCGGCGGCGCCGGCGGAGGCTTCGGTATTCTGAACAGGCACGGCATGATAAGCGGCGCGCAGGGAGGCGTCAGCGTCATCGGCGTCGGCTCGAGGCCTTGGCTGCAAAAAGTCGCTGCGCTGACGGCCGCCGTGTCGTTGACCATTGCCACGGCCGACACGTTCAAGGTTGCCGAGCAGCAGTACGCGGCCGGATTCATGAACGCCGAGCAGCTCCGCAGCGAGGTCGTCAACAGCACCGAGATCCAGGTCACGCGCATAGTCTCGGACGTGTTTTTGTGGCTGGCACAGGTGCAGACCCTAATTCGACTGTTCCCCAGACACAAGGAGAAGGTTCTGATCAAGTGGATCGGCTTCGCCCTCATCATCCTAGACGCCATATTCTCCACCCTCAACAGCTTCATGGGTAACCCAATTGGACGGCCGAGGGAGTTTCGCGACGCCATCCCTGCTTTGAACTATCTGTTTGAGCTTTCGCTCTCCATGCTTTACGCAGCATGGGTCATCTACTATGCGTTATGCAAGAGGAAATACGCGTTTTACCACAAGGACATGTGGAACGTAATGCTGGTGGCCCTCTTGTCAATCGTGGCAATTCTTACCCCCGTCATCTTTTTCATCACCGACATAGCGAATGAAAGCATTGCCGGTTGGGGAGACTACTTCAGATGGGTTGGTGCTGCAGCAGCAAGCGTCATCGTGTGGGAGTGGGTGGAAAGAATAGAAGCCTTGGAAAGAGAAGAGAAGAAAGATGGCATACTAGGCAGAGAGGTCTTTGATGGCGACGAGATGATTGACTCCGTTGAGCCCGAACAAGTTATATGGCCACGACCGCGGGGTTTCTGGGCTGGCCAAGGCTTCAGGCGAAGAGGTCGAAGAGGTGGAGGAGATGGAGGATATGGAGGCACTGGCGGACAAGGCACGGTAGAGGGCCAGCTACCCACGCATAGCACCGGCCAAGCTGAGCAGACGTGTGCATTTTTCAGGACGAAAGCAAAGAGGTCTCCTAACAGGGCTGCAAAGGATGAAGACGTTCGTCTACCCGCACATGGCATCAAGCCGATACCCACACCACCTCCGGTCGCGGTCTCTCCTATTAGCCGAGCAGACACCACAAGCCCGGCGAGCACAGTCTACACGATACGATACCATAACATCAATACACCCATACCCGCAGCAACCAATCCGCAGAACAATTTTGCATCTCTGAATCAAACGATGCATAACGGCTCAGTTCTGAATGAGAAGCTTGTTGAAGAAGAACAAGACGATAGCGATAGCATCGACCTTAAGCCGGACTATTCGGGGCATCCTCGCTCGAAGTTTCACGTTAGCAACCCTTTTAAGCGAAAGAAGGCGTTGCCACCCGAAGAAGTTCGCGCTGGCCAGGTTATTGATCCTGTTCCGATCAATACTACCAGAGCTCAACCCTCGCACCAGTATTCGCGATGGGACATCAAAGGCAGGCTGGGGGCGTTCGCTGCTGAACAAGGTGAAAAGTGGTTAGAGAAGAAGAGAGGCGAGGAGAAGGAGAAGGATCTGCCGGTCACTATCATCCCTGCACAGCCGAGAGGAAGGACGTGGAGTCCGGACGCTACGCTCAATCTCCCCACAGAAGCGGCTTCGCAGTCACCGAGCATAGCAGGACAGGACCGCTCAGGACTTCCCGCCGCGGACTTGATCCATCGGGTATACACTGGTCCTTCTTCAATGTCAACTCCACCTGCGTCCGGGCTGAGTTCACCACGTCAATCGGCTGACAGTAATGACGGAATGTCGAGCGCACGTTCTTCAAACTCACTGCCGCCAACACCACCAAAGTGAGCGTGAAGAGTGTCGAGGCACTATCGTCAGCTTTTTAGCCATCTTTTGTACTGCATTGCATCGGGTCTCTCTTGCGGACAACCATCTGGCGCAGGTCTTATTTTCAGGTAAACAAATGCTCGGCGTTTTGGAGCATATAGATACCCCCCCCAAACGCCTGTAAAAAGGAAAACAAAGGCGTAACATGGGCGACAGGACATGAAATGAATCTACGATTGTCTAACGAACTTATTGTGTTTGTCAATCCGAAAAAGGTACCATGTAGTTGTCTGTGGGTAGGATTGTCCAGACTATGTAAAAAGTGTTCTTCCGAAGAAATCAAACTCCGTTTAAAGGATCGCCTAATTGGACGAGACCTGGTTTTCCTTGTCCCTGCCGCTTTCAGGTGCGCCTATAATACCACGCTTATGGCGGCGTCGGATTCGACCTCTCGAGTCACGAAGCCAGTCCGCTATCCTTGCCGCGGATCCCCGACAGTCGCAGAGCGCAGTTCTTCTCATGATCCGTGAACGTCCCAGAAGAAGTACACAGCCGAGGCATAAGCGTGACGCAAAAACAAGCCTTGACTCTTTCAACAAGTACAAGATTAGCTGAACGGGGACCATTTCCCTGGCATTTGTGGGGAAGAGGCGGCGTGGAGATCGTCATGTTCGGCAAGATCCATGAAAGATGGCAGCACCCACGGGGCTGAGGACTGGTTTGCATGTGCTTCGATGGTTGAACTGGCCGAGATGGGTGGCCTATAAGTATGGCGAGACGCTGCCGTACCTCTCAACCGCTGCCGTCCGCCAATTCGAGCCTTTTTTTTTTAACGCTCAACTTCGAAAGCAATCTCAAGCTTCATAGCTGCTCTTCAGCATCCAGGTATTTTCATAGCACAATGGCTGCGCAGGATGAGAAACCCAAGTTCAGCAAGCTTGGGACGATCCCCGGACTTGCCCATATGAGTACGGACATGTGCCTTCAGCACACGCGCGTGTGCGTGTATTTTTTTACTGCGGGGGCGTGGGCTGACAATATCCCGTCGACAAAAAAACAGTAGGCAAGACGACGTTGAGAGCGTACACGTCTCCGTTCCGAAGCAAGGACAAGAAAGCACGCACCTACCGCCGCGACGTCGTCTACGAGCTGTTGCGGAACGCCGTCTCCGATTTTGACGTGCACCAAGGCCAGTGGATCCTGCCTGGCACGGATGCTGTGTACAAGTACACTTCGAGGAGACAGAAGTGGAAAGCGAACACGGTGAAGCTGGAACATGGCGCAAAGGGACATTGGCTTGGCCATTCGGATGCGAAATACGTCATGGTGTACTTCCACGGTGCGTCTAACCAGTGCAAAAGCTTGCCGTTCGTCGTGTTTCTAACTTTTGTAGGCGGTGGATACATTGCTCCTTCCACGCCTGGGCACATGAAATACCAGTTCGCCCTTCAAAAGTATCTTCGAAAGCAAGGGGTAGACTTGTCTATCCTGTCGCTGTCTTACGTCCTGGCTCCCAAGGCCTTGCATCCGTCGTTTATTCAGCAAGGGCTCTCCGCGATCATGTATCTTGTGGAGAAGACAAATCGCGACCCGTCAACCATTCTAATCGCTGGAGATAGCGCTGGTGGCAATCTGGTTGCAAACCTCCTGCTGCATCTTGGTCACCCGCATCCGGACTGCACGCAGTACACCCTGACGAAGAAATTGAAAGGGGCGTTGATGATCAGCCCCTGGATCTCGTTTGAGACGGACAGTCCAAGTTTCCAGAAGAACAAGCACAGCGACTATCTTACCAAAGTGGCGCTCAACAAAGCAAGCGCTGCCTTTATCGGACCTGGGGCCAAGCACGACGCTTATTCGCAGCCGCTCGATGCTCCAGTTTCATGGTGGACGGAGGTAGCTGAGAAGGCTGTCCAGCACGTTCTCATCTGGGGCGGCGGCGGCGAGGTTCTCATTGACGGCATCAAGAAATTTGCGGCCAACGTGATCTCCGGTTTCGAGGAGGCCGCGGACGTCGTGGAAAAGAAGAACAGGATACTGAGGACGACGACCGCCGAGGTGGAGAAGGAGCATCCGCAGATCGACACCCGCGCGAAGCTGGTGGTCAGTCCGCGCGAGGCACACGAGGAGATGATCATCAACTACCTCTTTTACATCAAAAAGGAAGAGGACGGCGGACGGCAGATCAAGAAATGGCTTGTGGACGTTCTGACGAAGAAGGACGAGACTACTGTTGACGAGCCCACCGCGAAAGAGGTCAAGGACGCCGTGACTGAAAAGAAAGAAGGTGTTTTGGACACGAAAGAAACGATCGAAAAAGCTGAGGACACGCAGGAGAAGCAGGAGAAACAGGATCTGGCCGAGGAGGAGAAAAAGAAGGCTGCGGAAGCGGCTGCCCCGATTGCCTAGCGCGTTGTACTTTTGTCGCCCCTTAGTGCTACATCCATTAGTTGATACCCAGAATTTCTAAACCCTTGAAGAAGACGATGAATTCCGATGCACAGTTGATTTATGTTTAGAGCCCGTGCAAGTGACGGGAGATTCATGTGAAGCTAAGCATGATGCGCATCATACAACCAAAACGCCACGATATCGTATTGTACCCTTCTCTAGCTTCTCCACGGCTTGTGCAACTCCTTCCGTGGTCATTGGGAATTCCTCAATAACCGGCTTGACACCGTGGTCGGCGGCGAACTTGAGCATGGACGCGAACTCGTCCGGAGTGCTGGTCAGACATCCGTGAACGCTTATCTCACTCATCATCAGCGGCCAAAACGGCAGTGTCAACTGCTCGGGGGAGAATCCCACAAGCATGATCTGCGCATGGTGGTTAAGTAAAGGGAAGAAGACGTCCCAATCTGGAAATCTCGTGCCAGTGACGATCAGGTAGTCCAGGCGCTGGCTCGGCTTGGACTTGTCCAGGTCGCCGGACACGTAAAACTCCGTCGCGCCAAACTTCGCGGCCTCGTCGCGTTTGTTTTCGGACGTCGAAAACACCACCACTTCTGCGCCCAGCTTGGCCGCGAACTGGATGGCTAGGTGGCCGAGGCCTCCAATGCCGGTGATGCCAACGCGCTTCTCTTTGCCTACGCCGAACCGCTTCATGGGAGTGAAGACGGTCATGCCGGCGCACATGAATGGACTGCTGATCGTTAGTTTGAGCTTCCGCTGCCTTGGCTCTAGGACTCACGCTGCTTCAGCTGAAGAAATGATGTCCGGAACGTGCATCAACACCTATGTTTCGAGGTTAGTTTTTCTATCCTCCCAAAGTCCTGACAACACATACTTGGTCGGGTAGGATGGCATAAGTCGACCACGAGCCCGTGTCTGGGTCGGTTCTCGCGTATTGTCGTGGGCTAACTTGGCAATAATAATATCGGCCGATCTTGCAATTCTCGCATTCTCCACAGCCTCCCCACACGTAGCCGAATCCGACCCGCTGATTGCTGCGCTGCATTAGCACCTGGAATGTCCACGCAGCTGCAAATGCGCTCACGGTTTGAACTTGGTGACTTCGGCTCCGACTTGATCGACTACCCCGACACCCTCGTGGCCAAGAACCATATCGTCGTGGGTGTGATGCAGGTCTGTCGAGCAAACGCCTGAGTGCGTGACTCGAATAGCCACTTCGTGCGGGCCGAGCTCCGGTCTCTTGTCAAATGTTTTCTCGACAATTCCACTCGCCGAGCCTGAAAAGGCCCTGAATGTTTCTTGGAGACCCATTCTAGGCTAGAAACTCGGTGAATGTTTTTTCCAAGGTCGGATCCAACTTCTGCTGACACCTGCGAAATAGACTTGGGTTAGAAATTGCGATGAGGATCAGGAAGTTTTTTTAGCATGCAATGCAGCAAAAAGGAATTCAAATCTACATCTTTATGCTCGGGTTCCAGCCTCACCTTACCCGATCTGGTAATTGGGGAATTACCCGAATGCGGTAAAAATCACTGTTTAGTGTGACAGCTGCCATATTACTCAGCTCGACACACGACTTCCACCAAAGTTTGCGGTACGCTTTTGAGCTTCATAATCGCCACGCGCTGCATGCTAACTCCGTCCCGAGACACGCAATGCTTCGCCCAGCATAAGTGTTCTATGACTCTTTTACATTCATTTGTAAGCATGAAAAGTCACGACGTAAATGGCTCATGTTTAGGCACTTTTAACGATTTTGTGCCGGATTACTTTTGCATACAAAGTCCCATGAGGCCGAACCTGGACCAGGTGTGAGCATGGATCTGCGAGATGAACCAAACTGTGAGCGGTGAATTGTACATTCAAGATGTTGGCTTGCACCAGGGTTGAATAACTTATGGACCGACACTTGTAGTCTAAAGACGGGGACTTGTATACGTGTAAGAGTCTGCTCAGCGTCTTTAAAAGAATCAAGACTTGTTCAGAAGTAAATTAGATTCCGCTCGCAGCCTAAAAGATTGAAAAGTAATAAAATCGCAAAGTAATCAGTCATCGCTGATGCCAAATAAGACAAGCCTCTAGCTTGAGGAGAGCTATTTAGGCTCATTAAAATGCTCAGCCAAGGATCAAATCTACATCCTGAAGCTCGAGCGCTTCCCAGTCAAGTTTATGAACTGTACCAGCGGCGAGGCGATATGCAATCCCATTAATCCACTCAATCCAAAGTACGTTAACCACGTCCCGCGGTTTGTTAATTGTTGCGTAACACATCTTCTCTTTATCGAAATTCTTTGAGTATTTTCTGGACCAAGAAATAGCAACCAATTCAATGGCATCATGCTGAAGGATGTCGGGAACGTTTTCACGTTGTCGAAATTCACTCAGCTGATCCTGATTGTGCACTCGCAAAGTGCCGATAACTTTGTCAGTCGAATCGGTAAGCTTCACTTCATTTCCTTGATCTGAGACTTCACGAAAACCACCTACAAAGCCGCGCTTCGTTTTGCAGAACAGATGTGCGATTTGCTCGGGCATACTTGGTTGGACCGTGCTGTCGATGTTTGCAATGGGAAATGGGAAGAACCAGAACGGGCAATCTTCGTCAGTCACAGCGGCATGCTTGTATACATGTTCACCACAGTTGTCTGGCCAGAGTATAGGCTCATCTCGGAATCTTTCGACTTCTGACGGAGCGTGCCGTGACCACCCCGCAGGAAGCGGCTCGGAGGCTTTTTTGTATTCTTCTCGAGCTTTAGACCATGTCGACGCGATCCTTCGCAAGGCTTTGTTCTCTTTCGCATCCCACGTGTACCAATCTGTTATTGGGAATGTTTCAGTGAACCAGCTCATTCGAGTATTCACACGCAACGCCTCGTAGTCCCAGCCGACCATCCCTTCCCAGCCGACCCATGACCATGAAGGCAAGGCTAAAGAGAATTCATTTTCCTTCTGCGGATCGTTTGAGGGAACTCTACGTCTTAGCTCAGTATAATCCCAGTATGGCCGCCAACATAGGTTACTCTCAAAATCCATCTCTGGAAGGCCATAGAGGAAACCTCCCGTGAAAGATCGGCTGCAGATGGCCAGCAATCCTGAGAACCCAGCCAGTGCATCTTCGTCAAATTTCAGTTTGCGAATGTTGTAGTTTGTGATGCAATGGTGGAGAGATGACATTTCGGGAATTCCAGCCATTAGCAAGCTTAGTCGCGGATTAATGTACTTGTCGATCTCGGTGCCTAATGTTAAGTCCTCATGCCAGACACAGCACGAACACTCCCAGTGAACCTCTTTGTTTTTGAAAATAAGTTTTCGTTTCGACATCATGAATTCTTGATACGTCCAGCCTCGTTCATGGTACTCGCCGCCAGTGGACAATGAGAAAATTCCAGTTCTTCTCACCGCAATCCTGTCTTCTCCAAATGCAAAGACATTTTGACTTAGCTGTCGGGAGCCTGAAACTCCTTTCAGGCCTTGAATCCCAACATGAGCGTCATCGTCAGTGGCGACAATGGTGACGATAGCGTTGGCGTAGATCGCACCCATCAGATCCAGCTGTTCAGCCAGCATCTTATGGTCACCGTGGGGAATACAAAGAGAATCTATCCAAACAAAGCGTTCGCCTAGTTTTTCTGTCAAGTAAATTGCATGGTGAACAATTGGCGCAAGCTTCACTAGCAAGGCCCCATCTTTGAGGCTGTGTGGCACTTGTAATTTTTCGAGCTGTTCAATATGCGTTCGGGTTTCTAAGCCATCTCCCCACCGGTAGCTCAGTGCGACATAATCTGTGATGTTGTTACCTGGGACTATGCATCCCTGATGGACATCGATCAGCCAAGCTGGGCGAGCTGGCCAGATCTTGATTGGATTCTCACATTCACTTCCGTGTCTGACGAGGCATTCCTCTTTCCAGAGCTTGATCACGTCCAAATCAATCCAATCATCGTCAAGTATTCTCCCAATGCCTGGATGATCCGGAATATTCTCATTGTGGACCAGCGATAGATTCCAAAATAGGCCTAATTTGCTGATCGACTGTACAATTTGAACAGAAGTACCTCGCCCAGAAGCCAAAAAACCTACATCGTCTGGGGAATCGTTAAGCCTGCTATTGATATTACAATAGTCGTAGAAACTGTTTAACAATGGTCCATGGCTAAGGCATTCTGTATTTCTCGCATCCTCGATTGGACCACAATTGATCGAGCCACTAGATCCACCATTTTCAAAATAACCTCGAAGGGTTCGACATATTCCACACCCTGCAAATTGTGGCGGGATTGAAGATTTTCCTAGGTGTGGGGGCCTGTTGGTTGGGTCCTCGCGGGTTTCTGCGATTGGGGGCATGTTTAGAGGCTGTACTCGATTCTGAGAACAGATAATCAATTCGTTTAAATTGTTGATATATTTGAGGAAATAAGCATTAAAGAAAGTTCTAATTTTAGGTTGTTGATATATCTCAGCATGTTGCTGCCTTGCGGTCGAAGGAATGACGAATTAGCTTCCAGGATCGGCAACATGCCATCAAATATGTTGTATGTTGTAACGATTGTAAATACTTTATCCAAACATCCTATAACGCTCTCCCTCCAGGTAGTTACCAAATTCACTACGTGGAATCAATCCTGGCATCTATATTAGAAGACTATTATGATGTCACTCATTGTATTGTGCGTAGATCATGTTCAATATTATATAGAATGATTGCGTGCGTTAGTTGGCACTGACAAAGCGTCATCGCCATCATTCATCCTTCTCGTTCTTCACAGGATCAAAGTTGCTTTCACCTGACGTTAGAGCGAAACAATTCTTACGAGAATAGGGTCTGAGAAGGCCACAGAGCTCCAAATCATGGTTGAATCCTTCGTTGGGAAATATATAGAGACCAGAATGGCTGCAGAACGTGTATTTTGAGGCATTGATTCATTCGAATTATGCATGGCAAGAACGTACATCCAAAGTTACTTTAATTTTACATAAGGCTTACTCTGATGATGCTCTCGTCTGCAAAGACATGCATTGTAGGTGGAAGAATCATGTAGGAGCTGTACGCACACGATGTCTTAAAAAAAATCGAGCGGCGCTTTGGCGTCAAAGAACCAAGTATTTTTTTATCAAGTGTAAGACATGATCAAGGAATGTTTCGTAAGATCTCTACAACTCACAAATTGGCCGCTACACGGAAAACCGCAAGCAAGCCTCTTCACCGACGCGTTTAAAGCCTTTCATCTTTTCAACGGATTATAGCAACGTTGGGAATTTCGTTGACTAAATTAGTTACTTGATGCTTCTTGTAAAGATTATTTAGAGTCGCGAGAGGCTCTTAAGCAAGGTGAGCCTGTAGATACAACTCTGACCGTGAGATGCCATCGACGCAAGCATCCCGAGCACCTGGTATTTAAGTTGCATAGATGTTCAAAATGGGTAAGAGGCCATTTATTTACTCTGATATAGTGAAATTTGGCCTACAGATGCAACGCTGACGGTCGGGAAGCAGTTCATGTTGACTGAAGAATCCGCATTGCCTACACAGCTTCCGAAGCTGAAAAGCCAGAAAGAGGAAAAAAAAAGAGGACAGCAGATCATATTTATGTCACATAGTTGTAAGAGAAAACTAGGTTAGATTGCAGGAAATGGTGCGTGAATAAAATTTACAGATTATGCGTATAAACATAAAGGAGGCTGACTTTTAGATCCCGCACCAAATCGTGCAGGGAATGTCCTCCCAATGCAAAACTTGACCTCGTCATCTGTATCTGTCTCGCTTGTCAAGTCATTAGCAAGCATAATCATTCGATCTACAGCTATGTCCGTGCTTTCGCCGTTCAAGCATCCTCTTTGCCCTTGCTTGACTTCTCAGAGTCTGACTTAGCTTCCTTGGCGTCTTTGCTATCCGCTTCGTTGTCGCTCTTCTCTTCCTTCTTTTCGTTGTCGCCGCTGTCCTTGTCTTTAGGTTCTGACTTGTCTTCGGCGTCATCTTTACCCATGTTAGCCATGCACTCTAGCTCAATTACTGAAGATTACGTTACGAATCATCTCGAATTCGCGACTGCGAGTGGTAGAATGTAGCTCGACTTACCTTTTGACTCTTCCTTCTTATCATCCTTGTCATCTGTAGTCTTTGACTCATCTTCCTTTGGCTTCTCTTCTTCCTTAGACTCTTCCTTCTTGTCTGCACCCTCGTCCTTTGATTCCTCCTTCTCAGTTGCGGATTCTTCCTTTTCCTTCTTCTCTGGCTTGCTCTCGTGCTTAGCCTTTACAGCATGCTTCTCCTCGTGGTGGTGGTCGTCATCATGACCGTGTGAACCACCGTCGGATGGCTGGAGAGCGATGTAGGTTCCGATGACCGTAGTGACAACGGCAGATACAGCCCTGCAGCATGTTCGTAAGTCTTACGGTCCATCGAATATCCATCTCCTCAAGCTACCGGGAATGCGGAGGCTTGGATATTCAGATGAGCAAGCCATCAAGTCGCTTGTAAAAATGGGGCCAGCCATCCAACATTGACGTAGCACGAACGAGGCAATGAAAGAGGGATGCAGAACCAACTTACCAAGGCAAGTCGCTTGTCTTCTGCGCTCCACCAGTCGCGCTTGCATAACCTCTCCTTCCAGTCTGCTGTCCAAACCGCAGGTATGGCTGAGAAACGCTTCTCCGGACGGCTCGGGTAGCCGTTCGGTTAAAGGCGGTGGAGGAGGCCGCACGAAGGGCCGCAACTCGAACAAAAGACATGTTGAAGCTGGCTTGACCTCGAATAAGATGATGACGTTAGTCTTGAGAAGTTGGATGACAAGATGCGGAATCAATGGCCTTCTGCGGATGTTGCATCACCTGAGCGTTGGATGGGCTGTTTTCTACGAGGCTGGGACGAGGAGCCCAATGACGGGACCGCGCACGTTCGCCGGACTTCGGAGCAGCAGAAGCTGAGGAGCAGAAGCCGACGCCAGAGTCACGTGACAGCTCATGCTGCACTAAGCGCTTTTCGTACCAGCTTTCACCTTGACAGCTTCGGAACGCTTGTGGACGGAGCTTCTTGCGTTTGGTACGAAAGAATACCAAGGATTTTCCTTTTTCAAGAGTCCGCGGCTGAACGTGCTTCTTGACTCTTCAATAGGCTTGTTCAACGCTCGCTGTGGGGAAGTGCAGCCTTGGATTTCAACCAGGCAGAGAAGCGCTTCACGTACCTCGCCGCCCACCTCACAGCTCATAAATCCCGTGTCCGCTGCAAACGATATTCCCTTTTCAAAAATTGATTACTTTGAAAGCTTCGCACTGGTCAGCGCTGTCATTGTCACTGATTTTCTGATCATTTACACGGGACCTACTTCCTACAAAGTGCCTGCCATCGTCTCCGCCTTTTGACCAGAGGGCCACAGCTTCAGAAGCCCAACTATGGCCGGGACTCCTGCGCCTGCGAGTGCGACATCTCACAATGTTGCCGCTTTGCTGCCAAAGCTCTACGAGGATGATCCAGACTTACGTTATATGGGCTTGAACGACCTACATCAGCTTCTCACCGCGGGGCCTCCGAGTTTGCTGGTTCACGATGTCCATGTCAGCGCAAAAACCGTCGATGGCCTGCTTCACGCCTTGAACGATAATAACGGCGAGGTTCAGAATATGGCCATCAAATGCCTGGGTCCCTTTGTGAACAAAGTCTCCGCCGATCAGATTCTTTGCCCCATGATCGATAAGATTTCCACGTTGAAGATTGGCGATGCTGTCGATAACTCAATTCCAGCCTTGGCTCTCCGCTCCATTGTCGTGAGCTTGCCGCGGCCAAGTCCAGGAGTACCACGCTCAAAGCCTGTCCAAGATGCATACTCTGCTGTCAGCTGTGCTCTGATCCCTCGCCTTGTGGGTTACATGGTCATCCCTCCACAGCGCAAGGATCTGCCGAAACCACCGAAAGGGATGCTCCAAGAAGATATGGAAAATGGGACAGACAGCAACGCTATAGACGTGCTCACTGAAGTTGCTCGCTGCTATGGCCCTATGCTTCAGGAGTCTGAAGTCAACGCTCTCGTCAAAATCTCACTTGAGATCCTGCAGCACGAGCGAACGACGTCTGTGCTCAAGAAGAAGGCAGTAACAGCTATTGCGACTCTTGCGTCAAACCTCTCAGACAATGCTTTGTCGCAATTTGCAACGCGTATTATTGAGCTCCTTCGTGATCCGCACCTTACCAAGAGCAAACGGAAGCTTTACATTGGTTTATTTGGCTCATTGGCGAGATCCATACCCACAAAGTTCGGAAAATATCTAAAATTCATCACCCCATTCGTTCTTTCCGCATTAAGTCAAAAGGAGATCGATGATGATCTTGCTGCTCTGGAAGAGACTGAGGAGCGCGATCCTGAGGCTGACGATGTCCGCGAGGCTGCCTTGATTGCACTTGAAGCCTTCCTAAGCTGTTGTGTGGACGACATGAAAATCTACACGCAAGAATCTATTGAAGTTATTCTTCGCTTCCTCAAATATGACCCAAACCTTGCAGATGATGACGAGGAGATGGAAGAGGACGCTGAGGAGGATGACACTTTCGGTGGCGATGAAGATTTCGAAGAAGAGGCTGGCGCAGATGATGAAGATGACACGAGCTGGAAGGTCCGTAGATGTGCAGCAAAGGTTGCAGATGTATTCATTGAGACACGGAGCAACGGCGATTTGCTCGATAACGGAATCCTGTACGCTCAAATCGCGCCAGCACTAGTTTCACGATTCAAGGAACGCGAAGAGACTGTTCGGGTGGAAGTCCTAACGGCACTGGCACGGCTAATCAGGATCACCGGAGGTCGGGGTGTAAGAACTACCTCTTCCTTCCTCGACAGTCCCTCACACAGTGCACTTCCGTCTAGTCGCAAGAGGCGCCGAGGAAGCAGCAACGTCAGCGCCATGGACTACCAAACAATGGCGCAAATCCAAGAGACACGAGTCCTTACACCTCCTCCAGATAGTGCAAGAGCAAGCCTGGAGAGGTTGAGCCCTGAGATTGTGAAAGGCGTTTCCCAGCTTCTTAAGACCCAACCGTTGCCAACAAAACAAGCCTCCATTTCTCTGATGAAGGATTTGTCGGAAGCGCTGCAGGGTCGACTCAATGGTTACTTGGACCAAACGCTTGATCCAGTCCTGGATGCTGTCAAGACATCTGGTTCAGCGAGCACCACGACAGGTTCCCACGTTGCGTCTGCGAACACATACCGTATTGAAGCACTTCACTTCCTACGTGCTATAGCACAAGCTCATCAGTCACAAGTCTTGTCTCCGTATCTTGAGAAAATCGTGCAGGCAATCGTCAGTGCCGTGAACGATAAATACACGAAAGTTTCTGTTGCTGCTCTAGAAGCAGCGGAGGCATATGTGAGGACCCTCACAGCAACCGGCTCCAGCGTGGGCCAGAATTACAAAACATACATCAAGAAGATTTACGACGCTGTCAGCAGTCGCATTGTTGCGCAAGACTCGGACACCGAAGTTCGCCGTCTCGCTATCCGCTGCATGGGCACGCTTCTCGGTCGCTCAGCTCTCACTCAAGTGCTTGACGCCTCCGATAAGGCGACAGGCTATGAGCTCTTGCTGTCACGACTAAAGAATGAGCTTACTCGTTTGTCATCGGTGCGTGCCATCGAGACTGTAGCAGTTCTGGTTCACGACCCGAATGACTATCCTCAAGGCTGGGTCGCAGCTGTAGCTGTCGAGCTTGGTGCACAGCTGCGCAAAGCGAGCCGTGTCCTTCGGGGTTCGAGTCTGCAAACGCTCAAAGAATTATCTCTTAATGTCAGCGTAGCACATTTGGACACAAAGACGATCAAAGAACTTCTTCCCCTCCTGCTTCCAATCTTGCACACTGGCGATCTGCATATGATTGGCTCTGCACTTCTCATCCTTAACGCATATACGCAGAGAGATCCTAAGACTGTGGTTAACAAAGACTTCATCAATGCCTTTGATACAATGCTTACTGGCACCATGGTTGGTGGCACAGCTCTCGACAACTTACTCATCCTCACTCGTAGCATCGGGGAAAATGATGTCGGCAAGGACGTAATGAGTCAACTGCTGTCTCAAACCAGCATGAAAGCTAACCCAGATTTGGTTGGAAAAGTCATCGGCAACCTTCTTGTCGCTGGCGGCCCGAAGGTTGGTGTTAAGCTGGACAGCTTTATCAAGGAGGCGCAAGGTAATCATGACGACAAGCGTAAGTGTCTTGCTTTGGCTGTGCTAGGAGAGGCTGGCTTGCGCATGGGCTCAGATTCTCCACTGCAGCCTCAACTCTTCATTGATTTCTTCCAGGAGAAGTCGGACAAGATCCCAATTGCTGCTGCAGTTGCGCTTGGTCGTGCTGGTGCTGGGAACGTCCCAAAGTATCTTGAGGCCATCCTCAAGAACATGGGCACCCCGGCAGGCAACCAATATTTGCTCCTACATTCGATTCGTGAGATTCTGCAACAGGAAGGCACGGAGTCACAGATCATCCCGTTCGCGGCCCAGTTGTGGAACAACCTTCTGGCTGCCTCTCAGGTGGACGACAATCGCGCCATTGGCGCCGAGTGTATCGGCCGTCTCGCCGTCTTGGACCCGGCGACTTACCTGCCGCAACTGCGGACCTTCCTTACAGACCAAAATGCCAGCGTTCGTGGTATGGTTATCTCCGCATTGCGATTCACGTTTAGCGACACGGACGAGAGCTACGACTCCAACCTGGAGCCGATCATCATCGGCATGTTACAGACCATGTTGAATGAGCAGGACTTGGAGAACCGCCGTCTGGCCATGACCACTGTCAATTCAGCCGCCCAGCACAAGCCAAACCTCATCGTGCCGCACCTGGGCGATCTGTTGCCGCTGTGCATGAACGAGACGCAGATCCGCCCAGAGCTTATCCGCGAGGTTCAAATGGGGCCGTTCAAGCACAAGGTAGACGACGGTCTTGAGATCCGCAAGGTATGTTTGTTCACTGGGCTTTCACGTCCCGCAGCTCACGTTGTGCACGTGCTAAATCGGACCGCAGTCCGCCTATGAGACCATCTACTCCCTGCTCGACATCGCCTTCCCCCTCCTCGACGTGCCCACCCTTTTCTCCAGAGTCGTGGCGGGTCTCGCGGACGACCACGACATCCGCGACCTGTGCACTCTCCTCCTCCATCGGCTCATCGTGCTCGCCCCGTCCGAAACGGCGTCACGCCTCGACAACTTCGTCGACCCGTTCAAGACGATCCTGTCTCAAAAGCCAAAGGAGAACGCGGTCAAACAGGAGATGGAGCGGCTGGCCGAGGAGCAACGACACGTCGTTCGCGTCAGTCTCGTTCTGGCCAAGAGATTCCCGGACGAAAGCTCCGAGCTTACCAGAGCGTGGGGCGCGTACTGGGACTGGGTGAAGAAGGAGTTTGCGTCGGTCGTCAAGCACGTCGAGGACGAGGCGAGAGAGAAGGAACGCTGAAACGCACCCACTTCTTCTTGTGTTTTTTTTTTCTGCGTTTTGCTGCTGCCCTGGTGCAGTCGTGTTTGACGAAGCGATGTGTCCTACGAAAGATGCATGACAAGAAATGAAGTGAAAAAGGAAGCTGAACGGGGAGGATGTTGACCTGTGGGCAAAGGACGGTAGAGGAGCGAAAAGTGTGCCGTACAATTGCAAGTAGTCATGATCAGATCGAGAATGCAACATGCTTTTTAACGACATCGTCCTCGCCTTTTTTTTTCGTATTTTATTTTGTTGCCTCTCCTCACCTCCCACGGTTCCCCTTCCGTTCCCCTAATCCCTCCTTGTGCATTCTCGCTCTGCCTCGCGTACTCGCCCGCCCAGTAGCCTAGTTCGCCACTTCTCTTTGCAGGGTCGCCGAACCCGACCGGCCGCGAGTTGGTGAGGAGGAGGAGGGGGAGGAAAAGAAAAAGGATAAGCAGTCAGCTCGCGCAACACATCCTTTAGGGGGAAGGCTGAACGCCAGACTTCCAGAACGGCGTCACCAGCTTGCCGCAGCGAGGCAGGATAGGCTTAATGCCGATTTGGGAGATATTGCGAGCGGAGCGACGGCCTTGGAAAAGGGGGGAAGACGTGCGCCCTGAGAAAGTCGAAACGAAGGGGGCCGGTGTTGGGCTGGTGTTGGGTGGTTATAGATAGCACTGAGACGCACATGACTGTCCGAGAGGAGAGGAAGAAATAGGCGACCGGTCGGCGGTTCCAAAAGAAAAAGAAAAAGAAAAAAAAAGATAAAAAAAGTGGTAGACTCAAAAAACCAGGTGCTGTGCCAGCCAGGCAGGGAGCCAGTCTAATTCCAAATCCAAGTGTGCAAGAAAAGACGACACGGAAAATTTGGGGGAGAGAGAGAGAGAGCGCTGCCAGGTGCTGAAGATGTGACGTCTGATGATTGTGCCATGCCTATAATGCCCAGCGAAGCCTGTGGTTCAAGCCTAAACTAAGCTCTCGGCTCTCAGTTCCAAAGGAAGGAAAACGACGAAAGACTTCGCCTGCGCCTGCGCCCTCCCAAACTCGTAGAGCACCAAAAAACCGGATTGTTCATGCCAATCGTCTGCTCAAAGTCTCCTTTTCCTCCTCCTTCTCTTTCCCCTTTTCTAACTGCCCTCCGGCAACGCAATGGGATCACAAGCTTGAAAAAAAAACCCCTCCGAAAAGGTTTTTGTTTGAGTCCCCACAAGAACAAAAGAGGCCGTGACCGCTACAGGTGACATGTGCAAGATGACAAGATAACCATAAAAAGGAAGATGAGGTATATATGCCCGTAGAGCCGCCCAGATACAAAAGATGACAGATCATGATGTAGCATCCAAACACTCAAGTCGTAGTTTTGAAAGCCCTGGTTTTTTGGGTTTTTTATTTCTTTTGCTCACGCGTTCCTTTACAGCACACCGCCAGGTAACTGCATGCTCCTGCCTCCACCGCTGGCCTGCATGGCTTCTCTCTGCGCCAGCGCGGCTTGTGCTCCACCTTCTCCTACCGTGCTCGAAATGCCTTCCATGGGCGATGCGTGTTTCCGAAGCATGAACATGGGCTTTCTGCCTTCGCGATCAAGCTGCTTGAACAGGATTAGCGGTTTCTCGTTCAGCCCCAAACACCTCTCTTGGTCGCCGTGCACGATATACAAGGCGTACTGCCGCCAGTCGGCCGTGATGTTGTACTTCTTCAGCGCAACAGGTAGCACCTTGTGGCAAGGGTCCTCAATGGAGACACGGAACGACTTGAAGATCTCGACCTGAGGGTTCTCTCGTGCCGAAGAGGGCGGGTTGAGGGTCGATGGAGTGGTAGCCTCCTTATCGCGTGTCGAGAACGTCGAGTAAGAGTCCGAGCGGTCGAAGGTCTTTGCGCCGCCCGACGATGGTACGTTGAGAGACGAATAGGCGGGCGAGGTAGGCGAGGGCTGCGAGGCTGCGTTGGGGCTGCGACCACCGGCGGCGTCGTCGCGCATTGACGCTGTCAGGTGGTTCGTGGCGGCGACGGCGGCTGCCGAGGGGTCGAGGCTGGACGAATCTTGCAGGCGCGACTCTTGGATGCTGGTGGGCGAAAGATTGTTAGGCTTGTTGTTGGAGAGGAATAGACGCTTTGTAGAATACTTCCGCGACAGGCCACTGGAAGCGCCGCCCTTGGCCACATCGGGGACTTCGTCGGGCGTGGGGAGGGGTTCGGACCTGTTCTTGCGGTCCTTTATGATGGGCAGGACGTCTTCACGCAGTTTGCGGTTTTCCTCCGAGATGCGCACCAGCTCCTCCCGAAGGGTGCGCAGCTCGGCGTCGCGGTCTTTGATGATGTTTATTATACGGGCAATGTCGTCTTGGGTCGGGGCTGAGTCCTGTGTTTCGGCATCGGCGGCTGGGTGTGGCATCGTGTCAGTTCTCTGTTCTCCGTCCAGAATGCAAGATGGTGAATGCAGGGAAGCTCACATAGTGGAACGTAGTCATCGGGTTCTATGGGAAGATGCTGTTTGATTTTGAGGTCGTAGACAGCTTTAAGGATGGTCAGGCGATGGCCGATGCTCGTTATGCCCATCTCCTTGAGATCTGAATGTAGCAATGCCATCAAGGCGTCGCCGGTGATGGCCTCCTCTGCAAAATAGGTCGTTAGCAAGTTCAGAACGCCGAGCCTGCCTTTCGTCCTCTTCCCCTTTCCATCGCTACCCTACGGACAGGAGTATCACCTACCGACAAACTTGTCCGCGTACTGCGGTAATCCCAGGCCCGACACAAAATCTGCGCTCTGTTCGGCGGACCAGTCGGAGATCAGTCCTCGCGGCGAGGCAGCCATGCCCGAATGTGTGTACGTCGTCGGTGTCGGTTCGGTGCTCTGGCCGTCCGAGTCTGTGGGCGAGGCTGAGTAGCCTTCGGGGGGCAGCGTGGGAGACATGAATACAGAGTCTCGTTCGTACTCGTCGTCGGCGTCTGAATCCTCGCGGTAGCCCGTCACCTTGTAGGCGGACATGGCCGTGCCGGAAGGGTTTCAACACACTAGCGGTCGGAGGAGGGAGGTGGTGGGTGACGGGTCGGCGCTAGGCACGTGTAGCCTAGGATGGGAGCTCGATGCGCGCTCTTTGGAAGCGTACGCGGGCAGGAGAGGTTGTGTGTGGGCAGGTGCACCGGGCTAGCTCTCTCTTGGCGGTGCCTTGCGATGGGTAAAGGGCAAGGGGAGCAGAACTGCTGCTGGTGGTCGTGGCGGGGGGCAGGAGGGGAGGGGTGGGGTGGACGTGAGGTGCGTCTCGAGTTGATGGGACCGGGCGGTGGACTGGGCCTGGACGTCCAGGCTGGTGGTGCAGTTTGAGTTGATCGTACAGCAGCGAAGGGATGGAGGCGTCTAGTGTGGGCTGGTTGACGGGCGGCTGTACGGCCCACGGCGTGAAGGCTGCAGGCCGTGCGTCGGTCTCGTCGTCGTCGGTCGATCCCTCGTCGGTTTCGGGCTGACGGTGGGCGAGGTTGGCCGGGAGGCAGGCCAGATGGTTCAAGGCTAAGCTCCAAGCCTGGCGTCCAGCTTGTTCCAGTTTGTAGACCTGACACACGCCGCGGAGCCGGGCCAGACGGAGGGCAGTGGGCTGGCTCGAGAGAGCAAGAGGGCAGTCCAGGGCGAGTGGGAGAGAGAGAGGGCGTGGTACGGGTGAGGGCAGAAGGCGGGAGGTGTACGTGGGCGAGTGCACGGCGAGCAGCGCCTGGTGGGCGGCGTGTGAGCGGCCGGAATCGAGATTTCTCAGGCGCAGCAGCCAGCGCAAAGCGGGCCAGGCTCGGATTGGCCTTGATTGGGGAGAGCGAGAGACGAGCAGAGCTGGCCGTAGCGCCGGCGCCGGCGTGCCAGTGCAGACGCAGAATGATTAGCCCAAGCCTCTGAAGGAGCGTGCGTGTGCGGAAGCCGGGGTCGCTGGTTCCTGCGCCGTAGATGGCGGCTACGGGGGGCGAAGGCGAGGGGGCCTGGCACATGCGCCAGCCAGGGCGCTCTGCTCGATCTCTGGGACGAGGTCACGGCAAAAGCGCGGCGTCCATCGAGTAGGAGAAACGCGAAAACAGAAACACAAAAAAGAAGGGAGGAGAAAGAAGCAAAGGAGAACCGTTCAAGAGAGCGAGCGGGACACACCCGCCGAGAGCGACGAAGCGCTCAACTGGTGGGCTCGACTGGCGCAGCCGACAGGAAGACCGCTCGTTCTCGCGCAACCCACTTACGTACTACACGCGCATCAAGGCTGCTGGCCTCGCATGGCGGAACGACGGAGGGAAACGGTACGGAGCAGACGGGTCCGTTGGCAGTAGGGCTCAGAAACGAGGCCTCGCCGACCGATGGCAGCATAGCCACCAGCCTGAGCTCCAGCGCAAGCCGCTGGCAGAGCGACAGAAAATCGGACGACGAGGACGACGCAGGCGCGGACGCAGACGCAGACGCAGACGCAGACGCTGTCAACAGCGCGCGTACATCAGAATGCGTGTTCAACTGAGATCATTCGTTGCACCAGCGCCAATCATGCGGTGCACGATGCTGTTTGCTGCAGTCTGCACGGTACGGCTGCGTGTGCGCACATACTCCACCCCGTCCTCTGCAGGATACTCGCTTTACCATCTCTCTCTCTCTCTCTCTCTCTCTCTTTTCCCTTTGTGTGTGTACATTCTATCCATGCTGTTCCTGCACGCGGATATCCCTGTGTACCACAGTATGCACGTGTGTGCACATCGCGAAGATACTGCACCATTGTGCATCTCGTTCCTCATCCATGCTGGCTGCTACATCCAACCGTCTGTCCCACTCCGCCGTTCCCGCTACGAAGAACAAAAGAGCAGACAAGTGCCCACGCAAGGCCGCTCGCATTCTCAATCTTCGTTCGCCATTCGCCCGATTGAAAGCTGTTCGCTGCCGTGGCGTGCTTTCCAGCACAAGTAGGACTGTGATCCTCCGCAGCTCCATTGCAGCGTTTGCGGTTTGGCAAGGTGACATGCGGACATCGTAGCCGTGTAGACAAACATCTACACAATCGGAACACGTCATGTCTCTGCCCTTTTCCCTTTCCCTTTCTCCCGCTCTTCTTTTTCCCCTTTTCCTGCCCTGTGTAGTAGAATACGTCCCTCCGCTTTGGATTGGCTTGCCTTGACCTGGCCGGCCACAATCTTCCCGCGATTCCAGCCTCTTGACGGTTGGCTTTCGACGGGTTGCCGCTTTGTTCTGCTTTGCTCTGCTATGCCTTGACCGCTTGGCTTGGGCTGGGCCAATTCCAAAAACAGCCGGCGATCATCCCGTCCTTTCCTGTTGCTGTCGCTGCAGATCCATCCCCATGGGGGGGGGGGAGAATGGGCCACGCATCGCATGCGACGGACAGCTGACGATGGAGAGATCTCGCTAGGCCAGGAACCAACCGCCTAACTCAATCCGTCATCCTCGCCTCGCTCGTTCCGACTTCGCTTCCAAAATCTCATACGCTCATCCGACATCTGGAACCCGAATTATTCAAAACGCAGACCCTCCATCCAACCTCCATTACTCGACTGCAGCACGCCTCATCGACTTCCCACCCGATCAGTCTCGTTGGCTCTCTGACCCCGCTTTATCTTCCTGTCGACAGCACTCTGCTCCACATCCGCGGACCGCAGCCCGCCAACGCAGACATCCATGTCAGACACGACAAAGGTGCGCACTTCGTCCCTCCCACGCAACCTGCCGTCCACGACGCCAATGCCCCCCCAGCTACACGACACCCTGTCGACTGCGCTCCTGGAAGCGCACTCGATCCCGGCCATCGAAAAGGTGCTCGCCCAGTCGCTCGCCGAGGCCGGCTGGACCACCGAGCTGCGAGCTTACATCCAGCGTCTCGTGCGCAGCGGCGAGTGCACAAACTACCAGCAGATCCTCAAGAAGGTCATGGCCGCCGTGACGACGGGCAAGGAGGGCTCGGCCAACGGCGCTGTGCAGAACGGAGAAGGAGACGCCGCTGCAGCAAACGCCAACACCACCAACGCAGTCGGCACCAGCGACCTGAGGATCCCAGAGAAAGTCGTCCGCGACGGCGTGATGGCCGTCAGGAAGGAGCTCGAGAAGGTCGTCACCATCGACGTGGACGACTGAGCACTCCCGTCGCCGTGCGAGGATCTTCGTCCTTTTTTATCTTGAGGCATAGACGAATGGCCTCCTTTCGCCCTGCACGCGAGGCTGTGTGCGTGCGTGCGTGCGTGCGTGCGTGCGTGTATGGAACTAGCTTCGCCAACGGCGTTTGAAGCTTCTACGGGACGTGTCGCGGAGACCTCTCAGCGGCTTTGGACAGAGCCCTTCGGCACTCAAGGCACGCGGGCAGCGTGCCAGCGCAAGCAGGCAGGTGAGACCGGAGGCCTCGCGGAGACTGGCAGCTGGACCGCCTCGCGAGGCTCAACCGTCGGTGGGTCGAACAGAATAGGAGATGCAAGCGGTGCGATGAACCTACTTTGGAGGAATGGAAACTATAGAACCATGCACACGACTTGATGAATTCACGAGGTAGCATACTCCTTTCCTGACCGTGGCCTTGCATTCGTTCTCTCGAGACAACACCGGACGACATGAAACAGTGCTGGAGGAAAGAAGATCGTCTCTCGCATAGCGTTAAGAGTGAGCACTGGCTGATCGTGAGAGGAAAAAATTGAATACCAACGTCCAATACGACATTCTCAGCGTGACATGTCCATTTCGTGGTTTGTCCCTTATTTTTAGGCTACATGCGTGATCGTGACCCTTTGGCGAGGTGTCCCTCAACACCGATCGGAGAGATGATCAGTACTCGTTGCCGGTCATAGTGTGTGCATTGTAAGGTGAAGACGTGTCCCTTCGCCCGGCATACAAAGTACAGAACGTGATGACATACGAAGCTAGGACGAGCAAAGAGGGGGAGAGATGCCCTGCAAACCTCCAAGAAATCACGTCGAGAGCGTCGCATCACAAAAGGGTGGGATCACCGGCATCTACCACGCGAACGCTCGTCTATGCCTTTTTTTTTGCTACAAGTACAAGAGGAAGGACGAAGCACAGTAAAACGTGCCGTCCGTTCTCTGAATGGTGGTCGAGCAACGAAGATTTGCCTAGCCTGTCGGATGGAAGCGAGCCGCCGTCCTTGCTTTCTGTATCAGTAACGCGTCCATGATACACAGAGCCGCCATTGACTCGACGATTGGGACGGCCCTGTTCACGACGCAGGGATCGTGGCGGCCCTTGTTCTCCAAGATACCGTCCTCGCCCGTGTACGTGACCGTCGTCTGCGACTTGCCAATCGTAGCTGGGGACTTGAAGGCAACGCGGAAATAGATAGGGCTGCCGTTCGTGATGCCGCCCTGGATACCACCGCTATTGTTCGTCACCGTCGTAAGCTTTGGCTTGCTTGAGTCCGAACCAGACGGCCGCATCGCAAACATGTCATTGTGTTGCGAGCCTGGGATCTGCGTTCCTTCAAACCCTGATCTGCAAATCACCATCAGCGAGAAAAGAAAATCCGTTTCGCGACCAAGAAAAGATGCAAAATAGAATCAAGAGGTCTAAGAGGCTACGTGCGTACCCAAATTCAAATCCTTTCGTCGCAGGAATGCTGAGCATCGCCTGGGCCAGAGTGGCCTCCAGTTTCTAAGCGCGGTGAGCTTGACCATACGCCGTATGCAACCCAATTTACGTACTGAAAAGGCGGGTTCGCCAAGTCCAGTAGGGCAGTTCCGGATAACGCAGGTGATCGTGCCACCGATGCTGTCCTGCTGATCTCGGAATTCGCCAATGTACTTCTCCATCTCGGCAGCGACTTCGAGGTCTGGGCATCGAACTGGCGATTTGTCGACATCTTCACGAGTGACGGTCTCAAGCAGCCGAAGAAACTTCGGGTTGCTCGACACAAAAGGGTATTCTGGTGATTGGTTAGGTAAGAACGAGTTCTTGAACAGGATAAAACCACCAGTGCTGACCTGGCGTAGGGGTGAAAAGATGCTTGGTTCCGACGGACGAAACCCATGCAACGATTTCGATCCCGTGAGTAAGTTTTAGATAGTGATCACAGAGGGAGCCGGCAAGCACCCGTCCTACGGTTTCTCGCGCACTCGAACGGCCACCGCCTGACGCAGCTTTGATACCGTACTTCTCTAGATACGTAAAGTCGGCATGACTCGGCCGGGGAAACTGCTTCATGTTTCCATGGTAGTCCTTAGGACGCTGGTCTAGATTCTTGACTCTCAACGCTATCGGGGTGCCGAGCGTCAATCCGCCTTCAACGCCGGATTGAATTTCCACAAGATCAGATTCGTTCCGGGGGGTTGAAATTGAGCTCTGGCCCGGCCGACGGCGGGAGACCTACATCTGGGTGTAAATTGCCATACTTGCTTGACGCCACCGCTGGCCTCTTACTTGTGGCTGGAGAATCTCCACCGATATGGGAATACCGGGGGGAAAGTTGTCAATGATACATCCCACGCTGGGACAATGGCTTTCGCCGTACGTTGTCACACGCAGCAATTGGCCGAACGTAGACATTGCTGACAGATAGCAGACAACGATAAGAATGTTGCAAAGCTGTACAGTAGACTCCTCAGGAAAGAGAGCCTGGTAGACAAGTGGCAACAATGAGAGGACGTTGTGTACAACTCACTGACTCAACGGTGAGGAATTGGAAATTTATGCTCATCCTCCGAATGCGGACGCGGAGAGCACGGCCACAGCTCATGCGCCACAGCTGCTTGATCAGTGATGGAATCAGGTGAGTATCACCAGTCACCACCCACTTTCACATAGTTAAATTCTCGCTCGCCGTCGATGGTGAAGTCTGCATCGTGCTTATTGTTCGTTGGTGTTTAATCAGCTGGACTTCTTATATAGGGACCATGCAGCTGCCAGCAGCAGATCGACCTTGATGAGAAGCCCCTGAGCCGTACGCGGACATAACCACGTTAAGAGGACGCAGCGTTTGTTCAAGCGGTCATGACAAAGATGATGGCTGAAGTCGATGCCGACGTCGACGACTCGACCAAGTATTGTGGCTCTTGTTTTGGTTAGAAGCGAAGAAAAGCTGATCGTATCCTCCTTCAGCTTTCCGCCTCAAAAGCCACGTTCCGTGTTTCCTCTCTGCCCACAAAGCTTCATCAGCGTCAGCCCAAGGATCTACGTTTGCCGTCTTGACTTGCGCAATATTGTCGTGCATGTTGTTCTTTCGTGCCACAGCCATCTGTGCGTTCAAATTTGTGGCATAAAAAAAAGAGGCTATCGTCAGGCACTCAACGCTGTCTCATTCCGAGACCCGAGTTGTGCAAAGCGTCAGACAGGACACAAAGATAAAAGCCCTGGAAGTTCCGCATGTATGTACATGACGTGCAGGTGTTTCCTACTGTATTATCTTCTCCCTGTCCACTGCATTGAGTGCGTTTCTTTGCATTCCTCGATGACCCTTTTCCCCGCATGATTTATTTCTCTCTATGGGCACCACCGAAATTCTAGACTAACGACGTTAGTTTCTACGTTGTTGGCCCCAGCTGGGCGCCCAAAGGCGCACCTTAGATCCTCCGGCGGAACGACGGGAAACCCTCGCGTTCGATTTCAACAGCGAATAGGTTCTCTCCCGCTGAGCCTTGGCCAAGGAAACATTTGTTTGAACAATGATGCCGTTTCATTGGGTCCAGTAATTTGTCCTGCTTCCGCTAGCGAATCCTGCCGCGCCTCTTTCGGAATATGCAGCAGCGGAAGGTTTTGTTTAGGACCCTGATACTTATGATTGCCCCTTTGAAAAAGACTTTGCTCCCCATCGTAGGACGGCCGCTGTATTTCTGTAGTTGGGGACGAAGCTCATCGACGCGCGTGTACCGACGTCGCACCGCGCCGTACAAGACTACAAGCGCATTGTTCCAAACGGTGTCTGCGTCGTTCATAAGGGTTACTGCTTGCTTCTTCCCTCCTGATTTAAGCGTAAGCTCGACTCCTTGGCAAGACAAAGTAAGCTATTTGCGCGAGAGAAAAGGCTTGGAAATGTTACTCCGGATGCCCCAGCTAGCGTGACTCGTGTTGTCCTAACTAATGGCCCACTTCCCCGCGTTTGGTTTAGATCTTCTGATCCTCGAGTTCACTCTCGCATTCGAGTCGTAAATTTGCAGAGGAGCCGCCAATCTTTCGATAGACATTAAATGAATGTCCTCTTGCCTCCACCCCCCCAAGGTCTGATTTGACGTTATGCTCTCGACCTTCTCTCTTCCTGATAATAGTTAGGGTCACCCGACCCTGACCCCGATCTCATAGACCTTGTTGTTCTGTTACTCGAATGATCTTCTTTCTTCGTTGAAAATGGCCTCTTCTCCTACTTCTACGTTGGTCGCCCTGATCCCTGCTCCGTCCGGATATGTGGTCAACTTTGACGACCCACAAAGAAAAGCAGTTCCTGGCTGTTTCTGGATCACATCGATTGGTCTTGTTCTGGCAACATTCTTCTATTTCATGCGTGTATACACAAAAGTGCGTATTGTGAAGGATTTTAATGCTGAGGACTGTACGTGATTCCACTTTCGCAACGTACATGCCTCGTGAGACTGACTTGGATATACAGGGTGCATAACGATATCATTTGTAGGCCGAATGGATGGATACATCACAAGACAGTGGAACTGACCCGTTCCAGTTCTTCAGCATATGTACACAAGCTTTGCTCTTCAGTATGCTCCGGCCTCTTCGACCAACCTTCCGAGGTTGAAATATTCAAAAATAACTAACACACCATCAGATTGCTGGGCGACCAAGACTTGCATGGTATGTTCACAAACTTCGGTACAGACTTTACGAGTTTAAGCGCTGTGGTCTCCATATGTTGTCTGCGCCGTGGAAGCTACTCCGAACGATTGTGTACCTTTTGGCATGGCTCTAACAACTTGAACAGGTTCATGCTTGGGAGATGCCTATCTCGACCTACAATAGATTCGCTGCCGTAAGTTCTCGTCACAAATCGATCCTGTCGACGGTTGCTAATCCTTGAATAGATTACAGTAGCTTCAGCCTCTCTCTATGTTTGTCCGCTCCGTCCACGCTGCCAACGATACAACTAACCGGTCTGATCGTCAGGTGCCGTGCCTGACTTTTGCCAAGTATTCCCTCTTGCTCTTTTACTACCGCATGTCACATCTGCGCTGGCTAAGAGTTGTGAGTGTGGCGGTCATGGGCTTCATCACTTGTTACAGCATCGCCAACATATTTGCACTCATTTTTCCGTGTCACCCAATTGCAAAAACATGGGATGTCACAATAACAGAAGGATCTTGCATAAATCGAGGCGCGGTCTACATTGTTACTGCTGTCACCAACATTGTTACGGATTTGCTTCTCCTCATTATACCCATTCCCATCGTTTGGAAGCTGCAGATGCCGTTCATCCAGAAGATCGGCTTGGTTTTTATCTTCATCGTTGGATCCCTGTAAGTCTATTTCCCATTTCTTTGTAAAAGAATACGTTGCTGATTGACGAAAGCACCTGTATTACTAGCATCGTAAGTTTGCATGCTAGGATCATGGTTGTCTGCCTCTAACCTACTGTCTAGGTTCGCTTGACCACTTTGCTGCCCACGCTAACATCCGTCGATCAACCATGGGCTGTGGCTATCCCAAGCATTTGGGCCGGCGTCGAAGCCAATCTTGTCATCATCTGCTGCTCCATACCCTCCATTCGTCTTTTCATTCGTCACTTCGCGCCACGACTCATCGGTGAATACTCTTTCAGTCGCACACGTGCAACGGGTACGAGTGGGAACGGGCGCAATACACTTGGCAGCATGGTCCACGACAAGTCGAAGGCACGGTCGAGCTATGGAAGAATGGGTACTTCTGACGCCGACGTCGACGTTGAGCTGCAATCTACGGCTCCAAAGGTCTGGAGCGAATGCCACCGCGCTTCTACGGGAAAGCGCGATGAACATGTCACGTATATCGAGGACTCAACACCGCCTAGCACACTCAATGAGGAAGGGATAACGGGTATCATCGTAACAAAGACGTTTGGGTAGCTAAAAAGAGCCTTTTGATATGGATGTTAGATGTAGAAATAGACCTGACGTCGGGACAGGCCAGAACCTGCTATCCGTCAAATTCTCTGCTTTCGCATTCACATCAACCAAAGCGTGGAGTTTCAAGCGATATCCTCTCGAACCTGGCATCGCATCTATGTAAGCAAGTGAATGCAAGATAAAATCACGCTGCGGCTGGCTCGCCTTGAATTCGTGCGGAAACGTTTGTCGCGACAGGGAGAAAAAAGTTCTGCTAAAACGTGGTCTGACACGAAGCTTTGACGCTCGGTCTAAGCAAGCAAGCAATCATGTTCGCGATGTTGTTGCTGCGTCGAGGCACGGGAATCTTCTCGGTGCTCTTCGACCGTTCTTTCAATGGGACGTTTGGCTTGCCTCGTACGCTGCGCTGAAGATTTCCTGCCGTTCCCGCTGTGACCAGCAAACACCAGAAGCGATAATGTACACCAAACAAGGCTGAAGGCCAAGGGCCAAGACGACGATCGCAATGCTTTCCTTTTCTTTATGCGTCCGCGTTCAGACGAAGGTCCACTCGCGACAAGCTCCCAAATCAGCTCGTGCTAGTTAATGAAGAATTGGGCCATGCTACTGTGACGTTGAGGATTGCTGACGTGCCAGCACTGTCACGCAAGATTCGAATAATCATGAACAACCTCAATCCGCACGATCAAGTCGTCTTTTACATCCCAATATTCTTTCCAACTCATCGAATTTCGGAGTTGCGGGTGAAGAGTCCAGGGGTAAAACCACCTTCGGCAGCGGAAAATAATGTGGGAAATGCAGCTACAAATTTGCGAGCTTAATGTAACGTCCAAAATGCCAGGGTTGGAAAGCAGTAGAGTATGCTAAGTTCTCAAAAGTAGAAGCGCGCAATCGTCATGTAAGCATAAATTTGTTTTGTTTGAACAAAGTTAGGGGTATCATAGAATATCTTGTGTGCCATCATAAGCTGCAGGCGGTTACGCTTCTCACACGTATAACGTATTGAGAAGTTCAAATGCCTCTAGAATGCTTGGGAAGCATTTTTTGACTCATCTCGCACCTGGTGTATATGTCATCCGAATGCTGTCACTGGGGTACTGCATTGTCGGCCCTGCATTCTGTCGTATCCGATTTTCTCTATCTCTAACCTCACGCTCGTTTTGAATCGCCACACAAAGACAGCAGCAGCAGCACGAGTCGCGAACATCACGTGTGAAACTTCCCTGTAGCTTATATACGTGGCGAATACGCGCTCGGAGCGTAAGAGGGAAGATGCCTGGCGTTTCGTATTATAAACTGAACGAGCACATGTAAGCAAAAAGGTGAACGTACAGCACAACCCACAAAGACCAAAGACAGCCATAAGTCCGCATCTGCAGTTGCAGTTCGAGAACCCTAGCAAATCTGTTGGGTCCTTCTTCTCAGACCTCCTCTCCAATCTGTATGCGGTTTTACTGTCCAAGATACACGGGAAGAACAGGCCGGTCAAACAAGTGCACACGTCGGTGTTGCACTCACACAGAGAATGGATGAAGGGGCTCTTGTCGCTCACTGAGCTGCTCAAGTTCTGCATGTTCGGGTGCGTGATTTGACCCGGCTGATGCATCTCCGGTACCATACCGTTAGGGCCGGAAGGGGCATCTGGAGTGAAGACAAGGTGTGTTGGAGAAGTGAGGCAATGCGGAGAGTAAGGGACCTGAACATGGTCTGATTGGACGGGAAATGACTTTGTGGAGAGTTGTAGCTTGTAGCGTTCGTCGTTCTCGGTGCTTATTGGTACAGCAGAGTCACGTTGTCGGACTTGTGCGTCAGGATTGTTATGGACCTGCGGTTGAAAAGCATGCGAATGTTGTGTCTGGTATGCTGCTGCTTGCGAAGGTTGTCGAGGTTGCTGTCGCGGAGACGTCGTCTCTGCCTGCATGCCCTGTGTCATGACAGGAATAGAGAATGCTGGATGCGGGCGTTCTGGCTCTGGCACGCCGTATGGTGAGCTCGTCTGTTGCGGGACTGCCAGTTGGTGTTGAGCTATTGCGCTCATACTCGCCGAGGGAGGAATTGTGTACGGTCCTGACATTGGAGAAGAGCTGTTTTGGACGTGATTTTCGTCAACTCCTGTCGCATCTATAGGCGTGACGACCTCATGCAGTGTCTCCTGCTCCGGATTGAAGTTCTGCGCTCTGCCAAAAATCGCCGGAGGTTGTGCATCAATTGGGGTTTCCGTGTACGAAAATCGCCGATTATCTCTTCCTTGGGGCGTTGCTTCTGCATTACTCGTATTTATGCTTAGCGGCGAGCGCCCGCTCGTGTACCCTCCTGAATACATTCTCGCTCTTTCAAAGTTATGATGTTCAGGGCTTTAGTGGCATGATATAAAAGCCAGAACAGTGATCGTTATGCACTGTAGGCGCCGCTCCTCTTCTAGTGCTCCCCCGGCAATCCGGAATGCTTGCGGTTATGAACAAGGGAGCTTCACGGAGATCGATCACGTTGTTCGCGACAAATAGGAATTTCGCATGCAGGAACAGAGCAAACAATGCGCTCTCAAAAACTGGACGCGTAAGCTGCGGGAGCAAATGGACTGCAAGGAGTAGCAGAAGCTACCATATCAGCGTAGGTGATACATCAAAGCAAGAGAGCGAACCGGGGGAAGTTTGGAACTTCACAACCACGAGATGTCAGCAAGTCAGCTACTGGAAGCATCGTTCGTGCATGGCTTGTCCAGGAGAAACCACTCGGGCCAACGTTTGGTTGGCGTTGGAGCTGCCCTGCAGGTTCTGACCTGTGATGAGCACTGTGATGCATGATCTCATTGGTTGCGGTACCTGACTCGCCTGGTCACGTTCGTGCCGAGCTATTGGCTTTGCGGAGCTGGGCACTGAACGGGTGTCAAAGAATGTGGCAAAATTATACTCAAATGGCTAAAATGCACTTCGCCATGTCAATTTTCGTGTGCGAGAAAGGCGAGCTAGATCGAAGCGCTGACCGATTTCGCAAAATTTGAGTTGATGTTGTCAGTAAACTACGAAGCACTCCGTGGAGTGGACGCACGTGATTCTTGTTAGCGCATTCTTCTTTGGAGGTGGAAAACACGGTAAGCTTCTGCTTCATACAGTTCTGGGATGACCCATGAGATATATCATTAAGTCGCAATCATTTGAAGTGCCTACTTAGAGAATCATGCAGCTCCTTGCTTAGTTTCTGTTTAAGATCGCACAACGCAATCTCAGCGAAAGTTAACGCTATCCTCGCCTGATTATAAAAGCAGACTAAGACACGACTTCCTTCAGGAGGCACAAGAACTCAACATCGAGGGGATGTGTCGTACATGTCACGCTTCTGCTCTCAGGACACGTCATGCAAGTGAGAAAGACAGCATATCGGCGCCTGGAGTTGGATGCTGCGTAACTGACAGCGCCGTGGTCGCACACACACGTCAATGTGGCAGCTTGGCTTTCCAGACGTTTCGCAGCAGACCAGACGAGCTTTGAATCAACTTTAAACAGCGTTTTGCGAGTCGGAACCGGATGGTTCTTGGTAAATAAGCGAAACAGACAGTCCATAGAATCCTTCAGCCTTGTGCGCAAGGCCGTCTCTTGGCCGCAAGCGGAAGCATAAGGGTCACATGATGCGGCTGAGAACGACAGACTAAGGTGCCGTGGTTGAGGCTGGACCAGCAGGCGAAACTCGGATGGAGGCAAAACGGCGGTGAGAGCAGCGAAGAAGCCAGCGTGTCTTGATGCTTGTGGCCACGGTCATGAGGCGAGCGCGTGTGTGTGTTTGTAAGAAGGCACAGGACGATAGAAACGGACGGAAGCTGGTGGATGCAGTCTGAGGCAACAAGGCGTCGAGGCTCTGGCATCAGCGCAAAGTCCGACCCGTAGGCAACGCTGGTATCGTCACTCATCCGCCCAAGCAGGGAGCCCGTGCGTTGTGTGAACCAGCGCAGTGCGTACCTGAGCTTCCACCTCTCGCCATCGCTGTCGTCGGATCACTCACTCAACACTTCAGCCTCCTTAAAACCTAGTGCCTGATCCGCTGCACAACACATTCTTCTTTCACACTTCCCCATCCGCCGTCTCACGTATTTCCTTTCATCCTCGCAATCAAGTCCGCGTTCGGGGCCCAACAACTGTATTCGCAACAGATCATCACCACATACTCAGACGCCTCAGATCCAAACATAACAAATCATCATGTCGGGCGAGCCAGATCACTCGACCAAGAAGAAGGTCAATCTCGACAAGTGCGTACAACTTGACTACGATATATGCAGCCCGTATGATCCATACTAACCTTCTATCCTTAGCGATCCTTCTGGTGCTGAGCACCGAGAGCATGACGAGACTGCAACGGCTATCCTCAAGAAGAAGAAGAAGCCCAACTCGCTGATGTATGCATCTCTCCTGTCTCCAAGGCATTTTTTGAGCTGCCGAAAGCTAACGCTACGTAACAGAGTGACTGACGCCACCAACGATGACAACTCCATCATCGCCTTGTCGAATAACACCATGGAGACGCTCCAGCTGTTCCGTGGCGACACAGTCCTGGTCAAGGGCAAGAAGCGACGGGACACCGTCTTAATCGTGTTGGCAGACGATGATCTCGATGACGGTAGTGCCCGTATCAACCGTGTGGTCCGCAACAACCTTCGAGTCAAGCACGGCGACATCATCACGGTGCACCCGTGCCCGGACATCAAATACGCCAAGCGTATCGCCGTCCTTCCATATGCCGACACCGTCGAGGGGTTGTCCGGAAATCTCTTTGACGTATTCCTTGCACCATACTTCCGAGAAGCCTACCGGCCAGTACGCCAGGGCGACACCTTCACAGCCCGAGGTGGTATGCGGCAAGTTGAATTCAAGGTCGTCGAAGTCGACCCACCAGAATATGGCATCGTCGCTCAAGACACAATCATACACTGTGAGGGCGATCCTATCGTTCGTGAAGATGAAGAGGGCAATCTCAACGACATCGGCTATGACGACATTGGTGGCTGCCGCAAGCAGCTTGCACAGGTCCGTGAGTTGGTTGAATTGCCACTGAGACATCCACAACTGTTCAAGTCGATTGGTATCAAACCTCCTCGTGGTATTCTCATGTACGGCCCTCCTGGTACTGGTAAGACGCTAATGGCTCGTGCTGTGGCCAACGAGACCGGTGCGTTCTTCTTCCTCATCAACGGTCCCGAGATCATGTCCAAGATGGCTGGCGAGTCTGAATCAAACCTGCGCAAAGCATTCGAGGAAGCCGAGAAGAACTCGCCTGCTATCATCTTTATCGACGAAATCGACTCGATTGCACCCAAGCGTGAGAAGACCAATGGTGAAGTCGAACGACGTGTCGTCTCGCAGCTGTTGACTCTCATGGACGGCATGAAGGCTCGTTCCAATGTTGTCGTGATGGCAGCCACCAACCGACCCAATTCCATTGACCCTGCCCTCCGACGCTTCGGTCGCTTCGATCGTGAAGTTGATATTGGTATCCCCGATCCAACAGGTCGTCTCGAGATTCTACAGATTCACACAAAGAACATGAAGCTTAGTGAGGATGTTGATCTCCCCACGATAGCTGGCGAGACCCACGGTTATGTCGGTTCTGATCTTGCATCCCTCTGCTCCGAGGCCGCCATGCAACAGATTCGTGAGAAGATGGATCTAATCGATCTGGATGAGGACACCATCGATGCCGAGGTACTAGACTCGCTAGGTGTGACCATGGACAACTTCCGCTTCGCCCTTGGCGTCTCCAACCCGTCTGCTTTGCGCGAAGTCGCCGTTGTCGAAGTTCCGAACGTTCGCTGGGAAGACATTGGTGGACTTGAAGATGTCAAGCGCGAGCTCATCGAGTCCGTTCAGTACCCAGTTGATCATCCCGAGAAGTTCCTCAAATTTGGTCTATCGCCATCACGTGGCGTGCTGTTCTATGGTCCACCAGGTACTGGTAAGACCTTGCTCGCCAAGGCCGTTGCCAACGAATGTGCCGCCAATTTCATCTCGGTCAAGGGTCCCGAGTTGCTCTCCATGTGGTTCGGTGAGTCCGAATCCAACATTCGTGATATCTTCGACAAGGCTCGTGCAGCTGCTCCATGTGTGGTCTTCCTTGATGAGTTGGATTCCATCGCCAAGTCTCGCGGTGGCTCTGTTGGTGACGCCGGCGGTGCCTCTGACCGTGTCGTCAATCAGCTTCTGACTGGTAAGCTTGAGGATCTTCTTTGGCTGATGGACAGTGTCGCTAACAACGAAATTTAGAAATGGACGGTATGACATCAAAGAAGAATGTCTTCGTCATCGGCGCAACCAATCGACCAGAGCAGCTCGACAACGCTTTGTGCCGTCCGGGCCGTCTTGACACCCTGGTCTACGTTCCCCTTCCTGATGAAGCTTCTCGCGTTAGCATCCTCAAAGCTCAGCTGCGCAAGACACCCGTCGCCCCAGATGTTGATCTAGAGGCCATCGCTAAGGCTACGCATGGCTTTTCGGGTGCTGATTTGGGTTTCATCACCCAGCGTGCTGCCAAACTCGCCATTAAGGAGTCCATCGCTTTGGAGATCCAGCGTGCGAAGGAACGCGAGGCCGCGGGCGAAGATGCTATGGACGAGGATCCCGATGCTGCAGATCCCGTTGCTGAGCTTACAAAAGCACACTTCGAGGAGGCAATGCGCCAAGCAAGACGTTCAGTTACGGATGTCGAGATCAGGCGGTACGAAGCTTTCGCTCAATCTATGAAGAACGCTGGACCAGGCAGCTTCTTCCGCTTCCCGGATGCAGCAAACACAGCGGCAGGAACAAACGGCGATGGGCAGCAATTTGGAGATGGTGGTGCTGACGATGATCTTTACAACTAAAGTTCCCTCTAATTTGTAAGATCCAAGACATTATAAGCTGCATGGTTAATGCATGGGAAACGATCGGAAGATTCTGTAACTGCTTCCCAAAAACGTTCTGACAAGCTCGTTCATGTACGAAAGGAAGGGGATTACTGCCTACTGTTGAAGGGTTTCTCCACGATTGGCGTTATCTCATGGAGAGTACTGTAAGCATTCTAGCACGTGACGGGGGGATTTGGTCTCCTCAATTCAATAGACTGGGTTTCTACTTACATTCATTAACGCCCCACTGCGACGCATGATTCGGATAACGAAGATACATCAAATATCTCCCTTGGGAGTTCCATAAGCCTTTGTTTTCCCAGTTGCGTCTATCCAAGCCCCTTTTCCCTTAGTGTATACTTCTATGACCGCTGAATTATCGAAGATGAGGCAAGAGTGATGTGCGGGGCTAATCTCAGGCCAAGCCCGTGGTTGAGCGCGAAGCATGTCCACCTGCAGAAGGTGGACTTTTGCCAGCACCGCACATCAACGACAACTACAATGACGTCCTCATTCTCATTTTACCGTACGAAACATGGCAGTCACGCGATTTGCCGCCGTGTCTGTGGTACGGATTTCATCACTCTAAGATTACATGGCACGTTTAACGTGTCTCGCATCACGACTTGGCCTGGTGATGGACGCGACTCTCATCGATGTCAATGGCCTGTGCAGTTTGTTCTACAATCCAGGCGAACACAAAGCGGCAAGAAGGCGCGACGTCCAACCAGTTACGATGTTTTTCGAGTCCCGCGAGCCCACGAATCTACGGTTCAGAATGTCGATCACCTCCCAAAGTCGACACCAGTCTCTGGTGTCTAGTGAGTATAGGTTATGGCGAGGCTTTCGAGATTTGCTGATTCTTATGCTGAACAACAAGAAGGATTGAAGCCACTGTGGGGAGGTTCTAGCAAGACAGACCTGGGACGAGACTGTCCGACGTGCAAGCTCACGTTTCTCAATTTGTTGCGCAGTTCTGCTGTAGAACTGATTACGACCTCCAATTTCCTCGTGCAGCTTGCGTAATTTTGTGTTCAACGCCTTTGTAGCAGTTTAATTCGTTCTCTCTGATTCTTTCGCTGATAGCCTATCCAGCCATAACGCAGAGTATATATAGCAGCGCCATTGGTGAAAGCGGGAAATATCAGTGCGAAACACTCCATGATTGCCAAAAAGGAAGTACACTGCCAATGCGGAAGGCAATGGTCTGAATTCAAACGCGCATCATTGATAGCTCCTTTTGCTATCAAGTTCGCATTGTCTTGAAAGAAATTTGCGGGGAAGGAGAAGCACTACATCTCACTTTACTTTGTCGAGAAAATACTAGAGTATAATGGAAGAGTACTTGGAGGATGCCAAGCCAAATGGATACCATAAAATCGAAGAGCAGCCGAGCAAGACGAATGTCTTCCGTTGCAATGAGCAAACGGAGTTCTGGCGGACAGTAGGAAAGATCCACAATGGCTAATATAATGACGACGGCGCGCAAACACTTCCTTACTTTCAAGCTTGAGGTTTGGAAACCGATGAGCTAGAGATTCCCACATCTCATCCAGAAGAAATAAACGAAAACTAGTAAACCCCTAAGATGCAGTGCGGCAATCCTGTTCAGTTTCCAGAAACACGGTCTAAAGATTGTCCAGCAAAAGATGATGGTACCTAAATGGAATTTGATTTGGTGCAAAAGCTCATAATCTCGAGAGGATAAGTGGCAGGACTGGAGAATTCGTAGGTGATAGGTGCTGTTCATCTTCGTCCAGCTTGGTGTGATACGAGCAGTTCTTACTACCGCCGCGGGCGCAATCATATTCCAACTGCCGTCTATGAGCCTTACGAACAAACATTCATGATCAGTCAATTCACCAAAACATTCGCACCCCTTTCACGCGTTCATCGCCGGCCGCGTCGAACAAAATATACAGGTGACATACAATGCGAACCAAGACGAGACGGAATTCGGCCCGGATGACCTGCTCTTGGCCAGTTACGAGACCTTTATAACAGAAGTAGCAAATGTGGGTTTTGCCGGCTACTTTTTCAGTCTGCCAGACTAGTATTTTACGCCTGTTTGCAATCCTTCATGTAGTTCGCACACTTTCGTATGGGTTGGAAGCTGCGCAGAGACTTTGGTAGCAATTTCCAGCTTTACAGTACCCTGTACTACAAGGACGAAAGTCGATGCTCCGCTGTCCTCAATCGGTCCTAGTAGCCGCTGGACCTAAGCAAAATGTTCGAGTTTGAGTCCATTTCCGGACGCGTGGGAGTTCCACTTTGAAGAGTATTCTGGCTGGCCCCATGACATACACGAAGGGAACGCGGAAACTCCATCTGGGATCTGCACGTAGTTGTTGATTGGGTTCAGGGCTAAAATTGTGTGCCACATTGGCTTAGGTGAGATTCTCAAGGAGTCGTTTCATAATCGTGTGAATGTAAAGTCTAATAATGGAAAATGCACAAATTTGGCTGAGAGCCGATGTTTTGTCGGCTTGGAATGACCCTAAACACGAGTGACAAAGAATCCTTGAAGAACGATGAAATCTAAGAAATGTTTGTGTCGTAATTAAAACCAAATTGCATTTACAAAGAAGCAAAGTTTGACGGGGTAATTTTGACATTGTCGTCTAAGGCAGCATCGTCTTCATCCCTTAAACGCTCACTTACCTGTGATGCCCGCCCTCAGGTAATATGGGAGAGGATAGAATGAAGTGTTTCTAGCCTCCCTACGAAAGAACTGGCCATCCGCTCGAGAAGTCGATCTTGTTTATACCTAGAAGCTTCTGACTATCCGCAAGACCCACGGTCGGATCAGCATAATGATAGTATAGAACAGGGCCTAAGTTGGGCACGTTATAGACGCCTTGTCCGCCAGGTCCATATACGCTTCCGTGCGATGCGAGGACCTCCGTGCCGCCACTCTCTAGGCAGTTAACGCCGTGTTCGTCCACGAAACTGCCTGTCGGGCTCTGGCTCCTGCAGACGAAGATCTTGTACTCCTCACCAGGCGCCGGCAGACTTTGGTCATAGCTACAGCACACGCCGGAAGAGAAAAAGAGATAAAAGTAATTATTCCAGCTGAAGAGATACGAGCCTTCGATGTAGTGCGCTCCGGAAGCGTTGTACGCCAGGTGATTGAACCGCCAGTCCGACGCAATTCTCAAAGGGGGTTTGCTCATCTCGTGCTGGAAAATGTCATACCAGTATGAGCCAAAGGTAAGCAGGATGTGGTCGCCCAAAATGAGCAGGTTGGGGTCAATAGCATTGTACTGGTTATTCGGGATTGACTCGAGGCCGGTGGAACCGTGGTCGGTCCAAGTATCAGCGTCTAGCTCGGTGCTGGTAGCGACGCCGATCGCACTCGTCTGGCTGCCCAGCACGGACACAGCATAGTACAGATAGTATGTGTCTCCGATCTTGGAAACGTCGGGTGCCCACACGTCACAATTGCCGGGAAGATCAATTACGGAGCAGTTGGGAAGAACTGAGCCGCGGTATTCCCAAGGACCTGTCTCATCGGGCGCCGAATAGATGGAGATGCGATTGGACGTTGAGAAGCGGAACCAGGTGCCATCATCGCGCTGAATCAGAGCGGGATCTTGCGTGTTATTGCAAACGCCTGAGCACGGGAGAGGATTAGGATAGTCAGCGAGAGACTGCCATACAAGCGCCAGCAAGATGCTGAGACAGATGATAGGCCTCATAGTAATGATGCTAATCTGCAGTATGGCAGGAAATGAACGATAACTAATAAATTGTAAAAGAACATGAAAGTAGAAAGAAAAAAGACAGAGTTCAGCAAGGCAGCAGCTACTTTACATACTTCTCAGCGTAATGCTTACAGCGCTGGATTTAAATGTTGATCAACAAAGCAGGCGGAGTTGCCCACATAGCCCAAGAAGATGTGCTAGACCTTTACTGGGGATACAAAGGAAGCCTGTGCGTGCATTCCGTACTCGTGGTGCACTCCGACTTACTCCTATTCCCCAGGATCTGCAGATATGACCGGCGTTCAAGTGAACTGCAAGAGCATAGACGCAAAATTAGGCACTTTGGGCCAGTAGGGAAATGCTATGAGTTTCTCGGCGCTCTGCTGCTCCACAAGACCCGGAGATTGTGTGCAGATGAGTGCCCAGATTGGGGTTGTGTGTTGTACGGAGAGAAAATGTAGAGCAGGGCTCCCATGGGGATCGTCTACGTCAGCTAGCTTTGAGCCAATGAGGCTTGGCTCGTATACTTCCTTTGGGCCATCAATGCATCTTTGTGTGCGTGACAAACGCTTTCAAAATCGAAGTACAGAGTGCGCTCAATAAGCCTTGGCACAGCCGATCAGATGATACTGTATGACGGATTCTCGTATTCGTCTGACACGATGCTGCACGTCCTGGACGACCCTACACATTGAGGGTTGAGACATAAACAATTGAATATCCGCACACGAGCACGAATTGAGCCAAAAAGGAGGAAAAAAGTCGAGAAGTTTGACCTGCTCGGCCAATTGCATTAATGGCCCTGGCGGCGACTTGGAATGCGAGCGGTTGCCGGCTGAAACAAGGACGGGTGCGTGAACAGCATGTACGCGAGGCCAGGTGGGAGGAATTGAATGCAAGGTGGCATCGAGGAGCGACGGAAGGCTGACATGGCCGTGTAAGGTGAAGTATATTCTAGACGACAGGACCGGCTCAAGTGTGGGATGAACAGCGACGAGGTTGTGGACAGGCTGAACAGCGACGTATGGACGGACTGAACAGAGCTGGAAGGAGGTTGGGATCGTCACGACGCCCAAATTTGGCCAGGACTGGAAGGCGGAAAGAGCAACCCCCCAGCACCCGTGGACGTGAGGAAGCGACGAGTCAACCAAGCGCCCCGGGAAGGTATCGCCGCAATCGCGAAGTCACGTGCACCAGCCTCGCTGCTCTCTCGCGCGCGTATCCGCTCGTCGACTTCGTGCGAGGAACAAAGAGACACCAAACACGATCAAAGCAATCGAGTCCTCGAAAAGGCACGAGCTGTTCGGAAGACAGGACGGCACGCGGAGCTTTCCGTTGTTCACGTAGAGCTGGGTGGACAAATGACGTGTGGGACGAGCACTTTTTTCGCGTCGTTTGAATGTAGCAGCCCACATCTCGCGCCCAAAAAGCAGGATTTGGATTACGATAATCTTATCAATCACAGCCCAAACAGCGAAAAACGAGCAAAAGCCGTGATCCATAGCGGCTCTTGCGCCAAATCCCGGATGATCCGGTGGCTGGCGTGATTGGAGCGAGCCTTTCGCTGCCTTGCGTTTGGTCACGGGCAGCGCGAGGTGGTGTCGCGCGTTGCACGTTACGGTATGGTCCATGCTCCACGTCGCGTCGGGCACCACATAAAAGCTGCTTTCTTTCTGCGCACAACAATCCAGCCATCTCCCATCCATCTTCTCGACGACTTCACGTCTCCATTCTTGCTTGTGCAACGTCTATTCAACCACTTTGGAGCAAAGTCATATCTGCAATGGCCACTCAGATCACTCCCTCAAAAAAGGTACGTCATTGATTCGCCACCACCGCTCCTCCGGCCATAGACGACGCGCTTCTGGTTGACACGCTTACACAGGCTGCGTCTGCCATTGAGAGCCTTAAGATGGGCGACTCTCCCGTAAAGAAGCTGGACTTCTCTGTCGCGGACAAGGAGAACAGCGGCGTCGCTGTCCCAGTTGCTGGCATTCCAGACACCGTGGAGTCCGCTGAGAAGACGGACGAGGCGGCCACTCCAGCAGTAGCTCCCACTATCAAGCCCCATGAAGCCAATGAGCCATTGCTTCAAGAGAATCCCCAGCGCTTCGTGCTCTTCCCCATCCAGCATCACGAAGTAAGTGCTCCTAAACGCGTCCAACGACGCGTCTCCACCCCCCTCAACGCGAGTCGCGACTCACCTCGATACTCAGGTCTGGCGCATGTACAAGAAGGCAATGGCATCCTTCTGGACTGCAGAGGAGATCGATCTGTCCAAGGACATTCCTGACTGGAACAACCGTCTTAACGATGACGAGCGCTTCTTCATCTCGCACATCCTCGCCTTCTTCGCCGCGTCGGATGGCATCGTGAACGAGAACCTAGTCGAACGCTTCAGCGCAGAAGTACAGATTCCAGAGGCACGCTGCTTCTACGGCTTCCAGATTGCCATGGAGAACATTCACTCCGAGACGTACTCGCTGCTTATCGACACGTACATCAGCGAGCCAAAGCAGAGGACATATCTGTTCAATGCCATTGACAACAGTAGGTTTCCTCCCGCTTCTGTCTGGAGCTTTGTGTTCAAGATCTAACCATGATTTCCAGTTCCTTGCATTCGCAAGAAGGCTGACTGGGCGCTCCGCTGGATCTCTGACAGCAACTCCACCTTCGCCTCACGCCTCATCGCCTTCGCTGCCGTGGAGGGCATCTTCTTCTCTGGTGCCTTTGCTTCCATCTTCTGGCTTAAGAAGCGAGGTCTCATGCCGGGCTTGACCTTCTCCAACGAGCTCATTTCACGCGACGAGGGTATGCACACCGACTTCGCCTGCCTGCTCTTCAGCATGATTCAAAATAAGCCGTCTCCAGAGTCGGTGCGTGCCATCATCACCGAGGCTGTCTCCATCGAGAAAGAGTTCCTCACCGAAGCCCTGCCTTGCCGCCTGCTCGGTATGAATGCAGACCTTATGTGCCAGTACATTGAGTTTGTAGCAGACCGCTTGCTCATGGCTCTCGGCAACACAAAGGTGTACAACGCGACGAACCCGTTCGACTTCATGGAGAACATCTCGCTGGCAGGCAAGACAAATTTCTTCGAGAAGCGCGTTGGCGACTACCAGAAGGCCGGTGTCATGGAGAACACCAACAAGCGCGAACAAGAGAAGAAAGGCGGTGCCGCCGTTGTCGATGCCCCCAAATTGATCGTCGGCGACTTTGCCTTTGACGAGGACTTCTAGAAGTATGATACTGCATGTTTTTTCCATTTGCATCTTGTGAGGTTTTTGGATTTGGGGCTTTCTTGAGTGGGATTGGCGTCTTGCAGGTTATACCATTTCACCTCTCTCTGTGTGTGTGCCTCTCTATCCTCATTGTATAGCTCTGTCGCGCTTTGAAGAACGGCGCGTGGCGACTCATTATGCATTTGTTACGGCGTTACGACGATGTGGAGGAAAGCTTGGATGCAATTATTGCCGTATGTGTGTATACGAATTGTGGCAGGGTAGACTTCAAGCTTATATCCATAATGCAAATACAATCTTGATCAAAGACCAAAGTCGTCTCTATCTTTTCTCTTATATTCTCATGAGTATAGCCTGATCCACCGTCTCAAGCGCGTCGAGGTCTATAGTGGAGGAAATGCTCTGAACATAGGCGTGAATGCTTTATGAGCGCTAGCTGGACGACCATTAAAGGGACACGAAAATCTGGTACCGACATTGAAAGATCAACAAATCTTTGTTTAACGGGATTCTTTTGGAGCCTATAGCTTCTTTGAGTGTTCTAAAGGGACGGAATGTTGTCACTGGCAAGGCTGTGAGGCGAGGCTAGCCCATAGTCTGATTGGAGGACTGGCCTGCGCGTTTGAAAATCAACTAGCCTTGGTGGGCTGGCAAACATAACCAAACATCAGTTTCTGGGGTAGCTACTGGCAACACCTTCAAACCCACCTGTCAAACCTCTACCCTCAAGGAATTGGCAACCTTCTAAGCCAAAATCTTGTTCCGTGCACGCCTCTCGCGATCGAAAACCTTTCGTCCTACTTCTCCGTCGACGCAACAGCCCCCACCCCCCCCTTCCCCATGCCAGGATGATCACACAATTTGCAGAATGGTCTGCTAACATTGCCGAAACGGCCGCACTGTCCACGCTTTCCGGGTCGAGCATAGGAATAGAGGCTGCCGAGTACCTGAACCGCATCCAAGACTTCAAGCTACCGCCCTCGCAGACGGCGGGCGTGCAGCCGGAGCCGCTTCTTCCTGCTCTGGGCGGCGTGCCGTTCGGCCTTGCGCGAGTGGTTCGAATCCATCTTGAAATATGGCGACGCCACGGCATCAAGCCTGTATTCGTGTTCAGCGGACTGAACCTGATCAAAGACGACTTTGAACCCAGCGAGCAGGCGGCGCGAAAGCTGGAGGAGGCGTGGAGGTTCTACGATGCAAACAACGCCCTCGCTGCCGTGGAGACGTTTAAGACGTCTGGTGCGGTCAAAGCACATGATCTGTACCGCTTCCTGCAGACGATTCTGAGGGAGGAGAACATCGCGTGGATGGTGGCTCCGTACATGGCTTCCGCACAAGTGAGTCACTCTGTGTTTCGTCTTTGTGATTTTTTCTTTTTGGAAGTTGCCAGTATTCAGGCCGCGATTTTCTCAAGGACGCATAAACATGGAAAGATGGCTGACTGAAATTGGCGCGTAGCTTTATTACCTCGCCAAAGTTGGCGCGACGGACACAACGTTCGCATCCTCGGAGATCTTCCTGTTCGACATTGAGGAAAACATCACAACATGGAATTTTGAGAACGACAGTTTCGTGTGGGTCAGGCGGAGAAACTGCCTGCAGTCTTTGGGCAACATCTCATCAGACGCGTTCGTGGACGCCTGCTTGCTGGCAGGTTGTGACCTGTGTCCTAGTCTTCCGCAGCTAGACTTACCAATCCACCGCAAACAACCCAGGCTCAAGAGCGCCGCGGATCTTGTGATGAATCTGGGACGAGGCACCGGCAACGGGGTATACCTGCACTTCCAAGACGACGTCACAAACAAAATGCAGGAACAAACCGATAGGTTTCGGAAGGCCAAGGTCACAGTCAAGCACTCCGTCGTGCTGACTATGAGTGGGAAGGCAGAGCCTCTTGATGTTACCAATGCTCCGGGCAAAATTCATGAGTTCATCGGCCAAAGGCTTCCAGATGAGCTGTACGGCTACTTCTCAAGGGGCATCATCGGGCCTCGCGTCCTCAATTGGCGAACCTCGGGCGAGTTCCTCATGCATCCACCTCTGGATGGCGGAGAGTCTAAAGAGTATCGCGACCTGGTCCGGCAGCAACTTACTCCTATACAAACACTTACAATTGGTCTGTTGGCCAGCCCATTGCACCACTACTATCAGCGAACGGACATCATCAAGCGTGTCTGGTTTGACAAGGATCATCCGGAGAAGATTGTCATGAAGACCGACTATGACAATGATAAGACCAAAGGTCTCATCGATAGTTGGAACGTGCCCCAGTCTGTTTTCGGCGAAGAGTTCAACAGGCACCCCGTACGTTTTCTAATTATGCCTTTTCCACGCACCCATGATCGCTAATGTTCTAATTGTCTTTGACAGAACTCGTCTCTCTTCGGTCTATGTGTCAAGTCACTCAAGAATAACGAGTTTGCAGCCCGAACCAAGACGTTCAAAAACAAAAATCGGCTGCTCATCTCCAAGGATGAACTTCTAGCGAATGCAATCTGGCGTATGCTGCGCCTTCGTAACTATATTGACGCCGACCACAATCTTACCTCGTCCGGGGAGATGCTGTACACCATGGTCAGCAACTTGCCCCTCGAGCTGCAAGAGTCAGCACTCATCGCCACCGAGCTTCTTCAGTATAACCGTCTGAACGCCGACATCACAGTGCCGTACACAGGCGTCCCTGATGCCCAAGCAGAGTCTGTCAAAAAGCAAATGTTGCTCATTAGCCGCATCGCATGCCTCGGCCCCCTGAAACACCAAGAAATCGGGTACACGGGAGTGCTCAGCAGGACAATGCTGAGCTTCGGCTGCGTCATTGAGGCGGTCAGGCAAAGCCTGAGGGATCTTCTGGAAGTGTGCTTGACCACCATGTTACTGAACGGGGATGTAGAAAGGGATAGGCCGGACTTTAACGAGCTAGGTCTCGAGTACGTTTTTCCATTTCCTTCAGAATATTCGTTTCAATAGATTTAGGGCCACTAACGAATGTGTCATAGCCTGCCACTGCTTCTCCCGATGTCATGCAGTCTAGGCGTCGCTGTTGCCTACCACCTCACTGAGTGTGCCAAACTAGACATGCGCTCACAGGCTAACCGCGAGGCGCTGCTGAATGATGAAAAGTCCAAGTTCTGCTACACCATTGACTTGCCGTCCAGCTTCGAGACAGCCTGGACCTTGTGGGATGCAGTGTACAAGGGCGTTGAAGCTGGCGACGCAAACAAGTTGGGGGCGGTAAAGGCAGCGTTTAAGAACGCCGACGAGTGGCTGAAGACTTACCGGTAGGTGAAGCCTCGACTAGTGCGGAGGAGAGTAGCTTCGGCAACTTGACGGCTCGAAACGGAGCCAAGGCAGCCTGAGAATTTTTGGAAGTGGGGGAACTTTGAGCATACCTCGCAAGTGGAACTGTAGCCGACAAAGGGGTCTGGAGTCTATTGAAGTGACGCATAGTTCTTGCGGCGATTTGATACAGTGAGGAAATACGTCAGATGAGAAAAGAAGATGCGGGACGACAAAAAGCTCTTGCGGACAGCTTGGCCTAACAAAGATTTCGAAGCGTCCCAAGGCGCTGCTCGGGGCTCGTTTTGCACAGGAGAACGTCAGTCAGTATCGAGAAAAAAACACGATAGCGTTTTTTGATGGGGGCATATCAAAAAGAGACACAGGTGTATTGGTGGGCTCATGAAGATCTGAAAACCACATTTCAATATCAACCATCCATCACTATGTCGTCTCTCCGCGGGCGATCGCTCCGAGCCTTCTTTTCTTTTTTTTCTTTGCTTTTTGCCATGGCGTCAACATCTCGTACTTAGCTCGTGACGGCTTCTCGCTCGCCAGGACCCAATGACTCCGCAGCGGCGGCCAGCTCTCGTCGAGCGTCTCTGAGTCACGGCGGAACTCGAGCGGATTGGCCAGAGCTTCCGCGACGCAAAGGTGTTCGAAGCAGCACGTTTCTTGTGAACCATTCGCAACAACTCATCGCCGGTCGATAATAGCTCAAATCCGGAAAAAGTCAAACGAACGAACGACTGCACTATCATTTTGAAAAAAAAAAACCTAAAAGGAAGGAAGCAAGAAAAAGAAAATTGGTTTTGAACTGTAGGCTGAAATGCTTCGTAAGTCTGAAGAATTCCAAGAACCTCATCCGCAATCTCGATGCGCTCTGCTGAGAAATTGTAGCAGACGTTTGTTGCGACATCCTCGGGAAACGAAGAGAGGAAGAGAAAGAGGAAGGAGGGGGAAAAAAAATATGGTAGGCGGTGGATTTAGCTCCTATAATGAAAAATATTCACCAATGCCAAGATCATGCCTTGCATCAAATTCATTACCACCACGGATACATTGCTCGCTGTGATATCGGATAGATATCAAAAGAAAAAAAAATCATTTTTTGCTCCCACTTGGCTTCTTGCCAACATTCGATCCCCACCTGAGGCGCATGGAGGTACCGCCTGACGACGGGCGTGATTGACCTTGGCCCTGGCCTTGATTGGAAGAGCTGCTCTGTTGTGGTTTGGGTTCGGCGAAACGGATGCTTGGTCCTCGCTGGTGGCTCGGTGCCGGCTTGGTGGGCTCGGCTGGCGCACCTCGAGGTCTGATCTCTCTGAAGCCCTGGCCACCCTCTTCTTCCTCGGAGGAGGAATCGTCACCACCACCTTCGAGCGCAGCGAGACGCCGTCTCCTTTCGGCAGCAGTTTCACCATCATCCAAATACGACTGGCCATGCTTTACAGTCGGTCGACGAGACGGCGAGGCGGAGGTATGCCTATCACCTCGAGACCGTCCACGAGGTTCGTCATGGGGTCCCTCGCTGTCTTCTTCCGCTATAACTTTCTGTGCCTGCCTTCGGCGTCGCTGTGCAGCGGTTTCCCCTCCACTGCCTCCGAGGTTGTATCGCGCAAGCGTGTCAGAAATAGGATGGAACGGTATGCTTTCCTCGTTTGAATCGATCAGAGCCAAACCATCCGGGCCTGCAGGACGATCTTGTTCCGTTGGAACCCTCTGCAAATGTGCAGATTTAACTGGGCGGCGCATCGAGCTTGTATCACTTGCCACTGCGCTTGAAGCTTCCCGCTTGATGTGGTCTGGCGCGTCCGACTCGTCTATCATGCGCTGTCGTGTCTTTGGATCAAGGCGGGACACAGCTTGGATGAAGTCGGCCTTGCTCATGCGGCGCCCGCTACCGCCAAGGGTGAAACGAATAGTTTCATCATCGTCGCCGTCATCTGCCGATTTCTTGTCCCCACCTTCATGAGATGAAGGGCCAGCTTCAGAGTCAGCACCTGGATGCTTGCGATGGCCCATGCCAACCCAAGTACCCATGCGTTCGAGGTTACGCCTGGTTGTCTGATCAAGGAAACTCGTCTTTCGGTCTGCACCAGGTCGAGATTGCGCTGGAATGTCGTACTTCTTGATGACCTCTCCGTCTTCGTCCTCAACAATGATGGTGTTGCCGAATTGATAGGCGAGTGCAGGGCCATGTTTCTTTTCCGGTCGAGACACTTCCTCCTTCTTTCTGAGCCCACTCAGAGTAGTCATACCACTGTACTTCTTCGTCTTCTCCAGCCAGCTAGATCCTGTAACATGAGCCGCAGAAGCAGATGCATCTGATTTTGACTCAGTGGCTCGTTTGGCTTCCTTCCCGATCTTATCATCTGATTTCGTGTCATCCTGCTCGTGCTCGGTCTGCGCTGTACCGTGCACCACATTCTTGTCGCGAATCAGCTTCTTGCCGTCTTCGATGATATGTTCATCTCTTTCCTCTTCACTCTCGCTCTGCTTCACCTCTCTCACTTCTAGAACATTTCCATCCTCGTCCTCAACAATGTCGTGATCTCCTTCACGATATACCTCCACTTCTGGTTCCGAGGCATGCTTGCGTTGACTACCTGGGGTTTCGTCACCTCCTAGAACCAAAGTCTCAGATTCCGACTGTCCGTTCTCAGGTTCAGAATTGAGCCTTGGTGCGGGTGTGATAGCACTCTGGCTGACAGGTCCACCTGGGCCAACCCCGGCATCCCACTTCTTTCTTCTCCTCGAGGCTTTGACACTTGATGCTCGGCTGGGGGCATCGTCATCCTTTAGTCGGCGCAAAAAGTTTCTGGGGATAGCACTTGGCGAGAGCATGCCTTCTTCAAGTTTCTCGTCAAGGTCAGACTCGGTGTCATCAGGACGTCTGAGAGACATGGAGCTTTTCGACCGGGATTGGATTCTCGGGAGTCGCTCCATCCATGAGGGACCTTCGTCGTTCCCTTTAGTAAACGAAACGCTGATTGCAAGAGTGTTGATGCGCCTTCCGAGAGTGAAGACCGCAACAGACGAGCCATGAATGACAATCGAGACAATAACGAGGAACGTTGTTATTGGCCAGATCATTTCAATGATGTTCATATGCTCAAAACCAGGCTCTGGGAGCACGGCTAGTGGCGTAGTGCCCTCGGTTTCCATCTCTGCACGAGCCAAGATAGAGACGAAGAGAGCGCCGACGCCAATAGGACCAAAATGCCCCGCGAAAAGTGCTTCGCGCCATGTTTTTATATCCGGTATGACTGGTTTGAGGAGGAGCATGATCGGAATGCGGCGGAACAGCAGCACGAGAATGCCAACGACGACCAATCTCCACGGTGAGATGCCCAGAATGTCAGAGTTAAACTGCTCCCAAGGTATAATTGTTCCAAAGTACACAAAGAACGCTAGGTTGATAAGCAAGTCAATGACGTTGGAAACGTGTGACTCCTCTGTCTTTTCCTGGAACCAACCGTCGTTACTGAAGCCCACACCACAAGCAAAACCGATGAGCAGGTCGTCCATACCAAGCATTGAACCAGACCCAGCACAGAAAAGCGCCAGCACAAAGTAGAAGACGAGGAAGGACTCCCGATCGATCAGGTCATGCTCGTGTGCGGCTCTAATTGCTCGTCGTGCGGCATAACCCACGATCACACCGTAAACGGCACCGAAGATGCACTCGTATAGAATTGTGTAACAAATCCAGTGGAAACTGACCTTCCCGGCATCAGGCCTATATCGGATGAGGTAAATAGCAAGGTAGACGAATGGGAAAGCCATGCCGTCGTTGCAGCCAGATTCAGCCGAGAGCAGGTCTCTCAGATGTTTTGGAACCCTCTTGGCGAACTTGCCTTTGCCAACAACAGAAGAGGCTAAGACGGGATCCGTGGCCGTGACACAGGCAGCGATGCAAAGGCTGTCCAGCCAGCTTAGGCGGTGCCCAAACATCCACCAGATGAACAATGAAGTCAAAAAATAGCCCCAAGTCATCACAGGCACCAGCAGGAGGGTGACACTCTTCCAGTGCTTTTCCATGTAATTCTTCGGCAATTCGACACCCACAGCGAAACATTGAACCACCAGGACAATGCGTGAGAACTCCAAGGTGATTTGGTCCGTGTTGCCCCACTCTAGAGGGTTGATCAGGTTGGCGGCGTGGGGTCCGAAGATGATGCCGCAGAGGGTGGCCACGGTAGCTTCACCGATGTACAGGCGCTCCTTGATCACGGACGAGCACAGCATGAACAAGCTGGTGAAGCCGCCGAGAATAATGTAGACCAGATGGGGCCTGTTGATATCGAGGTGTTCCCACGCCATTCTGGGCTGTGTGCAGTTCCTTTCTCTTTCGAGTGTTCGGAGATTTCAACGTATTTGGCTCGTGGCGCTGCCGGAATGGTGTGGCTCCTTCACGTAGGAATTATGGGATCTTTCCTGCGATTCAACGAGGGATCGGAGGAGAGTAGGCTGTACTCAACGCTCCTGCGACTGCTAGACACAAGGAGCGCTCGACACGGTAGCATACGTGGGTTGGTCGCGCCCTGCTCAAGCAGTTAGACTTGCAATGAATGCACAAGAGCGAGACTCTTTTAGGGGAATCGAGCAAAAGAGAACTTACCAGTCGCCGCTCCCAACTGTCTAAGTGTCTGTTGTATGAACCTCCGAAGAGGAAAAGGTTCAGTTTTTATTTTTATTCTTTTTAATATTTCAGAGAAGGTCAAAGAAGGTGACGGTAGATTCTCTGCGGAACAAAGAGCGTCAGCGGTTGTCCGTCTCAAAAAAATTCAACGGATTCGCGTCGCGAAAGAGCTATGACGACAGAAGCAAGCAGGGCCTTATGGCGGCGACGGAAACACAGGAGAAGTCGCAAAAACAAAACAAAAACACAATATCATTCGGAACTTAGCTTTTAGCTGCTTTAACGTGTCACTCGAACGGCGGTAACCAAGATGACACTCACCAGCAGCGTCCCCAAGAGCTCGCTAGACGATGACAAGAGCGATGCCGTGTGCCAATGCTGCTTGATGCTAAGAATAATTCCCGTTTACGGATCGGCAGTCCGGAGGAAAAAAAGACCCAGAGGACTACGACGATCTGAACGTCGTGGGGGCTCGGAAAATAAAAGCTGGGTGTGGACGACGACGCCGGCACCGCCCAAGAGCAATCGCACTCAACCAAAGGCTTCTCCGAATGTCACACAAGCAATCGCAAGAGGAGGCAAAGAGTGTCCAAGGCCTTGCACGGCGGGGACTCTGGAGGTATAAAGAGTATGGACGAGCATGAAGCGAAGGTCGTCTCCCGCCAAGCTGGATGGCTCGCTGGGCGGGCCAATGGCCTGGCTGTGGCGGGCGAGGGCCCAGCCGCTAATGCCGGCCGGCAGCCCTTGCGCGGCGGGGCCTTGTCCAGCGAGCGTGCGGCTGCGATAAAGGAAACGCCGACCCTGGCGTCGCCTTGCCAGCGCCCGAGTCGTCGCTGCTGTCCTGCCTCTGCCCCGGCGCCCCAGCCTGCGAGTCAATCACGCCGCTCGCCGCTCCCTGCTCCTGGTGCCTTCCTCTGCGCTCTGGGCTGTCCTCTGGCGTCTTGGTGCTCGCTTCTCTTCCGTCCCGTCGCCTGAGCCGTCGAGAACGATCGCTCCGGCGTCTGGCCTCGCCTCCGAGTCCTTCCGACTGCCCATTCGCTCGAGACGCCCAAGGGAGGGTTCGTTACTGACGCCATGGCCGTCTTGATACCAGCCCTGCAGCCGTGCAGAGCCCTCGAGGAGTCGTTCTCGATACGTGGGGTGTTCGCAGCTTGCAGCGTGGGACGTTCCGTTGGACTGCCCGAAACGTGCATGTCTTGCAGAGCTTGTGGAGAAGAGAAATCATGTTCACGCCGTGTCATAGGCTCAGATGGCCTGCTTTCAATATCCTTCACTAATACCGACCCAAGGCCACAGAGCCATGTCATCACAAGTTCAGCCATACGTATGCATCGCAAGCATGTTCTTAACTTTACAACGATCATTGGTTCCTGGCGGATATCGCCAGTATTCTTCACTAATATCACCAACTGAGCGTCGACCTGAAGCCTCGCACGTCGCCATATCTTGGACGACAAGCCTCCAGCTGACTGTGGGGGAGTGCAGCCCCAGTGTCGTGTGATGCAACTGAATTCTTGCCCAAGACGCATGCAGGCCTATCATAAATCCAAACATGTCTGCGGCCCTTCCTGTCGTGGAATCTTTACTTGCCAGTCCAGCAGCTCGTCGCAACCGCACGAAATGGCGGTCAGCAGGCAGGAAAAGTTTCTTGCTCCTCGTACATGTCACTTCCGAAGACTGCTTGCATATGTCGCTGCCAATCTGGACTCCAGATGCTGTTTGGCTGTCAGCGGCTCTGTCGTCCCGTTCGTGCCTCCGTTGACCGTTTCGCGATGCTGGCGAACGACGCCGCTTGGAATCGGTTCGAACTTGGCGTCGTCGACTGCGTGGCAAAAATATGCGATGCTATACCTGTCCTCGCCGACGTGGTCCTTTGGAAATATGACCCGATGCACGGTGCTCTTCAGCAAGCCATCCGTCCAGAAGTTCAGTGCGTCCCCAACATTGAGGAGTATGGGCACGTGTGGCTCGTTCGTGGGGTTGACAGGGACCGGATACCATCTCTCGTCCGGATCTCCGCCTCTAGACGTCAGGATTTCAAGTCCAGGCTGGCCAGGGCGCTGAAAGAGTAACGTAATGGTCCCGTAGTCGCTGTGTGCTCCCGCTCTGATATCAGTCTCTTCGTCGTACTTCTCCGAGGGCGCCAGCGTTGGATAATACAGAAGTCGGAGCACGCTCCCCGAGGGACCGTTTGCGGGGTCGTGGTAAGGCCGAAAGAAGTCCTTCCCGCCTGCGCGGCCATCAACTTGCAGCCCCATGGCAAACAGTTCAAGGACGCGATGGCACAGGCCCAAACACCGTTTCCAGAAAAGATCAAGCTGATCTGCGTTCTCGAGAAGCGGCGGTGGCAGCGGCTGTTGTGCTTTGCCGTCCTTGAACTCGTTCATGTTGAAGCACCTGGGGGGTGGGTAAATCAGTACGTCTTGCGAAGAGGTGAGACGGGCCACGCGATCACGAACTCACTCTTTGAAATCGCCCCTCTTCTGCTTCTCCGGATCAAGCTTTTCTGTGTTCATCCCGAACCAGCCGCTGTTTTTCCCCGACTCTCCTGAGCCTACTGCACATGTCTGCTTGATTTCAATCGGCGACTTGAAGAAGCGTGCGGACTGGAAATTGTGAGCCATGGGTGTCGACGCGAAGCGTGTTACTAGAGAACATACGAGGTCGAACAGTCTGTCAATCTCTTCGTTTGGGATTTCATCTTTATTATTCTTTAAATACACAAAACCGTGTGTGGCTACAGCGTCGATAAGCTGCCTTGCCGTATCCATGTCTGTGTTGGTCACATCTATGACCGGAAGCTCAATCGCACCACTGTTTTTTTGCGCCATGTCGTCAACGCAGGTGCTGTAAAATTAAACGCACATGTATAGGACGTGAAAAAGAAGTAGGGAATCATGAATATCTGGACTGCAATTCGCCTATGGCTTGTTGGCGTGTCGTCTGACGATAAGGAGATACGATTACATTACACCTTGGCAAGCGTATATCGGAGACCAGCGGCCCCGTCCCCATGCATCCACCTTCAAAGTCAGGGCCACATGAAAGGAATAGAACCTATGATATGACCCATCGATGCAAAAGGCTTTTCCGTCTCGCTATTTCAAGATCATGGAAAAAAGCAGCGTTGACAGAACAGCGCGTCACCCTGAGCTTGATGCAATTCTGTTTCTGAATACTCTCCAGGCTCGCTCACATGCATGTTTCGTGCAGGATGGAGGCCTGAGGCTCGGTTAAGGCAGCATGGCAGATTTCCAGATCGCGGATCAAAAACGCCGTAACCGCTACCTCGGCAGCGCATATCCCGCAAAAGCCCCGGACAGGTACCAGACGCGTGTGAGTTGTACATCAAACCCCTAGCCCGAAAAAAAAAAATTACTATGTAGCCAAGTCACTCCACGCTGCCTCGCGCAGAGTTCTGAGTTTTCGACCCACGTACACACTATGTCTTCGACCGCGTCGCTGGATCATTTAGCGCGCACCTCCTTTCCCTCCACACTCCCGACCGCGACCGTGTCTCCCGTAGATGAACATCCTCCTCCCTTCCCCGCTGGAAGCGATGAACCGGCGCGCCCGAGCACCATAAGCCTGGCCCTGGCCGAATCCGACCGCTTCGTCACGAGGGTGCTGAAAGTTCTCGCGACGCCGGGCGGCACCGACAGGGTGCTGTGCACGACGGCGTACACGCTCCAGCTCCTGTCCGCGATCATAAACAGCCGTCTGGACGCCGCCACCGAGAGGCTGGCCAGAAACCTCGCCGAGAAGGCGTCCAAGGCGCTCCTGCCCGGCGAGACGGTGGTCGCGACGTTCGAGCCCCCCGCGATCGCGCAGCTGCTCGCGCGGCTCGCCAACTCGAGCAAGAAGCTGGCCACGCTGATCTCGGATTACCGCATCTTCGTCCGCCTGTGGGGTCTGTTGGGCATATACGCGTGGGGCAAGAGCGTGTGGCTCGACCCGCCCAAGGACAAGGTCCTGCGCTGGATCGCGTACGCGCAGGTCCTCGTCAACGTGTGCTTCCAGCCGCTCGAGAACAGGGCGTATCTCGCCGGCAAGACGATCATCGACCGCGACGCGAGGGCCCAGCTGAGGGATTGGTGCTGGAGCAGCAGGTTCTGGTGTGCGAGCACCACGCTGGAGTTTGTGCGCCTGTGGAGGCAGAAGAAGATCTGGGAGGCGGAGGACCGGGCTGCGGCGAGCAAGGAGAAGCGACAAGGTCCGGAAAACACGCAAGCTGACGAGGAGGCAAAGGCTGCCAGGCAGGAAGAGGAGCGACTCTGGTGGAAGGATCTGATTGTGAATGCGGCATACTATCCGATGACCCTGCATTGGAGTCTGGAGACTGGTCTGTTAACGGATATGCAGGTTGGTATCTTGGGCATGATTGCTGGCGGGATGGGCTTGAGAGAAGCTTGGAGAAAGACCGCGTAGATTGATTTCTATTGTGTGGCAAGTTGATTGCCGAAATGCAGATTATCCAGGTACATAAAAAAGCAGATAGGCTAAGGAGCGGCCAACTATCTCCCCTGACAAATAGACTGTGTGGAATTTCTAGACTTTAAGGTTCACATTCCTCATACACGCGCCCTTTACCTGCAATCCATTGCTGCCTAACCTGCGGGTGAAGTTGCAGTTGAGAACAAATAGCAGCTGACCAGGAAACAGACCGAAATGACAATTCTTAGACCTGAGTAATGATGTCAGGAATCTTTGTTTCGACAGCTTCCTCTGTTAGCGCCACTCCTCCATGTACGAAAACCTCGTTGCTAGAAGCCGAAGCTTGACATGCGCCACTCTGCGGTGAGACGTGACCGCCCACTGAGTCTGAAAGCACGTTTGTGTGGATATGCTCGTCGGAGGCACTCTGGGCAAGTAACTTTACTTTAGTCATCATTACACGGGATGTCGGCATGACTGGGGGATTCTCAGCGTGATCGTCAGCTGTCTCTGTGCTAGAAACTTCGTGATGCCTGAGACTGTCGAGCATTTGATGAGATCCAGCATTGCGGAGAGGAGGGCGACGCACGCCCCGACCTACGGATATTGACGATTTGCTGCGCCATAGTAACTGCTTAGGAGTCTTCTTGTGCCTAAAGTGGTTGAACAAACCGTAATGAGATTCCTCCGTTCCATTATTTGATCGCACAGGAGTGTTATCGGGCTTCAATGACGACGAACTCGATGGTAGCTGGACTGCCGGCTCTTCTACACTATTTTGGGTAAGCCACTTTTGTATCATCTTGAGAGTGCCGGAGGTCGTGCCATCCAGAGTTTGCGCTACACTATTCTGGCGTGTCATTTGAGCAGGCGTAGCAGGTGAGTGTGTTGACGGCACCTCATACTCGCTTGCACCGTCGTCGCTGGAGGTGGTATACGATGTGCTGGTAGAGAAATCGTCCGAGCTTTCTTGCATCGTTCGGAAACGTGGATAGTACACTGGTCGAAGTCCCAGAGTCTCGACTGTTCTTTTCGTGGAGACAGGACGTTCCTGAGGAACAAAACGCTCGGTATCGACGTCGCCTATGACAGCAGCGCCAAGTGAGATGTACGCTCGATCTTTGAGATATGGTCTGCATGTCTGGAACGGATTAGGCCTAATTCAATAGCACACGACTCAGTCTCTGTGAGTGTCACTGCTGATGACTTACAGAGCAACATTTGAAACCACATTTCGGAATGACCTGCGATCGCTTTCGAAAATGGCCAAGTTTTTGAATTAGATTTGCTGTGGTGATTTGAACATCGTGTACAGAGACATTTTTACTCGGAGGATACTCTTCCTGATCTTGGGCTTTTGCTTTTCTATGCTTCACTTGGCTTCCAGTCCGGTGCCATGGTCCATCTTCACCTGCTAATTGTTGCTCCATCACCCGCAACATATTGATTTTCTGGTTTTTAAGCACCTTTGTTCTCGCAGTCAGTTTGGGTCAAAAAGTGCTCACATTCTCTGGGACAGATATATAAGTGCTGGACGCAAGCCACAATTCAATGAGAAATGTACGTCACAAGAGCAACTCACCTCGACTTGAAAACGATCAAAGACGTTGCCTTGCTTGATCTGCTTTAGAATTGAGCAACTCATCCCACAGGCTTGGAGCTCGTCGATTCGCGACGGTGATTGACCTTGTTCATGTGTCCGATTCAGCATAACTATCTGGCGACGCGCTGCTGCCTCGGAGTGCCAGTCTTGCCGACAAACAAAGAGCCAGCCCAGCCGCGGCGGAAGCCCGCAGGTATCACAAGGAATGTCAGTGGTGTAAAGGTAATCCATGACGATATGCGTGCAGTTGGGCCGCGGAAGCAGAGCTGGACAGTACTGTCTTGGTGGAACGGGGAACGGATAGGCCCAGTTCGTGTAAGGTTTGGAGGCATCAAGTGCATCTTCGCCTCGTCCCGATGCGAGCGTTTGTACGACAACTTCATGAATGGCTTTTGTAGAACTGTTGATATGGGCTGAGGAGGGAGCGGCCATGGCGGTGGACCGTTTGTCGGAATGTCTTCTTCAAGCTTCAAAGGGACGATGTCGGATTCAGTTCAAGGACCAGAGAGGGCGATTCGGTCAACTAAGGCGGGTACATGGCTACTTCCTCTTTGGCAATCTCGCATCCACCGTGAATGTTCGTCCTCAGATGACGCAAACGAGCTGAGTGCGAGGTCTGGCACATCACCTTTGACGTTCCTTGATGGGCTTGTATTGTGGCCAGTACTAGAACCTCCATGGACTGAGCGGAAGGCTGGCCGTCATCTGATCGGGAACATTTATCGCATGCTTGTGTTACCGTCCTACAGTGAATGCCTCCGGCGACCGATTGCCATCACGATCACGTGGTTCATACACCGTGCCACAAATGATTGTCGTTCGGATCTGACTGATTCTGTCTTCTGCAGTCAAAGTCGTTGTTCTCACTGAGGCAAATGGTTAATCATTTTGGCGGCGGCAAAGCGAGAGACGTGGTGAGTTGGAACGGTAGTTTTCGCATGCAGAGGGATGTTCCATCTCAACAACGATTGCGCCACTCCATAACTGATACTTTGTCGTGATTGACCTCCGCTTAGCTGTCTTCACACGACCCACATGGCCAGCCGATCACTAGGAGAGTTGCCTCACTAGTCGTCTCCCTTCGTCGGCCGGCGCCGAAAGGCATGCCTTTCTGCGAGAACGGTGGCGCAGCTGGATGGTTTGAGGTATTTTTTTGGTTCATTTTTAGACTTCGGAAGGAGGCAGACCAGATCCTCGACAACAGGCTTAAGCAGCAGCGCTACAAAGGTGGACGGGCGATGCTCCACGGCTGGCAATCGATAGCTGCTTGCACGTTACCAGCCTCCGCGATTGATAACCTGACGGGGAGCGTTGTCGGGGAAGGCGAATCCCTGCTTGCCGCCTCGTCCGCTAATCACGATCATTGGCGCGCGTAACTCCGCGCTTGGACTCCGCAGTGCTCGTCAACAACACCGAGGACAACAAAGTAACCTGAAGACTAATCGCGTACCGAACATTTCACCCCCTCCAGGGCCGCGGCACACCTACTCGTCCAGACTGACACCGAGCCTGATCCGGCTGTTCCATCACGCGTTCAAGCCGCAACTTACATACGTCCCAACGCTCTTGCGCATCCAACACGTCATCCAGCCATGTCAGTCAAGTTCAAGGAAGAGACCGTCACCCAGACCATTGCGGACACGGCTGCTAGGGGAAAAGATGTCGCCCATGAACTGGCTCACGAAGTTGGTGAGGCACTGACGAAGGGTGGAGGACCAAACGGCTATCTTGCGGTGCGATCCACTTCCTCTTGTACCGCCGATGGGTTAATATTAACGCCCTGTGTAGGCATACCTCAACCAACTCCAGAAGAGCCCTCTGCGAACCAAAATGTTGACATCCGGCACATTGTCTGGCTTACAAGAGTTGCTCGCTTCGTGGATCGCACACGACAAGAGCATGCACGGCCACTACTTCACTTCTCGTGTGCCGAAGATGGCGCTGTACGGTGCATTCGTCAGCGCCCCCTTGGGTCACCTCCTCATCAGCATCTTGCAGAGAGTGTTTTCTGGCAGGACAAGCCTAAGAGCTAAGGTCTTGCAGATCCTAGCCAGCAACCTTATCGTAAGCCACTCCCTTGCGCTGCACCTTCTAGCCCTTGGACTCCTCTCTTTAAGCTAACTTTATGTTACCCTTGTTAGATTTCACCCATTCAGAACAGCATCTATCTTGTCTTTATGGCAATCATTGCTGGTGCTCGCACCTTCCATCAGGTCAGAGCTACCGTCAGGGCCGGTTTCTGGCCGGTAATGCGCGTCAGCTGGATCACCTCGCCTATCTGTCTCGCATTTGCCCAGCAATTTCTCCCCGAGCAGACCTGGGTGCCTTTCTTCAACCTGGTCGCCTTCATCATTGGCAGTAAGTCAGGCCGCAGCAGCAGTCAATCGATTCATAAGGGCAAGTGCTTACACTCTCCAATAGCCTACATCAACGCGAAGACCAAGAAGAAGCGGCTTGCTGCACTTCGCCGCAAGCATTATGGCGAAGGAAGTTCGGGCCGGCCCAGTGGTAGACCTGAGGATTATCCGCCACCCCGCCCTAACTACTAAACCAAGTTCCCGTCCTCTTGCTACGAGATTTGGTTTTTCATAGAGCTGGCGCAATAGAGTGGACCGGACTGTTGGGAGCGAAACATGTCTTCCATCTGCTCCGGTGGTAGCTAACTTGATGTTTTTAAGTAGGTGCATACAATTCTGACGGAAACTTCTCAAGCTAGCTAGTTTGTGAGCGTTTCTTGTAACCAGGCAACAGCATGGATAAACTTGCAACACTCGCATGGCGTCGAATGTATATATGACTACGGGGATCTATTCCATTATACAAAGACTTATATACTGCTTCGATATTCTTGCAATGTGATTTCTCTCTCTCTGGAAGTATATCTATTCGCTTCTGTCGCTCGTTTATTTTGTCGGTTTACATCCGGAACTACTGATTGTAATCTTCTTAGTGGCTCTCGGATGGAGGCAGAAGTTTGCGTAGGTGCGTACCGAAGAAGGAAGTGATAGGTCATCTTGCAACCACGCCACTCTACAGGCAATATGGAGCACGACCTTGAATTTCAAATTTGCCCTGTCCTCGACGACGATAACGAGACCTCTTCTGTTTGGCCGATGAAGGTAGCACAGGACCGGAGACGCAGGCTAGGGAAGCTCAGGCATACCTCTACAGTTCGTGCGAAGAGTGAAAACAATTGTCCAGTTGATCTTCTATGGTGTCAGCGGCAGCGCACCGTAACACGAGATGAAAAGACAAACACGTTCCGTCAACCCAGCCCATGAGTAACACGGGAACCAGCAGTGCGGCTGTGTTGGAAAGTTGATGTGGACGTTTTGGGAGTTTGACAGATTGCTGGTACATATTCGCAAAAAGCCGGCGCAAACATGTAGTCAAAGTTGACAGTGACGTAGGGGGGGGGGGGGGGGTAAAACGGGCAGATTTCCAGAACAATGGGTATTGTACATCCTGAGAGAAGATCAACGACACAACTATAAATTCCCCGCTGCAAATGTCACTGATTTCTATTAGCCTTTTGCCCTTTAGCTCGCGAGCATAGTTCTTTGAATTCTTGCTGCGTCACAGGTATCCTATCATCTTTCTCTCCTCGCAAGTGAGCACGATTTATCAAAACCATTTTCACGACATGATCCCTCTCCGATATGAACTACTAAGAGCCCGGCCATATCACCGTCACGAAGTGGAAGATGCGTCATATTTCCCTGCTCTACTGGAGCGAAAGCTGCAGTTAGGTGCCTCGCAATTTCAGACACGACCAGTGCCTGTTATTCGTCTCGAGAGTCCATCTCCAGGTTCGACGATGCCGCGCACCTTGGAACAAGCTACGGACGACCTGGTAAAATATATCGATACTCACGAGGAGCAAATCTCAGATGTCATTGCTGATCTAAGGCAATGCGACACGAGCACGTGCACCGTTGCATCTATAGTTAAATATACGTTCAAAGTTTCGAACAACTTCATTTTCATGAAGAAACTGGATGGTCGGGTTAAATTCATCGGTTTCTTTACACCAAATGACGAGCAAGTAATTGGGCCAAACGACAGTGGGAAAACCATTGTCGAACTGGGCTGCCGTCAGCGTGCCGGCATCTTACTCAACTGTGATGCCTTTGAGAAACTTCTACAAGTCATGGATGCATGCAAAGCGTTGGATATAATCATCTCCTCAGTACTTCACCAACTCATCCACGCATACTTCATAGTAACTTGTGGGGTTCAAAGCGAAGAAAAAAAGGCCAATGCGCTTCTCACGCACGAAGAACATTTTGGCATTATCCTGTACAAAATCAAAGCGCGCTCCTCCTCGAAGGATGGGCCTCTGCCTCTCGATTTTGGAAATATAATGCCGGACGTTGAGAAGTATTTCGGGGGAACAGATAGAGCATTTGACGGTTGTAGACCGACGATACGCAGCTCATTGTGGGTTGATAGTCGCAAGTTAAGCACGGAATGTGCACGCAAAGTCAAACAACTTAAAGAGGAGGAATGCATGGATTGGTACAAGAATAAGTGCATCAAGACCCTGGATCCGGATATCTATGTTTACAGCCTCAATTCTAACACGTTTGAAGCGAAGCCTCTCTCCAAGTGTGGCCCCAAAAGCGAATGGATAGAGCTGTCTCACAAGAAGATGGCGTATAAAGTTCCGCGCAAAGCTTTCGAGAACTATCCTAGCTTCAAGAAGAAGTTTGAAGATTCGATCCGCAAGCTGGAAGTTTCGTCCGATGTCAAGAAAGAGACAGTAGAGGAGTTTTTGCGCTGGTTGTGCGAAGAGAATGAAGATTACTTCAAGCCCAGCTTACACGTCTGCATCGCGGTGTATAAGCTGGCGCTGAGCTTGCACTTCGAGGAACTCAAAGATTTCATGCTTGATCAGATCTATCGCAGCCCGCCCGTACATCCCACACCAGATTCTATCCTCGAGGTTATTCGTGCGGTTTATGGGATGCCCACGCCACCTGATCGGAATTTGAGAACTTGGGTAGAAGGATTCGTGAAGTCCATGGGAAGCGTGGCCGTAAAGACGGCAACAACGGATCCCAGACTCAGCCGCTTGCGATCCACAAGCGGAGCCTTCAGACAAGATCTTGACAAGGTCGCACGTGAGGTTGGGCCGAACAGCATCGCCAATGCCGATGCTGTGTACACAGCAGGCATGAGTGGGAACGTGACTACTACTTCAAGTGGCACGATCAGCTCCTACACTGTCAGCCCGCCTCCGACCATAGTCCAGAGCCCTCCTGTGCAGGTCACAACAACGGCCACACAGTTGCCTTCGCCGTATGGAGCGAGTCTGATATATCATCAATTACCATGCCCCACCACTGTCAGCCCGGTCTACCCAACTGGCTGGAGTCCCCCAACAACCAGGCGTGGCTGGAGAGAACCAGTATTTGTTAAGACCGCACCCGTGGCAGAACCAGTGTCACACCCACGGTGGCATTCACGCTGGAACGCAAGCCTTGGTTAACTTTTGAAACAAAAAAGAAACTTCTCTCTCTGGTCATCACAATCTGGGCAGCAGTACCGCTTTGAATGTTTGCTTCAAATACATGGTTCGTGTCGCTCGTATTTGCCAGTGTCGCCACAGCAACAACTTTCGGATGGATCTTGCACTTACTGTCACTCCGCGTCATCTTTGCTCTTATTGCACGGCAAGCTATATTTCGAATGGAACTACTAAAAACTTACCTTGGGTCTGTTTTATTAGGAAAAAAGGGGTGGGGGAAGGGGTTCTTTTGAACACGCTAATACAGCCTTGGAGCCTGTCAATGTGTCATGATCTACCGTACATAGATGCTGAATCTCAATGTGAGAATTACGTTGAATGAGTCGAATTAACTGGTATAGCACAAAACCCAGACAATCCGACCCGCCTCACGTCTCTCGAAAATGTCCAACTTCTCGCCCCGGTTCGGTTTCGCCAAGGTTACATTGTGCGCAGGCGGATCAAGCAGACGTATGACGTCGCCGTCCAACGCGAGGTTAGCGATTGGCAAAGCTGGCGCTCAGCCTTACGAAGATCTCTTGGCGAGCGCTTTCTGTCCGCGATGCAAAGCGGCCAGGAACATGAGCATCCCGAGCTTGAAGTGTGCAAGCAGGCGTAGAAGGACTGCTGGACTTCATGCGTGATAGGCTCGTTGACTCGGAGATTATTGTTTCAGGCCGCCATCAGACGTCGCGGCTTACGAGGAGGCTGCGGAGGAACCGACGTTGCGATATGCTAAAATGGACTTAGCCTGATGAGCCGATGATGGGACGAACGCTCCTGTGGTTCTGGCTATCCGCTGCATTGCTCTTCTCCAAAGGCAACAAAACAACCTCTCCATCAAGATTTGAGCAGCCCAGCAGCCTCGAGTGCATTAGTGTCCTGAGTTCGGATGCTGCTGCTGCTGCTTGCTGTATCATCAGCGGTCTGATCTCCGTTGATCACCCCTTTGGGTCTTCGATGCGAGTCCGCTATACTCGTTCTCCAGGTTTTGCCGTGGGGTTTCAATCTGGCCCTGGCTCCGCTCTGGTTGGCATCGTCATTTGCCGTTTGCCGTCATCCACAGTTGTGGACACAAACACGATCCGGCTGGCACCGAGCTACACATATTCCACGCACATTTCCTCGGTTCGTTTTCTGGAAACACATTTTCCCCAGAGTACACACCCTGGCTTGCATGAACGCTTGCGGCGGATCGCGCTGCACGCAGCAACCTTTTTATCTTGGCCGCACCCTTGAGACCTGCCTCACTGGTCAGTGATAGCTAGGCTGTGCGTGGAATTGGGACACGCATCGTACCAAGCCCTGAAGATAGATTGGCGGGCCGCGTGCTGCCAAGAGTCACTAGACATTGGGAGGGAGCAGCGTCATCGGTTTGACATACAGTCTAAGCCATGGTTCGTCCAAGCTTGCCTAGCCGCCTGTCCGGCATACTCAGCAGAACGACTACTTCGTCGAATCCTCCAAGCAACACTCCTAGTCGAAGCTCGAGTCCGAAACCTGGTAGCAGAGTTAACACGGGAGGATCTAACGCCATGCCTGACAACAGAACTCCGGTGCTTATGCTGAAAGTGCAGGTGATCAAGGGGAGGGATTTAGCAGCAAAGGACAAAAACAACAGCAGCGACCCTGTGAGTAGATCGTGTTTCTCAGCGGTCTCGGTAGATACTCACAGTCATTTACAGTTCTTAGTGATCACACTCGGAGATGCAAAGGAAGCTACGTCGACCGTGTACAAGAATCTTAACCCAGAATGGAATCAAACCTTTGAAATGCCAATTGTGGACATGTCCAGCCTAGTTCTGGACGCGGTCTGCTGGGACAAGGATCGTTTTGGCAAGGACTACATGGGCGAGTTTGACGTAGCACTAGAGGAGATCTTTGCAGACAAGAAGACTGAGCAGGAGGTACGATAGAAGAGGCAGCAGATTGGGATAACGCCAGAGCGTTCTAACTTTATTCTAGCCTCGCTGGTACCCGTTAGAGTCACGACGTCAAGGAAAAAAAAGTGGTGTCGTCACCGGCGCCATTCAGCTCAAGTTCTCGCTTTATGACCCAGCCAATCCATCTGCACCACCAGAACTCGTTATCGAGAAGCTCCACGCACTTCTGGGCAACGGCGACCTTACGGCTGAAGAGGAGGCTCAGTTGCAGAGGGTAAACACGAGCGATGTTGAAGATGATGAGGAGGCCGTCTCCGAGATTGACGAAGCGGCGACTCCGGAACAGAAGGCAAAGAAACGGCGGCTGTTGCGCCTTGCGAAGCTGAAGCGAAAAGCCAAAGAGCGTGGCTATGAGTTTACTGGTGGTACGGATGTAGCTGGAGTGCTTTTTGTGGAGATTCAGAAAATAACAGATCTTCCCCCCGAGAAAAATGGTACGTCGTGCTGCACCAAGAAGAGTGACTCCAGAGCTGATTTGTGAACAGTGACACGTACTTCGTTTGACATGGATCCGTTTGTCGTGACGTCGCTTGGGAGAAAAACGTATCGCACACGCGTAATTCGACATAATCTGAACCCAGTGTACGATGAAAAACTCGTTTTTCAAGTCATGAAACACGAAGTGAACTACTCATTGAGCTTCTCGGTTGTTGACCGCGACAAGTTCTCGGGCAACGATTATGTCGGCTCCGCCAACTTTCCTTTGGAAAAAGCAGTGGAAGCCGCACCGACCGCGGACCCAGAAACCGGATTGTACGATCTCCCAGATATTCCGGATGGAAACCCAACAGGCACTGAAGAAAAGAAGAAGCGTTTCAGGCTTCCGCTGTCACGTTCTTCGTCATCGCAGAGCCTTTCCAAGTTCTCGAAGCCGCAAATTCAGAGAGAGTCATCGTCAAACAACTTAAATCCAAACTTATTACCAGACGATGCTCCGTTGCCAAGTCGCGATTTGCCGGCCCCAACTAGTGCACCTCCTCCGACGCTGTTGTCTATGGAAGGAGTTGCTGGAACCATGCCAACCAACAGTCTTGTCAGCGACGATGATCCAGATCTGCGTCCATACATTCTCCCTCTCGATCTTAAGAATAAGGAACGATGGGAATCAAAACACAACCCCACTTTGTACATCCGTGTCAAATATTTGCCGTATAAAGCTCTTCGACAGCAATTCTGGAGAGCTATGCTGAAGCAGTACGATGCCGACGAAAGCGGTCAGATCGATAAGGTCGAACTAACCACTATGCTGGACACTCTCGGCTCTACACTTCACGAGTCAACCATCGACGGGTTCTTTGCAAGATTCAGCCAGCCAGTCGAAGGCGAGGTACCCACTCTCACGTTTGATCAAGCAGTGCTCTGTCTCGAAGATCAGCTTCAAAAGAATGAGACCAAGCATTCGAAACTGAAACCATCAAGCTGGACTGCACATAGTTCAGCGTCATTGGGCAATGGCAGCTCTCCTGGCGTTGTTACTCCGTCTTACGTAGAGTCCGGCAGCAGTACTCCCTTGAATGCGCACTCAAATACCACACTGATTCCTGCAATCCAAACAACCGACCTCGGCAAAGACGGTGAAGAGGGCGAACTTATGGACGACAAAGACCTTGCTGATGAGCGTGGTGAAGAACACGTTATTGAAATTCGTGAATGCCCCATATGTCACCAACCACGACTCAACAAGAAGAGTGACGCAGATATCATTACTCATGTGGCAACATGCGCCAGTCAAGACTGGCGCCAAGTGAATAACATTGTTATGGCAGGGTTTGTAACTTCGGCACAAGCACAACGGAAATGGTACTCCAAAGTCATCACGAAAATCGGATACGGCGGATACAAACTTGGTGCCAACTCCGCAAACATCCTTGTACAGGATCGGCTCACCGGCCAAATCAACGAGGAGAGGATGAGCGTTTACGTAAGGCTTGGCATTCGATTGTTATACAAGGGGCTAAAGGCAAACAATATGGAGAAGAAGCGAAGTAAGACCTAGTTTCCTTGAATTAATCGATTCATCGCTTACATGAGAACAGTCAAAAAGTTACTCAAATCTTTGAGCATAAAGCAGGGTCGCAAGTACGATGATCCAGCCTCGGCCGCTGAAATTCAAGGTTTCATCGCCTTCCATCAGTTGGACATGTCCGAAGTTTTGCTTCCCATTGAGAAATTTCGTAACTTCAACGAGTTCTTCTACCGAGCCTTGAAGCCAGGCGCGCGACCATGCTCGGCACCAGACCGCCCGGAGATCATAACATCTCCCGCAGACTGCAGAACTGTTGTCTTTAACACACTTGAATCTGCACAAACCATCTGGGTCAAAGGTCGAGACTTCACCGTCGAACGACTGCTGGGTGGAGCATATCCAGAGGACGTAAAACGCTATCAGAATGGTGCCTTGGGTATTTTCCGTCTGGCGCCTCAAGATTATCATCGATTTCACATACCAGTTGATGGCGTGATGGGTGAGCCAAAACTCATCGAAGGCGAATACTATACAGTGAACCCGATGGCTATTCGCTCAGCACTTGATGTTTATGGAGAAAACGTCCGAGTCCTGGTTCCGATCGATTCAGAGCAGCACGGCAGGGTTATGGTTGTCTGTGTTGGTGCTATGATGGTAGGCAGTACCGTAATCACACGAAAAGCAGGTGAAAAGGTAAGGAGGGCGGAGGAGCTTGGATACTTTAAGTTTGGTGGTTCGACAATCTTGCTCTTATTCGAACCTGGCGTTATGGTCTGGGATGATGATTTGGTAGACAACTCAAATGGTGCATTAGAGACGCTGGTAAGACTGCTACATCTTCGAGCAATTTCGAGCGTACTGATGTTGGGCAGATTCGCGTGGGCATGTCTGTGGGACACAAAATCGGCGAAGCGCCACATACACCGGATATGCGCAAACCAAATCCGACCATGGCCGAGAAGCAAGACGCAAAACGCCGTATCGAGGGTAGTCTGGCGCCCGACAGCAAGCCACCACCCTCCGCGTCTTTGGCTGCTTAATCTTCATGAGAAGATCTATCAATGAGCTTGATGATGGTGAAGTGTAAAACGATGATTGCATTTTGCACATAGTGGCAGAGAGATGTCTCAACGACATTTTGATAACTTTGTGTTCGCTGCGAACAACGCAGCGACGCAGGCGAGCTACACGGTATCGGTGAGCAGAGTGATTCTAGAACTTCTTAACGAAAAAACTAGGCCCCTCGCCAAAATGTACGGGTGGATAGACAAAAAGATATACAATCAAACTAGCAACTTCTGACCTCAATCAGCGCTTCATGCACGAGTTTGTCCCTAGCTGTATTGACCTGAAGAGCCATACAATCCTCGCCAAAGGCAGGTTACATTCCAGCGATGTACTAAAGCACTGTTTTCTTCAACACCGTGTTGATGAAGCGTCATCTCTTTTTCAGCCAATCCAACACAAGCTAATGTATTTCAGAGCTGCTCTCGGGATTTGGTTGGTAAATATGAGCTTTTACTCTAGCGCGCTTGCCTAACACACGGACGAAAAAGAACAGGTAATGAATTCATCTCGAATTAATTCTTAGAAACTTATCTGTCTTTGCAGATACAATAGACGATCAGGACGTGTGCAAGATATTAATGTTGAGATCCGAAGAATCGAGTTACGCCGATCATCACTCAAGAGTGCTGCTTGCGGCGGTAGATAAATGAACGCACAAGAGCCTTAATCTGCGCTACGATAACAGGCGTGAAAAAGAAGATCGTCTGGAGCAATTCTGCCGAGATGACCACCACAATGTGTCACCTCTGTCAACCCATTTAGCGGTGTGCTAGATCAATGCATGCTTCCGCTTCTTTGCAAAACGTTTTGAGCACATATTCGCCTCGGCATCGACAGAGTCATGTCCTTCGAGAAGGTTTATATTGCTTGGGTAATTCTGCCATTATCGTAGCCTGGTCATCCACATGGTTTCTCCACATTCGATCAGATCGGGAAGACCCGAAAACCCCCCCCGATTCCCCATCGTACTCCAGCCGGAGCAGTATGCAGATTAATGCAGTGATCTACTTACGAGTACCCGAATCTCCAGCTAAAACTTGGAATTGGTTCCATCCTTCCCGGGAGCAGCTCACGTGCTGCCGGCAAAATTACGCTTTAGGAGCAGACCCCAATGTTGGACATTTGAGCCCCAGAAAGGAAATTCTGCCCTCAAAAGATATAAGCCTGGACTTCAAAATGTTCCGAGTGCTGCTAGAGCCGAGATCAACCTTACTGTGTGAAAATTGCTGCTGGATTTGCGAGCTTTCATAATGACCAAAAGGGTTCCAAACGATGGTGAGAAGGTTACGTAAGTCAGATGCACTTTCTTCAACGTCAAATATCTCATAGCTCTTTCAGGTGTTGGGGTCAGACAATTACCTGGACCTCCGAGCATCCGACAGATGAAGACTTGAAGCCTCTGCTTTACAAGTACGACAAGATTGGAGGTGATGCTTATGATCGTGCACTTCAGATATTCAACGATGAGCAAGATATGAAGAAGAAAGAGGGCCAGATGCCGAAAGGAGCTCCGGCTAAGCCCGATATATTCCAGATCGTGAAGGATCACGCCGCAACGGATCCAGTCCTTGGAAAGCTTTGGGAGCAGGTCAATTATGTTCCTGACTGGGTCGATTGGGACCAACTGGCGCGAGGACAACAGATATTCTGGCGCTACGCTATGGCGAATTTAATTGGACTCGGGTATCAAAGCTTGTTTGTCGGAATGGCGGCTGCCCGTACCATTGAAGTGCTTGTTCGCACTGGAGGCTTTGCCCCTGCTGCGGCCCAGCGGCGAGGTATCGAGACTGCACAGTGGAATCTGGAAATTATGAGAGGAATCGAAAGTCTTAAACCTGGAGGCGATGGTTGGGTCTCCACTGTTCGTGTTCGATTACTTCATTCTGCCGTGCGGAGCAAAATAATGCAGATGTACCGGGAGAAGCCGGAGTATTATAACGAGCAAGAGTATGGCATCCCAATCAACGACTTTGACTCAGCAGGAACTATCTGCACCTTCTCGGCGGCCCCTATCTGGTTCTCTCTTCCACAACAAAAGATTCAGCTTCGTCCACAGGAAATCAAAGATTACGTAGCTCTCTGGCGTTACATTGCTTACTTGATTGGAGCGCCAGAGGAATACTTTGACTCTCCAGATAAGTGCAGGAAGCTGCAAGAAAGTGGACTATACTACGAAATCGATCCGAACCAGAATTCCAAAGTTTTGGCAAACAACCTCTTGGACGCCTTCTCAAAAGGACCCCCAAAGCTGCCCTCTGGTCTAGTCCGAGCTGGCGCTCGAGCGCTGGCTGGGGATGAGCTTTGCGATGAACTCGAAGTTGGCAAGTCGAACTTCATTTGGCGGGGCATTTGGTATTCGAACATGGTCATGTACAAAGGCTTTGCTTACATGTGTCGTTCCGTGCCTTGGTTGGACAAGCGAAACATAAGCATGATGAAGAAGCTGTCGTGGAAAATTGTTGTGGAAAGCAAGTACGGTCTGAAAGGAGAGAAGACCAAATTCCCGCTGAAATACAAGCCATCCTATAAGGTTACAAAGGCCGAGTAGGTCGGTGTACTTTGGCGACGGATGATTGGGTCATGGAGCGTACAGATAGTTCCTTAGCTTGTGTTCCCTTTCAAGAGAGATGTAGTGATACATTAGGTTCAAGGCTGCCATGATAGCATGCTCTCATTTCTCCGCTGACTTATACAGATGATATTTCTACATTTGGAACTCCTTGTCTACTCTCTGTGATCGCAAAGCATCCGATTATACAAGTTCTGATCAGCTTCCTCTGTCAAATTTTTCGCTTTGTTTTAAATGCGTCGCGTTCCAAGCTCTGGGCTTCGGTTTCTGCAAGTACGTAAACAACCATTTCAGAGAGAGAGATCAATGTAGTCGATGAACTGAACGAAGACTAAGACTACGGAACCAAAAAAGATGGCCAGCGACGTGTTTATAGATCTATATTTCCTGCAAATCTACCGGAAGATAATGGTATTTGTGCAGAGAGAACGCCATCTTATGCGCTCAAATCATGTCTATGGCGCTATCAAATACCTCACAGACGTGCCAAATGGCCTGACATCGTTACAGTGCTCATTAATTTTCACTCGAAGGTTTCTCAACAGGTTCGGAAGGTCCGTCTTAATATTCCATTTCTTCGTCCTCATCTTGTCTTGTACTCCCATTGCCTCGCCTCTCTTTAATCCACTCTACAAATTCATCAATGATGGCGGGCCAGCTCGCCTCTTCACTCCACCAACTCAGAGATTCGTCTTTCAATGTCTCCTCTGCAAATCTCAATGTCTGAGTCCACACATCTCGGTTGAAAGCTTTTGCGCTGTTTCCCTGTACGAACTCTAGCCATAGCTCGAGCCAGTTATTGTTTTGCGTCCGCCAGTCTAGACCGGGTGGAGAAAATAGTAACCTCCACATCTCAACCAGCTCTTCCTTGCTCACCAGCCGCTGACCCTGCTGGGTGATGCACAGTTCGAACGCATATTTGTACACTGCCTTTAAGATCTCGCGGTTTCCCGGCATGCCCAACGTTTTCGTCCGTGTTTCTAGAAACTTTTTCTGTTTGTCTAGCGTGTCACAGCCTAGTGCGGACCACCCTTCCACGAAACCCTCTCTTGTTAGACTGCCCATTTCGGGGCACTTCATGATCTCTTGAACTACTAGCGCAGAGAGCGCGGCCGGATCAGCACCGATATCGTTGAAATATGGCATTATCTGATCGATTTCGAGAGAATCGCGACCGGCTGACTCGGCATATTTGTCAAATAGCTTGTTGAGTGCCGCCTTAGATGACGGTGACTGTGCTACTGAGCTGGAGGACTGATTATAGAAACTGGTGATCTTGAGTAAGCGGTTGAGGGCCATGGTAAAGATCGGATGACGAAACTGATCACGAATCGCCCTGAGATTACAACAGGCACTCAATCCTGCAGGCGATACCGAAATCGCTGCCCATGTGAAGCGCTGTGTTCTAATCCCAGACCAATCATGCATTTGAAGGTGGTTCGTACGCGTTTACTGCAGCAGTGGCTTCCCAACCACTTGCCTTTAGCCACTATAGGCCCGTTAGCATTCCCTCTACCCTGATCGCAACTCACAGCATGCAGGCAAAGAAATGTAGCACTTCGTTTGCAAGGATGCCTGCTTTCTGTAGAGCATAAATGTGAGCGAGGCGGAATCAGAGAGTGATCTCGTTCCGCTCGCCTCACACGCAACACTAATCCTGCACCAGGCTCTTACCATCATGATACACGTACTTTTGCGGCGGTCTTGCTATCGGTGCTTGTAATGGACTTGAAGTCGGATATTGCCCGATTTTGGGCCGACGTGTATGGCATGATGGGCATCCGCTATGACTGAATAAACTGTGAAAGGAGGCTAAAAACGAAGTTAAAACTAACGCTCAAGATGCGAATGTGAAAGGTATGGTGCGGGTGTTTTTTGTGCAAGTGAGCGAACGACTTGGTATTATGAGCGATGCCGGGAACGTTTCAAATGCCAAGCATCGTAAGGCTCAGAACCCTCGTAAAGTGACAATAAGCTACCTGTGCTTTTCTCAATGGTCTTTAACCACAATTGCTATTTTGATTTCAAAAGAAGGGTTCTTAATCTGCTAATATTATTTACACTGTAGCATTCCGCTGGCAGACTTCTATGTCGTTGAGACTCCAAGGAACTGTTCTGCCGGTTGAAAGCATTTCTTTCACAGTCTAGTATTGTCTAAGCTAACACGGAGAGTCAATCCAGAGTCACAAATAGGCACATTTCCCCTCAACAAGATGCATTTACAATGACCTGTGCATGACTTCATTCTATCGTCTTGTATTGTAAGCACGCCGCAAAGAATCCAAGAGAACGAAGTGCCTCCGTCGCTCTCCTATTTCATAGCTTTGCAATTGTCAGCTCCTAATCTGAAGTTACCAAACCAGAGCTTGCAAGTGTTGCTGAACAAATTAGAACAGAGCTAGGTGCACTTACTCGGTACACAGTCTCGCCTCTTCATCGACTGCATTGTCAACTCCGATTGGATCTTGTACAGATACAGTCGTATTCACGTCAGACCTCGCCCAAGCTACGGAGCTTTTAAGCTCTCCGTGCTTTTCAACTATGTACGCTATAGGTAGGTGGTTCATCCAAGATAGTGAATTCAGGACCTGAAAGAACCAAGGAGAATGAAGAATTAGCTGGGTCCGCTGTTGAGTTTTCTCCTATGAATCGAGAACCGTCTTCTGATTCAAAGGATGCTCCACGATAAGTCTGCACCGGGACTTCCACTGTTACTGTGCTTGCAGCAAAGCCAAGTATCGAGATTTTTAGCCTCGCAGAGTACCGCATAGCCGCAACTGGAGTGACGAACGAAGGAGGAAATTCGCGAGGCAAGTCCACAGTGACATCAAGACTTGTCATCCACGACTTTGTACAATCCCCGCCATTTGACGTTCTCGAACCGCTTGCCGGTGAGATGAATTCCATCCATCTCAGCCCTTTGTAATGCTCGGTCTTGTCCACCAGGGGCTCAGTCATCATGCAAACCTTTGACTGTTTCACATCATCCAAAGTTGGCTCTCGTTCCAATCTCTTCGCACTATACAAAACTCGGAAGCGGACCTGGCTCTGGACGACAATCGTCCAGAGACAAGGTTCCACAGAATGGTCAGAGCGGACAAATGTTAATAACAGGGGCACACTTGTGTATGCGCGGCGCGTAGAAACTGCCAAATTGACGGGTCTTGGTTCATACCCTGAAACATGTAGTCGGCCAGTGTAAGCCGACCAGAGATGTCTACGTACCTTTGCGTCAGAACTCAAAACAAACTCGCCCGGGTAGAAGTCGGTGTTCAGTGGTGGATATTTCCGCCTCGATGGCATGACCCTAATGTTTCTCGTACGCATATGCAGATTCTGTAGAGCTGGTTGTTGAGCTCTTTGTATACGCGCCGTCGCAATCAAGCAATAGTCAATTGAGAGGTGCATGTGGGAATTTACAGTAGTCCAAGGACGATTGAGTAGCTTAAGTCTCGTGGACGGATAGAGTTCGAAGAAGCGGGAATCTGAAACGGGTCCATTTGGCAATAAGTGCTGTGGTATTTTTAAGTGGAATTGAATCGAATGAAGTGTCGGTTGCCCACAGTCTCCAACTGGGACTGCGTTGAGAGTCATGCGATCATTCTGGGAGAGAAACTAAAAAAAACCATCGAGTTAGTGGGCTCGGAGCACAGAGCGGCGACAAACCTTGATGGAGCATGAACAGCTCGGCACTCCTACCGCATCGTTACTACCGTGGCTGAGTGTACATGTTCCTGACGGAAAGTTATTGAAGTCCGAACTATGCTCGCGTGATATACATGCCCTCGAGGCGAACCTCAATCGCCACATTCAAACTACAAGAGCAATAAAGCTCAACTGTTATGTATAAATCATCCCCTCCAGTTTTGGTACCGCAATGGCAATAACCAAATTCATCGGGATTTGTGCACGATTTGTCCTCTGGCAAAGATATTCGCCGAATCATGAAATCTGGATCATGCATTAAGTGAATCAAGAATATAATATGCTTAATAAACGATCATTTCTTGATCTTCTCTAATTTGAATGTCTGGGCTGAAGCATATAAAATAGAACTTGCGAGCTAGTTTCGGAACTGCTCCTGAATACTGCTCCTGGAAGAGGCACTCCGGAGTAAAGAATTGCCTTTTAAAAGGCACAATACTTGTGCTGCACTCAGGTCATTCAGTGATCACGCAGAGCATCGTTTCTTCTCCTGTTACAAGCCATGCGACCACACACGGTCTGATGATACCGTCTGCACAGCACCGACGCAGTCTTCGCACATGAACAGCACGGATGTCACGGTTGTGGCGGAACCTGCGGAACTCCCCTCCCTATGATGTCAAGCAAAACCAGCGAACCACGATTGCACAGCAGGTTTAAGTTCTACCGCTTCTTCCATCATTCGCAGAATCATACCAGTCTTAACATGGCCGCGGAGTCTGTGATGAAGCGTAAGCGGGTAAGCCAAGCTTGTGAAAAATGCAGGGCGATGAAAGCAAAGGTGCGCCATAGCCCAGCCTTTCCGTGATCAATTTGATATTAAACTAGAAGCAGTGCGATGGTAAACGACCTGAGTGTTCGCGTTGTTTAGGTTATGGTTTTGATTGCTTTTACTCACAACCTCATCGCCTGCGCTCGCAGGTATCGAGTCCCGTACCTCTAGCCCAAAAACCAAACTATAATCCCAACCTACAGCTAAATGATGGCCTGATAGCATTTGATACCTTTATACAGACGCTGCGCACGTCGGTTCCTGAATTTGCAGTGAAATTGAAAGGCGATGCGGACTTGATGAAGAGCATGGAGCATGCAAGGAACGTATTCCTTGATTTTCCCAACACGTTCTCCCAAAAAGGAGGCAAATTGTGTTCGCTACGTCCCTCTCTTAATTCTGGTCGATATCTTGGAGACTCTAGCGACATAAGATTCGTTCACATGTTGAGGAGCAAGCTTGTTTCACCGGACCCTTCAAACGTAGACGAAGATGGAATGGAAACATATGATCAGGAAGATCCGGTTCCAAAGCTTAGTATTAGAGAAGTTTCCATTGACCTTCCTTCCGAGGATCTAGCCAGGAAGTATCTCGATGTTTACTTTACTACCATACACATCGCGTATCCATTTATCCCAAAGTCAAAATTTCTCCAAACCTACCAGAAGCTAGGCAGTGGGATTGCCGATGGAGAAGTGGGCATGTCTTGGTTGGCATTACTTTGTTAGTCTGTCCGCGTTCGACTGCTTAAATATGGGCTAACTTCTAAGACATCGTCTTTGCTATCGGTTCCTATTATACAACATTTCCAAAGACAGTCACAAGCAGCGGTTCATCGCACATTGAATACTATCAACGTGCGCTTTCGTTGTCTTCTCCGTGCGCATATGAAAGATCGCTGACACATGTGTCATTCCTGCTGGCGCAATGCTTCTACCTGCTTATGACAAGTAAGGCTGATGAGTGAGTAATGGTGTCTTGAATTTTGTCTAAGCCGCTGACTCGGATAGATGCTGGACTACGCTGGGTATTGCGGTACGCATTTCGCAAAGTATTGGGTTACATACAGAGGAAGGCAATTGCGAGATTACAAGCGGTAACCTCGCGCCTCGAGATGAAAGGAAGAGAAGACTATGGTATTCGTTGTACGTTCTTGACCGACTCATCGCTTTGCAGCTAGGTAGACCTCCAGCAATCCATGACGAGGATTGTCGTGTACGGCTTCCATCCAGAATAGATGATGCCTCGATAGATTGGACTGCTGAGAAAATCTCAGCAATTGCTACCGATAGCCCATCCCTTGGAGACTACTTCCTATGCGTAATTCGATTTTCAAAAGTACTCGGACACGTTCTTAGAGACTTATATGGCGCCAAGAAAAGCACGAAAGACAAGCTTGTTAGAACGGAACAGCTGGATAGTCAGCTTTTAGAGTGGAAAAGAACATTACCGCGAGTGTTGAGATTCGATATTGGCCATCCATTTGAAAAATCACTACTCTTCAGAAAGCAGGTGAGCATAGCTCTCAACGCAATGTTCCATTTTGTTAACTAAATAAGCGGAACATGCTCGCGATCAAATATCACCATCTTCGGGCACTCATCTACCGGCCATTTTTGCGTCTCAATTTTCTAATTGGAGAGGGATTGGAGGCTACAGAAGCACTTAGTCCTGGCCAACAACTCGAAGTGAAGCGCAATGAGCGTGTCTGCATAGCTGAGGCACAAGAAACAGCGCATCTGTTACACAACATTCCAGATGAAAAGAGTCTGGTCCACGACTTCCCTTGGTGGCAAATGATTTCATGCCTCTTTTGTGCAAGTTCAATATTGCTAGTTGCGACCGTTTTTGCGTTAACCCCTAGCACTGATCTCGAAACTGAAGAGCTCAATCTCCTTCATGAAGATGCCAAGACTTGCATCAAAGCATTCGAAGTTCTAGCAACAAATTCAAATGGCGCTCGAATTGCCATGAAAATGCTGCAGAGGTTCAATGACTTCAGGCCCGCAACAGGTATACTTTTTCTTGGGTGTAGATGTATTTCCCCTGCTAATGCCAAACCAGAAAATAACCTCGAGCAAGTAAGAAAGCAGAGTATTCTTGTCGCAGAGTCTGGAACCGATTGCCTGTTATTTTCGCAACCAGAGCCAGTAGCAGTCATGCCTGATGAATATCATTTAGGACTATCAGACACGAGTTTTTTTAACAGCAATGACTCCAATTTTCATACTCCTCAAGCATGGCCACCGGAACTGTGGGATGCGATGACATGGTCTGTTCAGTTTTTCGATACAAGCCATGAAACATCCGCTCCCACGTAAGCGTGTAATGCTTCGCCGCGTCCGCCAAATCAGAACTATCTTAGGGAGCCAGAAAGAGTGATTTCTTGGGACTTTTCGCTTTTCGATGGCCGTACATAGTGTGCATTGCCTTTTTATCCAGTTCCTTTCGAGTTATTACTGGCTCAAGAAATATAGATGAGTTTTGAGTGATAATAGCTCAATCAATAGAACATGGAATTTTTTTTGCTACATAATTTCCTGGCACTGTGAGCGGAATTCGCAAACCCTTCTACTTATCGAACCGATCTCTGATAGAGTGATGAATATTAGAATGCTTTGTGCTGTATTATACAGAAAAAAATTCGAGTGCATGTTAAGATTTGGTTGCTGTTGCGAAGATATTCTTGATTCCACAGGAATATGAGCTGATCATCAAAACTTCAATCAACCAGTATTGATAAGACTGTCTTTTAGGCTATCTATGCCAACTTGTCCAGAGCTGAACTGATTACATTTTGTTCAGAGTATTCACGACCATTCTGAAAATTAACAACCCACAGTTGATCAACTTTCCATTTGTTCATCAAAGTGAGCCCCTCATCAGAACTAGCGTTCGTTTCTCCTGTGATGGAAAGAGGCCAGATATGCGATCGAGTGCCATTGTGTTTCAAAGGAAAATAGTCTCAGAAGCAAAAAAGGGAGAAGGAGAGGATGGAATATACAAAATTTCAAGTAAAATAGTGCTGATCATAAACCCCAATCCTATCCTTAAGCCTCTAGAAACAGTATTCTCCGAGCATGTTCAAGTGTTCCAAATATTTCACGATTGACTCATACCTTATCCCATCCGCATCTTCGCAAATAGAAATCCACTACCATTCAAAGCTTTTTATCTTTTGCAACACGAATCACGAAGCCAAGCCTTGGAAAGTGAATCCTGGCATCAACTAAAGGTCTTACGTTTTTAGACAGCGGCCTAATAACGACTTCCTCTGGTGTGATGGCTACAAGCTCGCCAAAAGAGGGACTTGACCTTGGTTAGCAGCCTTTCAACCAAATAGATCAATCGTTGACGTACTCATCTCGTCCTGTATCATCAGGTACCACACTGACTATTGTGCCTTGCACCAATCCATTTTGTTTGTCGAGCTCAAAATGGGGTGCTGCTGGTGTAGGCAGTAACTTAGGTCCCTGATCTCGAACACTTGTCAGTAGTTTTTCGACCTCTACCTCGCCAATCTTTGTCTCCACGTCTGGCAGGCGATCCATGTGGATCTTAAATCTCTCGAACCACAACCACGTCGCTGGATACCTTTCCTTGTTGAAAACACTGGTGGCTCCTAGTTTATCCTTTGTATCTTCTGTTCTGCCACCTGTTAGGTTGTATATCCCCTTCCCCGCTGCTATGTCCATACCCCAATTGAGCTGATACCATATGGCAATATCTGCGGCGCTAGGCTCAGGGGTCCAAAAAACCCACTCGTCATCTGCCTCTCTGAACAAATCTTCAAGTAGTGAAAGCTGAAGGTCCAGCTTGGACAGGTTTTCAGGTAATTTCTTCTCGAGTTTATCGGGATCAAGTTTGTGCCCAATGAGCTTGGCGCGGTCCTCTCCGAATGACGTGCGCCAAACAGATCCAGGAATCAAACCAGTAGTTACGCGAAATAAAGGCCGATCAGTCCAATATGATGCAAAACCACGGATTAAAGCCTGGTTTGTACGTCCAGTTGCATCACGTGGGTATAGCGATTGATAGCCGTTGGAGGCTGGGAATTGATGCTCTAAAGCTTCGAGGATAATGGAGCTGTCGCAATACACATCCGTGCCGATGGCAAGAACAGGTATTTTGCGGTAAGTCAGATTGAAAAGCTTAACGAGAAGTGGCCGTGGCATCATCGATGGCACCTCCACAAAGTAGTAAGGGATCTGCTTCAGCTTGAGTGCAAGCCGCACCTTAGCTGTAAAAGTGGAGGACTGGAAATACTGTTAATATGATTCCGCTTGATGGCGATAATCGATCTCCATGTCGATGTTTATCATTTAGTCTTCAAAAAAGACAACATGGTCACGCGAAGCATGTGATATCATCATTGGACTTACTTCATAGCCAAAGAGTACAACGGGCAAACCTTCTGACGAAACCATGGTGTTATTTAGCATAAATTGGGATAGATTCTAAAGAACTGTGTGAAAAAACAGCTCTGGACTACTTAGAATGAATTGGAAAGGCAAATACGGCAAAGACGAAAACACCGAGGATGACTGGATCAAAAGGAGGAGAAGCTCAAGTAGATCAGTAATACTTGTCCGAGGCTTCGTTACGATCACAAGATTGTTTCCACAGACCGGTCAAGGCATTTATACAGCTAAAAGAATGCCTTGCTGCAAAAATGGAGGCCTTGTCATGTATTCTGTACAGCGTATTGTAGCCAGACTCGGGTATTGTTCCGTCGTGAATCGTTGTAGCTGTCCCAAAACGGCTAGGTTGAATATCCAAGCTCTAACCTCAGCCTTCGTGACGCGAGGTGTAGTGCCTTCGTTGAATAGCATGATGCGTCGACCATGACAGCTTTGCTGCCGCCATGTCGAAACCAACTGCGAACTGGGACAAGGTGGGCGACCGCTTCTACAGACGGGTACAACTATACACATCCGTGTTTGACCCAGACCTTGAATTAGAGAACTACACCATCGCGGGTGCTCCGTACAGTGGCGCTGTAGGTATATATGCACCATTTCTCCCCAACTTAGTTGAATATTTCGCGTGTGGATTGAATCATGTTTCTAATATATTGCAGTTAGCTTTTCATCGGGATGAAACGAAATTACAGACCTACCGTGGCACGCAGACCACCCGATCTACGATCGACATATATAGCAGCGCGGGGAAATTGATACGAAGACTCATTGTAGGTACAGCAGATCGGATCATAAAAATATATTGCTTATATGAATAGTGGGATCAAGGAAACATTAAAGGTCTAGGCTGGAGCGAGGATGAGAAGCTAATTACTGTCACCGAGGACGGAACAGTACGAGTGTATGAAGGTCTGCAGTCAGATTTTGTACCCTTCTCACTGGGACATGTGAGGCGAACTGCAACGTTTTGAGTTTCGAGGCTTACATAACATCTAGGGAGCTGAAGAACACGGCGTCATCTCCTGCCGCTTTCATGCGAATGGCTTTGTAGCTTTGCTAGGCAATAACCACCTGGTCTCGGTTCCGCGATACAATGACCCTCGTCCCCTTGAATTAGCCGTACCGCCAGATCAACTCGTTACGTCGTGGGCAATCATATCACCGGGAGACTCTCTTTCTCGAAGCGTGGAAGTCTTACTCGCAATCGACAAGACTATCTACGTGGTGGATGCTACCGAAGCGGAAGATAGGGGACTTGACAAAGGGCCATTTCATCATATCAGCGTCAGTCCCAATGGCAAATACATGGCATTGTACACTGGCGACGGTCAAGTGTGGATTATATCGTCAGACTTTCAACAAAGGCTTGGAGACTATGACTCGAAGGTGAAGACATTGGCGAAAGACATGCAATGGTGCGGAAACGATGCGGTCGCACTGGCTTGGGAAGATGAAGTACACCTTATCAGCATATCAGGCTCCGCGACAAAGTACTATTATGATGGATGGGTTCATCTCATACCTGACTACGATGGATTGAGGTTGTTCACGAACGATGTTTGCGAGTTCCTTCAACGGGTACCGGATGAAACGCGGGAGGTATTCTTGCTTGGCTCAAACTCCCCCGCGGCGGTGTTGCTAGACGCCGTCGATCAGCTTGATCAGAGGAGCCCAAAAGCAGATGATGATATTCAACTCATCAAATCTTCTCTTGATGAGGCTGTCGACACATGTGTCCGGGCAGCTGGACAGGAATTCGACGTGCATTGGCAAAAACAGCTGCTCAAGGCCGCATCATTCGGTAAATCTGTCCTTGATCTGTACAATTCGGACGACTTTGTGGAGATGTGCGAAACCTTACGCGTACTGAATGCCGTGAGATTCTACGAGACGGGCCTACCATTGAGTTATGAACAGTACATAAGGTTGACGCCGGAGAGACTTATTCAACGCCTAATCAATCGCAACGAGTATCTACTTGCTCTTCGAATAAGCGAATATTTACGGTTACCTACGGACAGGATATATGTGCATTGGGCTATAAACAAGGTGCGCGTATCAACTGATAGCGAGAATATTATCTGCAGGTCTATTACTCAGAAATTGTCTGGCCAAAACGGCGTATCGTACGAAGAAATCGCCCGCGCTGCCCATGAGGAGGGCCGACAGAGGCTCGCGACAGAACTTCTGAACTACGAACCAAGGGCTGGAAAGCAGGTCCCCCTTTTGCTTAGCATGGGTGAAGATATCATCGCTCTTGACAAGGCTATAGAATCCGGCGATACGGATTTGGTTTATTACGTTTTAAATACGCTCAAGAAGAAATTGCCACTCGCATCATTTTTCCGCGTCCTCAATTCTCGTCCAATGGCTACAGCTCTTGTCGAGTCTAGTGCATATGACGAAGACCTCGAGATGCTCAAGGACCTATACTATCAAGACGATAGGCGTCTAGATGGCGCTAACTTGCTCGTTTTGGAGTCTCTTACTGGGCCGAAAGATGTCACTCACCGCACCGACAAGATACGCTCTGCATCACGGCTTCTTGCCGACTCAAAGGACTCTACGTTCACCAAAACAAGCCTAGATGAAATTCCAAAACTTCTCAAACTACAAGAAAATCTAGAAAAAGACGTTGGCCCTGGATTCGTTGGTCTCCCTGTCAACACCACAATTTACCGGCTCATTCGTCTCGGTGCTCTCAAGCGTGCTCAAAAGATTCAATCTGAATTCAAGGTTCCGGAACGTACTTTCTGGTTCATCCGACTGCGAGCTTTGGTTGCCAAGCGAGACTGGACAGAGCTCGAAGAGCTGAGTAAATTGAAGAAGAGCCCGATTGGATGGGAACCCTTCTTTCACGAGATCCTAGGGGCGGGCAATTTGAGAACAGCGGCCTTATTCATCCCAAAATGTACAGGGCTAAAAGTCGCAGAGCGTGTAGATATGTGGGTCAAGGTTGGCATGGTTGCAAAAGGTGCGGAAGAAGCCGCAAAGGCAAAAGATTTGAACTTATTAAAGGATCTAAGGAGCAAGGCGGGACCAAGGGAGCTGGGAGAGGTGGAAAGGTTTATTGGACAGCTTGAGGGTGGGAGGAAATAACACCGCATGCGCGTCACTAATGCCTGTTTGATATAAAATGCGCACGCCGGCGACGACAAAGCATTGTTTGCTACGAAACTCGCTAGGTTTGCTACGCTTTCCCTGAATATACTCTGCTCATTCTTCCATCCTTCAGAGGAAATGTGTATGTCTTTGCATTCATCTTTTCTAACATAATTGTCGTCATGTAGGGCATCTTTCACCTGCCTTTCAACTTGTTGCCGCATCCGTTGAGTGATTCTCCATCTTTGGCTTCAACGGTCCTAAGGTTTACTGCCCAAATGGTGAGAAAGACGCACGACGCAACGTCATAGTTCTACGGGTGTCAAGCTCCAAATCGCAACAGTAAAACTGAGTCAAAATCGTGCCCGCCTGCTATCTATTGACCACGTTAAAATAAATACAAAGCTCGGCCAAACCACTATTTACGACCCTTGGACAGTAAACACGTTGATCACCTTGTTTAGCTCCGTAGGCAGCACATGATGCAGAAGTTTTGGTGCGCCAAGTTTGAGGCGGATATATTTTCTCACCGCTAATGTATTGGAAAGCAACGCAATTTAGGTTTGACAGGCCCAAATGAACGTCGTCATTTTTTTCTCCAGGTGATGTTGGTCTTATGGATCAGCTGGGCAATCAACGTGCACCCAGTAAGAGCTGATTTTGCTGAGAAGTGTCCGAAAAAGTTTGTCGGGTGACTCTTGGCTTGGGTCAGGCAAAGAAAGACTGTTCACAACTTGCATGGAAGATGGGATAATTTCTGAGACAGGAAATACGATGTATAATGCACATCTTTCCGGCGTATGTATGACTCGTGGTCGCGCGTTTCCATTCAACTAGCTGCCTTCAAGACTCGCGCAACGAATTTGTTGGAGTGATTGTTTTCAGGCACTTGGCCGCTTGATAAAGTCTGTGATGACTTTAGAACGACATCAACATACAGTCATGCTGATTTTACGAACTGTCGCTAAATGGTATGTAGCAGGAAATGGATGTTATATTGGGATTCTGGAATGAGTGGAGCACCTAGTCACCTCGAGAATGACAAGAGGCGGTCGATAATTCCACGACTAGTATTGTCCAATGCTTCGCGCGAAGATGAAGGAACAGAGGATGTAATGAGTTCTACGGTACGGCCCAAAGCTTTCAAAGTAACGAATGTGAGTCTCGCACTCGGGATTGCTTTCCCCGCGGCTGAACAGTACGCTACTAAACTCTATAACGCAGATCAGACCAGTGCGAAGTCAGATATAGCTGAAAGATTCTCCGCAATCAACCTATATGCATGTTCACAGATTTGGCTTGATCCGGAAGTTTACTCTATCATGTATGGAGGTACCGGACGTTGTGTTCCGATCGAACTGGCTATGTCGCTGCGCAACTTCGGCCGCAGCTGACTGTAGAATACGAACTTGAGTTTTTGACCAGGGCATCACTGTTCGCGTACCAACGTCAATCTTATACAAAAGCGCGAGGCATGCCGTCCAAACGCCTTTGGGTTGTTAATTCGCGACCAACTGTCTGCGACGACGCGACTTGGGAGAAGTGGTACACCACGGGGCATCTGCCGGACATGGTGAACCACAACGTGTCGACACGGGCAGCGTTCTACCGAGAGACGTACGACCTGCCGTCGCTGCATGGCGCAAATGAGCACAAGGTCTATCCGAGGAAGTACCTGGCTGTGTACCAGACCGAACTCGAGGACCTGCTGGGCAGTGAGGAGTACAAGGGAGTGTGAACGACAAGCGAGCTGTTCCCAAAGAGTAAGGCGGTCCTCGACAACGGAGACTTTGATGAGAGACAGTACGACCTGATATCAGAGTACGATCCCAACAGCCTCGGCGAGAGTACGTAGCCCATTGCTCCGCGCCCAGAAAAAAAAATCAACAGCCAGAGCCTTTCGTCCCCGCCGCTAATCTCTCGCGCCCAGCTCCGCCTCCATACATCCTCTACGTCGAGCTCGAGCACGACAACGGCGCTGAGCTGACTCAATTCTGCGACTCAGAGCACTTCCCGCTTCTGGGAAAGGTGCCGGGCTACCGGCGGGGACTGCGATACGGGCTCGGCCCGCGTACGGCGCGCACCCAGGGCGTGCCCGCGCGGTTCTTCACGGTGCTCGAGTTCGAGCGTGAGCACGGGCTCGAAGGAACCGATGAGATCAGAGCCGTCACCCAGACACCGTGGGCTCGGAAGGTAATGACGGACGTCAAGTTTTCCGTCATCAGGACGTTTGAGCTGGTTAGCGCGGTGGAATACTGAGTTGCGTCGACGACGAGGAAGAAGAAGAAGAAGAAGAAGAAGAAGAAGATGAAGAAGAAGAAGAAGAAGAAGAAGAAGATGAAGAAGAAGAAGAAGAAGAAGAAGAAGAAGAAGAAGAAGAAGAAGAAGGATGTAGTATTGACAAAGTTAAAGCCGGGGTGTGCGGGAAGAACGAAAGGGGAACAATTGATAGCCAAGTAATAAACTTTTTGTATGTTATATTTCCATCTCCGTTTCTTTTATATAAATATATATATATATATATAAGCTCCTACCACGTACCTCATCAACCCAATCATCGTTTGAGCGTTTTCTGCTTCTCTGCATCCTTGACCAGTTTCCTGCCCTCCACCCTCATCCCTTTCCTCACGCGGACCCGGTCCACGTACCGCTTGGCCACGTTCTCCCTGTCTCCGTCCACGCCGAGATCTTCGAGCTCCTCCTCGCTTCGCGGGACCCAGAACGGGTCGCCCTCGACGGGGAACTCGCCTGTGCTGCGCTCGCTGCTCACGCTGCCCCACTCAGGCAGCAGCTCGAAGCCGGCAAAGCGGAGCTGCGGCTGCGCGGCGCCGGAGGTGCGCTTGCGGATCTCCTCGGCGAAGCCGAAGGACTCGGCCACGGGGAGCAGCGCCAGGATCGTGTAGTTGTCAGACGTGCCGGACGACAACGTTTCCTCGAGAACGTGGCCGCGCCTTCGTGAGAGCACCGTGTACACGCGACCGAGGGCCTCCGTGTTGGTTGTGATCTCGACCGAGTACATGGCCAGGAGAATGCGCGGGGACCAATCCAAAAAGCCGTTGACGATGGAAGAACGCACCGCGCGTAGAATCTCTCCGGTCAAACGGCCGGACGAGAGTTCTTCCGAGTCGCAGTAGACGGTGACGGACTCGAGGAAGACGGCGATTCCCTGTACGGGCTCGTTGCAGAGAGGTCCTTGGAATGTGGCGAGTTGGAACGCGTAGATGATCTTGTCAGCCAGCTCTGAAGCCGGCGTAGCTGGCGCCGCCGCGCCGTTCTTTGCGCCAGGATCTTGTAGTAAGCGGTCACAGGTTTGGTCCTCCGTCATGTCAATGAGAACGTTGGGGCCGATTCTACGAGGTCCAAATGCAGCGATGTGGTCAATGACTCCTTTCCAAACGTCCTTGTCATTCTTTTCTTCAGCAAAAGCGACGGCAAGCCCTTGCTTGAATTCTTCGAGACTCAGCACCTTGCCCGTGTCAACAACGCCGACCTCTTCGCTATCAGCGCTGTCTGTATTAGATTGGTCCGACCCTGCACCAGACGCCACCTTTCCTCCGCTCTGTTCCCTCGCTTTTCTCTCGGCATCCAATCGCTTTATAGCGCCCGCGTTTTTGATCAAAAACTCCGTAACTGCTAGTGGTAATGGTCGAACTCTGAGTCGCATCTGGACTTGCTTTGATGCCAAGTCCGCGATGACAGTGCCACGCGGCAAATCCTTGTTCTTTGGTGGCTGCATCTCCGCGCCGGACACGATAGTTTCCCGGTACGGTACGATGGGCGATCCGGCTGTGATCTCGCACTTGGCGAACCGCTCTCTCAGGTCTTTGAGGCACCGCTCAAGATGCAGTTCACCTGCTGTACCTAAAACATGTTCGCCACTCTCTAAGACCTCGTACGTAGCGCAAGGGTCGCTCTGCTCGAGCATTTTCAAGCCGCTCACCATCTTCTCCAGATCAGCTGGATTCTCCGGCTCAAGTGCAACACGTACGATGGGCTGAGAGCCCAGGTTAATGCCAGCGAGGTTTATGCCGCCTTCGAGGGTTGAACACAGCGTGCCCGACTTGAGCACGTGTCCGGCGAGACCTTCAATGCCGAAGATTACGCCCGCAGGGACGGACTCAAGAGCTTCCAAGGACCGGCCCATTAGCAGGTAGAGAGCTTCCACCTTGACTTTCTGAGGTACGGGAGGGTTGCTCAGGTGGGCCGGCGTGAACTTGGGGGGCAGCACATAGACTTCGTCGCCCACATTCAGCGTGCCAGAGTACAATCTCGCAAACCCGATCAGATGCTCCGGATCCTCCTTCACTTGCTCATCCGCTACTTCGTCCTCGCCAGCTTCGCCAATCGTCGCGGATCCAATAGCAGTGGCAAGCCCGCTGGAGTCTGCATTTGCCTCATCGGCCGCCTGCGCCGCGGCAAACTCCGCTCTTTTTCTTCTCGCAATCTCTCTTGCCTCCTCAGCAGTCATTGTCGACCCACCCTTCCTCTTGTTGCGTGGCAGCTCGCTCTCAGGAACGGCGACCATCTTGCTCACGTAGGCCACGACGGGTGCGTCCTTGTCCGTGCTGAAGCGCGTCATCGCATCCTTGATCTTGCGGTCTACATAGGATGCGTCCGGCGACGCCTCGATCATCTCTGACATCCTGCTTTGCTGGGAAGCGGGTGGTGAGGGCAGATGCTCGATGACGGAGACGAGCAGTGCCGTTGAAAGCGGTAGCCACGCGCCGAAGACGCTTGTGAGCACCGCATTTGGATCTTTTGATCTCAGCACGTGCGGCGCAAGCTTAATGCCTAACACGCTACATATCTTCTCAAGCCTCGCGGGGTCGCCTTTGCCTGACGGGCCACCTTTACATGCCTCGTACACCGCCCAGACGTTGTCGAGCACCATCTGGACGAAAAGAGGTTTCAAGTTGCGACCCTTGAGGTGCTTGGGGCCGATGAGCCGTTTGGTCTTCGGATCAAGGTAGAAGTCGCCCCAGAGGACTTTTTCAAGAGTGGCACGCTTGATGCCCATCTTCTTCTCCCACAGGGACGCGAATTGCGCGACAGTGAAGGCCCAGCCGTCAATAGCGGACGAAAAGATGACATTGTTCTTTTCAGGAGCGAAGTAGTTGTCCTCGTCATCCTTTTCCTCATATTCGGCCGGCGTACTTGCGTCCTCGCCTGGCTCATCCGTTTGCTTCAGGCCGGCGACTGCCGAAGGCTGCATGCTACCACTGCCATCCTGAAGCTTCGCCGAGGCGGCATTGACGCGCTGCTCGAGCATTTCGCGCCACTTGAGGTCATCCTCCATTCGATCACCCAAAAAGAAGCTTCCCATGACGGCGTTGACTTGCTCGAGCAGCTGGCTCAGGTGGGTGTACGCCTCGCCAGGCGTCATCTTCAGTTCGGTGATCAGACGGTCCATCTTGTTGATCACAAGAAGGGGTTTCAGCTTCTCGATCCAAGCCTGGCGAAGAACGGTGACCGTCTGGCTGCACACGCCCTCAACAGCGTCCACCAGCACCACGGCACCGTCGGACAGCCGGGAGGCAGTGCTGACCTCGGAGCTGAAGTCTATGTGTCCGGGCGAGTCGATGAGATTGATCAGATACTCTTTCTGCTCCGGTTGGGCGTCTGGTGCGGAGCGTCGCAGCATAGAAAAGTACAACGATATGGCGGACGACTCCATGGTGATGCCTCGTAACTGCTCGTCAGGTCTCGAATCGAGATAGCGTATCTTGCCAGCCATCTTTGGAGATATGATGCCGTTGGTTGCAATAAGGGCGTCTGTAAGAGACGTCTTCCCATGGTCTACGTGTGCGAGTATGCAAATGTTGCGCACACCTTCTGGGGCGCGCTGCAGCGCAATCAGCTTCTCCGGGCTGACCACCGGCATGGCGGCTACGTTATTTTATGATTGTGAGATGCAAAAAAAATCCGTGTTCACGGTGCTAGAGATTTTTTTTTCTCTTCCCCGAAGGTTGCAAAGAGGGGGGCTCGTAGGGAATCGGGCTCTTTTTTTCTCAGCCGGCGCCTTGTTTGAACTTCCGTCTCTTTGGCCTGTCCGGACGTGGTGTGTGTAGAATAGCTCGCGCAGTTGTCCTTTTCCTTTGGCGCGAAAATTCCATGCGGTGCGGAACAGGTCGTCGAAGCGTCGTTTCGTGGCTATCTATATTCTATGTCTATATATGTACATACGTAGCGCGCAATAATCGACAGAGTGGGGTCTTCACAGGGCCATGATTTGTGAGTCAGATGTACGAGATGCTCTTGGGTATGTATTCGGACTTGACAGGTCGGTATGAGTGCAGATGAATCAGTATGAGAGACACGACGCCATTCATCAGTAGCCCAAGAAAAATGTATGTCAAGAGAGCATCGAGGGAAAAAAAAAAGCGTAAAAATTTACGAGATCTGATGGTTCCCCACAGCGGGGTGGCCCCGGAGAGCTGCTTTCGGCCTTCGTTGCCGCGCACGTCATGGGGGGTTGGTGCTTGTCGGGAGAAGCGCGAGCAGCAGCACGCAGTGACTTGGTGCAGAGACTCGGTGCAGGAAGCCAGGTGGGCAGCGGTCTGGTCGCCGTCGGACGGAGCCGCTGGAGGACGGGCAGCGTGCCAGTGCGCATGCTCCTGCGGTGGCCGGCCAAATCTGCCAGCAACGGGCGCCCAGGCCCCCCCGCCTCTGGGGCCTCGCACCCAGCACCGCGCCAGGGGGCTCTGCCCGCCCACCACTGACGGCGTCGCAGCCCCGCCAGTGGCGACTCCGTCGATGAAGCCGCCCTGATGTAATCGCCTAGGAATACTACGCTGCCCTGGGACTCTCCCTTCTTGTCCTAGATGAGGAGCCGCAGTTCCACACCATCTTGCGCCCACATATCAAACATCACACATATCCACGTACATCTACTCGAACCAAACAAAGCTAGCCATCTGTCGACTTTTCAATTTTCCACCAGTGCAAACCGTCAAGTGCCAGCACACGCTTCATTTCCACCCTCCGCAGATCGCCATCCAGCCTTACCATCGTCCAATCCCCCCGAATTTGTGATCAGAGAGGCCAAAAGACGATACGAAACCACAATCAGGGCCCCCAGAACCGGCATTTTATGCTTTCGACCCTCAGAAACTCAGCCGGGCTCCTAGCATAACTCGGGCCAGAACATGACGGCCTAGTCCTCCGAGTCGCATGCCCAACCTTCTCGAGGCTGGGCCGCAATCACGAGAGCGAACAACGACCTGATCAATCTCTGCCTAGGGCTACACGTCTGGGCCTCTTCACTTGCCCCTTTCCTGGAGGGCCAATGGCAGGAACATCGTTTTCATCTGCTCTCACCAGCGCCACCGTTGCTTCTACCGTGCCGGCCAGTTTGGCGCATTCTCTAGGGGACGCCACACAACCACCACGACACTTGGCTCCCTACGAGAGGGCCCTCGACACAAAAATGAGACCGGACAGTGCCACTACGACGGCGACGACGACGACGGCCGCTGGGACGAATGCTGCTGCCGCAAACGTGCAGGCGAGGAAGACCAATAACGGTCTGGCCATACGCACCTTCTCTCCCGTCAACAAGAATGGCTGCTTCGAATTTGATCGCGTGCTCAAGTCTGGCAACGTCCTCAAGCGGACGCGCAAGACAAAGGTACGTTTGCGTTTGCCTGCACCCATGCAGATGATATTCTCTTCTTGCGTGGCAGTCCGTGCTCTAACTGTCCTCATCCTGACTAACCGTGACAGTCCTGGAAACCTATACACATGGTCCTGCGGCCCCTGACGCTTTCTCTCTATGCCGACAGTGACGGCACAAAACTACGCCATCAGATCCCCTTGGCCGATCTAACTGCCGTAGCCCGACAACGCGACCCCAAGAAGAAAGAGCGACACGTCTTCGCCCTCTTCACCCCCGAGCGAAACTACCATATTGAGGCCCCAAGCGATGCAGAGGCTCGGTCATGGGTTGAGACCATCAGATCACAGGCACGAATTGGCGAGGAGGAGGACGAATTCGTCGCTCTGCTGAGCCCCACGGTCGAGGCCGCACCTGGTGGCGCTGGTATGGATAGCGGCTTCTTTGGACCAGCAGTGTCCAACACGGCTGCAAGCCATGTAACGGGAGAGACGAGCGCCTCGGACATAGAAAGCCACGTACAGCCGTTGCGAATGAAAAAGAGCAGGAGCAGAAACAATCTAGGCACTACTCCCGAGACGGCGGAGGGCCCCTCCAATACCCCGCGCAAGTCGAGCCTGGGCATGCAGTATCTGTCCGGCGCTGAGGCAGCCAGCTATAGCGACTTCAGCGACACGGGAGGCGGAGGCGGGACGCTAGGGAGTGGTGTGTACCCGGAGTCGACGCTGTCGCTGCCGCAGCTGCAGAGCCAGGCGGAGCGCGAAGAGCGCGCAAGGAAGCTGGACGAGATCTATCGGCCGTCTGCCCAGCGGCGGCCCAGCACCGCTGCCACCGGTGGCACGACTTCTGGGGCGACGGCAGCCATTCCAGACCGCCCGCCGGCACAGCGCAGCGCCTCGGGCCTCTCGACGTCGCGCGCTCAACAGGCCGCGCCCTCGGAGCGCGTCCTTCACAACAGCCCGCTGCTCCTGCTCAAAACACGGGCCGGCACGCGCCAGTGGAAGTCTGTTTGGGCGGTCCTGCGCAACACCTCGCTGGCGCTGTACAAGAACGAGGAGGAATACCAGCCGCTGCACATCATCCCCTTCGAAAGCGTCGTCGAGGCGCTCGACATCGAGGACCTCAGCAAGAGCAAGAGGCACTGCTTCATGGTCGTCACGGAGGAGCGTCAGCTCAAATTCTGTGCCAGAAGCGAAGAGGAGGTCGCCAAGTGGGTGGGCGGCTTCAAGGCGCTGCTTGCTAAGCGGAGGGAAGCAGAGAGGGGTCGCGACGGCGACGGAAACGTCCTGTCGTCCTCGCCCGTCGCCGTGCGGTGAATCATGCCCCTTCCTCCCCTCTCTCTTCCCATGCTCGACGCCTTAGAAGGCCCAAGAAGGGCCGTCTGATTGAAACTTTTTTTCTTCGACTCAGCCCCGGCTGGGAGACGGTGCGCTTTGGCTGCACGACGCGCTCTTGCAAACATCGAAAAAAAAAGAGCGGCGAAACTTGTACACATATCATTGTAATCGACGAATCTACATAACGACATTTGAAATCAAAAGAAACAGTTGAGACATTGTTTTTCATTTCTCTCTTTCTCTCTCTCTCCCCCTCTCTCACCCTCTCTCTCTTTTCTCTCCCCGTCCCTCCGATATCTAGAACATGAGCAGCACGTATCTTTGCGTTTTTTTTTTATTCTTTTGGTCTGACAGGAACGTTCAGCTGAAGAGGGGAGAGCGAAGGTGGGGAGGCCAGGACGCCACAGTGCAGTGGGACTTTTGATGACCGTTATCTCATGACGCAGTGAGCACGAGGAGAGACGACAAAGAGAACGACTTGTCACGTTCTCGCTCTCACCCTCGCCCGAACCCACATCGGGCCTTTCTCCCACACGGCGAAGCTCCTCTGGTTCTCGGCCCAGCCGTCCATGCCCTCCGCGAGCTCCCACTCGAAGCCCCACACAAGCCTGACCAGCACCATCCTCATCTCGTGGTAGGCCATGTTCTTTCCGAGGCAGTTTCTGGGCCCGTGGCTGAAGGGCTGGAGCGCGGAGCGCACGTCGTCGGCGAACTCGCGCGGGGCGTCCGGCAGCCAGCGCTCCGGGCGGAAGGACGCCGGATCGGCGAAGTAGAGCCTGTACATGGCGTATTGCGGCATCGAGACATGGGTGCCGGCGGGGACGACGCGGTCCAGGATGACGGAGCCTCCAGGGGGAACGACGCGGGGGAGCGAGGCTGGTACGGGAGGGTAGATGCGCAGCCCCTCCTCGAGGCAGGCGTGCAGATAGGGCAGCTGCGCGGCGCGCTCCATGGTGATGTCGCGCTCGGTGGGGAAGGCGGCCCTGAGTTCGGCAGCCAAGCGTGCCATGCACTCCGGGTTGCGCATGAGGTAATACATCAGGCCGCTGAGCTCAGTCGCGGTGGTCTCCGTGCCGGCGCCCATAAAGAGGCCGGCGTTGGCGTGCATGAGGCCCAGCGAGAGACCCTCTCCCTTCTCCTGATGTGCGAGCACAAGGCCCCAGATGTCCGGCCGGCTGATGTTGGTGGCCAGCCGCTTATTGACACGTTCGACGCTGAACTGGAAGTTCTCGTTGCGTATGGCCTCGATGCGCTTGAACTTGAGGTTCTTGAGCAGGAAGCGGAATGGTTGGAAAAAGGAGACAGCGCGCATGCGAGAGCCTACTTTGAAGGCGCCCAACAGCATGCTCACCCACGGCGAGTAGTCGGCGGACTGAAGAAGGCCTAGCGACTCGCCGAAGCAAAGGTCCGCCATGATGTCGAACGTGGTGAAGTTGAACAACTTGACAATGTCGAAGGAGCCCGCAGGATTGGACTCGATAGTGCGCTTGATGCGTTCAACGAGAACATCAATGTACCTGCATTTGAGTCAACACAAGAACTTTATTGATGCGGAAAGTAGGATCAAGATAACCAGCTGCGCTACGAAGCTGCACAAGTCTTCTCCCACGAGCACTGAGAGATCTAACGTACTTTGTGAAGAGAGGCTCCTGCTCCTTTAGGGCACGGTCGCTGAAGGCGTGGGTGAAGATCTTGCGTTGGTAGCGATGTTTCTCATCATCCGGCTCCGAAAACATACTGCGCATATTGTTTGCAGCAGGCTGATACGAATCCATGTCCTTGACTGGCGTATTTTTCTTGAAGCCATGGATATCTGCCCACGCCTTCGGGTCCGCAAAAGACAGGGAATTGGGCCCGAGTCTGACAATCGGTCCGTATTTACGGTGATGCTCGTAGCGCCATTTGTGCTCAGAGCCGTTCCACAAAACGATGGCCTGCGGAATGCGAGAAAAACGCGAGACAATTGGGCCTGGGTAGTCCCGTAGCGGATGGAAGAAGATGTAGTACACTGCCCATGCTGTATAGTACACCAAATACTGTGCAGTATTAGTTCAGGCCATGCAAGACATTGGTATGGTCAATTGAGCATAGAGACCATCACGTGTTCGGATAGTCTGGGGAATGTACGGTCTCAACTCGAGCACAGACGGCAGATGCGCAAGCATGGGAATGCAAACTCCAGTGACAAGCCGTCAAGATAATAACGTCTTGAAAACTCTGCAGAGCAGTCGGTGGCAAAGAACGAAGAGGCTGGAAGGATTCTTTTTTTTTTTAAGTTTTGGACTCCAGTGCGTATCCGATATACACACCAAGGCTTGGGGTTAACGAGGCTGGGCAACTCACCAAGATAAGAAAGACGAGTAGGGGATTCTGGACAGGTGATTTTGCAACAACGTGTCTAAGCGCTTCGTAGAATGCTGAGAAAAGCATCGTGAATTTGCAGAGCAGAAGCAGAGCAGCGAACGATGTTTTGAGGTTTGGATGCCCACAAAAAGGGAAGCCTAAATCTCAAGCGCTGTAGTAAGATGGCTTAAGGCCGTAAAGCAAAGAGATGGGGTAACGGCCAGAACTGGTCGGATATCAGGGATGCTCGGCAGAGTGTAAGTCAACGCTTGAGAGGGGAGAGCAAGAGCTCGTAAAAAGAGAGCTCAAACGGCTCCAACCACTGCGGGTGGAGAGAACGATGTCACCAGAGGGCTTCGTCTTCAGCAGTCGTCTTACTCTTGTCTCATTCTGGCCCCAGGCCCACCCGATCGGCTTCGAGGCAGCCGCAGTCATTGTATCCTGCATGGTCTGATGGAAGACGGCATACACTGAGCAGCACGCGGGCAAATTCTGCGGCGAGGGGGCCATCCATGGAGTTGTCCTGGACACTTGTCGCCAGCGAAAGCACACACGGATTGCTTGGACTGGAGGAGGCCAAGGGAGACAACAGAATCCGATGACACAAACGCAGGGCGAGCGGGTCGTCCGGCACGCGGGCGGACGCCTGTCACGGGGCTGAGGACGGCCGGAGACGCTAGTCCTCGTTGGGAAGGCTCCACGACCCTGCCGCGGACGTCGTGTCCTCGTCTGTGTCCAAGGAGAAGGCGCCGCCCTCTGCACGCGCCCGGGTCAGACCGCACGCTTTGTCCCGGCTCCACCTCCACCTCCAGCGCCCCTCCCTCCGTCCACCACCAAACAACCTCCCTCCCCCGAGCATGTCAGGCTCCTCTCCTTCGAACTCAAGGTTGTCTACCGCAGTTGTTGCCCTAACATGGCTCCATCTATCGCGTGCGCTCCCCCAATCTCGTTTCTGCACCGCGCCTCCAGCCTTTCTATGCGTCATCCCTTCTAGAATGGGAGAATAACCTTAATCTTGACCCTCGTCCAATGAGCGCTCCCAGGCGCGGTTCAACGTTGAAGATCCAGCAGGTAGCGATCTGTAGCCGCAGCCTCCCCCTCCCCTCCCCAGCCCGGAACCCTCCAGACACAGACAGCACCTCCGAAATGCCTGGGAGATTGGTCTGCTCGCTAGCCCGGGTCTGTGGACGATTCTGCGTTCGTTCCTTTTGCTGGACGAGCTGGGAGCGTTGCATCGAGGTCGTCTGATTGGCATGTCGACAGGGGGGATATTGCGTTCCTGCAGATTGGGTATCTGATGACCGCACACTTGTAGAAACAGGACTCGTGAGCCGTACAGGCGTAGCAAAGATGATCTCGCTAGTTCGCCCGCGAGCTGCCATGGCTACATCTACTTATCTTTGACCCGATTCCCCATCTCTCGACGTTGTCTTTCCTTTGCTTCTCTACCATCCTGTACCGCTGTGAAGGCTGCCCGTTGAGCAATGCAAGCGTAGCTTCGCGCCGCGCTTTCACACAACATGGACGCCAAACTTCGCCCATCGAGCCAGATCGGCATCCTTTCCTTTTTGCTGTGCGCAGCTGCTTTGCTTTCGTATCTTACCCTCAGTCAATCGTTCTTCTATTCGTTCCACGTGCCAAGGCAGTCATGGTGGGCACACTCGACATACAACAAGAGAGCAGGCAAGGGCGATCTCTACCTCCTTGGGGTTGGAAAGGCAGACATCACAGGGCAAGTCCGTCACTGTTTTGCACGATAAGCATTCCACTAATTTTTTGGGCTTGTAGGCCGGTAGTCGAGATTAACTTCATGTACGTTTGGTTTCCCGTCCGTCAACTTCGGGCTTAGTTTCGTTTATGCGTCTATCAAACACCCGGCCCTAACAGCCCTACAGGGGATACGCCAATCTTGCGCAAGTCGGCACTGGACTTCGCCAGCGTATCTACGCCCGCGCGTTTATCATTGGGAGCAACACGAATCCTGCAGATCGCTTTGTGTACCTGAACATCGACACTGCATGTGGTGACACTGCTATCCGAGACGGCATATTAGAGGGCGTCGCTGCCCTAGGGTCCGACTATGCTGTCTACGGGCAGCAAAACATCGCTGTCGTCGGCACCCATCAGCATTCGGGACCCGGAGCGTTTCTGAACTACCTGCTTCCGCAGGTCACATCTCTCGGCTTTAGCCAGCAAAGCTACCAGGCTATCGTCGACGGCTCTGTACTAGCGATCAAGCGAGCTCACGAATCCTTGACGCCCGGCTATCTCGACGTTGCCAACACGACGGTGTCCGATGCCAACATCAATCGAAGCCCATATGCGTATCTGGCCAACCCCGCAGCGGAAAGGGCGCAGTACACAGATGATGTCGAGAAGACGCTCACGCTATTACGATTCCAGCGCGAATCTGACGGTAAGAATATGGGGATTCTCACGTGGTTCTCCGTCCACGGCACATCGGCGCTGGAGAACAATACCCACGTAACCGGCGACAACAAAGGCGTTGCCGAGTATTTATTCGAGCAATCTATGATTGGAGACGACTCAGCAGCCGATGGCTTTGTCGCAGGATTCTCACAGGCATCCGTGGGAGACACTTCTCCAAATGTCCTCGGAGCGTGGTGTGATGATGGATCCGGTGAGCAGTGCTCATTTGAGAACAGCACGTGTGGAGGCAAATCAGAGCCCTGCCACGGTCGCGGTCCTGAGTTTCAGAAGCTAGACTTGGGCATTAGCAGCTGTTATGAAATTGGTAGAAGGCAGTTTCAGCCCGCTCTTGATCTATATGTACGTCTGATTGTTCAAGGGATCTGCTATTCAGTCGCGCTAACATGTCCCGCAGAAAGATTTCGATTCTGTGGCCACGCCGATCAAAGATCCTACTGTCAAAGCCTTCCACTTTTTCCAGGACATGCGCTATTACCAGTTTGAATATAACGGTAAAACGGTTCAAACCTGCCCTGCAGCACTCGGCTACTCGTTCGCTGCGGGAACCACAGATGGCCCAGGAGTGTTTGACTTCACTCAGAATGATTCCGGGGCACCAGACGCCAATCCTCTTTGGCAAGTGGTCAGCGGGGCGCTACGGACGCCGACTGCCCAACAGAAGGCTTGCCAGGAGCCCAAGCCGATTTTGCTCGATGTTGGCGAAATGGATTTCCCCTATGCCTGGACGCCGAACATTGTCGATGTTCAGATGCTCCGCGTAGGACAAATGTTCATGATCATCTCGCCGAGTGAGGTCACCACAATGTCTGGAAGAAGGTGGAAAAGTGCTGTATCTGCCGCTGCAACCGCGCAGGGGCTCACTTCAGCCGAACCGGTCGTGGTTGTGGGCTCGCCCGCCAACACATATGCACACTATGTCACCACGCCAGAAGAGTATCAGATTCAGCGCTATGAGGGCGCATCCACACTGTACGGCCAGTATGAGCTTCCTGCGTACATGAATCTCTCAATCAGCAATATGCACTACTTATCTGCGGATGCTACGACCGGGCCGTCGCAAGGGACGCTACCCCCAGATAACCGAGGCAACAGCTTGAGCTTTATCAGCCCCGTGATCCAGGACAACCCTCCGCTAGGCAAGAACTTCGGCGACGTGCTCAAGCAGCCTAATGCCACCTACGCACGCGGAGCAGTCATCAACGCAACCTTCGTCGGCGCCAACCCGCGCAATAATTTGCGCCAAGAGCAGACCTTCACAGCTGTCGAACAGCAGAACGGCAGCAGTTGGACTGTGATACGCAACGACTTTGACTGGTACCTGAGCCTAACATGGTACCGAGACGACACGCTGACGGGCACGAGCCACGTCGACGTGAGCTGGGAGACTGAAGGTGAGGGCGACAGCATCCAGCCTGGCACGTACAGATTGCATTACTGGGGGGATGCAAAGAACATATTTGGGCAGATTACGGCGTTTGAGGGCATAAGCAACTCGTTCACGTTAACATAGTAATCATTAATGTGTCAGACATATCGTTAATATCTTCACGAAATTTAAAGGTCATCGTAACGCACAATCATCGCATAGTTTTCGTATAAGGAAAAAGAAAAGAGTCCGTGCCTATCTCACCCTTCTCAAATCAGCCTCAGGTCCCCATCCGAGTTCTCGATGCGCTCGTCCAGCCTGATGGCGTCGCGCCGCCAGCTGCCGTCGCAGCGGCGCAACTCAGCCTCGAGCACTCGGCCGCCGTCCGCGAGGTGCACGTTTCTGGCACTGGCGCCGAAGTTGCCAGCGCCCTGGCCCGGCGCGACCCATCTGAAGCGGCCGTCGTCGTTGGTGAGGACGTTGTTCAGCGAGATGGAGGACAGTCTGCGCCGGCCCTGGATGTCTGCGCACTGCGCAATCAGGTCGTAGTCGCGGTCGAGCGTGATGTCGGTCGAGCTAGCGGAGAAGTTGCCCCTCATGGCCTGGGCGTCGTGGTTAGACTGAGGCGGCGGCGGCGGCGGCGGTGGTGGTGGTGGTGGTGTCGAGTGCTTCTTGTGGTCCTTGTACGCTTCTTCGAGCTTGTGGCCCGCGTATGCGCCGCCCAGCGTGCCGATCAGGCCGTGGTGTACCTTGTGGCCTTGCCAGAGTCAGTCTGCTTGCGCGTGAGTCTCGGTATCCGCTTCCACATACCCGCATAGCCACCTGCGGCGGCGCCGGCAAGCGCTCCCATCAATCCGCGTTCCTCTTCGCGCTGCGGGCCATTTGCGGCGGGGTTTCCCTCTTCTTCCGGCTTGACATCAGTAGCATCGAAGCGACCCTGAGGGGGTGTTTCGGACAAAGTCTGGCCATATGGGCTCCCAACTGAATGCTCGTAGCCATACGGTCCTTGTGGATAAGGCGGATACGGCGGCTGATACTCTTGTTGATACGGCACTCCGTGATACTGTCGTGGTGGAGGAGACTCACTGTAACCTTGGCTTGGTCTGTATATGGGCGGTTGCTCTGGGTTGCCATAATATGATGCGCTCTCGCCGCCTTGATAGGCATATGGTCCTGTCTGCGAATATGGTTGTTGAGCAGCATAAGGGGGTGATTCCTGAGATCGCGAATAGTCCTGATATCCACCATCTTGCGGTTTGGGGGATTTCCAACTCTCTTGGCCAGCTGGAGGCGAGTCCGGGGGTCGATACTGCATCTCGTCTGCTGCTTGTTGGTGGTCAGGTGAGGGATAGTATACCGGTCGGAGAACCATGATGATCCTGTTTCTGGTAGGTTACTGCACTTGCTATTTGAATTCAACTTCGAATTTTGCTGCCTGGGATCGACACCAGCGCAGAAATGGTCATAAGCAACGAGCACGGTAACGGAGCAACGAGCTCGCCTTGTCTTACTAGTTCCTCGTCCTGGGGTAGCTAATGACTGCGCCTCAGCACAGCCACTTATATCAGCACTGATGATGGGCAAATTTATGCCATTAGGGCCATTACTGGTCCAGAGCATCTTGTAGGTCATGATTTTGTTCGTTGATGCCCCGGCTTCTGAATTTGCGAGGTTGTTATCATCGTTCGCCAGTTGTGGCTGATCTTACCGCCTGGTCAGAATGTGTTCTTCCATCAATGCTTTACACCCTTTATGTCGATAGTCGGTGAGATCGTTCCAATGAATTACGGACATCCACATATCGATTATGTATCAAATAACATCCCTACATCCCTTTGTTTGGTCCTGTACTACTGTCTGTGTTATGTCAAACAGTTAGCTCCTCATTTTTGGCCCCCAATAGGCTTGCTTGAATGCATGAACGAACTTCTTGAACAACTGAACCGTCGTCCTGCTTCTTTGACCCTTGCACATTCACGTGAATGTTTCTTCGTTCCGTAATAAAGATTAATGTTACACGTCTCCGTTCTTCGTGATGGCACTAGATCCAATAGCGTGCTCTGGCACTAAGTTTGAGGCTTTGGCTGAGCTTAAGTTGGCCGTTCAATTGGCAAATGTGCTGATCAGTCTGCCAGATCCAGCACTTCGTCTGGCTAAAGAATTAAAGGAATTTTGTTGCATGGAGAATACACTGTCGTTACTCTACAGGCGTCTTCTATGCATACCATCCAAGTCAACATGCCAGATTCAAGTTATTGAAGTGCAAAGATATGGCGCAAACCGGGAGAATATCATTACGTTAGCATGGTGACACGAGTGGACAGCCAATGTGAAATCTTGAGGGTGAACAAAATTCAATCGCGTATCGTTGGGTCTTGAGACTGACTACGTCTACGAATGTCTGGAGCATCATGGTTTTAGGGAATTGTCTGAACACACAGCAATCACGGGCTCCCAGAAGAGTCGTTAATTTTGTGTTTCCGATCAACTTTCTTCTATTTTCGGTGGTAATTTTCTCGCTAGATGGATTAAATCTCCTTTCCATTCTAGTAGAAAGAAGGCGATATTAGTCTGTGATGATCGTACTCTGTTCACAGAGGAAGAGGCGGAATCATCCTGCAAAGATCGAAAGCGCTGTTTGAATTAGTCGTTCGGATCACAAGGTGTACGAAATAGGCCTAACATTCTTGGTTCTATAAATGAAGGGAGCGTAATACACAGAAGTTTGTTTGCATTACATGAATTAGTACATTGCATCTTTGGAGCTTTGCGTGATCATCAAGTCAACGACAACTTTTCCGTTTGATCCATGCTGCCGACCAATTGCGGAAGGAGGACCGAAACGGTTAGATAAACACAGACCCTGCTTACGATCATTACTTAATCAGGCGCGCCAGCTTTCTAACTTAAATATCTCCGCTAGACTTCGCTATCTCGCATCATCTGTCTTGACATGAGTCCGATGGTGTCCAAGTCTCTACGCGTGCAATTGCGCCAGTAAAGAAACAAGTGTCTCGTGAGCTGATCTGGAAGTGTCGCTATGGAGTCAGAGAATGGCAGGAGGCGGTCTGAGGAGGAAGACGAGTTTGGGTCCTCTGCTAATGAAAATATCCCAGCAGCAGATGCGACGAAGACAGATTCAGAAGAAGGCAAGCCGAAAGCGCCTTCGCTAGGGAAGAAAATTTGGAATGCCTTGGAACTTGATATCTTTACGATTTTGCTACTCATGAAGGGTGGTCTTTCCCCTGCTATTGCGCTATGCTTGCTACAGGTGGATGTGATCGCCTTTCATTTTGGATCCATCGGGTAACTATGAGACACCAGCGATGGGATGAGGCTGACTGAAAGTATAGCTATCTGGTCCCCATTGTTTCGATTCTTGGAATGGCTATCTTACCTCGAGCAAAATTTCTTCAGGGTATGCTTACGAACGTGGTGATCATTTGCATTGCTTCTGCGATGGCACTGCTCGTTGGCTACTGTGCAACTGAGGCACGCGCACATACCTCCAAAATCACCCCTCAAACCGCTCGGGAATACAATTCTTCCGCATCCGCAGTGTCTGCAATCTGGCTCATCTTCCAAGTCTATGTTTTAAATGCGGCGCGATCGAAATGGCCTCAGCTGCAGCTTCCTGTCATTCTTTATTCCATCTTTAGCGTAGTCACATGCACGACTATACCTACACTACCAACCATGACCTATGTCATTGAGTTTGTCGAGAATTTGCTTGAAGCTTTTCTGACAGGCCTTGCCATTGCAACCGCAGTTTCATTGCTTGTGCTGCCAGTTACTGTTCGGACAGTTATCTTTAAGCAAATAACCGGATACTTAAGTCTTTTGCAAATGTGTCTAAAGAGCCACCAGGCATATCTAGCACATCTAGAAGATCCAGAAAACATAGAAAAAGCTATGGTTGTGGAGCGGAACGCAGATTACAAAATTTCGCCTCCCCTGGCCGCAGTGCGTGGCAGTGTAGAAGCCATCGTAGGGCTGCATGGAAAGATTCAGGGAGATCTGCCATTTGCCAAGCGAGAAATAGCGATTGGGAAGTTAGGGCCAGAGGCTTTGGGCTCCATCGCGAAACATCTTCGGTCAGTCATGCTTCCAACTGTGGGAATGTCTGCGATGAACGATCTACTGGAGCGACTGGCCCAGAGTCATGGCTGGAGTCAGAAACACCTTGATGAGGGCCTCGGTGAAGACGAGATGAAGACCAGAGCCGCTGCAGTCAAAGACTGGGCGGATAACCTCAAGGCCATGCATGCTTCATTCAATTCCATCATTACTGCTGCCTGCCAGGGCCTTGAACATGTTGCTATTCAGCTAGAGCTGAAAAAGCCTCCAAGAGAATCACTTTCAGCTGACGATGACGAAGCTAAAGTTGGAATAGTAGGACCTGGTGACGCGGAATTTGCAGCCCACTTGGAAGCCAAGATTCAAGAATTTTCATCCGGGAAAAGAGAAATGCTACAAGACTGGGGCGAAAGACATGGAATCAAGCTTTCGGCCGATTTCTTTGAGACCAGAAGGACGGTCGACTTTCCGTTTCATGAACAGTCTGGAAATACCGATGAAAATGTGCACGAGCGAAACCAGCGACAAGTCTACTTATTACTTTATATGGAGTTCCTTCTTTGGTCTTCTGCTAAAGCTGTCTTGGCTCTGGTAAAGTATTCCGATGAATTGATTGCTAATGGCACGATGTCGAAGTCGAAATTGATTCTTCCTGGCTGGAAACGATTAAGAAAATGGCTCCGAACGTTTTTGAACACGGAAGAAGGCCCTACCGAAGAGACCAGAGGTGACTTGGGAGATATCAATCAAACGGCTATCCTTGTCGACCTTGGTAGTGCTTTTAGCAAAAGAAAAGACCCTGAGCATCTACCGCCGAGGAATGCCGTAGAGAGGCTCGGAAATGCGATCAGAGTCGTTCCAAGATTTTTCAGATCAAATCATTCTAGTTTTGGATTTCGAGTTGCAATCGCAACAATGTCCCTTGCAGTCGCTGCGTTTCTTAAGGATACGCACTCGTGGTTCCAAGCCCATCGCGTTCTGTGGGCTATTATCATGATTGCTATCAGCATGACGCCATCCGCTGGACAGAGTATATCCAGCTTTGTGCTCCGCATAATAGGCACGGTTATAGCGATGATTGTTTCTTTTCTCTGTTACTATATTCCAGACAAACACAGAGCAGGAGTAATCGTTTTCGTTTGGCTCGTTACGAGTGTCGGGCTTTGGGTTCCAATCAAACGCCCACAAATGGCCATTGTTGGTCTGATTAGCATCGTCACAAACATACTTGTGCTTGCGTATACGCTGGAAGTGGAGAAGCTTGGCAAGGAAGTCGTCGCAGCAAATGGGCAGGAATACCTTCCTATATATGAGCTAGCTCCGTATAGGTTGGCAACTGTTTGTGCGGGCCTTTTTGTATGTCCATTTACTCAATCCTGCTTCTCGAAAAAGCTAAAAGACTCTAGGTTGCTTTCATATTCACGATTCTACCGTACCCAATAACTGAACACTCGCTCCTCCGCCGAACAGTTGGGGCTTCTTTGTACTTGCTTGCAAACTACTACTCTATCGTACACGAGTCTATACAGGCACGTATTAAGGATGCGGAAGGTGATCCAAATGATAAGAAGAGTCTTGGTGCCCAATTGACGAAGCTTCGAGTCAAAGTCTTCACAAAGCAAATGCTCGTGCTCACAAATTTGCGAACCTTCGCAGCCTTCCAGAAATACGAGATACCCATTGGTGGACGGTTTCCAAGGCAGCAATATGATACGCTCGTGAAGTCCGTAGATAGGTGTGTGACTTCAGCTCTTATCTGTCAGAAATATCCTAACAGTTTTTCTAGCATGACTCGCTACATGTCCCTTCTGTCATACTCTTCTCAATCGTTACAAGTGGGAGTTGAAGCCGATCACCATCTCAGCCAGTGGTCAAGAGATCTAAAAGCACTTCTAGGCAGCGTCAGTCATACGTCTCATGAAGTAACGTCTCTTCTTTCATTATTATCTGCAAGCGTCACAAACGGCCAACCATTGCCACCGTATCTAACCGCACCGCGACCATACGGCCTTGCACGTCGACTTGAAACTATCGATGCGGATATCCTGTCTTTTAGACATATTGATGAGCCGGAGTATGCCGTCTTTGCTGTTTTCCAGGTTGCAAGTCGGTGTATCATATTCGAGCTTGAGACTCTGCTTCAGTATGATTGCATATATTGATCTCCTCAGAATCGATAACTAATTCATAATCTAGAACTGTTAAGGACTTGGTTGGCGAGCTCGACTTCTCATTCCATGTGATTAATACAGGAAACTCTAGTGGAACAGCTTTGTCGGGCCTGAGTCAGGATAACAGTGCACACGAACAACGAGACGCGGTTAAGAGGAAGGAAGACTAAACGGCGTTGTACGACTTCAAATTTTGATATTCAGACACGGGAATATTGGATAATCCTTAACCAACATACTTCTCTACATTTGCCTTATTCTCATTAACGTCGAATCATCAGCGGAAGAAAGATATTTCTGAGGTCTTAGCAAATATGTCCTTATACTTCCTTTCAGAACTCAAGTTTGAGTGTGTCACGCTGTCAAAACAACCTTCTACTGCAATTGTTTCGAAGCCAAAATGAGAGGAACATGCGGTAATCTATGAATTGGATACTAAACTCCGCTTCGAACCTGGCTAAAGTACATTCAGCAAAGAGCGTGCTATGGTTAATAAATACCCGTCCGTACCCAATTTTGAATCTCCTCTGCATGCCGTCAAACCCCTCAAATTAAGATTGTGGGTATCTACGATTTGAAGTGCGGTGCGTTAAGGAACAAGCCCATTAGCACGCCAGCGAGAGTACCGGCGATGGGGATTGTCATAATCCAGGAAATCAACAAGAGACCCACCCGCTGCCAGTTAACAGCTTTGATGGTACCATTACACAACCCTACACCAACAGTAGCACCAGTGATACACATAGATGTTGAAACTGGAAGAGAGTACTGTGAGAAAATGAGAACGGTAATGGCGGCGCCCATCTCCATGGAGGAGCCTCTGCTAGGGGAATGGTAGGTGATCTTATTTCCCATGACTGTGACCGCTGATTAGTATTTGCGACCAGTTTTGTGATAAAAGCAAAGACTAACCCTTCATAATGTTGTAGCCATAAGTGATAAGACCGACGGAGATGCAACCTGCCAGAACAGCAAGCTGCCATACTGGCACTGGGGCTTTGGAGGCTGCAGCATTGCCAGTAGACCAAGCGCTGTAGATTACGGCCCATGGGCCGACAGAATTACCAATATCATTTGCGCCATGGGCGAAAGAAGCAGTGCATGCGGTGAGAACCTGGATGAAGGAGTAGGCATGCTCGACTTCGTTGGGGTACTTCTTCGCATATGAGTAGACCGAAGCCATACGACGACCTTCTGGAGTACCATGAATGCCAGCCTGAGCTGCATGGATATCATAGTGGAGCCCATAGAGAAGAGCAACAGTAATCATAGCAGGAAGGCGTTTGATCAACATCTTGATATTGTGCAACTCATAAATCTCGCCCTGACCCATCGGATTCTCGTGAAGGGTGCGCATGGCCCAGCCGATAGGACCGCGCTTCTTGCGGAGTTTAGCATGGAATCTTTCCCGGCCTTCCTTGAGTAGCTCTTGGTAGGTCTTCTGACTCTCTGGAGATGCCTTTTCGACATCATTGCTGGTGGTAGCAACGGTAATGTCACCGCCCTCAGCGCCCTTGGCATCGTAGTCGCTGACAGACTTTTGTGAACCGTTTTCGGTCTCCTCATCTTTGTCATGCTGAACAACGGCATAGTCGGGAACCTTTGCTCTATCGTGCTCTTCTTGCGCCTGACGGAAGAAAAGAGCAGGACCCATAACAAACATCCACCACTTGACGCTATGGTCCCTCTTCAAAACTCTCGCGTACAAGAATGGCATGAAGAAGATGGCGGAGAGAAGGCAAACACCAAAACCGGTACCGAGAGTGACGGAGGCAACATACCAGCCTGGCTTCTTGGACAATCCTAGACTTGGAGAACCCTTATAAACGATCGAAAGTGTACAAATAGTAGCGGCCACAAGAAAGAAAAATGGAGAAGTGTAGACCGACCATGGGATAGGGTTGCTGCGCATATGGACGACAACCTTGATGAGCATGAATATCGAAGAAGCAAACCCGGCGGCAGCAATTGGGGCAATGACTAGACCAGCAAAAATAGCCCCCATGCCTTTACCTTTATTCCAACCCCATTGGACCTTGTCAGCGCCGACTGTGGCAACACCAACACCAGCAACCGCTGAAACAAGTGAGTATGTTGAGGAAACGTGGGTAGAGTGCCTCGTGCACCACATAACCCAGGAAGAAGCTGCTGCAAGAGCACAGGTGAAGGCCAGCATCTGAACGCCAGCATCGCCGCGGAATGCTGAGTTTGGAATAATACCGTTCTTGATTGTATCAGCGGTACGAGCGCCGACAGAAATAGCGCCGACCATTTCGAATATTGTGCCAAATATCATGGCCTGTCTGTACGAGACGGATCTCGACGAGACTGAGGTAGCCCAAGAGTTGGCAACATCGTCTAAGACTTGTCAGAAGGCTTGTCGAAGCTGGGCGAGGTCAACGACTTACTGGCACCGTTGTTGTACGCATCAAGCATGGCAAAGAAAGTGCCAATGGCAAATATGTAGTCATACTGGTGAAGATACACCATCTTGAGTGCCTTTTCTGTATCTCCAGGCCTTCTTCTTGCTGGGTGGAATAGGTTTGGCAGTTCAGACCGGGGCCAGAGAAGCAGCGATGCAAGCTTTATACGCCAGGTGGCAACCCAAATTTCGGGCCTTGGTCGAGACAGCAGAGAAGTGGTGTGCCAGAAGAAGCACCCCCACTAATCAACGAACGATCGTTCGTTAAATTCTAGGCAAAGTTCAAGAATTGGATTTAGTTTCCAGTCTCGCCGTGCCCGTTGAAGTTATTTTTACGGACTGAAAGGTCAAGATCCGAAGCACGTTTTGAAGAATCAACGTATAATTCGCAATTACCAGCCCATCAGCCACTTCCCAAGGCTTCACAAATCTCGCTATCCCATGGTCGAACAATCCACGCCGACCCTCAGATCAGACTCTGACACTCACCTTCCTCTGCTACTGGCGAGCCACTCGGAGGAGCCGCGGGCAGCCAGAAAGACGAGCCAAGTAAACTGCCGTCTTGGGTTGCGCTGAAGACTCCGTGGCATTGTTCTTGGTATTGTATAAGAATACTGGCTATACGCAGACAAGTCGAGCGACGTTGAATGCTGTTGGGCGGGCGAAGTCTGGGCAGATAACAGCTCCATCGCGGGTAACCTTGGCGGCCTCGGCGCCCTTGGCACTCCGAGGTTGGAGAAAATTCGACTGGGCCAATCAGATACATGCCTCGAGAGCACGTTTTTACAATACAACATCTTACTCGCTGGTCATGCTTCCTCCAGCGTATCTCGATAGGCTAGGACACTCGATTACAGGAGAACGTTTTTAATCATAACCACTACAAATGGCCGTGGATCTTTGACAAATGCCTAGAAGTCTGGATGGGGGACGATGCGGATTCGCGAACTCAGCGGAGCGGACTGGCGAGATTTCTGCCTTCCTTTCAGCATCCCGAGCGATCAGCGGATCAGTACGGAGCACACGCTCCAAAATACGCCTTGGAGCTCATGGCGCCACCACGTGTGCCCAAATCAGTACTCAAATGTTCCAGAACACCCTGGATATCTGTTTCGATCGGTGATATGGGAGGATAGATCCGCCGGTGAACTCTTGACAATTGCGAAGACGGATCTATCTACATCAAAATTGCTAGTCAAGCGTATTTGAATTCTCGAGATCGTAGAGGCTCGCGGTGCCAATATTCGAACTGTACAAAAGCCTTTCGCGGCGTTCTTGAGAATCTCGGCGGCAGATGACAAGCGAAAGAGCTTGATTAACGCTAAGAACGGCTACGCCGCGATTGCTTCAACCATGTAATTGAGCTTCAATGTTGATAATTTCGTGTAGGTTGGCCTGCCAGTCGTGATATGAAATGTTACTTTACCATGCTTTGTGCTGGCCTACTCCCTAAGTCTGTTAGAATCGCTCTTATCGTTAGTGGGTAGATCGTAGTTGATTGATTATCTTTCAAAGGTGATTGAAACTTGTTGCTCAGATACGAAAAGCTCCCATGATGGTTCGGTAATGTCCGGTCAGATGTTGGTCGTGTCTGTACTCAGCCTCTCGACTACCAAGACGGTCGGTGCGACGTTTCCAATAGTAATTACAATTTGGTATTGTTAACAAACGATTAAACCGGATGCGGAAGCACAAGCTAAGTGAATGGGTTGGCATTACATATGCCTCCCCACGGCCTGAATTGAAGTGCCCAGCCTTGGGGCGTGATCTGGAAGCCTGCTTTTCGGCAAGCCGCACCCAAGAATCATGGGGGCCCTCAAAACACTGCAGGTCAGTTGCTGCACGTCGGAGCTGAAGTAGTAAGACGGAAGAACGTTCACTCACTCGTTACAGTCCTCTAGTCACGGACGGACATGTGAGAAAAGTTGTTTGCAATTCCTCTTTTATGAATCAATAGCTAGAGTTGCTTCAAATTTATGCGCCAGCAATCTAGCTAATCTATAAAATAAAAACTATGTGCTCTTATTTAAAAATGGCTCGTCCATCCCTTCATGTCTCAAGATGTGCACATCTGAAGTCGTTCTGCAGTGGATACGGGTTTGGAAGTCAACAACTTGTGTGGCCAATTCAGCGCTCTGCAACTTGTTCTTGGTTGAATCATGCGGAGCAGTTCATTTTCCTTTAGGACTCTCATTGTTGCTCGCTTAACATATGATAAGGCTGGAATATGACTCATCGTTTCTGCTCTGTGTACGTTTCCATTTCTTTCGCCTGCTCACGAGAACCACGCGCAAGAGCCTGAGACTCAATACTGATGACTTGCTCATCACCCTTTCTAGTAACTCTTTGAAAGCCAAGGCTATGAGGATCGCTCAAAACATGCGATACAACATTCAACGTTTATGTGCTACACGCTGACTCGTATCGACTTAGAATCCAGCTTACCAAGAGAATAATGCGCAAACAAAATATCATTCAATCAGGTCACAAAAAAACCTCTTCATTCGCTTTACCACCTTATTCTCTTTTTTGTGCTTTTTTGTTTTTGCCAAAGAGGGGTCTCTACTTAGCCACAGCTGGATACTGATACGTATTCTCTCCGCGTCCGAGGAGTCGCGGTCTTGTAGTACTACATCGAAATTAATCACGTAGACATATATACTTTGCGAGTTGGGAGCGAAACTCTTTGCGCGATTTCGCATACGCAATCGAGAGAATTTTGAATAAGACCAATAGTTATGGAACACTTGATCTCAGATTGCTAAATCCATTTATAATTCCAATTTCACGTATGAGCACCAAATCCATTTCTTGATCAAACTTTTCATTGCTCATGTCCATTCAGTTCTAACGACAGGGCTCGTTTGGACTTCTTGGCAACGAATGATTATCTTATTGATGTTGTTTACACTTTATTCAGGTATGGTCATCAAGCCCGAGTCAATTTCAGTAAGTCCGTATCATATCAAGCACCACTCTTCCGGTGATCAACTCGCCTTGCTGAAACTCTTCAAAGCATGTGCAGTACTCATCCTGGCTAGTCAGTAAGAGCTTCTCAGGAAGAGTAATTGGTATTTCGAAACTGCATATATCACCGCTTCAGTTGCAAATACATTCCGGAAACATGTCGCTTCGGAACAGAACTTTGATTAGACCCAAGCGCTGCTAGCTTTCTAGCGTCAATGGGTACAAAAAATACAAGGCTAAAATCTGACTCGAGTTCAACGCCATGAGGAAGACATCAGGCATCCTTTCTTTATTAGAAGCCAGTGAGAAACACGCTAAAACGGGAATGCCGTCTGCTCCTTCAAAATTTGCTTACTTTATGCAGCTGACAAGATCCGAATTTATTCCTTCCAAGAAGAAAAAAGGTTTCGTGTTTGTTCTTCAAGGTGAAGGACGCATGGCAAAGCACCATTCTATTCGTATTACCTTCAGTTGCCGAGCTGAACAGCAGAACATGGTCATATGGGCACTGAAGATCTTCGATCGAAATGACCTTCCGATTCTCAATTGTCGGGACGACTTTGAAGCAAAGGAATCGAAAGAGGCTAAGCTCAAAAAAAGTAGAACGCTAAAACACGTGATTGCGTATTCACCTTCTCCTGCCAGAATAGGTTCAACCACCACGCTACCTCAGCAAGATGCAGCTGCACGAGAAGACGCTTGATCGGCTTCGAGGCTATTCAGTTCACAAAACGATCCTGGTGAAGTTACATAAAAATAACCATGCTGACGATGCGGAGCAAAAGGGGGGGGTGCGGGTAGTCCCGCAGTTAGCGTCTAAACTAAAAACAGCAGTCTGTTGTGATGGCAACGGAAACAAGCGGCCCCACAGCCTTACTGACTCGCCATAATAGCAAAGCAACAGTGCCCATGCACACATTGCGTCGCCAACGCTCGAAGGAAGTCGTCAAGAACATCGAACATCTTCTGCGGCAATGGCATTCGACACGCGCCTCATGGGTGGTTTGCGGTCCTTCGAATCTATGGCTTCTGCGCCTTCGCTGCGAGCGTCAGATTCAACATTTAGAGACAGCATGGGCGGCGATGATACTGGAAATGTCAAGGTGGTGGTGAGAGTGAGGCAGTTTATTCCTCGAGGTATGCTTGCCACTGCACATATTGCAGAGTAGTCTACTAACCAGAGGACATAGAAATCGAAGCCCAGTCAACATGCATCGTTTCCATGAACCCAAAACTCCAGCAGACCATTCTCGAACCTCCTCCAGTTGCGCCGGACTCAACTCCAAACAAGAAGGCAACAAGACCAGAGAAGAAGACTTTCACATTTGACAAGTCGTTTTGGTCACACGATCCTACGTCCCCACATTACTGTACTCAGGAGGATATATACGCTTCTTTTGCCTCCGAATTCCTCGATCACAACTTTGAGGGATACAACACCTGTATATTTGCGTATGGGCAGACCGGTAGTGGCAAGTCATATACGATGATGGGCACGCCTGAGCAACCAGGTTTGATCCCTAGATACTGTGAGGATCTCTTCCAGCGAATCCAGGGCCAACCAGAGGAGAACACGACGTATAATGTGCACGTGTCGTACCTGGAAATTTATAAAGAGCACGTCAGGGACCTTCTCGTACCACGCCCTACGGGCGGAAGACCAGAAGAGCTTCACTACTTGAAGATTAGACAGAGCCCTGAAGAAGGTGTCTACATCCAAGGCCTGACTGATGCTCCTGTCAAGAGCTACGCAGATATCCAACGTCTAATGGAATTGGGTGACCAGAACAGAACTACGGCTTCAACAAAGATGAATCAGACCTCCTCGCGCTCACATGCTGTATTCACCATCACCCTTAAGCAAATCCAGCACTCACTCACCAACGACGAGACCATTGAAAGGACAGCCAGGATGAGGTTGGTGGATCTGGCAGGCTCTGAAAGGGCAACGAAGACAGAAGCAAAGGGCGAACGACTTAAAGAGGGCAGCAAGATTAACCAGTCGCTAACCACGCTTGGCCGCGTCATTGCAGCTCTTGCTGACCCTCGACGCCAAGCATTGCAAAGCCCTGGTGGAGGGTCCGGCCGCAACAGTCCTCGGCCAGGATCTTCTCACGGTCGTCCACGCTCCTTGCACCTCGAGGTTGTCCCGTATCGAGATTCTGTGCTTACATATCTTCTGAAAGATTCGCTTGGTGGCAACTCAAAGACTGCGATGGTTGCGTGTATCTCGCCGTCAGCAAGCGATTATGACGAAACTCTCTCAACTTTGCGTTACGCAGATCAAGCTAAACGCATTCGTACCAAGGCTCACGCTAACATTGATGCTGTAAATGCTGCTGAACGCGATGCCCAGATTAGCTTGATGGCGGAAACTATCCGCTCGCTCCAGCTAAGTGTGAGCCGTGCTCATGAACGCAAGCAGCAGGAAATGGAAGCGCTGGATAGTTATCAAGAAAAGGTCCAGCGAATGCAACGTCTCATGGATGAGAGCCGCCAAGTCAGTGAAGCCAGAATCAAGGCTCTGCAACAGGAGACGGAATACCTCCGCCCAGAAAATCAGAGATTAAGAGATGAGAATGAGGCTTTGAGAAGGCACCTGAGTCTAGCTCTCGGAGAACTTAAAAATCCAATCCAGATACCGCAGGAATACGCTCTTGTAGAGGAACCTGTAAGCAGAGGCGTTGCAAATGGCACAAAGTCATACGGCGAATTGTCTCCTGCTTATGACGATGAGGACAAAGAAAACCTCGAAAGTAATAATGGCAATGCTCAGAGCAAAAAGGAAGAGCATGAAGTCATGCACGAAGACGAAGCTCAAGACTCCCAAGAGATCTGGGCGAGGGAGGTTCAGGAACAAGCGCAGATGTTTTTACAAGAGCTGGGCATGTTCAGGAAGAAAGTACGTCATGACAAGAGTCGATTCGGCAACGTGGAGAAGGTCCGATTGTCGCTTGCTGGAATTCCTGCGTTCTAAAATGCTAAATTGTCAGTTAACTTCACACATGACGGAGTGGGAAGAGCGTTGGCGTACGGTGACATTATTATCGGAGATCCTGGATTATAGTTGCTAGTATTAGGCAATGGCATATTCTGATGTTCGAAGCTCCATCCTGCACTCATCGTAATCTTTTGTATCATGACATCACTGTATATGCAATCTACTTTCATTTCGAGAAATGATATTTCTGTCGGCTTGAAGGTACCATAAACAACAAGTAGCAAAAAGAGCGGATCGAAAAATCAGTTGCATTGAGTAAACTGTAGGAGGGAGCTAGACATAGTATACTTGAGAAGAAAACCAAGGTCCAATGTAAGTACAGCCCGAAAATGTCGTCTTCGCACAGCACCAAGAGGTTCGACGTCCATCTCACCTGCCTAATGATGCCAGATCCAGTTCCTTGACAGGTGCAGTACCTCCCCGTGCAATCATCGCTGCACTTTGCGATAGGCTGAGGCTATCAATTACGGAGAGTTGGTTTGAGTGATTTCTGCATCTCTTACACTCTTAATTCGTTTCCGGGGACGGAGGAGTCTCTGGTTTTGATTTAGCAGCTGGGATTTCATCAGCACCAGATGCTATGAAGTTGGGAGCCTGCTCCGATGTTGCTTGACGCGTTATGTGAACTGATTCTGGTGCAGCAGTTTCCCGTCGAGATGCGGGAGTGGGATCGGAAGCCACATTAACTGAAGTCACCAGCTGCGGTGGAGCCTCCTCCCGTGTAGCTTGGCGACTTGTGTGAGCTGTTTCCGGCGCGCCGGTTCCCCGTCGAGATGTAGGATTTTCAGAAGCTGCTTGTGCCTGAGGAATCTGGATAACAACATCTGGACGCGTTGATTGTGGTTTTGGAGTGAAAAGAGTAGTAGAACGCTTGCGTGGCTTTGGCTCGTTGTTGTATGGCCTTTTAGGCGTTCGGACAGTCGAAGCTCGCGCTTTCGAGTGAGCAAGCACTGGTAACCCGATAGCAAGGAGCGCACAAAGCAGAGATGTGAGGAACAACACGATCCCAGTGGCACTACGCGAGTATTTTTCACTTTTATACTCCCTGTCGATATCCTTAACCAAGGCTTGGAATCTATTTTCCAGGGTTTTACTGTCCGTAGTAGCGTTTTGACCCTCATTCATCCGAATCCAAACAGCGAGAGGTAGCAGCTTGTGGTGTTTTGGTGTCGGGTACGAAGGAGAGCAGATACCTGCCTGGAGCTTCGAAAGAGACTCATCTGTCCATGGCACAGAGAGTGGTAGCTCGATGTCATCTCCATGGTAGTCGCAAGGCAATGCATGGCGCTCGACAAGCTTATTCTGGCTCTTCTGAACAGCATATACGAGATCCTGAACATATGTTCTCGCTGCTTCATTGTTTGATGAGCTCTCATGTTCAGAGTATGCGACATCTTTGGTAACTTCGCTAAGAGCCGCTGTAGACACGGGAGCGGCTGTGTAGACAGTCGATGATATTAGATCGATAGTATGCCAGCCAGAGGGGTACAAAGTGATGACGCGCTTGGGCTCTTCAAGCATGTTCAAATCTTTTGGCACTGTTGAATCCGTTGAAGTTGGGGTCGCAGCCCGCGTCACAGGAGGCGAAGGTACTAGAATGGTTGTCGCATAGAGTGTAGCAGTCGTGACGCTATGTGGCGCTGGAAAGTACCATCTTGAGGCAAGTATCTTGTTTTTAGAAGGTGCAAGAGTGACTTGGCGGTAAAGATGAGGTTCACGCTGGTACTTTGTGCAATAAAGGTATCCGTATATCCCCGCGAGGGCGCTTGCAGCAATTAGCACAAGAGAAAAAAGCCAAGCAAAGGCTTTGATGACAGCAAACAAGCCAGACCGCTGGGTTCTGGACGAATTTGGCGGATTCCCTGAGAGCTGCCAATCGTCACTACTCGAGCTGGCCTGCGATACCATTAGAATTCCTTTCAGACAAGCTACAGTGTATGAGTAGGAGATAAAGGGTATTGAGAGTCCAGACTCACGTGGCGTCTTGACTTGGGAGCCATGAATCCAATGAAGTAAGAAAGATAATCGAAGGCAAGGAGAGCAGAGAAGGGGGGAGAACTAGGGCACTGTGCTTAGAGCTTGTGAAAGCGTTCGCTTTTCACAATCCAGACGAAGCTTCTGCTGATCTGACAAGACTAGAAGATAAGTGATGAAGAAAATGTTGCTCGAGTCAAGGAGAAACGCCGTATTGGTGACTTGGTCGGAAGCAAAACACTGGAAATTGATTTCTGCTGCGAAGATATGCTGGGGGAGATAAAAGTTATGTTGGAGGAAAAGAGAGAGGATAGAAAGGTTCAGGACAAAAGTCAATCAAAGCACATACCTGCACCTTCCTTGCTCAAGGCTACATGGAAGCGCTTAAGGAAGGCACGTTGTCACAAATCGTATGATTCTGCTGACATTGGTAGGAGCAGTTTCCTCAAGGCTCTCTCAAGCAAGTGTTTTTACTAGGGCTTGGTCACCGCTTCCAAACTAGACTATACAACAGAGCGACAGAAGCTACAGCAGCACTTGCACGACAAGCTTGTGCGCAGAAATGGCGAGGGAAGCGACGTCGTTGTAGTGCGTCCGGTGCCAAGCGAAGGTTCCGAAGCATTGCCATTGACAGAAGAGCATAGAAAGCAGAATGATGCGGCGGCGACAGGCGTAGGGGGCTGGCAGATGCAGCTATTGACACCCTTGTAGGGGCATCAGCGAGAGCTTTCCAGTAGAGATATCCCATAGTAGCTTCGTGCTCACCGTAGTGCATCATCAGAACTGATCGTTGCCTATGCATACCATACGCTCGAGATCGATGAGTTTGTCGCGTCTAACTCTCTAGCAGTTCTGATGCCGAAAGCTCAGAGCATAATGCTTGAGCCCATCCTTGATGTAGCTGAAACAACGTAGGAATGCAATAGTCGTCCTTGTGCTGGATTTCCAGACACGCTGGGTCTTCGCAACAGTCTCCGTCAAGGACAACAACTTGATTGACGAAGACCACAGATTGTCTCACAGCTTGTTTGATGCATGACATCACGTATCACTAAGGGCCATATAGGGATAGGACTAGGAATGTACAAAGACGGCCGCCATAGATCTGGAAGAATAGTTGCGAGGACATCATTGCGACAAAACTTGATGTTTGAGGCCAGGTTTTTCCAATGTCCAAGCTCTTCATCGAAGGACTATAGTGAGACTTATGCGACCCTCATCCCTCCATGCTCAGTATCAACTGATGTGTGAACCAAAACCTGTAGATCTAGCCTGAATTCACAATTTTAAGCGAGGTGATATTAGGAGCGACGTGCATTCACGTTGTCCATGGCAAAACGTTGGTCTTGTTATCCCAATTATGGCGCTGCTGGCCCGTGGACATGAGGAGTAGATACAACTGACGCAGAGCTGGTGGGATTTGCAAGAAGAGCCTCGAATGTGATGTGCACTTGATGGGCAACTCAGTGATGAGCGCGGCTGAGTTTCCTGGCTTCAGTTAGAAATATCATGCCAGCAGATTCATCGTTAAAGCGAAAGCTGTCGAAACTGTGAGTTGATAAGGCAGATAGCGTACTGATGGGCAACATGAAGTTGCTGTGCTCATGAAACTGAGCTTAAAAGAGGAGAATCAATCGACATTTCTGTATATGCCTACATGCTAGATAGTTGATCTTTGTCCTTGAAATATACTTGCGCAAAGAACGACACCATAGTAACACGCTATGCCATGCCGCGCTCTGTTACTTCCTCTGGGATCCCAATATCTTTACAAGGTGCCCACAAATCCAGCTTCCCCTCCTCATCGCAGGCCCAACAAGAAATTACCACCACTCTTGCCGTCGCCGCCCCCCTGACCACTAGGCACCCAAGTTACATTCGGATTCTGTGCCATCATCTGCGCAATCTCCTTCTGCGTCTCAATGCGTCGAATCTGGATCAACCCATCGCCGCTCTTTGCGACCGCCCTTGAAATCGTTTCAGCGGCCTCGGCTTCACCTTCAGCCCGGATAACGCTAGCCTGCCTCTCCTGTTCCGCTTTCTCGACGATGAAGCGTGCCCGCTCGGCTTCCTGTTGCGCAATCTGCTTGTCCTCAACGGCACGAGTGAATTCCTTGCCGAAAGTCATATGTGTAATTGAAACATCCTCGAGGTTGATGTGGAACTCCTGAGCGCGGCGAAGTAGGTCGGTGCGGATGCGGTTCGAAACGGCTTCACGTTGTGTGATGAGTTCGGCGGCATCGAACTGCGCAATGACGGACTTGAGGACTTCGTTACCGATGGAAGGCAGCACACGCTCATCGTAATCTTGGCCAAGGTTCTATTGATTCTCATCTCAGCTGCCGTGTCCCCGTGAACTCATACGGCACGGTAAATATAGAAGACTCACCTGATAGATCTTAGGCAGCATAGTAACCTCTGGCCTGTGCAGTACTCTCAGCGTCAAGCTAACCATCTGCAGGTCTTTGCTTCCGGTTGTCGTGGATATGTTTCTCGGCCTCGTGCGCACATCATATATGATGCTCTTCTGTAGCCAGGGGATCAGGAAGTGAGTCCCCTCGTTGACGACCTCCTCCTTGACACCAGACAACCTGTCGAAGATGACGGCGCGGGTGCCACCTTTGACATCGTACATAGAGGCTTGCCCGATGCTGAGGGCAACGGCTGCGGGAACGGCCCACTTGTAAATGGTATTAAGTGCTTGCGCCATGGTAGTAATGACCGCAAGCTAGCCTCGTGGCTAAGTAGGGGACGAGATGGGGGATATACACTCTAAAATGCAAATACGGTTGATGTACGGTGCTTCCTCGAGATGATCCAAAAGAGAGCGCTAGTTGTACCCCTACCTTCATGAGCCCAGAATGTTCATGAATGTCAGAGCGTAGAAGTCTCAGGAATGATATTCAGAACGAATAAATTTGAAATATATAGACACGAATAGAACAATCTCATCCCATTCTTTTCGCATAGACTAAATCTCGATCACCAAAGGCCAAACGCAATCACCAAAGTCACAGGGAGTGCTCATATCAGGCAATTCCTGCATTCTCAGCCGGGACTTTTTGGAGTTACAGCTCCAAAACGGATTAGCGCATTTTGGCAGCGAATCGCTCCGAGCAAGCCAGCAAGAACATCATCTTCACTTCAACACCGAACATTCGCCCATTGCGTACTGAACAAGCCACTTAAGCAGTCAATTGCATCGGCATCAAATTCAATATGGGTGGTGGACAGAAATTGCCTGGCCAGTACGTCTTCCCTGCGCGCCTGCTCGTCGACGAAAAGCTCTTCCGACGACGAACGCCAGCCGCAATACATCCTTCGACGAGCAGGCCGATAGCTAATTTGGTTTTTCTGGAACAGGTACATGGGCTGGTGGGGTGACCTTGGTATGTAGAGCCCAGACTAGGCATTTTGGTGTGAGAGAGAGCCCCGCGAAGCTGATGATGAGTGTTATCTCAGGTTCACAACCACAGAAGTATCTGACGACATACGCACTCTCTCCCAACCGACAGAGACCGCTCGCCGGTGCTGCCCGCAACGCGGTTTTCAACACGTTCCGTCGCACAAGCCAGCAGATCGGCTACTGGCTGCCGCCAATGCTGATCGCGTACTATGCTATGCAATGGGCAACGGAGAGGTATGGCTCCACGAAATCACGAGGCAAAGTGAAAGTGGTCGCTGACTTGGTTGGGCAGGAATGAGTACTTGAACTCGAAAGCCGGGCGAGCCGAATTTGGTGATGAAGAGTAGAAGTTGTGTTCATGGACATTTCATTGGCACTGTTTGACTAGCAGTTGCGTAGCCAAATGGAAGGGATCACCTGTACAAAAGAACTTGGAATAGATTTTTGAGTTACCCTTTCAAATTCCTTGATGTCCTCGACTTTCTCTTCTAGAATTCGAAATATGATGCCGTGACTATCAACACAGTCGCACTGAATTGGGACAAGACAACTATTGTCTGCCAGTGTTTTATCAGGCACGTCGCATCTAGTAAGAGCCGAGCATCGATGTTCCGAATACTTGGCTATCTAAGAAATGCTTTGCGGAGAGAAGTTGACACTTTGCGTGCTGAGCTCAATCCACAGGCCTGTATCACCTATCCGTGCTACAATCCTGTATTCCGTTCTAAGTAAAGCACATCATCGATCAAGTGGTCTAGATTATAGATTCGAGCCTTGTTCGTACACTCATGCTGGTATATCTCAATGTAGTGCTATATTTGAAAACTGTCCTCTCTGATTGGATGATACCCTACGCCGCCATTCCGAGCAAACATCCTCCATTATCATCCGCACTGGTCTTTACTCCTTCGCGATTTGCTCGATTTTTAGACCTGAATTTTCCGCTGAGGGCTAGCATAAAAGGGGCCCATGACTGCCCAATGTCGAAAGAAGTACAATTTACATTCGAAGATTTTCCCTTCTGCACCAAAGGCTGTAAGGCCGTAAGAGCTGAGTATTGACCTCGCCTCATTCTTATAAAGAAGAAGCACTCGAAATGAGAAGCTGCAGGAGATATCAGGGAGAAAAGGATACATGATGAGGACAGTAAGAATAGCAGCCAGTTAAGAAAAAAAAACAGCTTGACTGTCCGCATATGTTCAGCTCCAGCTTGATCCTGCATACTCAATCTTCAGCTCGGTTACACGCTTCGTTCGAAACTTCAGCCCCGAAGGTGCAGCCGCAGAGATAACGACGATACCAAAAATTCGTGGCAAAAGTGTGACAGACGAAATCCAAGATAATGCTGAGCATATCTTAAATTTTGTCATGATGCCATGGTTGAGTTCATGTGCCGCAAGGTCAGGTAGAGTGCCGTGACATGGATCGATACTCCTAGATAGGAGCAGAGATTGGAGAAGGCTTTGCCACGCTGTTACCCGCACAAACGAAACACAGACGAAGATAAAGGGTAAATTTAGCGTGTCTGACGCGCCATAAGCAAATTTCAGCCAAAGCATGAGCTGGTCACAAATTCGGGGCGGTTGGGACTGGGTCTAGGCCGCAAAGCCGACGCCCATTTACGAGTCTTAAGGCCTTACGATTTCGGTGCGTCGAACAGCATCGTACACCTCGGTCCGGAGTAAGTAGTGTTCCATTTGAGGCGCGGGTTGACCAGATAGAAACAGAAAGTATTTGGCAAGAAAGCATAATTATTGGAACGAAACGGGTATGACGTTTTACACTCGCGTGTCCAGCGGATCCAGCGGATCAAACGGACGGTCTTTGTCGCCCGTGGTGCCGAAGCCCAAGCCCCTGAACAAGAAGCCTTAATATCACTGAAATAAGCCAGCTCCGTCTTATCCTTTCCCAATCCTACTAACACACGGTGGCTGGTGGGGTGGCCAATTTCATTTCTATCGTCCGAAAATGAGATTTGCTCGCGTGTTGCAATAATCGACCAACCTTTTTCTTCTCTTTCCCGTGCCCTTTCTGATTGCTGCTTGACCTCCTCACTCGCCGCCTTCTTTCGTCCCGCAAAGACGACGAACCTCACGCACATCTCGCACGCTTTTGAACGCGTCGAGCGAACGGGCAGTGTCGAGAGGCTGCTGTGAAAAAGTGGCCGCGAGATTGGTGCGTTCGAAAAGCGACAAGGACTGCGCCCCGGAGCTGGTAGCAGACCGCTGTGCGACGACCGCCACGTCTGGACCGTCCAGGCACACGCAGGAGAAGTAAGGGGAACTGGCCCCCTCTGCGCGAACGCAAACAACATACGCACCTGTTCCTCACGTGTGCACAAGACCGACAAACGTCGTCAATTGACGAGTGCAGGTGAGTTCCAAGTCCTTGCTGTCCGTCACTATTTTGTACCGTACGGCACGCTCGGCGCTGTCCAAGACGCTTGCCCTGCACCTTCGCTGCATATGCACAATCCCCTTGCTTGCAGCCTCTGTCCGCGCCTATCCGATAAACCTACACTTGACCCCATTCCACCGCTACTTGATCAAACCACCTTCAGCTCTCTCAGCTTATCTGAATTCAGATCACGCTGCTGAGAATCTGACCGTGGATAAACAGCCCGACTTTGCTGTCGGCCTTTGTCCATAGCATCGCTCAAAGTTTTCCCCTTTCTAGTAGCCACAGTCTAATCCTTTCGCCACGCAGCGGCCCTTACCAAACCTGCCTTAATATTGATGACCACCCAATTCTCAGCGACAGCGGCACCAGCTGCTGAGATGGACAACGAGAAGCCCCCCGTGGTCTGGCAGACGGAGGATCGACGGACTGCGACGGCAACTAAGAAGACATCTATGCCTGGCTTGAAAAACCGCTTCACCTTCTTCTCGACGTCGCCCAAAACTCGAAACGCCGACATCCAGGCTGTGATCGCCGCACAGGAAAAGGCCTTACAGAACAGCCCGTCCCCGAACGCAAAATCCATGTCCCTCCCATCCATTTCCCTCTCGTCTACCGACCGAACGAGCGCCGAGACCATCTTCCAGGCTCCTACCGAAGAGCAGATTGCGAAGAAGGCGAGGGAGGAGGCCCAGTTTGGACCGCTGTTGTCAGAGGCACACTTACATTCGAGTTCGTTTGAAGGTGGCGAGTTCCCGGATCCCATCGAGGACACTCCCCCCTACTACTTTGTCATCACGACTTACATTTCCTATCTTATCCTTATTATTTTTGGCCACGTACGTGACTTCTTCGGCAAGCGTTTCCGCCCTGCGCATTATGCCCATCTGCAGGCCGCCAATGGCTATGCGCCTCTGAACAGCGACTTCGACAACTTTTATACTCGTCGCCTCAAGATGCGCATCAATGACTGCTTCGCGAGACCAACAACCGGCGTTCCGGGCCGTTTCATCACGCTCCTGGATCGCGAGAGTGATGACAACAACCACACTTTCAGATTGACCGGCACCAAGACGGAGACGCTGAACATGAGCTCCTACAACTATCTCGGTTTCGCCCAGTCGGAAGGCCCCTGCGCCGACGCTGTTGAGGAGGCTGTCAGGAAGTACGGCATTTCTACGTGCAGCACACGTGCCGATGCTGGCACTTCTGACCTCCACAAGGAGGTGGAGTCATTGATCGCCGATTTCGTCGGCAAGCCTGCAGCGATGGTTTTCTCCATGGGCTTTGTCACCAACGCTTCTGCTTTCCCCGCCCTTGTCGGAAAAGGATCCATCATCGTATCTGACGAGTTGAATCATGCTTCTATCCGCTTTGGTGCTCGCATCTCTGGCGCCATGGTCACAACGTTCAAGCACAACAACATGAAAGATCTCGAGCGTCTGCTCCGCGACCTCATTGCCCAAGGTCAGCCACGTACGCACCGCCCATGGAAGAAGATCCTCGTCGCAGTTGAGGGTCTGTATTCCATGGAAGGAACCATGTGCAATCTGCCGGCTCTCGTAGAGTTGCGCAAGAAATACAAATTCCATCTCTTTGTTGATGAGGCGCATAGCATTGGCGCTCTTGGTCCTAACGGCAAGGGCGTATGTGACTACTTCGGCATTGACCCGTCGGAAGTGGACATTCTTATGGGCACGTTAACCAAATCTTTTGGTGCAAATGGTGGCTACGTCGCTGGTGACGAGCACGTTATCCAGAAGCTGCGTGTCACCAATGCTGCTACTCAGTATGGCGAATCTCCGACCCCACCTGTCCTCATGCAAATCAAGACCTCTCTTCAGATCATCCAGGGCGTGATTGCGCCAGGCCAGGGCCAAGAGAGGCTCCAGCGTCTGGCCTTCAACTCACGTTACCTGCGTCTGGGACTCAAGCGCCTGGGTCTGATTGTATATGGTCACGACGACTCACCCATCATCCCTGTCATGTTGTACAATCCTGCCAAGATGCCTGCCTTCTCTCATGAGATGTTGCGCCGCAATATCTCTGTTGTTGTCGTTGGCTACCCAGCTACGCCACTTATCTCATCTCGTGCCCGCTTCTGCGTCTCAGCAGCGCACAACTTGCACGACCTGGAGCGTCTAATCAGGGCATGTGACGAGATTGGTGAGGTGCTGCAGCTTAAATTCAGCTCGGGCGTTGCGGGAGGTGAGGAGCCAGAGGGAATGCAGGAGGGCATTCCTGTGGGGCTTCCCCCTTCATACGAAGAGGCCACGGGCGAGAAGACGGTCGCTGTCAGGCCTAGGAGCCGAAGTCAGGTCAAGCCCCCAAGGTGGAATGTGGAGGATGTGATCCGTAGAGGTGTGGCAGACACCAAGGTGCCTCTGAGATAGAGGAAGCACGAAGACTTCGCATTTTATTTCATGCGCCATGCAAGACTGCCAAACTGCCCCATACACCATCTCACTTGCATGTTTGGTACCTGGGCTTTGTCTTGCAGGCTTGTAACATTTTTTCTATACCTTCGCTATACCCCCGACCGTGTTAACATTAGAAGAAAAATTTCTGGCGAAAAGATTTTTTGCATCGGGAGGTCGGGATTGTTGGAAGTTTTTTTTTTTTTTTTTTTTGCGGCCTTTTGAAGGAGTATCATTTTTGGGTAGGGACTGGCGTTTTTGTCGTCAACATCACCGTCGCCGTTTGCAGCATCATCATCATTGCCATTGTCACTTAGACCGTGGAGAGGGGTGTTACCCGTTTTAGCAGAGATCGAGAAGACGTCCAGGTTGAAAAGGCCAAAGTTTATCATCGATGTAGAAGAGCATGTCAGCGTGCCCCGGCTTCTTTTTGGATCCCCAGCGGCTACAAGTTTCGCCGATGTGGCAGCCATGCAAATAGTAATTATAATGCGATTACTCCAAAACGATGTGCGCTTGTGCTATGACTCCTATTCAATTTTTCACTTAGTGAAGGAGTAAGATATAGACGTGAAAGCTGCCCACATTAACACAGACGCTGATGCTATGAAGTCCCGTAAGACTTCGTTACTCAGAGTATAGCAAGTAGTCTGCAACTACGACATGCTCTCTCCGGTGCCTTTTTCAATTGCACATTACGCGTTTTTGGATATATTCTGCGTGAGATACCATCTAACAAAACTTTTGCTTCAGGAAACTCACCCACCACCCTGACTTTGATTGTGAGACAAAAAGACCTACGTACGAGTTACGATCACGATCACTCGTCGAAATGGCAACACCGATCAACAAAACAGCTTCACGAAAGGCACTTGCTCATTGAACACCAACTTTGGCGGACACATCTCATGGCAACAATAGGCTGCCCGCGTTTTTGTTTTCCCGTGAAACGTGCTTTGACTCCAAAGAACACGTGCAAATGAACGAATGGATTTGCTTTGGCGGCGGAGTGATTATATTACAATCATTGGAGGCCTGAAGAGAGTCAGTCATAGTGCTGTGTATTCCTTAGGTGTTTCATTCTTCAGTCGATTATTTGAAATAGAAGATAGCTATCAAGACTTTGAGTTTGTTAGGAAGATCTCGGGATGAAATAAGCAGGTCCAACATTCAACTATGTCCAAACATGAATTGAAGTATGCAGCAGTCAAAGCAGATTCCCCATCTTATGTCCTTGACGAGAAGACATCAAAGCAGCGCGTAGTAAAGGAAGCGAAAAGGTATCGAAATTGAATACGCTAGAGCATTCCAATCAACACAGCAGTCTGCTTCAGCATCTATCTGTGGCTGACTGAAGGCATAATTTGGTATTGTAGAAAGGTAGTTGTCAATCTGAAGTTGCATGATGCTGCCCAACTAAAGAGCTTCGTCACGTGATATGATTCTACAGCCAATGACGCTAGGCTGTTTCAAGCCTTCACGCGCCGGATGGAGGCGGGGAATACACGCCTCGCCGACGTGAACCAGTCCTCACACGGTGGTAAGGCGAGCTTAGTTCGTCCATAATTGCACCTCATGCTATGCTCCAACCTTGGATGCAGATGCAATGCCTTCTTCGGACAAGCCTATACCAGAGCTGAAAGTGCTTCGTCGCAAGGCTTCAAATCTCGCGGATGAGAACGATTGGCCGCAGTTCGATGTCCTTGACGCCGAAGTTCGCGACGGCAATGGCAAGCTTACGAGTCTCTTCCTGGCGAGCCCAGATAACCAGATGGCCTTGATAGGGCAATTGGTAACAAAACGCGCGAATCCACATGGCAAGGCTGCACGAAAGGTTGGCAAAGACAATTGACTGACCTTGGGGCAGTGTTACCTACGCACAAAGGCAAAGCAAGAATTCCGATTGCCGTCAACAACATCACACACTTTGCATTTGGAGTCTTCGACTCAGGGGCTTACGCCATCTGGGCTGCTGGAGAAGCTGGCTGGTACACGATCCAACCCTCAAAAGCATATGAAAATGTTTTCAAAGAGATGGTTGAAGCTCTGGATGTTCTCTACTTCCTTGTCGAAGCCCATGAAGGCCCGAACCGACCGACATACACGGATTTGTTCCGCAGTTATGCCAAAGCCAAGGATATTGCAGAGATCGAGGCGATGCGAAAAATCTACTCGCACAAGGCATTCCTAGCATCTCGAATGGTCAAGGGCGAAGAAGGCATCAAATGGGGGCAAACCTCATTCTATCAGCATCTACGAAAGAGTTGGCCAGATTGTTTCCCCCAACGTTCAAATGCTGCGACAGCTCCTTCGAAGAAACAGTCAAGTACAGCTTCTATGAAGACATCCGTCCCACAGACAAGGACAGCTGCAGCACGGGTGCAAATAAGTGAAAAAAGCTCGAGATCTCATTCGAATGACTTACGAACAAATCGAGTTGACCCAGCAAAGGAAAATATATCAGCCGCTGCTTCAACAAAGAGAGTAACACGTTCAAATGAGGCCCTAAAGTTGGCCCAACAGCAACAAGCGTTAGCCCGGCAATTTCGTCCTCGAAACTTGTCACAGCAAAACCAGATTGAGTCCCCATTACTTAGTGAAATGAATAAAGCAAGAGCAAGAGAGGTGTGGAAATTTATGCAACGGAAATCTAACGAGACTTTGCCCGAGATAGCCGAAATGACAATTGAGACATTTGCGCGTTTCCTTTTACAGGAATACGAATTTCAGGATGAAAAGGAGGCGCAGTATTTCTTGAAGTTTCTGGCTCCCGATTTGGCAGGCATGATGTCAATACGACGGAATCGTACTTACGATCCATGGACAGAGTTGCCGGTGTATGATGAGTTAATAGAGGCAAAATTGCCTCCGAGAATCAAATCGAGGATAGCTTGCCTCAAGCTGCAGAAGCGCCATACGCCGTTGCCAGACCAAGATGATGAAACAGATGTGTCAGATGAAAGTTCTTCTGAAGAATCTGTTATAGATAAGGAAGAAGCAAGAGACAGAAAACGAGAAGCAGCAAGGCGGAGAATATCCGCATTGCGCCCGAAAAGTGGAGGGCAATATTCTGGCAAAGCAGCTAAGAGAAAAGGAAAGGAGAAGGCTACGTCAACAGGTGACGAGGAGGAAGAAATGTTGGGCGGGAATGAATACATAGATGAAGATGCCATGGATGTGGATACACCATCTAAACGGAAGAGCTTGTCAGAAGACGAGGATGACGACGAAGAACCAGAGTATCCCAACAAGCGGTTTACGCGCAGCCAGGGTACCTTGGACCCAGAATTGGAAGACCTCGAATTTGCTATCCAACAAGCGCGTTCCACTGCCATCCCAATTCGGCGCAAGTTGTCACGACCCACCGAACCTCCAAGCAGAGATGGTGATACAAATCATCGCTCTCAAGATATTATCCTTGTTTCCGAACCTGTGCATTCAACCGACGCCAATGCACCGGGCGATGTATGGAGTTGTCCCTATGCTGGTTGCATGCACAAAGTGTACGGTGCGTCTGAGTACGAGAACAAGGACCTTATTCGAGAACATCTGCTAGATCACAAGGAAAGGGATCGTGTAGATGTGATCAGGGATGAGGAAACCATGACGAGGTTGCCCGTCAACCATTTACTCAAGAGAATTCGTGAGCTTGCCGAGCGTAGTGGCGGAGAGCAGATAATGCCGTTAGACGGTGGTCTAATGGGTCTTTTCCCGCCTAGCTTGAAGAGACAACTAGTCTGATAGTGTTCGTTTTGCATAAGACGTTGAGCAAAGATGACTGATTTGTAGAACACTCACGTAAACGAATGTTGAAAATACCCCTCTATACGCATGGCAATTTCCAGGAAAACGACAAGCTATTTAGTAACAGCACAATCATGAATTTTTGCTAATTTCTTAACCTTGATTGTTGAAAAACATGGAAGGCAGCTTATGACGGGAAAATATGTCAGGTGACAGAGTTTGTCACAAAATATCTCAAGCAGCGTCGTGCATTTCCTTATTCACTGCTATTGCGAATATCTTCAGACCAGTATCACCCCTAGTATAGTGTCGACTCCGTCCAAAAAAAAATATGGCAGAGCAGAACAAGGTGCTATCGAGCTTTCTAGTGTCAAGGTGACAACCTCTTCTCGAGTCCATGTCAGGTATCCTTCATGAAATCCTTTACGGCTTTTGCTGCGAATTTTTTTCTCTCGGATTCCGGCATAGCAGATGTTGTGTCTGTTCAAGTGAGCATAAGGCACAAAACAAATGAGTCGGGGAATCGAATCTATTCGTACCTCTAATGGCCATCAGCTTATTCATCATTTTGCCCATTTCTTCGACTTCCTCCTCGTTTCCGTCTTCGAACTTCCCTCCGTAAAGCGCAGTCTTCATACCCAAGAGTTCAAGATTCATCTCGGCCTGCTCGTCTGCGAATCCGTCCCAGTCTGCGCCGTCACCAAAATTGTCAATGTCTTCGAAATCATCTGCATCCAGCTTGACCTCCCCTTCCCAATCTGTCGTTTCTAGTGCTTCTCGCAACCGTGCCAGGCCAAGCTGTTCGCCAAACTCGTTTGAGCCCTTTGCTTCTGCATCTACGTACTCGAACCCGTGATCTCGGCAAAAATCATCCCATTCGTCTCCAGATAGCTGAAGACTTGTCGTGGTACTCTGCTTTGTGCCCACAGCGAGACATGTGCCTTCCCAGTACTCGCCGCATGCCTTATGTATAACGGATTTGATAGCTTCTACGGTTCTTTTGATTGTGGCAAGATCTTCGTCTGTAACGGGCTTGCGGAATACGTATATCCAGGCTCCCACGGCGTCAACCACCTCCTTTGCTTCTTCCTTGGAAAACTCCCTTAGCCATGTTGCTACGTCTGATATATCATCAATCCATATGCTAAGACTGGCCGTGTAATATTGTGTCTTGAGCGTCCACGAATGTGTAAGACCGGATATTGAGTCGTCGATGGGACTTGGCGCGGAGCTGGTAAGCTCTGTCGAGAGAAGCGTTAGCTCGGCAAACACGGTTTAATGCATGTACGAGTCACCTTCGAGGATCTTCAGAACATCAGCATCTGGTGTGCTAACGGTTAAAATGCGTTTTGGGTTCGAGACGTCCATTTTTGAAGCTGGTCTGGAGGGGTAAAAAAAGAGGGGCTTCGTCGTGCTTCATACCCATACGGGGCTCGTGTAGCCATTTACTCCACGGCATGATATTCACAAAGAAATCGTAAAAAAGGCAACAAATATGTTACGAATCATAAACTTTATTCGTCGATTTAAGCAAGATATGGGATGTGGCGAAGGCGTAAATGATAGTGCGAAATCTGGCGCTGAACTTCATGCTGGAGACAATTTACAATATGAAATAAGACCTGTAGTCTTTTTGAAGCTACTCATAACTGTAGCTTAAGCCTTCCAATCTCTCGTGGCCTAAACGGGCTATTCTCCTATTGTTCAAGAGATCACTCGCATGCTTGAGTGACAATGTTGCAGAGAATATGTTGGCCCAAATGCAGTATATTCACGTCTGCATCCAATTACACGATATCATAGCCGTGATTTTGTCCCCGCCTCCATCTTGATGCTCATCTCTTCTGGCCTCTAGCTCGGCTAACAGTTGCTCTACCTCTTGCCAAACCAACACCACGGCCCTTCTTGTCTCTCTGTCTGAACATAGGCGCATTCCTCAACATATCTGGAACGATAAAGTAGCGAATGTGAGAGCCGCGTACATAAACGCGTTCGAGATGTGAGACTCGTCCTTCTCGCGAGGTGTTCTGGACATCGATCATCTGAACGTTCATATTGTCTTCGGCTGTTGGAGTCATGTTAGCAATATTGAAAATAATACAGACGATAAGGTAGAAGCACCTTCGATTAGTTTGCCTCTATAGACATCCCCGGACGTCAGTTCGAGAGTAACGGTGTGTCCCTGCGGATGTGTAAGTTTTCTTTATCGTAAAATGCGCGCGACGTGAGAACATACCGTGGCCTCATTCAGAAGCTTAATTGGAATACCAATTGTACTAGTCATCTTATCAAATTCCTTCCAACCTTCTCTACTAGTTTCAGATTTTTCGTACAAGTACGGAAAGTATTATCTGCAGTCGCAGCCTTGGAAACCTTTGGGAAGCGTGAATATTCTGCCGAATTTTAGCCGAATATGTTATATCACGTGCTACCACCCTTTCCCATTGAAGGTGGCATCCAGCGCATCATTGTCGTTGCAAAGTTTGAAACCAAAAAGCTTAATTATCATCAAAAAGATCTATATTCACTCATTTAAGAGCTAGGTTTCGCGCACGCCACTGCTTTATTGTGGCCATAATAGTGAACTTAGGCGGACGAGCAATTCCAACATATCGTTATATGTCCTTGGAGCTACCTTCACAATGGCATTCAACCTCTCAGGAACTCTAACCTTCTTTAAACTCTTCCAAAATCCGGCCCTCTGTCTTCCACATCATACTATCAAGACCTTTGCAGACCTTCCAGTGCCTATTGGCAAAGCATTCGCAGATTCCGAAAAAGGCATTGAAGCAGATATCAGAGCCGTAATTCTTGATAAAGACAATTGCTTCGCGCTCCCGCATTCCAACGAGGTTTATCCACCTTACATCCAAAAATTTGAGGAACTCAAGAAAGCGTACCCCGGATCCAGACTGCTCATCGTGTCAAACACCGCTGGGACGAGAGATGATCCTACCGGAGAGGGCCTTGCTGTCTTGGAAAAAAATACGGGAGTAAAGGTCTTGAAACATAATACAAAGAAGCCTGGGTGTAGGGATGAGGTATTTAAGTATCTCAGGGAAGCTCCAGATGTCCAGATCGAGAGACCTGATCAGATTGCTGTTGTTGGTGATAGATTGCTGACAGACGTTATGATGGCGAACTTGATGGGCGCAAGGGGAATTTGGGTCAAAGATGGAGTAGTTCAGAGGAAAACCTTTGTAAGTTCTTATCCTTCGCTATCATACTCACCGAAACATATCATCAGCGAATTCAAAAAGAATTGTGTTATCTTGAACACTTTGCTTTTTCCCTTGGCAATCATAGTTTGAACAGACACTGATCTTATGAAGTTCGCAAAAGCGGAGGAATCGCTCTCAGATTTCCTTCTTCGTCGTGGATATGTTGCTCCAGAACCAAAAAGCGACTTCGAATGATCTTAAATCGCTACTGAATCTCTCTGTCACATCATGTGGACCGCTGCTTTCGAGCAAACTATCCTTTGTAAAACACATCTCAGGGCAATTACAGTCATAATAATTCAGGACGCATATGTCAATCTCGATCTTCGGAAGTGCTTACTGTAACAGCTTGAACTTTGCTGTCTCCTCCATAAAATTGGAGAAAAAAGAGCATGGACTTCGAATCCTGGCACGTTTCAATATCATCAACCTGAATGGGCCTGGGCTCCACAAATGCCTAGGAAAGATGCTTTTGTTCCACTGGTTGACGAAATCCTTCTCTGAATAGTGTTTAAACATCCTCCTATTCCAGCATTAAGTAGGATGACTGAAGAAAGAAAATGAAAAGCGACGGTGGACGAAGTAGCGAAAGTCTTACTCTTAGGCTATGTGAACATGATTATGGCTTCATTGAGCTGCTCATCACCAATCCAGGAGTCCCAATCACGAAGCAATTGCTTCAGTGGCTCATAAGGTTTACTTCCTGAAAAGATCCAGATCAGTTAAATTCCCTCCGTGGTGCAGATGACGTAAGGCAAAAAACAGTTCGATAGGATCGTGAAGTTGTCTTTGATTGGTCAGTTTGGACGCAACGCTGGTCCCTCCCAAACTTCACATAAGCTGGACACCGGAGGCTATACGGATTTGAAATGAAGGACTCATTTCGCATGGTTTTCTCGGTAAATTTATTCCTTACATTAAAAGAAGCTCACCAGTTTTGTAAAAGAAAGGTCGCAACGAACGATGACCGTTGCGTACAACACCGACAAAGCACGATGGGAGGCTGTCCTAAAGCGAGATCGAGCTGCAAGCAATGCATTTGTCTATACCGTGAGCTCCACAGGTATATATTGTCGACCTACGTGCCCAGCAAGAATCGCACGGCGTGCCAACGTTGGATTCTATGCGTGTGCATCGGAAGCGGCCGCGAATGGATTTCGCCCCTGCAAGAGATGCAAACCGGAAAGGGCTGAGGGTCAGCCAGAAGATGCAGCTGTCATAGCTGTCAAGAATTTTCTTGCCAACGAAGGGAAGTCTCGAAAATATCAGACCCTAAGGCAGATGTCTGATCAGGCCGGGCTGAGCAAGTGGCACTTCCATCGCACCTTCATAAAGATTACTGGTATGACACCAGGCGAGTGGGCGAAACAACAGAAACAGCTTGCATTAGCCAAAGCTTCTGCAGCCAATACTTTTGATGCTACTCCTGACCCGTCAATAATGTCTGTCATCGCACCATCATCTCTAGACAGTTCTACCTCCACAACCCTGTCATCCTCAGCAGAGTTCGGTAAAGACACCACACTGCTACCGTCTCTGGCCGATGAGGAGTGGTTTCACATGATTGATTTTGATGCGGCGTTTGAGGCTACAGATTTGGAAGCATTTCAAGTATGACAAACGAGATTATCTTCCTCGGGTTCAGAATGAACGATCGTATCGAGAATGATGCCACCTCACTGTTTGAAGCATTCAGACTCTATCAATATAGACTGTTGCTATGTCTAGAAATCAATTGTGCGCATAATTTCACAGGTTGCAAAGATCGGCACAGGCATCAAAATCTTGGACACGAAAAGTAAAGCTGCACTGAAGGCCTTAGCGTTGCGACAGATGCAGTCACAAATGTTCCTTTGCGATGAAACGATGCAGTTCGAAGACTGTAGAAACTTACTGTCGCTCCTGCTGAACTGCACATATTTAAGAGAGAGAGAGGGCGCAATGCGTGTGAGAACTACGAGGGCGTCAATCTAAGTGTGACAAATTGACTTGAACTAAAAGGAAATCCGAACAGCTAGAAGCATCGATGACTCGGATCAAATTAAATGTTGGCTATGTCTACGACTGAGCGAGACATGAAAATTTTGAGACGAGTCTCGGTCTGTTGCTCGCAATTCTTTCTTGCCAGCTGTTTTCATGCATAGGTTGTATCTTCCACGAGCACACAAATAGGGGATCTTTGGATGGATGGACCCACGGAATCCTAATTAGATCAGAACAAGCAGTTTAGTTTGCAAAAAGCGACATGGAATCACCAACAAGTATGCATCCGAATAAGATAAACAGAGATGTTAGAGAAATAGTAGCACAAACCTATTGTTACACTCATGCCTCCGCATAAGTTAAAGAATACTGTCCCTTGAGGTTCTGGAACACATATTAGCCAGCACTCTTGTAGAGTCACAAACGAATGTGTTCAGTTGAATTAACATGCCAGACCCAAAACAATGACCGCGTTCTAGCTAAGAGTTGTTCAATTGGCACATGAGATCTAAATCAAGTGTTAGATCTTCGAGTTTGCAGAAAAGCCTTGCCGCTCAGCATCCATTTCCTTGTCATAGTCGACATTGCAGAAACATATTTACTGGTCAACTACCGCAGAACTCTCGGAGCAAACGTGCCAGGCCGGACATCGCTACTGTCAAAGATGAGAGTAGCAACATGACTGTTTGGAACAGAAGTTAAAGATAGTGGGCATTCTTCCTGGCAACAGGAGCCACCTTTTTGTAGGCTCTGCATATATGTGCCCTGCTCATGCCGTCTCCTCATGTTGGAAATTAATTCTTGCAGCGAAACTCTCATGAAGAATGGCAAGCATAGCGTCGCACGCGTCCCAAATGCTTGGGGCCGCTTTCGCCGCATGGGCACTGCTAGCAAAGACATTAACGTAAGTTACGGAGCACAGAACGGATTAAACCCGTGGATCCTCCACGACCAATCAAAGCTCAGCTTGGCATATTGAACTACAATACTTCTTCAATCTTGGGGAATCGACGCCAGCCCTCGCACACACTGTTCACGTCCCGCACTCAACATGTCTTTGCCGTCGCTTGCGATTCCCGGCCAGGTGATTGCCGCCTCGAGCGATCTGGCTCCCGGTCCGGGCACGTTCCAATGCGAGCAGCGCATCGCGGCGTCGATTCTGGGGGTGCCCTCCAGCCAGAAGAGCAGCATTGCGCCGAAGGGCCCCAAGATACTCAGCATCGCCCCCTCTGCGCGGACGCCGCGCCTGCCGCAGATCAACGCCGTCGTGTACGCGCGGGTGACCCGCATCGAGCGCCAGCAAGCCCGCTGCACCATCCTGGTCGTGTCGGACACGGTGGCACCGCAGCCGCTGCGGGCGCTGCTTCGAAGCCAGGACGTGCGCGCCACGGAAAAGGACAAGGTCAAGCTCGCCGAGTGCTTTCACGTCGGCGACGTCATTCGCGCAACGGTTATCGGCCTGGGTGACCAGTCCGGCTACTACCTGAGCACGGCGGGCAACGACTTTGGCGTCGTCATGGCCTGGAGCGACGCCGGCAATGCGTGCGTGCCCATCAGCTGGTGCGAGGTCCGGGACACGGAAACAGGCCTGAAGGAGGCGAGGAAGGTTGCCAAACCGGTGTGAAGGTAGCACCGCGGCGGATGCGTCGAAGTGGCAGAACACAGAGCTCGTCCTCGCTACGGACGTTTGCCCTTTAGGTTTGAGCACGTCACGTTCGGATGGGCACCTCGCACACGCAACGACCTGAGGGAGCAACCCTACCCCTTGACAGATTGTCGCACACGCCGTGGCACTTTTCGAAAGGCGAATCTCACCATGCTGTGAACGCCAATCAGCACTCGCGCCGGTAGCCCTTTGCCTATATTTTGAGGGAACACAGCGGAACAGCTATAGATATAAATACTGTGTGGCCGAAGCGTTGGGGAACACAGAATCGATGTTAATGTGGTCATGAATCTCATTCATATCTAAGAAAAATGCACGCACTGTCATACACTAAATCTTTGAGATGAGGCGATTGGGTGTACGCGCTCCAGAAGCAAATTAAGGAGTGCCGCAGCTGCCTCTTAATACCCAAACAACAAACAGTAGATTAAACAGATATTCCATTTTTGTCCATTGCTTGCTTCGATATGCAATTTGTTTTTTCTTTCCAAGAAGAGATGCACATGTATGAGATGAATGAATTTGTTCTTAACTTTTGCGCGGTCATAAGTCGTTATGAGCTAACTTTTTGGGGGTATCGCATGGTTCGAATGCGCAGATGTGACATGTAATCAGTGAATTGCAGTCATGGGACATATATGATGATAATGTGTCCTGTATCAAACAGTTTTGCTGGGATCTTCGCGCATGTTAAGATCGGATTGGGTTTGGTTTGTGGCCGTCTTCTGTTGGTCTTTCTTGATTTCTTGCTGCTTCACTCCGTTGAGAGCGTCGATTAGTGCCCCTTGAGCATTCCAGTCAGGCACATGATAGTGTTGAATAGATCGCATTTTACCCTTATACTTCTGGTCGATGTTTGTCGGTTCGGGAGCATTCAATGCAACTTCGTGGGCAAGAGCCAACCACCGGTCCCAGGCTTCTGAGGTGGGCGCCGCGTCACTTTTGCGGATCCATTCAATCTCACGGGTGGCAATAATAACTTTCCATAGTGCTTGAGTAAAGGTCTTGTTGTACGAGACAAAATCTTTGCATTGTGCTTTGGGAGGAATGGTTTTAGGTAGATCCTTGTCTATCGTCTTTAAGCAGATGTCTTGCTTGCCCTCTTTCAATTGCTTCACGATTGCTTCGCGAAGCATCTCGCGGTTCATTTGTGGCTCGGCAAAGGCTTCGGGGATGACTTCGAAGGCGCTCGTGTCCCAGTGGAATCTCTTTGGCAAGGCTGCAATGATCCAGTACGCCGCGTTAAGTATCATGTATGCTACTGCAAAGGCGACCTGGACGTTGGTTCGAGCATTGCCGAGGAAAATGACTCCAAACATGAGCAAGATACTGCCCACCAGAGCAATCATTCTATACTTCCAAGGTGTCTCAATGTCATATTCAATGCCCTCTGGAGCGAAGAAAAGCTCCCTGGCAACGTCTTCTGAGCACCGAATAACGACAAAGCTGCCCTTCGGATATCTGAGAATGACATCTCCTGGAGGCGTGTAGTGATTTTTGTCTCCGGCTCTTTTGGGGAGGTTGAGGTTCCACTTGTTCACGACGCCGACTAGAGTCGACAAGAATGACAAGCATATGTCTGCAAGTATAGCCATGCCGTCTTGCTGCCATACCGAAATTGCGAGAATCACAACGGACAGAACACAGCCCAGGACGGCAACCCACCAAGTGGGCCCAAAGGGTCTTGCTCTGACCACTCCCTCGTTATGTATCCTCTTTATCTTTATGCACTTGACGGCGTAGTCCGGTAGGCTGTCGGCGTTTCTGTAAGAAACCTGTTAGTCACTGGTCCTGAACGAGGTCGAGAAAGACGAGCGAGGCATGACGTGAGAGGAGGAAAACGAGAGCTCATGTATAGGTTGCGCATACCCTCGAGACGCTGGAGAGAAAGCTGGTCTTTCTAGTTCAAATCACGACATGTTCTGGCAGGCTTCGTGAGCGGGTATGAGGGAGCAGACCACTTACGCTAAGACATGACCTAGGAAGTTGATGTAATCTCGTTTGTTTCCTGACGTTACTCCCACAGCTTGGCCTGAGATGGGCTGCAGCTTGTCCGGCCGTGATGGTCGTAACAGAGCTTGCGGGGCAGGGAGTAGTCGAGGGAGGAAGAACATGCGTGAGAGGGTGGCCACTTGAGATGTGGAGACAACTGCACTTTCACCGAGGATAGCTAAGAAACCTACGATGTCCAATTGCAGATGATTCCATTGCAGAATACTATCGGGCTGGTTCTGATTCTCATTCAACTGTCCCCAACCAAGCTGATACATGGTGTCGCTGGCTGACAACGAGAAAATGGCTCACTACGAAGGGCCTCCAGGACGATTGAACGGGAAGCGAGACCTTTTATGAGTGGGACACTTGGCGGATTGATGCAGGTGGAGAGGTCACGGCAGAAGGAAGGGCGTGAGGACGTTGAGGAAACGAGCCTCAGCGCGGGTGGTCGGACATGGCTTCTTGAGAACAAAAGACGGATTGAGCCTGAGAGCAACGACCGTGTTACTGATGACAAACGAGGGCGCCAACGCAAAAAGAAAGGCGCCCGGAGGCCAGCGAGCGTATCGCACAGGAGCTGGGCGATATCATTGGCCGAGCAAAGGCGAGCTGCATCAAACACGACTGCGCCATGCTGAATCTGCAGAGGCCTTGTCGCGGTCTCCATCGATCGTCTGCACCGCTTCTGCTTATGCCGCGAAGAACCGCCATGATCAAGCGCAGTGCTGGGCTTGCGGCCTCCGATGCTGGATCATCGCATGGGATGTGTGCGCTGCCCGTTTTGAGCTCGATCAGACTACCTGATGATTTGACCAGAACGTTTAGGAATCATGTTATGCTCTGGTTTGGGCTAGAGGGATTTGCTTCGCCTCAAGCTGCGCCCATTTCATTGTGGACAACCTGTCCAGATACAAGACGATGAGCTGACGCCAAAGCTCCATGATGTTTCGCTGCGTTTTGAACGTTTTTCCACCCTTCTTGTTTCTGAGCCTTCTCGGGGTTTGTTCGTTGTGTTTCCATCTTCGATACACTCTTGCTGGTGAGTCAGCACGTGCCCAGGCCTGTCCGCTCGACTCCGAGTGCGCGACGACGTTGGACTCTGTTGTCATTTACACGCACCCGCGCAAGCACCCGCACACAGCTACACAGACATATTCGTATCTATATGCACGTGGGCCCCCGCGCGGATTAGGTCCCAAGAAGCACGCGTCGGAGACGCCCTCTCTAGCGACGTCAACAACCACACCGACGACCACAACGACAACGAGAACAGCAACTTGGCAGGAACCCCAGTAGCGGAACCCCCGCGATCACGGAGCGACGACGGTGTCTGGTTCCCGCCGTCACGAGTTGTAGCTTGGCAGGACTTAGACTGATGAACGACAGAGAGGTATGCGCCAGAGCTGACGTCCGTCATCTACTTTTTTATTCTCTTTGATTTTTAATTTTATTTTTTTTTTTAAAAAAAAAAAACATCTCAGCCTGATCGCATCTTTCTCCTGTCGTCTTTGTTTGCCTGCTTTCTATCTTTATTCCGTCCCCATGCCAGCTGGCACGCGCCTTTTCGCCTTGGGCGATCTGGCTCGCCTCGTCACCGGTCTCCCCATTTCACTCTTCTTCTTCAAGCCGCCTGTCATCCTGCACGGTGCTCTCGGTTTGGCGTGACCTAGGCCCCAAGCGTAGCCTGAAGCTCGTCGCCGTAGAGTCTTAAGCGACCTACTGCCTCTGAACTTCGACAGAGTTTCGCAGCCTTTCGGCCCAAGTCCTTTGCTCTTATTTGTATTACAACACACTCTCACTTGTAGAGGCTGCAGTTGTTGGATTGCTGCATCTTTATCTGCAATATGCACGCCCAAGACAAATGTCACCCCTGCGATTGTTGCTGCAATTCATATTCTGTGGCCCCAAAGTACGCCAAACATCCTCCGTAGATACATAGCCCTTTCAATATGCGACTCTGACACATTCCTGCGCTTTGAATAGCAATGCTGACAAAGCTTTCTAGGGCCCACCAGATCACAGCTTGCCGCTCTGTTACGTTTCAGAGCGCGCTAGACAGTTTGGGCCAACGTAGTATACATCAATTCAAGATATTATCTCCTAACCTCTTCATCCTGGATACCTTTACTTTGCTCATGAAGGGTGGCTTGGATAATTTGAAGCGTAAAAGGGGTAAACCTAGAAAAGCCATAAAAGCCCGGAAGGAGAGTAAGGAAACGATGACTGAGAAGCCAATGAATTCAGACGACCAAAGATCTCCAGGAGAGATTTTCAACAAACACTATAGCAACCTTAATGGTCTTTCAAATGATTACGAACAACGAAAAAAGGATCTCATAAGCCGAGAGAGAAATATTGCCTGGGATAAGAAGGCTATAGATACTGCATCCAAAATCGAACAGAGAGCGGGCACTATCATCTGGAAGATACGCGAACACGAGCGTGACAATCTATTTGGAAATATAGCATCCGAGGCAATTCCAGGGCCAGAAACGCTCGATATGGGCGGGCAGTTCCTTTCGAACAGAGAACGGGTAGTGAAGCAGAGTTATCTATACCGGATTGCACTCAAAATGCCCAAAGGTTGCCATCTGCATCTTCATTTCAATGCCGAGCTGGCGCCAGACATTTTGATAAAGAAAGCCGGAGAGCAGCCAAACATGTTCATCCGAAGCACGCAACCGATTCTTTCGGACAAGGATTATGCTGAGACCGAGATCGTTTTCAATGTTTTGCCAGAAGACACTCCGACGGCCGATATCTGGTCTCCGGATTACAACCCGGATTTCAAAAGTGCTGGAGCAAGGCCGTGGATGAGGTGGGCAGATTTCCAAAGCGAGTTTCGAAAACGACGCAAGCACGGCGAAAATGACGCAGAGGAATGGGTGCGATCAAAGATGGTTCTTAGCGAACAAGAAGTCTATGGGATGGAGCAGACTACGAATGGGTAACTTTTACAGTGTACTGTTTTATTGCCAAGTTGCTGATAAATGCTAGCGTTTGGGCACGTTTTAACCAGGCGACAAGAGCCTTCAAGGGATTGATGAACTACGAGCGTGTTTTTACGTGGTACATTGGTCAAGCCATCGACAACATGATTGAAGACGGGGTCATGTACGCAGAGCTACGGCCGATGCTGATGGATAAATCCATTCCGTCCAACAACGGAAAGGAAATGCTGGACCATCGGTGGCAGATGAGAACCATTCTCGAACAAGTCAAACTCAAGCAGGATGAGCTCCGGCGGGATGGCAGGATTGACAAGTTCCCATTCGGCCTGAAGATCATCTACTGCGCCCCGCGCTCTATCCCCAAGGAGAGGATGCAGCAGGAAATCAAAGATTGCATCAGGCTCAAGCTTGAATTCCCCGATCTGATATGCGGTACGTTCTTTTCTCTTACCATGGTCAAAATCACCGCCTTGACTGTATATAGGCTTCGATCTCGTCGGTGCAGAAGACCGAGCAAATCATATCGGCTTTTACCGCGACGAGCTTCTTGCGATGGTCCAAACGTGCAAAGAACTGAACATCGACATACCGTTCATGTTCCATGCAGGAGAGACGCTCCTTGATCTCGGCGGCTCGAAGGACCCCTACAACAGCAATCTTTACGACGCCGTCCTCTTCAATGCTAAGCGGATAGGACACGGCTTCTCACTCCTTAAGCACCCAGTCCTTGTCGAGCAATTCAAAAAACGGAAAATATGCATCGAGCTGTGCCCGACTTCAAATGAGCTTCTGCACTTGTGCAGGAACATCAAGGAGCATCCCTATCCACAGATTCTGGCGATGGGCATCCCCTGCACTGTGAATTCGGACAATCCAAGCCTGTTTACGTACGTCGTTTCTGCGAAATTCCGTGCAGATCTTCCCCGCTAACGGTCGGTCCGTAGGAACTCTGTGTCTCACGAATTTTACCAGATCATGGTCGGAAGCCCAACCATGTCCATCCATGGCTGGCGGCAACTGGTGGAATGGAGCATTCAGTTTTCATGTTTACAGAAAGACGAGAAAGATGCTGCTGAACAGATATTCAAACGGGAGTGGACGGCGTTCTGCCAGTGGGTAGACCGGGAATACGGTAGTTATGCTGACACGTTGGATATAAGGACATGACATTCTCCCCCTTCTTAGTTTCCGTTTAAGATGTCCTGCTCGAGCGCGACTTGAAGAAAGGATAAGAAACGAAGATTTCTGTCCCAGGAGCATCACGCAGGTTATAAACTGTGCGTTTTGTTCGTAATTCGACGATTTTTAGATGACCGAATTTCTCACCCAAGATGAGGTACTATATTCTCATGACATATAACAGGCCATCAACTCACCCTTTTTCGAACTTTCCGTCCATGTCGTCAACTTTTTCCGAACAGCAACTCAACTGTGCAAAGCGATCCTTCGAATTACGCCCCTCTCAAGAAGAGAAAAAAAATTTTTTTTTAAACAAATACGCAGACGACAATCATGCGCAGCCAACGCGGATTGCGCTTGTGAAACTTGGCAACCTCGTCCACGACGTGCTGGAAGAGCAATGCCAGACAAGAAGCCGACGGGGCGAACGAAGCCTGCGCAAAAAAATAAAAAAAAAATTATTCGTGGATAAAATTACCTTAAGCGCATCTCACAGATGGTTGAGGTCCGCTCAGCGTCGCGAAACACACAGCACGTCGGATCATGGGAAACGCCTCGCTATGCAAGAAAATTGCTTTGTTTTTCCGCCGCTTTTTCCACCGCCCAAAGAGCGGCGCGAATGCGATGGTGGTTGGAACGCGCCGCCAGACTCGTCCCCTCCAATCCTTTTCAAAGTTTGCGAGACACCAGGTTCCCTTTCGCCACTCCCATTGCCCGCGTGCTACTTCGTCGAAATCGGTTCATGATCTTGTTCAAGGAGGAGATAGCGCTCGCTACTGAGTCTGCCTGGGCAGTCCTGCTCACGAGACGACGGGCTCACGCATTTTGCGGATCTTGGCCGCCGTGTCGACCAGGTCTCGTCATGGGCAGCAGAGGAACGTTGTCTCCGGCCTCGCGTCACCTGTGCTGAGGATGCAGTCTCGGACTAGGCTGCGGGCTCGGCTCGTACGGGTGGGGGGACAGACTGCGGTGGTACGGCGAAGGAGGAACCGAAGTTCGCGGTGTCGCTGACGGCGTGCCGTCCATCTCATACGACGTGTCGCCGGGCATCTCGAAGACCGGCTGCGGGCTCGGTAGCTCCTGCATGCCGGCGTGCGGAAGTAGCTTCTGGTGCACGGTGGGCAGCTCAGAAATCCGGTGTTCTCCTTCCGCATCCATTTCCGTGGCCTCGCCCTCGATGGCTTCGTAGTTCTTGGGATCGGTGTTTTCGATTCGTTTCTTGGCGGAGGTGCCATCCAGCTCGGTCGGTCTACGGACTTCACTCTGCTTCTTTCGCTTCCACAAGATGACACCTACGACGAGAGCTATGATAGCTACTGCCGCGCCAACGGCGATACCAGCGATTGCTCCTGCTGAGAGAGAGCCGCTGGAGCCATTGCCGTTGTTTAGTGAATGTATTGTGACGATATGCGAAGAGGGCATGGGATCGGTAAAGATAGCTTGTCCGACGGTGAAATTTCTTCGCTCGTAGTCAACAACAATATACGCCTCTTGTAGCAGTGCTCGACCGAGGGTGTACTGTGAATCGTTTGCCGCTCGCCGAATTGGAAAGTAGTTCTGATTCGTGGAGTAAATGGGCCATCCGACTTGCAAGTCGAAAGCAGCATAAGGGAGCTGGATGTTCGTCCCGTTTCCGTTGTCGAACTGCGTTTCGCCGAGTCTGAAAGTAAAAGTTGGGTTCAGTGACAGCAGCTTCGAGTGCATCGTGTCGTTAACGAGGTACAAATCGGTCTGGTTATCGTACTGCAGACCCAATGCGGACTCCATCTCGTCACAGATGGCTCGTGGCAGCCAGATGTGAGGCACTGTCGAGTCTATGACAGAGAGGTGGCCGTGACCGCCCGCCGTGAAAGAAGTGGTTCCCAAGAGAGTGTCTTCGGCGATGATTGACTGAACGCCAACCTTCAAAACCTCGGAATCCTGAGAGGAGAATGAGAGGCTCTGATTTGAGGGCGTGAAGCGAGACTGGTCATAACCACCTAAGGTTAGGCTAGATTCCACCTTCTTGTTCCGATATGATGCGCCGGCGGTATAGCCGTAGGAAAGCGATGGGATCAGGTCGGCGTTTCGCAGATTTGTCATGAAGCTCTGACTGGCTCCCGCACTGGAGGAGAAACTGGTCGGTTGAATGCCAAGGCCAAATACACCAAGCATAAAGTCCTTCGACGCGATGCCCGCGACTATTTGGTCTGAGAGAGAGACGCCGCCGCTCGAAGATCCGTTGCCGCCGTTAAGTCCGTACACGTCGGTTCCATACTGACCATTCAGCGAATATGCCAACCGATCTTCAAGCTGAATTGCGTAGAGTCCAATGAGCGAATACGTGGACGACTGGTTGGTTAAATAGCCTTCTGCAGAGAGGCCGTTGAACGGCTGAACACCCCGCAGCGTCGGGCAATCCGTGGGATCTGAGCTGGTACAGCCTTCTGGCAGAGGCACCCACGACTCTGAGGCCGCTGTGGAGGGCAGGATATCGAAGCTTTGCGGTGGTGTGCCAACTTGTATTCGAAACGTGCTCCAGCTCCCGTCCGGCCCATACCAGTTCTGACTTGGGTTTACGACAATGGGTGCAGGCACCGTTGTTGCGCGCTTTTGAATTCGCATGTCGAGAGGAGGCGACTGTCGAGCGATTGGAGTTGGCAGCGATTCAAGGTAGATCTCCGCCGTTTCGCGTGGCCGTCGACGCGACAGGCCGTATGCGACGGGGATTGGCTCCAGACACACACAACAAGGACGTCTGGATCATGCAATCTTGGGAGACGGGTTGTGGGGAAAGACAAGGCGCATTCACTGTGCCAGCGTTGTCAGGATGTAGCGGTTTACTGCGAAGAACTGCCGGCAGCGATGAGGATCAGAAGGAGGCCCATGGCAAGGGGAGCAGAGCAGATGGCTCAGCAAGCCGTGGAACGAACGCCAAGTGCCAAGGTATCGGTACAGATCAGAGGGCCGACACCGTGCCGGCGCTGCCAATCTGACGAGAGGGAAGAAGGAGGCTGCGCTGGGTGGCGATACGAGCGCAGACGCACCATCGCCAGGGTTGTCCGCAGTTTCATTGGAATGGTGCATGCGGCCGGTCTACAGCCTACGCGATGGCGACACGAGCACCTCTGATCGTTCTCGCTCGGCTGTTCGAGCGCGCAGACCAGCCTGGTTGTGTTTGTTTTCTGCCGCCAGACCTGGGTCGACGGCGGACTGGCAGCCGTCGAGCCAAGGCACGAACTGCCAGCCCGCTGCGTCAAGGCTTGTGGGCCTTTCTCGAGCCCGCGGTGTTCCAGTGGGGGTGGAGAACGTCTGTTCCTGGCTCCTAAAAAAAGCTCCCTGCGTCGTCGATCTGGGTTAGCCTGAAGAAGTCGGCGGGCCGGACGACCAAGGCGCAGCACAAGCCGACGGTGCTCAGTCCAATTTCATCTCAGGTGAGTGCCCAGACTGCGAACCGTACCAAGCAACGAAACCTTCCAGCAGGCCTGCTGCTCGTTGTCCCTGGTCTCATCTTTTCCAAGCTCTCTGGCTTCTTTTCTCTTGCATTCCCTTTTTCGGTCGCGCTCCTCCGTCGCTTTCATCCACCACGCTCTGGCTCCGGATCCGCGGCCGTGTTCTCCGCTGTCGTCGCGATGAGATCCTTACTGTCGTTTACGATTGAGCATTTCTTACTGTTCGAGGCGACTCTACTCCAATACGCGAGCTTCGTTGCTGCAGTCACGAGCCCCAGCAACCTCAGCACAAGCCTGTCGGTTTCGTCGTGCTCAGGATGCGCAATTTCTGCAACGCAGACATTACTGTCCTTTCCCCAAAGTGTCCAAGAGGTCACCTCAAGTCTGTCTGTCACTGTCATTCCGTACGTGACAGTCTACGACGACGGCACGAGCATCACAAATTATGCGACGTACACCAAGTACAAGTCTGGACAGAGCACGCAAGGCCTGGCTACGTCCCCCGCTCCTTTGACGTGGGAAACGTTTGGAACCACATTAACATATCCCACGACATACTATGCGTATCTTGGAGTTTCTGCCGGCCCAAACAAACTGTCTGGTACAATATGCCGTGCAACTCCCTCGCCTGCCGTGCTTGATCCGTCCGATCAAGCGCGTCTAGTGTTCCCGTTCACATCGGAAGAGGGCAATGACGTCCCGACGAAGAGCGCACAATCCGTCCTCGACTCGCTGCCCACCATCAGTGCGCTAGTCTCTCCGAACGCACCGGCTCAGTGCTCGCATGCGATCGGCGTCATCGAATTCTCTTCCGCAACCCCAGTAGCAACAGAGTCAGGAACGTCTGCCGCGTTGGCGGCCGTGGTACACACGAGCGTACGCTTCCTCACCACCCAAGGCCAAGCTGTGGTCACGCGTGCTTCCGGGACTGCGCCGCCCCCGCAGTCGCAAGTCAATGACAACGGTGGCTCGTCGCCTTCTCCAACCAATGGTGGGCAAGGGGGTAACAACAACCAGCAATCAACGCCTGTCATCAATTGGGGCGGCTCCACAATCACCGCTGGGCCCAGTGGTGTGTGGAACATCGGCGGCCACAGCGTCACCGCGGGAGGCTCGGCTCAAATCATCGATGGAACGACGGTTAGCATTGCCGCCGGTGGATCAGTCGCCGTCATCAATGGCCATACGTCCAGTCTGGAAAGCGCAAAGCCCAGCAGCAGCGGCGGACTTTCACAAGCCACGGGAGGTGCTGGCGGGCAGGTCTCCGTCTTTGTCCCTCTTGCTACGTGGTTTGCCGCAATTTCGATAGGATTCTTGGGTCTTCTTGTTGGCGTTTATCTATAAAGTGGGGGGGTGTGGTTCGATATGATGCTCAGAACATCAAATCAGGACGTTTCAAGTCATGACTGACATGTGTACAAATTTGGATAATGTAATCATTATTTCAGCGAAACCATCGACGCTCGAGCAATCATGAGCTATTTGTTTTTTCCCATCAATGATCAGATTCATACTTTCCCCTGTGAAATTCGAGGCCCTGGATTGAATCCTCTTCGGAAGATAATTTGCATGACGACCGACGAAGCTAAAAAAAAAAAAATCGCATCAAAAGCAGGTATCTGTGGCGAGGCAGACCTTGAGCGAAGGGTTCAACGTTAAGGTTTTTAACTCGTAGAGACGCTGAAGCGGTGGCGACCTTTCATACATACACTTGAGATCCAACTAACGCGAGCCCCAAGCAGCGATCTGTAGAATGCGGCAATCCAACATGGCTCGGAGGGATCAGTACGGTGTGGCACTATTCTACCTTCATCCGAAACTTTAGCAGATCATGGCCGACGACAAGATCCTTCTTCGATTCCAGCTCATCAAAATCCCACCGACTGTCGACGTACCTGCCGGATAGCCACTCTCTCCTTTCCTTGGTTAGCCAGACACAAACCGCACCGGCGAGCTCCACGTCCTCCGTTAAGCCTGTCAAAAGTCAGCGGACGCACTGAGCTCGGTTTCAGTCACGCTTACGATCTTCCCAGCCTTTGCCTTGCGGAACCTCGGCAGCGAAATCCGTCTTCACTCCGCCGGGCTGGAGCGCGAAGGCGACGATGCCTCTGCCTTTGTGCGCCTCGTGGCAATGCTCTATCAGCCGCGTCGCGGCCATCTTCGTCAGGCTGTAGCTGGCGGCCATGACTTCCGCTTGCGTGTAGTGCGCCGCCGCGCTGCTCAGCTGAACGACGGCTTTGGCGCCGCCCTGCGTGCACTCGAGCAGAGGCAGGAAGTGATGCAGAAGCACAAACGGCGCGTGCACGTTCAATCGCCACATCGACTCCAGCTCGGAGGGGCTCTGCTCACGGAAGTCGCTCGGCCAATCCATCAGTCCGTTCTCGCGCTTGACGGACGCCTTCGCCGACTTGCCCGCGCTGATCACCAGGACGTCCAGACGTCCAAAGGCCGTCTTGGTAGCTTCTGCCAGCCCCTTGACTGCCTCTTCGTCCGTCACGTCACAGGCCTGGCACATCAGTTTGATCCGAGGATTGATCTTGAGTACTTCTCGCGCCGCAAGTTCGAGCGCGTCCTGCGATCGCGCCGAGAGCACCAAGCCAGAAACTCTTGCCCGTGCATAGGCTTTAGCAATGCCGAGGCCGATGCCCTTTGACGCACCGGCGATGGCAACAGTGAAGTTTGGTGGAAGTGTGACTTTGGTGGGATCCGTGGCGCCTTCGGGTTTCTTGTGTAACGGAATGGCAAATGTTGCGCCAGATAGCTTGCGAAGATCCTCGGTCATGATTTCTTTTTCTATTTTTTCCTAGTCCCTTATAAAGCTTTGGGAAACAGTTTTCTGAAGCCTTTTGTCCTTGGTTTTAATAAACCCAGTCGGCTAGCAGAGAACTCTGGTTTCGTACGCTTGTGCCCCTCGTGGTTTTAGGAGTTAAGCGGACATAGACGTTCAGGAGCCTTGCATAGTGCTCAAATGCATTGCACGCCGCATGAACCGTTCTTCTTGGAAGCAAGAGATTGCCAGGGGATTCCCAATGAGGTCTGTAGTCACCTTACACAACCCAGTGTCTTCACGTTGTCCCTAAGAGTCGAGGGCAATATGGGCACGATTCCAGTTGTGAAGTGCTAGCCAATCAGACGACGAAGAGGCCGTGGCTCTGGTGCCCTACGTTTCTCCACGTGCTGCCTTTAGCATTTCCCAGTTTAGAGATATGTCAGGCTCGATTTGCTCAAAGATACTTTGCCTGTACGACGGACGACCATGAGCTTTATTGGTCACAGTGGCCAAGACAAGAGTCAGGTTGGGCCACGGTGCTGTCAGCCTTCATCCACTTGGCAAGCTGGAGCCACGAATTGAATCCTCGGGCTCCATCAATCTTCATCAGTACAAGAATTTAACATCGAGTCCTGAATCGCAAGGGAGATCAAAGCAGAACAATGGTCTTCTTGGGCCCAAAAATTCGGCAGTGTGGTTGACGAAGACCGAGGAGCACAATTGTGAGAGAAACAAAAGATTATTCCACGAATCAGATCAGCATTTTAAGCTCCCTTTAAAGAGAAAAAGATCGGTAACGTCTTTGACGATTGATTCACGCACGCAGCGTGCGGTCAAATCCATGCTAATATTAAGGACCATTTTTTCCACTCCTCCTCTTTTTTCTTGAACGGTAGTCTAGAAGTGGTAAAAGGAAAAGTTTTCCCGTAGTTACATTGACAGAAACCTTTTTCGAATTTCTTTCGTTGCATTGGAAATATCCCGACACGAGCTTGGCAACGAGTTTGAGATGGGCACGTATACTAATCCTATCATTCCCGGCTTCAATCCAGACCCGAGCATCACCCGCGTCGGAAAGGACTTCTTTCTCGTCACCTCCACCTTTGACTTCTTCCCGGGCATTCCCATCTACCATTCCACTGACCTCATCAAGTGGCGGCTGATCTCCCACGTGCTGACGAGAAAGTCACAGCTCGACATCCGCGCCGTAGAGATCGGAGGTGGTGTTTGGGCACCGACCATCCGCTACCGCACTGCGCAGCAAGAAGGGAAGGCCGCAGACGAGGGCGGCGCGTTCTACGTCTGCGGAAGTTGCTTCGACAGATACAGGCCGCAGGCGGACGAGCGCATCTGGCCCCGTGGCTGGTACGCGAAATGCAAGGAAAGGGATATATGGGATGGGATGGGGAGCGGATGGAGCGAGCTAGTTTATTTCGACATGGTCGGCTTCGACCAAGACGTCAGTCGCCCTAGCATTCCCAAGCATGTCGAGAAACCTGCGTTAACACGTGCGCCGTAGCTCTTTTGGGACGATGACAGTGGCGACGTGTATCTGTCAAGTACGTATCGCATGCACGACCGCACTCCAGTGCCCACGGGCGCGAAGCCGCTGAAGGATTTCGCCGTCCACATATGCAAGGTCGATTTGTCGACAGGCCGTTGCTTGACCCGACCTCGACTGCTCCGGTCGTCTCCGTCCGGAATAGCTGAAGGCTCGCACATCATAAAGCGTGGCTCCTATTACTATCTGTTCACGGCTGAAGGAGGCACCGAGGATGGCCACAGCGAGTACGTGTCGCGCAGCAAATCCGGTCCGCTTGGTCCATGGGAGTCGGGAGGAAAGATCGTTGGCAGCGGTACCGGTCCAGAAGACGAAGTCCAGAACACCGGACATTGCGATCTTGTGGAAGACGCCGATGGAAACTGGTGGGCCGTTCTGTTAGCAGTCCGTCCGAGGAAGAGGCCCGACGGCACGTGGGAGCCGTCCGTGTTTGGTAGGTAGTGCGCCGTTCATTGTGGAAACCACGCTCTCTAACTGGGCACAAAGGCCGCGAGACCTTTCTCATACCGGTGACGTGGAGGGACGACTGGCCGATCCTCAACAACAACGAGCGCATCTCCTTAGTAGGGAACGCACCTGGCCTCTACCAGCATGCAGAGGCCACGACGTGGCGAGACGACTTTGCCGACGGAAACGGCATGCAACTTGGGTGGTATCGAAAGTCCACTCCGCAGAAAGTCGACTGGTCTTTGACGGAGCGTCCCGGCTGGCTCAGACTTTGGGGCGCGCCGTACAGCTTGAACACGGCGGTGTGCTCCACGACGTGGCTTCGGAAGCAGACGCAAGCAGAGACCACCTTCGAAACAAGGATCGACTTTCGTCCCGACTCGAATCGAGTCGAAGCAGGTCTTGTCGTGTGGTTGAATCATACATGTTTCAGCAGCGTTGGCATACGGCTGGCCGACGGAAAGGGATGTCGACGGGTGGTCAGTCTGAGCCTCGCTGATGGCCGAAAGATCACACAACCGCTAGCAACTGCGGACAGCGAGGTTCTGCTCGTCGTGCAATGTGGATCCGAGTATAGATTCGGCTACCGGGAGATCGGCTCGGATTCTCGAATCCGGTACGTTGGCTCAATCTGCAATTCGAGCATGTTGAAAGAGCCCGATGTAGGCGTGATTTTTACAGGCATGATGGTCGGCCTGTACGCCTTTGGAGAATGGGAAGCGGCGCTGGTACCTGCTGACTTTGCATATGCCAAATTTCGACCGAATTCAGTCGACAACGAACCAAACAAGGCAGTCTAGCGATGTGATGACGCACCTGGGTGTACGCTACGGGCTTATTTTACCCAGTTGACTGCCTAGTCACTTGGCAAGCAGCCTTATCGTCGTCTTGAAACGGAGAAACACATAGCAAAATCACATAAGATCAAAGCCAAAGGATTCGTAATAGTGGACTGTTTCATGACTCTGCATTACACACAAAAGTCGAAAGCACATCACCCGCCAGGAAAGATGCCAGTCTAAAGGAGAGTGTCATAGCCTACAACAGCGGCTGCGTAATGAGCGTGGGTATCATGTCTAGTTCTTTTTGAAGGACCGTCGACGTTTTCCGTGATTCCTGTAATTTCCCGTGAAATCCCAATCCATATGCTCTTTTATTTTGGAAAAGAAAATTCGCTGATAAATGCTTCCATCCCAAATTGTTGCTCGTCGGGGAATATGTTCAAGCCTAATGGTTCCTACCAACGCCCAAGGTCAACCGTCCAGGACCAAAAACAAAATGCAGATCTTGTACATGTTCCAAAATAGAAAACTCGTAAGTCGACGTGGCATCAGAGCAGGAGGCTCGCACCGAACGCCGCACACAACAGCACGATGGCCTCGATGGCCAGGCTTCGACCTTGAAGACTGTCGACGCCGCTTTGTAGTTTCGGACCGCCCGTGCTAGACGGAGCTGAAGTGTCCGCAGCCACAGCAGCAAAAGAGGTGATGGTTGTCTTCTGGCCGTTAGGAAGAACAGTTGTCTTCAGAACAAGGCTGGAAACTGTGCCGCCGGGCGGCGTGTATGTAGTCACAAAGACTCCGCCGGTCTTGTCCGTGGCTGTGATGACTTTGCCTGGCGTCACACTGGACAGGACAATCGTATCTCCATTTGCCACGGTGGCCGTCACGTCAACTGGCTTCGTCGCATCCGTAACAGTTGACGGGGTGAAGACTGAAACAGGCGAGGTAGTCACAACGCCATCTTGAGTGACAACAGCAGCAGGTACAGTCGTCGTCTCAACCACCTGCTGACCCTGTGAGTTCGTCGTGGTAACGGCCTGCTCAACGCTGACTGTGGGTGATGCTACCACGGACGTGGTAAGCGTGGTTGGCTGTCCTCCGCTGCCCGTGGTGGAGACGTCGATTGGCACGACCACGTCGCTCTGCGTCGTGGTAGTAGTCTCCGTGGTGTCAGTCGTTATCGTTGTGGCCCCACCTCCACCACTTTCAGAAGTGGTGCTAGTGCTGTTGTCGTTGCTGCTTTGTCTCTTCAGCAGATGCAGCGCGGCCTCTGCCAGTACTTTTGTGGCCATAACCGGGTCGTCGCTGTGCACCTTCTCCACGGCTATACGCTCGTGTTCATAGACGCCGTCTTGAAACTTGTCGTCGACATGCTTGTGGAGGGCAGCATGCAGAGACTCGGCGGGCAGGACAGCCAGCAGCTCTTGAAAGTCGAAGTCGACGTTGGTGGGGGCGACATTCGATGTAACGACGGGGTCGGAAAGGACGAGTGGAAGAGAGATGACGGAGAGAAGGATGCTCTTTGAAGCCCTCATTTTCTTTCTTTCTCTAGTTTGGCGAGCTTTCGATCGCTGTAGCGATTGGCAGCGAGGAGTCGTTGGATTCAGAACGCTCGGGGCCTGTCGCTGCACATGTAAGCTGCGGTGCTACGACGATATGGCGGGAACACGGAGAGGAACCAGCAGGGGAGCCGACGGAAAGATGGACATTGAGGTGGCAGGCATGGGGCTCGGACGGCAATTGGGGAGAGCAGACACAATCAGGACGGTCAGGACGGCACCAACCTCAGGAATGGGACTGAAGCGGCTCAAGTCACACGGTGGCTGGCCCCAGGCTGAAGGTTCGGCAGCGGAGCGTCGCAGGAGGATGCCGGAGGATGAGGTAATCTGCAGCGGTAGCGAGCGGATGACGTCTGTCACGCCGAGAAAGCTGACCACAACGAAGGGGAAAGAAGGAACAGGACGCACTCTGCAAGAACGAGCAAGGCGACGGACTTTCGGTCGAGGAAGAGAAGCAGAGGCAGTACGAGAATTCGAAACGGCACGCTTTTCAAGGGCGGATGCAGACCAGTTGCAGCTCGCTCGCCGCTGGGGGCGGGCGCGTTTGAGGATCGCCAGAAGCCAGAAGAAGCTCGGGCGCGCATCGAGACCGGACCAGCGACACCATCCGCGTCGACGGCCTGTCTTCGTCGCCTTTGCCACGCTCTCCCCATGCACACCGGCGCCCATCGTTCTGCACAGCATGCCGGAGATTTCTGCAGCTGCTCCTTCGCACCTTGCAGCTCATCACAGGGCCGCTCCAGCACCACTCTTCTCCAGGCTGTCAGCAAAAGCGCGCCACCGGCAGAAGCAGCAGTCCCTGCCTCCTTGTTCTCGTGTCCACGCAGCTGCCTCGTCCGACAGCCCAGATCGAATACAAGAGCCCCGTCTGCTCGCCGACTGCTGCTTTGACTCTGTTGTGCGCAGCCTGGATGCTCTCTTCTCGTCAAGCCAGCTGGCTTCGGACTGCTATCGATTGGCTTTCCCGGTCTGGTTCCCACTCGGCCCGTGAGCTCTCCAAAACCGCTCCGCTGCCACAAACCGGGAAACGCCTCCCTTTGGCGTTGAAACATCAGTCCACAACGCGATCGTATTTTCTTCAGGCCTGGTCCTTGGGCCCAAATACACGCTACCGTTCGATAGACATACGAGGTGGGGCCGTCGACCAAAACTTGGACCGGCCTGTGAAGCAAAAGGGCTGTTTGTCTCGATGATGCATAATGCGGACCTCGCTATGAATAGCAGCCGCTAAATCCAACCAGCTTGCGACAACCATTTCTGTATGCGGAATTCGCCTAGCGAGCCCATACATTTTCCCCGCCTGATGCTGGCTCCTCTGGAGACATTATTGCACTGCCGCTGTCGCAATCAGTACTCTGTACTTGTCATCGATACAACGTGCTCCACTGCGCACAACCACACCGCGAAGACGTAAGGCCGTGTGGGCCGCTGGTGCTTTCTTTAGGACCCGACGGGGCAAGTCGTGCGCGACGTCAGCTCGCCGTGCTTTCTCATGTGATTGTACACGCGCACTTTTTGTGGCCTCTTGCAGCTCGCATTTTTGATTCTCTATCTACCACTTTTTTTTGTGTCTGGCATGACCTGCAATGCCGCTTTCCCAGTCTGGAGATGACTCCACTTAATTTCGTCGGCCCTTGAGCCGAAATGTTCCATGCCGCTTCGGCATGTGCGAGCCGAGATAGATTAGGTTTAAGTGAAGGCCATCAAGAAATGCCCGACTGAATGGTAAGTTCTAAATCGTACCACTTGTACGTGGCAAGGCAGGGCAGGCCCGGTTGAGCACACAAGCAGCCAATAGCTGAATAATTTTCCTGTTCCCCGCTCAGACGCCCGCAAATGGCGCTCTGGCATCGCCTTTTTACTCTTGCCCATCAGCCTTCTTTCTTGGCGAAAACAAGCTTTTAGCCTTGAGCACGGCCTTGCCTGCCATGCCAGACAAAGAACCGAATCCAAAACTCCAGCCTTTGATCCGGACGCTCCAAATAAAGAAGTAAACCAAGGCCCAGTTGCTGATGCAAAACGCCAAAAATATGCCAAAGTTTCTCCACACGTCGCTGTAGCGGATGTTAAGCGTTGTCAGGTATTGGTCTCCTATAGAATAGGGACAGTACTGGCAACCAGTCGTCGCGTCCGGGTTCAGCAAGTATCCTCCAGCTGATCGCGCGAACGCCCCTGCATAGCTTGCGCAAGTCTCACCGGCTGGCACGTTGAACTGTGCGGTTTCCGCGGTGGTGCATTTGATAGACTGGTTGTGAAGCGTTGCGGCAAGCACACCGCCCATATAGTATGTGGACGGGTTCACCCAATACATCCAATACTTCCAGAAGGTCGGCAAGTCGGAGTAAGGACGGACGATCCCGTTGAATAAGCCGAACATGACGAAGAAAAATGGAAGCACATTGCTAATCACAGTGAACGATGGTGCGAATGCGCAGATCCACTGGCCCCACGAACTCTGGAAGATGAAGAACAGCACGACCATCAAGTACGTGTAGCCGCTAGCAAAGCCGTTTGTTGGCAAACCCGTCGGCCAGTACCAAAGGGCCCAGTCTGCAGTGTAGACGTCAGTTGATTGTCTACTGAACTGTGGATGTGCGGAACCTACAGATTGTGCCAGAGAGGATGGCAATCGGAATCTCAGCGACGATCATTGCAGTGCAGAACGGTATCCATCCATAGATGCGGGAGGGGAGCTCGCGTGCTTTCCACAAAGCCATGTTTTGGTAAAATTTCGGTACCACTGCGTTGACAAAAGTTGGAGGGAAAACCACGACGAGAAAGATGGTGAACATGCGGTTTTGCATGTCTTGGATACTGTCACCCAGTTTCCAAAACGTAAAACTGTCGAAGCCGTCAGCGGAACATAAAAACAGAGAATGCAGACCACATGACGTTCAGAACGTACCCGTTGAAGATTCCAATGATGACAGACACGAACAGCTTTCCGTAGAGATAGCTGGGATCCCGCCAGTACTGGGTAAAGACACGTTTGGTCAGCATCGTTGTCTGCAGCCAAATTGGAGCGGCAAATTCTCTCATGAGCTTTGCATCTCCCTTGTCTCGGTTTTGGCCCGATCTTGTCTGACACACGCGATCAATCTCTGCAAGCACCTCCTTCGCATTGTCCGAGTTCTTCCATTCCTCATTCCAATTGATCCTGCGTCCGTTCTTGCCTTTTGTGCCCTTGGCAGCAGTTTCGAGAATGAATTCTGCAACATTTTTGTTCGGAGGGCATTGCACTCCTCGTTGTGCAAAATAATCTATAACGTTCTTGCCATTCTCACCAACTGGACCAAAGTAGATCGTGTTACCACCCGGGTTGAGTGCAAGAATCATATCAAACTGCTGTATAAGAACAGACGAGGGTTGGTGGATCGTGCAAACAATTGCCTGACCCGCCGCCGCAAGTTTCTTCAGAAATCTGACAATCGAATATGCGCTGTTCGAATCCAGTCCACTGGTCGGCTCATCTAAGAAGAGCAGAAGACTTGGTTTTGCCGCAAGCTCTACGCCGATGGTAAGTCGCTTTTTCTGTTCTACGTCTAGGCTGCTTATCAGCGCGTCCTGCACGTTGTTGAGCTCAAGCAGGTCAATGATGGTATCAACATAGGCAATTTTCTCTGCCCTCGGCACCTCCCGCTCCTGGCGGAGAATCGCTGAGAATTCAAGGGCCTCACGGATGGTGGCGGTTCCATCATGAAGATCCATTTGCTCGCAGAAACCAGTACCGCGTTGGAAATCAGGCCCAAGCTTTTCTCCATCGACCAGCATGTCTCCTGACACCACGCCGACAGTCTGTCTTTGAGATAGCGTGTTCAACAGCGTGGTTTTTCCTGCGCCAGATGCTCCCATCAACGCCACCATCTTGCCAGGTTTGGCATACCCTGATACTCCGTTAAGAAGTTTTTTCTGCCCACCACGGAAAGGCACGGTGTACTCGACGTTGCGCCATGTGAATATGCTTTCACTTTTGGCAAGAGAGGACAAAGCCTCACGCTCATTCTGGCCACCATTCTCATGTTCTTGATCTGCCCTTGAATCAACGGATGCACCATCTGGTATTGCCTTCTCTTCATCATTCACTGTGACAGCTGTCTCCTTCTTCTTCCAGAACCAGGTGTTCTTGAAGACGAGTGCACCAGCCCCACCGTCATTAAAGCTAATCATCTCAACACTGACTACTGTCACCAAAAGGTACAAAATCCCAAAGGCAACAGCAACGCCGAAATTGCGCCACAGGTGGGCACGGGTATAGCTGTAGGTTGTTCCCACGTACGAGGCACCTGAAACGTTGTGTGAATTGGGTGGCGATCCGGTCAAGGTGCAACCCTGAAACTCTGGATTGACACCAGGTCCCTGAGGCACAAGATTCTGTGGTGCACATTCCATGGTGCGATCGCTGAATTCGTTCGTAAGAACCGCTTCGAACACGTAGGATATTGGATTAACATCTGAAGCGGTTAGCATCCAATCTTGGGGGATTAAGTCCAGAATGACATACAATATAGCCAACCGAACCATATGTAGTCTCCTGTCAGTTGAGGCTTGGGAATAACATATCCGACGTAGATGACAAGCAAGTTTAAAGCTGTGCCAGCGAATCGAACGGCATCGTCAACGGTAGGACTCAAGGCAGCGAACATGCGATACATTGCTGTGAGGACGATTGTCATCGTATATACGAACAGAAAATAGATCCAAAATTTTCCCGCGCTTACGTCAAGTTGGGTCAAGAAATACATGATGATTGCCTAAGAATGTTAGAGAGAGAGAGAGAGAGAGAGAGAGATGTAAGGTAACACCAGCTTGCACTTACAAAAGGTATGACTTGGATCAACAGAAACGGGAAGTCCACCACAGCTCGTGCGACGCTCACGGCAGAGGGCCGATAGAAAGCATATTCCCTGTGTCTAGCAACTACATCACGTCCGCTGACGGCCTTCATTAGTTCGGAGAGCTGGAGCCAGCCAAGGAAAACAATGGAGAAGAACACGGCACCACCTCTGCTGAAGGCTCCAGAAGTATTCAAAGCTTCGCCATAGAACAAAGACCCAACGATGAGTGCATTCGCAATCACAATGAAGAACTTTGTGTACAGCGTGGGCTTGTCCCCCCAGATGAGCCAAATCTCTCGGAGTGTACAAGCGTAGACCTGTCTTATGAAGCTGACGGTGTACACGCTCTTTTTCGTCACGGTTTTGCTCTTCAGTTCTCTCGCCGTTTGAGCAAATTGACGGGCGTCCGCGAAGTCCGACTCCTTCTGGCTGCGACAATAATCTTCGATATCAGCAAGGACCTTTTGGAAGTACTCGGAGTCTCTGAAAGCTTTTTCAAGCTCAACTGGACCTCGAGGCGCTGAATTTTCGAACCCTTCGCGGAATTTTCGTTCGCTTGGGTCGGTCACTGATGTTAGGAAATCCGGCGTGGTTTGGCGCTCCGGGCAATGATATCCAAGATCGATAAAGTACTTCTTTGCTTCACTGGCTCGGCCGAGGAATATGCACCGACCCGAATCGATGACCATTACTTTGTCCATTAGCTCATATATGCCTTCGCCGGCTTGGTACAGTGTAACCAAGGTGGATCGCGCTGAAATATCTGTCATAATTCTCAAAGACTTTGCATAATCGAGAGCCGTTGAACTGTCCAGCCCACGGGTGGAGTTGTCCCAACAGGTCACCGTGCTCTTCGTCGACAACGTCTCTGCGATGGAAACGCGCTTTCTTTCGCCGCCAGACACACCGCGTACATATTCATCTCCAACCAAGGTGTCGCGGGTGTGCGTGATGCCAAATATCTTGAGGAACGCTTCGACGATGATCGGTATCTCACCTTTCTCCCGTCTCCTCGTCTTATTCATGAGCGAGAATTTGAGCGTTTGCCAGACAGTAAGGGTTGCAAAATGCAAATCGGTCTCAGGATTATAGCTCACTTCGCCTCGAAAATGTTTTTTTTGCTCCTTAGCATCGATACCGCCATACGACACCTCGCCAGACACCTCGGCGTACCCCTCGCGGTAATTGGCGATGCACTTAAGGAACGTAGAGCATCCTGAGCCTGGCCTTCCCAAAACGAGCATCATTTCTCCAGGCCGAACCTGACGCGAGGTTAGCATACACCTTGGTGTTAAGAAGGGAACATACGATTCCAGTGAAGTCATGGATAAGCGTCCGCAGCTGCGTATGTCGTTGAAGTTTCAGTCGCGGTATAAAACGAGTGATGATACGGTACAGGTCAGGGCCAAAGGTTCCCAAAATCGCGTCGGGTAAAGTCTTCGTTGTCTTTGACGTCGTACCCGCACCTTTTACCGTGAGATTTTTCCACGTCACTCCAATGCGTTTTGTCGAGCGACCATCCACTTGCTTCTCAAAATGACCTTCTCTCATAAACTCGGACAACTCGAAGTCATCCTCTTTTTCATCTTGCTTCTCGAAGTCGTCTTCATCTAAGGTGCTCTCCGTGTCTCTTGATACCTCATGGCGTGCAGAGCTGAAGCGATGAAGCTGCTGCCGCAATCTGCTGCCTTCCCTACGTGGAAGGCTGGCAGATCTGCGCGAACTTGATTTCATTTCTCGCCCACTTCGTGTTCTTGAGAGTGCCGACAGGGTATTTCTCAGCTCAGCGAAGTCCTCCATAGCCTTCTCTCTGCTCTCGGCTCCATGATAACCACGTTCGCCCCAATGGCCATCCTCATCATCCCGTGGAGAGTCAGGACTGCTGAGAGGGGGGGATTCGACTTCTTCCTTTTCAGGGACCCCTATATCTGGTGCCTTCTCCATATTCTCGCTCGTCAGATAGTTATTCCAGTTGAGTAAAAAGATCCTTCTTTCTCTTGAAGTTTCTGTTCTATCACTTGTTCCGGAAACAGGGATAAGCAGCCAAAGAGAGAAACGAGCGAAAAAGAAGTAAAAGCCGACTATTGAATTGAAGAAGGGAAATTATATAACAACAGTATCTCAGCCAAGAACACGTCCGCACTCATGCTAAACTCCGAGCTGAATAATGTGGAAGGCCCGCCAGAGCGGAGCCCAACATTAGAAATGCGTCGTCCCTTTTGCGTCATCGCGGTGATAAACGCTTGGGATGGGGCCATGGCAATGTGAAGACTGGTGAACGACGTCTATCTTATCACCGACGCAAATGCTGTCCGATTATTCTCGGAAAGGTTCCTACGTCAGGTCGAAACAGTGGTCGTGTGGAGATCATTGGGCCAGCATTGAAGTAGCTGGCCACCGGGCCTTCTCACCGCCAGCTTGGAGCAGTAGGCAATCAATTGCTTTGTCGAAGACCCACTTTTCAGTCTTTAAAATGCGTTGAGTTTTTGGTCTTTCCGGCGATAAGCAAGTTGCATGTAGTCGTGAAAGGTCCCGAGTGGTAACCGGCCAAGATTCCGCACGACGAATAATTCCCGTAAACTCATCCGTTGCGGCAAACTTGGGGAAAAAAAAAACTTGCCATGTTTTCCTATTTGGGAAGGAGTTGCACTCCCCTCCCAAATTTGCACATGTCGGGATTACACGTTTGTTGCTACCGCGAGGATATCAGCACAACACGGAATTGAATGCCCGGATTCGAGTGTCCCATAGCGCAAATTATTGTTTGTTCGAAGAGCTTGGGTTTCTGATGGCCCTGGGAAGTGCAAGCAATGGCATCGGCGCTCCGCAGACGCAAAAGCTTTGGGAGCACAACGACCCGAGGAGCACGCCTATGTATGCATTTATGCAGGATGTGAATAAAAAATACGGCCTGCACCTTAGCACGTACGACGAGCTGTACCGATGGAGCGTAGACAATATCGGGAAATTCTGGGGCGAGGTGTGGAGCTTTACTGGCGTCAGAGCATCGAAGCCATTCGACAAGGTAACAGGTCTTCTTATCCCCTGAACAAAGGCGTGATCAGCCAGCTCAACAGTAGTAGGTGGTGGATGAGGCTGCGCCCATGTTTCCTAGACCGTCATGGTTTTCTGGAGCAAGGCTGAACTTCGCGGAGAACTTGCTCTTCCCAGCCGCCTCCGTTGCGGACAGCGATCTTGCCGTCATTGCAGCTACGGAGACGTCGCGGGAAATTGTGACATGGAGAGAACTGCGGGACCGCGTACGAGACTGCCAGGCTGCCATGATGGCTGTCGGCGTTCGCGAGAACGACCGCGTCGCTGGCTACGTGGCAAACCATACCAACGCTCTTGTCGCCATGCTTGCCACGACGGCTTTAGGTGCCATCTGGACGGCCGTCAGCCCAGACACTGGCGTGCACGCGGTGTACGAGAGGCTTGAGCAGATCGCACCAGTTCTGCTATTCACCGACAATGCCTCCTTCTACAATGGCAAAGCCCATCCGGTTCTGCCCAAAGTCGCTGAACTCTGTGCCAAGTTGCCCTCTCTAGCTGCCGTCACCGTCTTCCAAACGGTGCCACAAGCGAGCCTGGATCTCTCCGACGTTCGTACAGCGTGCAAGAATGTTTACAGTTACGAGCAGTTTGTCGCGCTGTGCACCTGGGAGCCCAAACTGCAATTCTCGCAGCTCCCACCCGATCATCCTGTGTACATATTGTACAGCAGTGGGACGACGGGGGCGCCAAAGTGCATCGTTCACGGCGCGATTGGCACGCTGATTCAGCACAAAAAGGAGCACGCTTTGCACTGCTCGATAAAGCCTGGCTCGCGCCTGTTCTACTTTACGACGTGCACGTGGATGATGTGGCACTGGCTTGTCTCCGGCCTAGCCAGCGGAGCGACGCTGGTGCTGTACGACGGCTCGCCGTTCCGGTACCGTGACTCAGCAGGTCAGTCGATGGCGGACGACATGGCGATGCCTCGTCTGATCGAGGAGTATGGCATCACGCACTTCGGGACTTCGGCGAAGTACCTCTCGGTGCTGGAGCAAAAGAACGTGACGCCGCGGTCCACGCTTTCGCTCAAGACTCTGGAGGCGATCTACTCGACCGGTTCGCCGCTCGCCCCGTCGACCTTCCAATACGTTTACCGGGCCTTCCCTCCCACGCTCAATCTAGGCTCGATAACGGGAGGCACCGACATCATCTCGCTGTTCGGCGCACCGTCACCCCTTTCGCCCGTCTACGTGGGCGAGATCCAAAAGCCCGGACTCGGCATGGCGATCCAGGCGTGGTCGCCGGAGGGCAAGAACATCACCATGACGGGCGAGGAGGGCGACCTCGTGTGCGTGAAGCCGTTCCCCAGCCAGCCGGTCACGTTCTGGGGCGCGACGGGCGAGACCAAGTACAGGGCCAGCTACTTCGAGCACTTTGAGGGCGTGTGGCACCACGGAGACTTTGTGCGCTTCAACCCGGCCACGCTGGGCCTCGTCATGCTGGGCCGCAGCGACGGCGTGCTCAAGCCGCAAGGCGTGCGCTTCGGCAGCGCGGAGATCTACAACGTCGTGTTGAAGCACTTCCCGGAGGACGTCGCCGACGCGCTGTGCGTGGGCAGGCGCAGAGAGACGGACACGGACGAGACGGTCGTGCTCTTCCTCAAAATGGAAGATGGAAAGCGATTCGACGCCGAGCTGGTCGACAAGGTCAAGGCCACAGTGCGCAAGGAGCTGAGCGCCCGTCACGTCCCGGGCATCGTCGACGCATGCCCCGAGATCCCGGTGACGAGCAACGGCAAGAAGTAAGTTTCCTAACTCTTCGTTTCCTCGTCCCCGCTACCCCCCTCGCCGTCTTTCTCCTCCCCTTTTCCACCCTCCGTCAGCCCCATTCGTGGTCCCACGCCTGTTCTCAAGCCCGCCGCGCTCTCCACGTGCGCACATGCCATTCAGCCCATCGCTGACCGCGTCGCTCGCCAGGGTCGAAACCGCCGTCAAGCAGATCCTCTGCGGCCTGAAAGTCAAGACCGGCGCGTCCGTGTCGAACGCGCACTGTCTGGACTGGTACAAGGAATGGGCCGCCGCGCACTAGAGGCCGCAAGACGTCTCTCGCCGTCCCGCACGTCGACTGCCCTCGTTCGCACACCTTGCGCCTCGGAACCGGCCCGTTCCCCTTGTGAAGCAGACGAAACAGAAGGGCGACGAGGAAATGGAGGGAGAAGGGAAGGAGCAGAAATAGAATGTTCACGTGTCCATTTGTGATTCGGTGTATTTGCGTACATATGCGTGCGTGTGTGCGCCTGGAATCCACGACAGCTTTAAGAACCCAAAAAAAAAGGGGGGGGGACTGCCAACGGGCACGGCGTCATGGGTCAAGTAGAGAGGAAACACGTCAAATATTATGATATCGTTTCTGTGTCCAAGGGGGCATAGGTGAGCCGACACTGTACACTCACGTACGCTAGGCGCAAATAGACCGCTAGAAATGGAAATGAGATTCAAGAGCGAACACGACCATTCTTGATGGATCAGTAAACGGACATTTCATTTCTCTCTCTCTCTCTCATTCTATCAACATCACACACATCTCACAACAACCCAGGCACAGCTAGAAATTCTCCTCTTGTCCCTCCAAATCCATCCGCCATGTGGTTGGCGAACAAAAAAGCACGCTAATAGGGGGTATTCCAAACGACATTCATCCACATCAATCTCAATCTCGCTCTTTCTATATTTCGTGGGTCTCCTCATGGCCCAAACAAAAACAGAGGTCTCTCGCTTCCATGTTCTCGAGTAGCCTCTCGGCGACGCTGGTCGAGAAGTCATGAAAGCAAGAGGGCATCGTGGCCGTGGTGCCTTTTTCTTTTTTTTCGCGTGCCTCGGACCGCTTGTCTCTTGTGGTGCCGGTTTACTGTCAGATGGAAAGGAGAACATAAGCTCTTTAGTAACAACCAAAATAAAAGCAGTTGACCGTCGGCATTAACCCGCCTTTTCCCGAAATCGTCCAAAACTCCGTTTCATATGTTTGCACGTCCCAAGAATGAGACTGAATAACATGAGGAAGGGAAAGGCGAAACCAAAATTCGGCGCCTAGAATGCGAAGAGCGCTGAAGAAATGGAGTAAGGAAAAAACAAAACGCCGGACCTGGAAATGCTCCCAAGGAAAGGTATTAAGTTGGGGGGAGGGGAGGAGGGAAATGGTGGTGGTGTGAGGGAATCATGAAACTCTCAATGCATGATTACAGACACTTGGAAGGTTGTGCGTAGATATTCTTTTTCGCGTCTTGAGGTCGCTTTCGCTCGTTTGTTCAGCACTCTCGTCAGGCGTCAGACATGCGAATACTGCGGCGTCACGGGTTTCAGCCCCCCTCCCTTAAAGAGAAAGGTTGACTTGCAAATTCTGTGTATGCGCCCCGCTGTAAGACAAAACCACAACAAAAGCCACATGTCGCCAAGGTGTTCACGTCGTTTCCCATGTCATTTGCAAAAGCTCCATCAAGATTGTGCGGGGAGCCGTCGATCACTGCTGAACCGGAACGCACCAATGTCGGTGGTATACCCACGCGCTCTTCTGGCATTCCTTGCTGCAATACTTGGTGCGTCGGCAGCGTCGGCATTTCGCAAATTGACGCGTGTACTCTTCCCACTTTCCACAGTCATAGTACGCGCACTGCCTGATACCGCCACGGGAGTCGTCTTTGCGGCACAGATTGCGCATCACGACCCCGGCCCAGTACTGCATGTCTGTTGTGTGATGGCGCACCGTGAACTTCTCCACGAGGGGGAAGATGTTGAACGTGTCAGGTTGGAGATATTCTTCCTCTTCCCTTTCGTCCTTCTCTGGCTTCGGCTGGGACGCTGCACCGGCATCGGCGTCAAACATGTTCAGCTCCGCCGTCGAAATCTTGAGCCGGGGGACAAGGTGTGACTTCTGAAAGTAGGAGCGCAGGTTGCAGTACTTGGACACGTAAGCCAGAAGCTGCAGGCACATGAGCACGTCCTCGTCGCGAGGCATGCTCGTGATCAGACCTGAGCTCGCGCTCCGCTCGTGTGCGAAACGAGCGTACGGGTTCAGCTGTATTGGCTGCTGCGGCTGTGGCAGCTGGGTTAACGTTGCGATGGGTGAGATGGTGATGTTTGGAGCGGGTTGCACGGTCGCGGGCCTCCCGTTGCTTATGCTTCCCTCGATGGCGGAGCGGGCGAGGTCGAAGGCGTCTACTTCTGGTGGCCCCGTAGGACGTGGATCCAGCCGCACGGGCGAGTCGCCTTCGATGATGGTCTGGGCATCCACGTCTTGCATGGCAATGTCACTCTGGATGCCAACGACAGGCTCCTCGCTGCTGTCATTCATGGCGCCGTCCGTTTCCTCGGGAATTTCGTCCGAATCTTGGGACATGGACGCCTGGTGTCGTGCGGGCGGTCGTCGGCCTACAGCACGTCGGAACAGAGGCAACGCGTCGCTGGGAGGGTTTGCGGGTGCGCTGGGCGTGGTGGGCGACTCGGGGCGGGATGAGTTGTCGGCAGGGAGAGGCATCATCGAGGGCAGTCTGTCGGCGTCTCGCACGGGTCGCAGGCCGAACGAGTCTGGTCTGTCGTCCATTCTAGGGATGGAGGTCGCAAGTGGCTGTGGGATGGTGGGCCGCGCATGACTGGACGAAGGGAAGTGTGGTGTCCTGGCCTCAGCGGTGCCTCGGTTTTGTGACTGCACACCGGAGAAGGTGGTTCGTTCAGGAGGCGAACTCAGCGAGAAAGCCGGCGGCAGCGGCTGTTCGGCAGAAGGGTCTCGCATGGGAGACGGGATTTCGATGGGCGGCGGCGCCTGTCGTCTGATGCGATCGAAGCCATGGCCCGATAGCAACAGATCATTTGCCTTATGGTAATGCTTCGACGAGGAGCCATACTGCTTCGCGTTGCGCTTGAACTCAGCGTCGGCCTTCTCACGGCACTTGTCAATGACTTTGACGTAGTTGTCCAGTATCGTAGCGATGACGGGGACTATGTCCGCCTCAACGAGGCGGGTTCTGACGTTCTCCGAGCCTCGAACGCCAATGTTGACGACGCATTGGAATGCCAAGTTCCACTTCCAGCACTCCATCATGTCCTTTGTGCTGCGGCCCTCCTTGAGGATGCACACCAGCCTCTCCACGCCGCCATCGACCGTCAGGATGTCTCTGATGCGCGCCGACGAGGTGATCAGGTAGGCGAGGTTGTTGAGCGAATTGATAAGCGGCAAGGTGGAGGTGCAGTCGAGGGCGCGGCGGTCGTACAGGGCGGTTGTGATGCCCACGGACGCCTTGTTGGCGTTGGGTATGCTGAAGTTGAGCTCCCTCATGGTGGACGGGGCAGATGTGCGGCTCCAATCGTCCGCTCGGAGGACGTGGATGCGAATATGTGAAGGGGGGTGAAAAAGCAGGACGGGATCGGATGGCGAAAGGGAGGTTTTGGGAGGATGCGAATTAGCAATCACGCCGAGGCGACCGCACGATCACGCAACGGCGGGAACACGAGGTCCCAAGCGGGCCGGCGGGCGGGTGAAATGGCCAAACCGACAGCGAACGACGGTCGGCAAAGGTGGAACAAAGGTGGGCGCAGACGAGGTGAGGGCGTGGCGGACGTTGGAGGACGACGGCGGAGAGGATGGGGGGTGGCAGAGGCGAGAAGAGGGGAGAAAAAGCAGTCGAGCCTTGACAGGAACAAACGCAGGCTCGTCTCCGAACGCAGGCCCGGGGACGGCGTCAAAGGTGCGTGTGGCTGCGGCAGGCAATGAGCAGGCGACGACGACTCGGCCCGGACAGTACACGAGACGATGCAGGAATGGAGGAGGGCGAAGGAGGAGAAGAAGCAGAGACGAAGCTCAGGAGTCGGTCGGAGCAAGTGGTTGGAGGGTTGGGCAAGAGAGTCGAGAGGGAGCGTCTGAGCGGGCTCGGGGGCGCCAGCAGTGGAGGCCGGCGCTGGCTGGTCGGATGCGAGCAAGGGTGCTGGCGAGAAAAGTGGCTCTTCGGTCGTTCTTGGTGCGTGTCCAGGCAAATGCAGGCTGCCCAGCCAGCCGAGCGAGCTGAAGCCGTCAACCAGAGGCCATGCGTGTTGGTGTTGCTGGCGGAGGAGAGGAAATGTGCGCCGGATAGGATGCTGCGTGGGAGATACGGCTGATGGCTGCTGTTGCTGATGATGCTGTTGATGTCTGCGCTACGCTGCTGGTGTAAGGCGGGTGGAATTGAGAGCTGCCGCGAGACAAGCGGCTTGACGAGAGTAAAGTCTGCCGAGAGACGCAAGTGGAAGCTGCTTCGACAGGCGTCCTGGCGCAGGAGGGACGGCCGAGGAGGCGGCCAAAGGCGAAGAAGACGAAAGAGCGAGAGCGACAGGGAGAGACGACAGACACGACGCGGCCAGGCCACGAACGACGCACACACGAGCGGGCACACCCGCGGGCAGATACAGAGACAGAGACAGACAGACACAGGCACAGACGCCGCCGCAGCTGCAGACACGGCCAGGAGAGTTCTGCGACGCAGCCCGTCGTTCCACCCAGCGCGGGTCGAGCGCTGACTTGACTCTCCTCGCGTCCGCCTGCGCTGCACCCGGTCCCGTCTGCGCTGCACACAGTCCGTCTGCGCGCCCAACACCACACAGTCCCGGGCGTGATTGGCTGGCAACCGCGTCCGGCTGCGGTTTGATGCGCCCGCTCTCATCGCGACGCTCGCTGCCCGCATTGCCCAATCGAGCGGCCTTTGCTATGCGGCCGACATCGAAACGACGGGCTGCATCAGCCATGCCAATGCCCGCCCTGGCGGAGTCGCCCGTTGCACGTCTCTCCTCACCACCTGTCGGAAGCAGCAGCAACAGTGACGATGGCGCCGCTGGCACGCCGAGGGCAACAGAACAACCACGCAAACTCACACACCATGCGCATACACGTACTCACGCATCCACTCTCCGTGCTGTCGCACACATCCACGCACACACACACACACACAGACACACACAACCCCAACTCCCATTCCCTTGTCGCCTCTCGCTGCTTCTGGCTTCCGCAACGTCTCTCCCCTCCCCCTCCTCTGCGTCTCAAACGGCCGTCGCCAATGGCGGCGCGTCTGGGCTTCCGCTGGAGGCCGCTCACGTCCAACCATTCGCTCGCCTCGGCGCTTAACCTTACGCACAAACCCGCGCTGTCCTTGCTCCTGGACCAACGCTTGCATCAGGCCCTTCACAGCTTTGCCTGCTTGCCGTGCTGCTTCTGCTTTTGCGGCTGCTGAAAACTGCTGTGCGATGATCAGTGCCCAATAGATCTCATGACGGCCCCCGCCGTGGAAGCTGATTCACCTCCACGCCGTCCGTTCCTGAACTGACGCATGTACCTGTCTCCCGTCATGTCGATTCGACGGCGGGAAGCGTTGGCAGAAGTCTGCAAGTATCGTCTTGCCACATTGCGCCTCGCCAGCAACGGGTGTTTGACGTGCCCATGCCCGTCAAAGACGCTTGGGACGTGGGGGACTGCGCGCCAAGTCGACCCCATCCTCACGCCCAATTTGCTTCCCCTCCCCCATCCACTCCGAGGAATCAGCGATCGTGGCCACGTCTGCTCACAGTCGTGTTGCGCAATAGGTATGCCTACGGGATAGGCGTCCGTTCACGGTTGGATGTTGCTGTGTACAGTCGCTCGCGTTGCGTGCTCCAGGCCAATTGGGCAGTCCAGCGTTTCAGCCGCGTGCGCATCGAGAATCCTCGTCCGCAAGCTGGTGACCGTCCAACCTCACTCGTCCGGGCCACCATCCTCATCGCCCTCGTTGCCCAGCATTGGCTTGCTATGCTGCATCCCAGAGTTGACGACAGTAGCATCCAGTGTCCTTCCCGTCTTCGGCCGCCGCCGCATGTCTACAGCGCGCAAGATGGCAGACCCTGTGATTCGCGACTTCCAAGCGACGCGCACACGCTCTGCCACCGACGCTCCCTCCGCCCGTCCCAACGTCGATCTCGAGCAGAATGCTGCTGCTCCAGGTCCGAGACGGTACAACACGCTCGCCCCCACCAGCGTCACCGGCATGGCCACCGGCTTCAACAGCCGTGCGCGCGCTCACAGTCTTGCGTCCACCAGCAGCATCAACAGCGACGACATCGTCGAACGGCGCATCACTCGGCATGACACCGTGAGGCGGTACTCTGGCACCTATGACTTGCCCATGCGGGACCACGAGCCCGTCTGGGAGGAGCCCGGCGCGGAGCCAGGCATCGACACCAGCAAGGAGCCCGAGTCTCGCTTCAGCCACATTCTGCAGGAGTGCCAGATCACCGTTGTCGACCTGTTCGAGGATCACGTTTCAAAGTTTGAGCTGGACAACGAGGGTCTCGCCGCCTTCCTGAAGGACCAGCCGTCCCAGGAGCCGTACAAGGCGCGCTGGATCAACGTGAACAGGCTCAGCTACGACGTCATCACCATGTTGCAGGCAGAGTACAAGCTGCACGGCCTCGCCATCGAGGACATGCTCAGCATCCGCGGACGCACAAAGGTCGATTGGTACGCGGACCACGCGTTCATCTTCATGACGCTGCAGAAGCTTATCAAGGTCAAGCCCCTAGATCAGGATGTGAGGAAAGCGGAGCAGGCTGGGCGCCGGTCCACGTTCAGACGAATGTTCACCAGGCGAGACGATCCGATCTTGGGGCTGCAGAACGAAAAGCTTCAAGGCAAAGGCGAGCTGGGCGCGAGTGGATACAATGCTGACGGACCGCGCCCCAGCGCAGTATCGGCCTCCGGCAGGCCGTACCAGAATCATGAATCGTATCGCACACTGCAGCGCAACAAGCCCGGCCAGAACTTTGAGCGCATGCTGTACATGGAACGTAACTCGATGCTCACGCAGAAGAACCTCGCCGTCTCCGTGGAGAAGGTTGCGATCTTCCTGACGGCCAACAACACCGTCATCTCCTTCTTTGAGCACTCGGCAGACGACATCGAGGGCCCTATCCTTAGGCGTCTAAACTCGCCCAACACGATTCTCCGTACGAGCAGCGACGCAAGCATGATGGTTCAGGCCGTCATCGACGCGATCGTGGATCTGGCCATCCCGGTCGTGGCCGCGTACGAAGACATCATCTCGGAGCTGGAGGTCGACGTGCTCACCGACCCTGAGATGGCTCACTCTCGCAGGCTCTACATCGTCGCCTCAGAGCTGAGCCTCCTCCGCGCCAACCTGGCTCCCATTAGCGTCATAATCTCAGCCATTCGAGATCATCAACGCTCCGCGGCTCGCGACAAGGCACTGCGCGAAAGAGAGCATCACGACGTGACCAACAATCCCGCTCGCCCAGGCGTAACGCGCTCTGTGACACGTGTCAAGACCGTGAACATCTCCGAGACGGCGGTCACGTACTTTGGTGACGTCGAGGACCACATCATTTCCATGTCCAGCCATCTGGACAATATGCGTCGCACGGCCAGCGACCTGATCGACCTGCTGTATAACCAAATGGGCGCTTTCCAGAACGAGACGATGAAAATGCTGACTGCGGTCACCATCTTCTTCCTACCGCTCACCTTCCTGACCGGCTACTTTGGACAGAACTTCGAGCACTTTGAAGCAATCAAGCACAGTGACGCCTTCTTCTGGATGATCGCCTTGCCTGTGATGGCCGTAACTATGGTTGTCTTGACGTGAGTTTCCCATCCATTTGGTTCCTGGTTTTTGTTTACATCGATGCGAGCGCCGATGCTGATGATCTTGACAGGGGCCCCATCTGGATACGCTTCGCGAAGAGGCAGCTGCAGAAGGCTTGGATCTTCCGGCAGAAGAAGGCCCGTAACGAGAAACTGAGGAGGACGAACACAATTGGAACGACGACGCAGAGGACGAACACGAACCCGAGGTGAGAGATGCCGTCATGGGCGATGGTGGTGGCCAGATGTGGCCCTTTGCATGTTTCATGCTTGTGATACCCCTCCCTTTTTTGGGACACGATTGGATTAGAACGTGGTAGTTTTTTACTTTTTTTTGGCATTTGTGAGCAGAAGGGCATTACTAGACGTGTTTAGAGAAGACGTCCATGCACAAGACTTGTCGGATGTTCAGCGTTTTAAAGAATTTTTGACGATAACTTGTGTCCAGATCTACGGTAGAGGTTTGGGTACGGTTGTCATTTGCTACTTGCGAGAGACGCCAGTGGACGAAGGGCTTCGAACGTATCAGGCGATGTGGACCAGCGGGAAGGTGTTGGAACTTGATAGCTAGCCTGTGGTCCGATTCGCGACCTCCCTTTGAAATCAGCGTACCTAGTTCCAGGCTCCGTCGTTCTCGCGAAACTTAGTCATCGTCGCGCAACGAGGAGAAGCATATCATGGTGAGGGAACAGATTCGGCCACGCCTTCCATGCGAGGCGGAGCGCTCGATGCTTCGGTTGCTCGGATCGCGGATACAAGCACGAGGCACATGTAGACGTGCGAAAAGAAAAACGCACCGCGTCGACCTAGGGGGGGGGGGGGGGGGGGGGGGGGGGGGGGACGTCGGCTCTGCGCTTCATGGTTCATAGGTGTGTGTTTGTGTGTTGCAACGTACATGACTTGACCATCTCTCCCACGCTTTTATGTTACAGTCGAGACTAGATCCAGAATCCCGAATTCCGTGACGCGGATGCCCATTGAACTCCAAGCAATGCTCTCTTTCTCTCTTTTGCTCTCTCTCTCTCTCTCTCTCTCTCTTTAATTTTAATATTACAATCCCAATATGGCGCGGCCCTCGCTTTTCTCCCGGACCATCAAAGAGCGATCCTTCAAACCTGGGTCGGGCTGCCCTTGGTCTTCTTCTTCGTCGTCCAGGACCCGTCGTCCCCCACGACAATGCCCGACCCGTGCACGCCGCTCCACACGCCTCTGACGCTCTCGTTGACGCTCTTCACCGGCTTGACGACCCTCTTCCAGGGCTCGCCGCACGTGTCCCGCAGCCGCTCCGCCATCAGCCTCACCTGGTCCGGCTCCAGCGACCTGACGCATATCGCCTTCACGGCGCCGTTCGTGTAGTGGCCTCGGATGACGGGGTGGTGGTTCGGCCGGGGCGAGACGGCCATTTCAATGGAGGCGTTGGCACGCGCGAAGGCCGGCAGTTGGTGGGTGAGGAAGGCTTTCATGCCCCTGTTTGTGTATTTCATCTTAGCTACCTGCTTCTTCAACGCAGCCATTCTAGATAGGGGAGAGGTAAGGAGCAAGGGAGGGAGGGAAGTGCTTCGTACTTGGAGGAGCCCCCGTGGTCGCAGTAGTGGAAGTCAAGCTTCTTGCATTGGATGATGTGGGCGCCGACGCCATTCTGCGATGCTCCGTCAGCTGCGGCATCGATGCTGCTTAGCATTCATCCTACCTGCGACTTGGCGATCGTCCGCAACGCCCTCAATGGCATGTTTGGTCGAAGATGTGCTTGGCGATGCTCTCACAACTTTTCTGAAAGATCGTCTTGAGGCAGGGTGACGCGCTCACGTGGGTTGTAGCCTTACGGCCCTCTCCGCGACCCCCTCCCCTGGTTGGGTAATTGGCCGCCTCTGCGCCGTACGTCGCCAAAAAGTTAACCTCCGTTCTGGACTGCGCCTGAGCACGCTCTCATCTAACCGTTAGCTCTCGCATCGCCCGTCGTCGACCACTCCTCCTTTCCTTTCTCATTTGACTCGTTGTTTTTTAAAATTGCTTTCATTTGGTTCTTTTTTCACACGCAGTACAGGTCCGACCTTCGTGACGACGACGGCGCCAGGCGAGCGACGCGCAAAGGCGAGCCAGACATCCCTCGCGACCCAGCCATAACGAGCTTCGACAGGAAACAGTCCACATTGCTCGCAAACATCACGAACAACACGCGCCCTATTTCCCCCTCCTGACGGCCTAGCTGCTCCTTACAACATTCTGCTTTCGCTCGTTATCTGGATCACTCGCCGCGATGACCGACAAGCTCCCGCCCAACTTGCTCGCCCTGTTCGCGCCCCGGCCTCCCTTACGCTACCTTCCTCCCACCGACCATGCACCTGCGGACCGCCGGACGGCATATATTAGCAGCGTCGCTGACTATCTTCCGGCGCTGGAGGAGTACAAGAGGACAGATGTGTACCACCCGACGGAGAGTCACCAGCAACGCAAGGATCGCATCAAGTTGGAGAAGCAGAAGAAGGCGGATTGGCTAACAACCGAGGGTGTTAAACAATGTGAGTTTTAATCCTGGCCCCTGATCTCATTTCTTTCGGACGCGGCCTTCCTTTGACACTCGCGGTTGCGCGTCGCAGTGGACGCGAAGGCCGTCGTTTCCTTGTCTCGTTCTTAAGTTTCTACAATTTGCAGCTCGCCGCTGTTTGTTGCTGACTTGTGACTGCAGACAAGCCCTCGGAAGACCCAAAGATTGAAGGCGATCCATTAAAGACGCTGTTCGTAGCGCGACTGAGCTACGATGTTACTGAGAAAGATCTTGAACAGGAGTTCAGTCGCTTTGGCCCTGTAGAGAAGGTGCGAACGGCCTACAATGCCAATCTAATCGTGTCCGCTTGTTGACACTTACCTTCATAGGTGCGGATAGTACGCAACGAGTATGCGCCGGAGGATGCACCGAAGAAAAAGAAGAACAGAGGCTACGCCTTCGTAGTCTTCGAAAAAGCAAAGGATATGACAGGTAACCATATCCCCCTCTCCTCCCGTCTACGAAATAGCTTTTCAGCTACGCGAATGATGAGCTGCTGTGCCTCGTTTAGCTTGTCATTGCGTAGCTGCGCAGATATTTCCCTCGGTAAGTAGATTGCACGAATGCTACTAACACTGGAGCCTCCACTCCAACAGCTGCATACAAGGTAACAGATGGTCTCCGATTAAAGGGACGCCCAATTCTCGTAGATGTAGAGCGAGGCCGCACAGTTACGAACTGGCGTCCTCGACGTCTAGGCGGCGGGCTCGGCGGCAGGGGCTACTCCAAAGCCGGTCCTTCAAGGCTCAACGGTGCAGGCAACTTCAACGGCCCTCCTAGCGGTCCAGGTGGCTTCCGCGGTGCCGGCTTTCAAGGTGGCAGACAAGGCGGTGGCTTCAGAGGAGACTTTGGAGGTGGTCGCAGTGGAGGCGGATTTCGAAGTGGCCGCGGAAGCAGCGGATTTGGAGGGCCACGTGGAGGTGTGGGCTATCAGTCTAATGGCTTTGGAGGAGCTCCTGACGGCGCACCTGCAGGACCAAGAGGCGGTAGCAGACCAAATGGATATGGAGGAGGCCGATCATATGACGATCGAGGATATGGTGGCAGTGGAGGATCCAGAAGTGGAGGTGGTGGGTATCGCGATAGAGATCAAGATGGTGGGTATGGCGGCCGAGATGACTCACGGAAACGAAGATATGATGACGGAGGAAGTTACGATGACCGAAGGAGTAAGCCACGTCATTGAGAGACTCACAGGGGACAAGGACACGATCTTTATCCGGCGTTCAGACCCGTCTCTTAGAGAAGAGAATCCCGGCTCTCGCATGCGACATCGTGTACGTGGCAGGAGCGTAGCCTTATAGCTCAGGAGTTTCCCTTATCTTGTGTTACTGCCGGCAAGCATTTCGAAAGAGCTGCGGTGAGTATTGGGCGGTTGGGTGGGCACAAAGTAGGTATTCTCCCTCAAGAGATTCGCTTCTCACAGCAGGGATATGATGCTGTACGAAAACATACCTGCACACAAAGCCAGGAAGAAAACGGTGTCCAAAAAAACATAGTCAAAATTTAATTATGGCAGTCATACCAGGTAAGCCACCAGGTAAGGTGCTTGTATCTTTCATCATTCCAGCATCCTTGAATCGCTCGACTGGACACATAATGTGTACGGACCTTCTTTGCAAACCAATGCAGATCATGATATCGAGATTCCTTTCGGGATAACAGTCGCACGATTAATTGCTCTTCCTTACAATGCAGAGTGTGTACATAGCTTGATCAAAATCATCCTGGATCGTTCCTCTAAGCTTCGTGTGGACTGTAGATACTGAGTAGTCTTTGATATCCAACTACATTCGACACATTTTGTAATCAAAGGATGTGGAATTTGGATAACTTAACCGACACCACAAACGTAAGCTGCTTTATACGACGATTCCGTTCTTCACGACGCTGGTAAAGGAGATACCGTGCAAGAGTCTCAAGTCTCAACCCGGCGATCTTCCAACTTCTTCTTGGTCAAGGGCAGACGCAATAAAGGCTTTCTAAGGCTTCGAGCGTGATTAGGAGATCTCCAGTTGTCCATTCATACATGTATAGAGTGTCATGCAGCAGCTGACGATTACTAGAAGAGCTTCTAGCTAGAAGAAAAAAAAGAGATGTGCCGACGATAAGACAAACGAAGAAAGTTTGCAACACAGTCCTCTTTCCGCAGGACTCTCTGTCACGTTTCTATTTCTTCTCCTTTGAATGGTTTCGTCATTAAACTTGCAATTGGGTATTTTTCTGAAAGTCCGAAATGGTAGATTGTTGACATGAGTTTCGTCCTGGGGGTTTGGTCGCCTGAATGCCTATCAGCATCGCAAGGCAACTAACTGCAGCTTTCGACCTTGGAGGATTTTTTGGGAGGACAAAACGCGCTGCAACGACGCCATAACTATCACCTGTCCTAATTTGAAATGCTGTGCGCAAGTGAGTTTGCAGTGATTGAGGTACTGTGACGACGCTAATATTACGCGCAGTTTCCGGCGAAGCGCCCGAAGTACCCGTCGCGTCTCGCAAGAGCGGTAAGCTGCCCTCGTCTACGTTGTATGACTTCTGGGTATGTACTTATGTGCTTCGGCAGGCAATGTCTTCGAGAAGCGACTCATTGAGGCGTACATAGCCGACAATGGCAAAGACCCCGTGACGGGCGAGGAGCTGTCCGTCGAAGACCTGATCGAGCTCAAGAATGCTCGCGTAGTCCGGCCGAGACCGCCGACGCTGACCTCGATACCAGCGCTGCTCTCGACATTCCAGAACGAGTGGGACGCGCTGGCGCTGGAGACGTATACGTTAAAGCAGCAATTGGCACAGACGAGGCAGGAGCTAAGCACGGCGCTGTACGAGTACGAGGGTGCGTTGAGGGTCATCGCGAAGGTCACGAAGGAACGGGATGAGGCTAGAGATGCGCTGTCGAAGGTCACCATACAGGGAGGGGCTACCACGAACGGCGACGCTATGCAAGTGGACAACCAACCGCTGCCAGACGAGATCGCTGCAAAGGTGGATGCGACACAACAGAGGCGAGTGCTCAAGACTCTGCGTTCTAGGCAAGTCCTGCTAACATGAGACAGCTTGATGGCAACGCGCCGGAAACGACCGATTCCAGAAGGATGGGCGACTGCCGAGACTCTCGAAGCGCTTGAGGAGAAACCACATCCTGATGCTTCGCTACCAGGCTCGCGAGCCCTCGCAGTGGATGCCTCCGGCGATCTTGCGCTCTTCGGTGGCATTGACGGCGTTGCAGTAATTTACTCGATATCGAAGCAGCAGACGGTGCAAACGATAAAGGTTGGGTCTGGAGCGGTCACAGCAGCAGTGTGGTGGGACTCACGGCCCGTCCTTGCGCTGTCGACGGGCACAGTAAAGATCTTTGACAATGGCACGGAGCTGGGGGCATTCTCGGTTCACGCTGGCCCGGCGACAGATCTTTCGCTGCATCCATCCGGCGACCTGCTTGCTTCTGTCGGCTCGGACAAGAGCTATGTCATCTACGACCTGACCACGATGAGTCAAATCGCGCGAGTCTTCACCAACACTGGTACGTCAGAACTCTGTCTTTGCTGTCTCTGCTCGAACGAGAATTAACAAGCAACCAGAATTATCTAAGGGCCAGTTCCACCCCGACGGCCACCTCTTCGCCGCCGCCGGTGCGGACGCCGAAATCAAGCTCTTCGACGTCAAGACTGGTGAACTACAGGCCAGCTTCCCAACGGACGGCAGCGTAGTCGCCCTGTCCTTTTCCGAGAACGGCACGTGGCTTGCCTCCGCTTCGGCGGGCAGCACGACTGTTGCTGTGTGGGACTTGCGAAAGCTGAACACGATCAAGACGCTGGATATCGGCAGCGCCGTATCAAGCGTCAAGTGGGACTACACAGGCCAGTTCCTCGCCGTCGCGGGCGCAGGTTGCGTGGTCGTGGAGCAGTACGAGAAGAAGTCAAAGGCGTGGTCCGAGCCGTTGAGGAAAGCCATTGCGACGACAGATGTGGCTTGGGGTGCTAACGCGTCGACATTGGTTCTGCTTAACACAGAGGGGGCTCTCGTCACACTCGCGTAAGAAGAGTCCAGCGTGCCTTTGAGCAATGGGCTCGGCGTCTGTTTGGGGACTTGTAAAAGTACGTTTACTCATCACGGGTCTGGGCATTGGGCTGCATGCGATTGAATCAAGTCGCTACCGAATTGCAACGGTGAATTTTCTTTTCTCGCACAAATCTGCACGTCCTAATTCACACACACATTGACCGCGCAACTTCTTCTTGCCTTTTCGTCGCTGGGATTGGAGACGAGCTGCTAGAAACGTGACGTCGTCGTCCTGTATGATTTGTGATAGGTTTGCCAGGCACGTAGAAGATCGATAAGGCGGTGCTGAGAGTGCCTTGCGGCAAAGAATACAGTAAGGGCGGTCAAATCACATCGTCAAGGCATGCTCTCTTTGCCACCGGCACGGCTGTCAGGCCCTGTCCCACACGCCTAGAACACGCCTGCAGGCGGCGCCCAAATTCCGGAGCCGAAGCCGTCGGAGCCATGGGATGGGACAGGCGGCGGCCGAGCAACGAGAGATGCAGAGGTTCGCCATGGGTGAACAGGACGGTGGGCGGTCTTTTGTTGTGTGCAGAGTAGCAGGCAGCGGGCAGGGCAACGACGTTGTCGTCTTGTCCACGCAAAGTGTCGAATCGCCGCGCGAGAGCGGGAATCTCGGCCGTAAAGGGCCGACTTTGCGTGCACGAGAGGCCGTGGGTTTCTCGCTCCAAAGTGGCCAACACAAGCGAGAGGTCTTGCGTGTGATCCGTCCTGCGTTCCACCTTTGTAGCTTGGCCTGGAGCCATGCTCGCAGGCGAATTCGACCAACGCATGAGCGTGTCTTTGGCGCTGCCAACGTTTCTTTTTTCCCGTGCTTCCTTTTGCTCCCGTCCTTTTCTTCCTCGTCTTCTCCTCACTGCGGCTCCCTGGCATTCAGTCTGGGCGATTCGCAGAGCGCTGTTGCGTGGACTTTGGCACTAAGGATCTACTTCCCCTTCTTCGATCCAAACCTCTTGGGCACGTTCTGGCCGCGCCACCCACAGGACAACCCAACTCTCCCGTCTGACTATCGCTCGTGCATCGATACACCTTCATCAAAAGCAGTCACCATCCGGCCGGCCACCCCTTCGTACCTACCAGCTTCCCACAGCCGTGTATTCCGTCCGGCGTTTGCAACCAGGACTTCATCGTTGATGGAGAATGTACCGCCTCCACCTGGGCTAGGGTGGGCTGCACGAGGAACCAAGGTAAGAGAACCTGCCCAAACCGCCCTCGGCCTCCCGCGAGTCGGTCGTCCATCTGGTCTTTCACGTCCTCCTCACATTTGGGCTGACAATCATCCGTTCTGCAGAGGACGCACAGTCAAATGAGCGGCAGCCGACAAACGCCCTCTCGACGGACCCGCTCTCCATCTGCCATCTCCACCAACGATAATAGCACGCCCACCCATTCCACCTCCTCGAATCCTTCGGTCGACCCAGGCTTGCAACCTACCAGTTCTTTCTTCCGCCTCGACCCTGGATCCTTCAGCCTTTTCCGTCTGCCCTCGATTCGCGAGCTCGACGCCGCGAGGCCTCCTTCCGTGGATCCAACCGTGGAGCGTCCTCGCAGCAGTCTAGCCGCCGCGGTAAGGGCTCGGACTGTAGCGGTAGAAGCGCCAATGGATGTCATCGACTTGACCAATGACGACGACTACGTTGAATTCATCCCCCCACGCCCGAGACGTCAAGACGTTCCTGGCGTCTTTGGTCATGCACAGAGAGGGCCCCGGTTCCCTGCTGAGATAATTGACCTGTCTGGTGACACACCTCAGCGGCCGTGGCGGGAGCAGGAAAGAGGCGGCGAGAGCGGAGACAACTCGCAGAATGAGGTGCATAATGGTAGTCCTGAGGTGCAGTTTGTAAGAGCAAGACCTCTGTCGCCACGGCTGCGCTTCGCCGGTGTCACGCCGCCGGCACACCGCCTGCCAGACAGGCTGACTCGAGGGCCCATCGAAATACCAGATGACGACGAAATAGAGATCATAGAAGAGCGGTTACTGCCTCCTCAAGTTCCCTTACCCCCGCCAGGCCGTATCGGCAATTTCATAGCGACCTTTGGCACAGCGACACGGATATTGCAAGATGTAGGATTGATTGCCCGAGCAGGCGGAGCATCGCACCGCGCTTCACGACGAGGACCTCGTCCACATCCACAGCCACACCAACGTGCCCGCGCGCAGACACACGTTCAGGTTCACAACTTTGACATGCCGAATCTGGACTTTGGTTTTGCAGCATTCGATCTTGGATATGGACGGGAGGAACCGCGAACGGAGCGGGAAGAGAGCGTCGTGCCAGCCCCTAATCCCGCACCAGAGGGATTTACACGTAATCCCACCGAAGAAGATGTGCTGGTGTGTCCAAACTGCGATGCTGAGCTAAGTATGGGAGAGAGCGATGTAAAGAGACAGGTTTGGCTTGTCAAGACGTGCGGCCATGTGAGTATCTTTTAAGACACCTCTGAGTACAAATGGAATAGCCTGTGGTGTTCTGACAGTTTGGGTCATAGATCTATTGCGGCGAATGTGCAGCAAGTCGCCTTGCTACGAAGCCTAGGAAGGGTAAGGAGCCGGTGAACCAAAAGTATCAACCTCTCAAGAAGTGCGTCGTGGAGGGCTGTGTCGCGAGGACGACGGGTAAGCAGATGATCCAGCTCTTCTTATGAGCGTAGATATGATGATGCAGCCATTTTTTTTTAAAAAAAAAAAAATTAAAGGAGTGCGGGCCTCGAACCCGAACTGCTTCGAAAGCCTTGTTGTTGTGTCGCACCCGGATTCGAGCGGGCTCAAGCATCATTCCTACTCGAATGTCGATGAGAAGAAAAAGGGGGCAACAGACATGATTGCGAGCCGTTGCGATTCGTTGGCCGCTTCATGATGAATGTATGATATTTACGCTATGACGTGTGTCTGTTGCGTCACGGTTTGTTCTTTTACACGACAAATACCCGAACATACTCTGTGGTTTAGCATTCTAGAAGAACTTGCATTTTGGAGTAACAGGAGATTCGACATTATCGACACCCTCTGTCTGGATAGTTGGTGCTGAAGAAGAACAAGCATCCGTCGTTCATGAGCTTATGCTGAAGCGGAGCGAATGTTGACAAAGTGAGACAGAAACGGAGGAAAACGCAGCCATCATATTCCAACTCTTTTGCGAGTTCTCAAGCAAAGCGAAAGTTATGAGTCTCAATAGGCAGCTTCTGCAAGTCGTTCAGGTCGAGTGAACCATTCAGCTGGGTCGAATCATCTGGTGCTTGAGTTCAGGAAGAGCAAAGTCCAGTATATCACTGTTACGAATACAGATCGGCTTGCCATGACATCCAGGGGGTCTCCCAAGCTTCAGGATTCAGTTCTTACGAGCTTGACATGGCACTTTTCGTTGCGGCTGAACCTCAAGAGTCTCTTGATTTGGAAAGGAACCTATATGGATCTGAATTTCTCTGGGTCTTGTGATTGCTGCCCGTGACGCTCGTAGCGAATCGGATCATCGTCTACGAATTGCAGAATTCCCAAACTTCGCGAACATTCAGCCTGGCGAGTTTCTCAATCGTGTGCGGCAGAACGGTGGTTACACACTCGGGAAGGAAATCTTTGGAGTGGTTGGGATCGATGACGGCACTTGGTGAAGCTTGATCTTTTCTGGCTTACAGGCAACGCGAAATTCAAAACTCACGGACTCTTCGTCGGTCAGCGCCGCCGTTCGCTATAAAAAGTGACGAAGCCACTCGCGCAGACGATTTGAATTGACCTGCAGCCTTTGAGTTCTAGCTTGAGTCCTTGTTTCTCTGTTCTCTTGAACTTCATGTGGTGCGAGTTCGGAGAGAGACATTTCGGCCTCCATGAGGTGCGCCATCTTCAGTGCATCTTGTAGTTCAGGACTGCGAAGAAAGCTCTTCAAGAGCGGGTTATTTTTTTTCGGTTTTTGTTCTCACTACCTTATGGAGCTGCCAAGGTGGATTTTTGGCAATAGGTCTAATTAAGCAAATGAGACGTGCTGCTGCCACTTGAGTCTTGGACTTTGTTTCCTCTTTTCTTTTAACCGAAGCGTTGAAGCGTCAACGTTACAGATATATTCGTATTCAGGCCATGTCAAGTTATCCCCAACGCGTGCCCTCACAAGGTATACATACATCTCTGTTTCCTCTCCTTCCGCTCTCGCTTGTCGAGTTCTCGTCTACGCATTATTCTTGAACATTTTTTTCAAGTAGAATATATCCTTTTGAACGATTGTTCTGGAACTGGAACCAAGTTTTCTGGAATCACGACACTTCGAGGACGGTGGTCACAGCTTTTCCAACTTACCCTTTTCGACATATACCGCGTCTGCTCGGCTCAACAATTCTCATCACGTCACTGCGCAGCCGAGCACCGACTTTGGCGCGTTCCCAATCTTCTCCCTCTTCTCATCGATCGCACACCTGCCGCAGCAGCAAATCGTCATCACGATGTCGACGGCTGCGCAAACGAAACCATCGACGGCGTCACACACGAACCCGAAGCCGGCAAAAGCACCCGCTGGAAGTCCCGTCAAGCGACTTTACTTAACATTGTACAATGCCGTCTCGTGTGGACTTTGGGCCGTGATTCTGTACAGAGTTGTGTCTGTGCTGGTGGAAAACTACACGAAAGAGCCGTTTTTGGGGACAGTGAAAAGAAAGGAAAATGCTTGGTACGAGACGGGCGAGTTTGTGAAGTGGGTGCAGACCGGAGCGTTGTTGGAGGTTGTGCATAGTCTTCTGGGTGAGTGCTCCCTTTCTTTCTTTCTTTCTTTCTTTTTTTTTAACCAAGTTGTCCAACAAGTTTGCGATGTGGTCGCAGCTTGGTGATTCTTATTTGCTGTCACATGCACTAACGTATGCAACTTTAGGTATCGTCCGCGCACCCGTCACGACGACCGCCCTTCAAGTTGCATCTCGCGTTGTCCTTGTCTGGGGCATATGCGATCAGTTCCCAAGCGTGCCGGCAAACAGTCTGTTCTATTCAAGCATGCTTGTTGCGTGGAGTGTGACCGAAGTTGTCCGCTACGGCTTCTTCGTTTTCTCGCTCAACGGCTTTGTCCCGGGCGTTCTGAGCTGGCTGCGCTACAACCTGTTCTTCGTCTTGTATCCTTTGGGGATCTCAAGCGAGATGGCTTTGGTCTACAAGTCGATCCCACTGGCCAAGAAGAGGGACGAAAGGTTGGAGTACGTCATGTATGCCATCCTAGGCATTTACTTCCCAGGTAGGTCCCCGTATTGACTTTTCTCAACGTAACTTTATATCGCTTTGGCGCACGTAGCAGGCGATCTGACGCGTGGTAGGCGCTTACATACTATATACGCACATGATGGCACAAAGGAAGCGTGTCATGCGTGGTAAGGCAAAGACGACTTAGACGCCTGTGTGGGACGGCAGCATTCTTTGTCAAAAGGTCGTTGTATCGCGTCGGCCGGGAGGAATTTTTTTGTTTGGAGAACACTCTGACCCGGGCAACATAATAATCACAAGCTTTGGTCAATCCCAGCGTGTTGGGTGTTCGATTTAATTTTCTGGAACATGTCGGCCCGCAGTCAGCGCGACAGGCAAGGCCCCTGCACGTCTCCTTTTTCTGATCAAGTACCCGCATCTCCACATGATCAATTTCTGCTAGAAACGCGCAGCTTAATTTCACGTCTTGGTTGCGCCTTGAACCCTCGGCTTCCGGGTGCAAAGGGGCAAGGATGCGCAAGATTGAGTTCCATCTAACGCGCAGAAACGCGTCCGTGTCAGGGCTCGGTCCACGCCTCTGAAACGAGCAGCCTACCACATCAACAAATAACGTCTCAAGAACATACTTCGTTGCTGCATACGTTTTATTATACTGTCACGGCGCTATTGACTGTTTCCGATCGCAAAGAGTATATCCTCTCTCGCGTAGAAGAACACGTTGCCAGCCCTCGCACTCTCCTTCTCGACCGTCCTCAGCGCTGCACCTCATTTCACGCTGCCAACGTCCTGCTGCAGGCTTGTCCATAATTTCCGCCACAGGCTGCGCTTTCGCCATTCCGCTGTCAAACCCCTTCCTTCTGTTTTTTCGTCTTTGCTTCACACGCGGACCGTGTCCATGCCCACTCACAGCTAATTGAGACGCTACAATGTCCACTGCAACTGCCACGCACCATCCAAGCAGGAAGCCGTCATTCCTGCGCCACAAGATCCGCGACTCCTTCCGTCCATCCGCTTTGCGTGGACTGCTGGATCACACCGAGAAAGATGGCAGCAAGAGAACAAGCCTCGACGAGAGCTCTTGGATTGCTCGCAAGAGAAGGAAGAACAAGCAAGTGAAGGAGCAGCCGCAGCATGTCCTTGGAGAGTTGAAGATCGATCTCAGTGACTTTGATGAGCTGAAGGCTAGCTTGGACAACGGCATCGACTTATACAGCTTGAACAGCCCACAAACGGTTACGACATTGGCTACAACTGCTACGGGCGAATCTGCTGCGACTGCAAGACCGAGCCATCAGCCGGTCCAGCAACAGTTGCACCAGAGCAGCCCTATTGCCGATCAGATGACTGGTATGTGGCTGAGCGAAAATCAGCACCGCATGCACTCTAACTCGAACACCAGCACCGCAAGCCATGGAGCTTGAAGACACGAGCAGCAATGCTCTCAGATCAGAGGACGCCATGGACGTTGATCCTCAGCCGCAAGACCCTAAACCTGAAATTCGCAAAGGGCCCAAGTGGCAGATTAGGACCGACAGTCTTGTTCGTCCTGTGAGTAGCGGAAAGGCCAACCCACTTGCCACAAACGTTTCTCAGACGATTGCTGCCATAAACAAGAACAGCTTCCAGGCCAGCGGCAAATGGAGCTCGACTGTAGACAACATGGCATCCGCAAGGCAGTCCATAGATTCAAGTCGCTCCAAGGTCACGAGTTACACAATTGCTACGGACAAGGTTGACAGCGTCCTTGGGAGTAACGTATCGATCTCTACTACGCATGCGAGCACCCGCCGCCCGCTTGGCGACACGAGTCGTGCTAATCATGCTACGATCAGTCTTCAAGCCGATACGAACAAGTCATCAAATTCTCAGACGACTTCTGTTGATCAAGAGAACAAGAGATCTTCGTATCCGCCCGTTGCTGTCAGGAGGCAAAGCTTGATAAATATGCACTCTGCCCAACAACGGCCGAGGAGTCCTACAGGATCAATTGCGTCAACAACGTCCGCAGTTCCACGACCGCGACGCCCAAGCGGAACAAACGTGTCATCACGGCTATCATGGATTCAAAGTCTCGAAAATGGCAGCCAGAATCCTGGCCATGAGTATATGCTGAAGAAGCTCGAGGGCGGCGTTGCGGACAAGCTTCGACGCTTCGAAAGTCAAAATAACCAAGCAAGTGGTTCAGTGTCGAGGTCTCAGTCCGCGACTAGATCAAGTGACGCGTACAGCATCGAAGCCAGACGCATGTCCAAGACTACTACCGCTGATGAAAGCTTCCGCAAGAAGCTCGAAGAGCAGTTCCAGAAGAAGAAAAAGGAAGACGAGGAGCGAGAGAGGAAACGGGCCAGTCTGAACAATACATCCAGAACTCCCCAGCAGATTATTGATTACGCCGAATTGAACGATAGAGACCGTGAAGCGGCTATCAATGATCTCATGAAGGACGGAAAAGGCTTGGAAAACGCACGAGCTCTCGACGCGCAAGCCAGAGCTGTTCTAAAAACTCAGCCTCGAAATGGGACTCAGCGGTCAGGTACCATATTCCAGAACGAGTCTGCTAAAACCGTCAGCGCCCTGGAGCAGTCTGCTATCAACCAGCGCAAAGTTGATGTTCGTGGTGCGCCCCACAAATTTGGGGACGCTGTGCCGAGCGGTCCGCGGGCGCAGTCCACAGTCGGCCTGCTGCGTACTTTGTCTGTTCAGCAAAAGCCGAAGCAGACGACCATTACGAAGCCTCCTCGTCCGGTGAGCTATACAGCGGTGCCTGTCATCGTTGACGATGATTACGACCCCTTTAACTACGCTTCCTATCCTAGCAGAAGCTCAATCTACAGCAATCCACCCGAGCCCCCTGCGATGACACCTGAGATTGAAGTTTCGGAGAAGGAGGCCGTCCCAGAAGTAGAATCCGGAAACGAAGCAGCAGAGTCTCCTACTACTGCAGACGAAAATTCTGCCACGCAGGCAGGAGTCGTAGCTGAAGCTGCTACTAGGCCAGAGAAAGACAAAGTCAGATCTCCCACTCCAGCAGCTTCCGCAGAGATGTCTGAAAACAAGGAGCAGGAAGCTGCAAAGGTGACAGAGGAACCATCGTCTACCCCAGACGTAAAGAAAGAACGTGATTCCACTCCTACCCAGACAGCCTCTAGTTGGGCATCACGCTTCCAAACCCAGGGCGGTTCACATCAAGCTAAAGACGTCACGAAGACTGCTGAGCTCGCGCTTCCAGCGCCAGCGAAAACAACTCGGGTAGAAATGGCGGACGCCGAAATTGATACGGCCCAAGCCGTGGAGAAAGAAGTGAAACCGAAAGCCAAAGAAAAGCCCTCGCCTGCAGTACTAGCATCGAAGCTCCCGCTGCGTGGAGGTTCTCAAAAGCCCGCTGCTGTCCTTGCAAGTGCTGCGGCAGCAACGGACCCGGAAACTTCTGAGGCTCTTGTTGCCCAAGAAGCAGTTCCTGCGTCGCCAACATTGATCGATGTCGTTAAGCCAAAGAAGGCAACCACAGAAGCTGATGCAAAAATTTCCACTGCCGCTGTCGCCGCATCAGCGAGACCTAGACTTGAAGAGGCAAAAGAGAAGGATGAGACTGAAAAATCCGACGCGAAGAGTGCAGACGTTAAATCCGCTGGCACGGAGCTACCGAAAGCATCAAAGCCAGCCGAAGAGGTTTCTACGTCCGCGCGGCCATGCACGCCTCCAAAGCACACCCCAGCCTCTCTACTCCTTACGAATGGGAGTGTGAAGATTGCCAGTCCATGCAGCAGCCCAAGGTCGCCAAAGGAGTTCAATGCAGCCGCTTTGCCACGGCTAGGCACCACATAAAGAATGTTACGCATACGAATGATATCCCCATCAGTTTATATATGTACGGTCATGATCTTATGTTTTAGACGGTCGAATCATAATCTTATTTCATACTTTTGTAAATCGCCATCCTCGTTCTCCGAAGCCTCTCGGGAGTCCAGGTAAGGGCCTTCCCGCGTATGGGTACTGTCAGATGTGATAAGCTTCGTACCGATTTTCGCATTTTGAACGTTGCAGTGACGATCCTTAAGCAAAGCTGTGTCCGATGATGCATCAAGCGGTTCAACATCATGTCTCGCGACTTGCTTAGCATGGGCTCCTCCGTACGATTAGGCTCCGCCGTATCGCTTGCCTCTACCAAAAATCATCGCAGTGTCCAAACAGACGTTATGTAGCCACGCTCCAGTCGTGTATATCAGGCAGGTCAACGAAATGCTGTGAACGAACAATCAGCGCTTTCCCCTGTTGATTAGCGGCTCAAAGAAGAATCGGTGGTGGAACAGCAATAGACCGGCGCAAAGCGGTTTTCTTTTTTTCTATGCGCACGGAGTTTATGGAACGGCCGAATTTGGCCGTCGTACGGACTGCGCGAGCACGTCGCAGGAGCAACAGGAATGTTTGCCACTTGCGCCGGCAGACCCGGATACCTAACAAGTCCGGCATTGGTAAACATGTTCGAGTCAAGACGGCCCTAGCGACCGCCTGCCCCAATGACCGTCCATTTCTCCTTGTGCGCGAGCTCAGCACTCGTACAGCGAGAACTATTTGCCATAAGTCATTCGGATTCTTCGGTAGGTAAAGCCTCGCAAGTAAAAAATTAACATTGCGTCAGGGCCGTCAGTGGGCGGAGCAATTTGTCATCCCTGCAGATGAACTGGAACTTTTCGTTCAGCCACCTTGGAAAGCATCGTTTTCAAGGCTGCAATTATGTGCGAGACTATATTATGGACTGAAGTACCTCTTTAGTCATGGGATCGTATTGTATTTCGCGGTGGATGCCATCACAGAGTTCGCAAGCAAGAAGTGAATCCGGAAAATGCCTTTACCAGAAGATCCCTTAAACGGCATTCTCGAGCTCATTCTGGAGCAATGGCGCACACAAATCGCTCGTCTCCATGCCCTCGAGGGGAAACTAAGTACATACGCTCGCGAGCTGGAAGGCTTGATCAAAAAGCTCATCGACGAAGGCACAGATCAAACGCTGCAGCTGCGAGACGATATCGAAAAGGCAAGCCACAACCTGAGGACGATCGCAGGCGCGCAGCGCGAAGTTGCCGAACGCTTCATCATGCCTGATTCGCTGCTGAAAACGATCGACTTCTTCTATCCGCAGCTTGGCATACCGGAGATGAAGCAAAGGATACGAGAGAGGCTTAAGAACGACCGGGACGAGGCGGAAGCGCTGCGGAGCTTCGTCAAGCGCGAAGCGGAGGACGCGGCCGAAAGCGGGGGCGAGGACGAAGGAGACGAAGACGAAGGTCAAGAAGAAGCCGAAGCCAGCAAAGGTGTCAAGTTGCGTGCGGCTCCGGGGAGGAGCAAGAAGCGGCGAGGAGCGGGGAACGACGAAGGGTAGGCTCTACGGTTGCGTGCTGATGTGCGTCGCCTGTATACTGAACTTGCTTTGGGAGCCGTAGGTTGAAAACGTCGAGAACGATGCGTCCGGGAGAAGGATAAAACGCGAGTAAAAGAACTGCCACGCCTTTGCTGGGCTAGATGTTATCATACAGTTGCTTCATCCCAACTCACTTTGGCCGTTGCCACCACCGTTCCGTAGCAGCATATCCTGCACGATTCAAGTCATAGCCTCATCTTCAGCAAGCACGGGCGACTACAGACGGCTGCGTTTGAAGGGCACCTGCCGAGACAAGGATTTGCAGATCTGTCGAAACTCGACATATTGAAATCGATTGTCAGTGGAAGGATAAAGCTGAAGAAGCGAAAGTGACAAGGAGGAAAGGGAGGGGGGACTTGGCGAGGGCCGCATATCTATACCCAATCTATGTCGTGGTACATAAAGACAATCGAGTATCATTTCCACTTCCCAGAACGCCTACTCAGGAGAGCTTGTATTCCTTCGCCTCCTTGCCGAAGGCTCAGGCTCAGGCTCAGGCGAGCTCGTGTTTCTCCTGTTGTTCTTCTGATTTGACTGGTGCTGCGTATCTTTCCACCTGTTTCTTTTGCTCCTTTTCCCACCACCATTGCCGCCGCCGCCGTCGCCGTTTCTGTTCTCCCTCTCCCTTTTAGCGCCTCTCTTGTTATCTACGTCATCTTGAGCGTGTTTTGCCTGCCACTCCTCCAGCATCTTTTTCACTTGCGGCTCCCATACCTCTTCTCCCTTTTCAAAATCGTCGAATTCGATGACGTTCCTGCCTAGCTCGAAACCGGACTGTCGACTGCGGACTAAGGTCGCCATCAGACCTGCTGAGTCAAGCGCAACACCCAAGTCATGGCAAAGCGAGCGTACGTAGAAGCCGGAAGACACGACCATCCGTATGCGAGCTGCTGGCGGCCGAGATTTTGATGATATCTGATCTGGTTTATTTTGAGTTGCTGCTGTTGCCACCGCCGCGTCTGCTTGGCCTGTAGGCTTCAGGTCGGTAGACTCAACTTCGGCTTCATTTGTCTGCTCGCTCGGGGAAGAAGAGCGTACTACTTTCTGGGGTGGCTCTTGGCTTTTGCTCTCTTCATCGTTGTCACTCTCACGCTTTCGCTTGTTCATAAGTGATTTTGGCCACGTAGCTCTCTCTGCAACCAGCTTGGCCTCAGCATCCGCCTCTTGGGAAGGCAATTCAAAACTGTGCTGATCAGGCGGAAGCCACTCCAGAAGCTCCAGCTCATGCACTGTGACAGGTCGTCTTTTGATCTCCGGTATGGGAAGTCCTTGCCTCGCATATTCATACAAATGCTTGCCGTCCACGCGGATTGCTGAATATACTGGGGGCAGTTGCATCTGGTCGCCCTTCAACGTTTCCAGTGCCTCTTCCAGCCTTTCCTTCGTCACTTTTTCCCAGCTCGCCGTCTTCGTTACCTTTCCTAGTATGTCATAACTATCTGTCGCAGCACCAAACAAAACAGTACACTCATACTCCTTTGTGCCATCCAAGAATTTTTGTAGCGCTTTTGTGCCGTTACCGATACCTACAACAAGGACGCCTGTCGCGAGGGGATCCAGAGTACCGCCATGACCAATCTTTAATTCGCTAAGCTGGTCTTTCTGCGCATTTTTGCGCCGGGACGACGACTGCTCTTTGCGGCTGCGTTCGCGCGCAATCAAGGGTTGGAAGAGCTGAGATTTCCGGAAGAGCGGTGTGACTGTGCGAATGACGTCGTAAGAGGATATTGAGGGCGGTTTGTGGATCGCTGCATTGGATTAGCGATTTCATTCTCAAGGCCTTTGGGGTATCTTTGACGGACCAAGCACGCCTTCGAGGATTGCCATGGCACCGCGCATGCTACCTCGTACGTTTCATGAGGTATCACCAATGAGAAATTGCGATGCGACGACGCCCGTGGGTTATTCTTATACCATGCTGTTGGCAATGCCTTCGAAAAACTGATGATGAAGCTGGACACTGAACGCTTTGACCATCTCCTAAGCTGGCTTTGGCACTGAAAGTGGCTGCGAAAGTCGGGTAACCACCTCAACCTCAGATCTGACGGTCTGATTTTGATTAACAAATTTCGGTTCTAGCCAGTGGTTTACTAGTGCAAAACGTGATCTGTGGTATATATTTCAATTTGAATTTCTCATTTTACATATATAGCATCTGCTCGGCTGCATACTGAACTGTTTCCCCTTTGCTTCTCAGAAAACTCTGTTTTCAGTGAGCACACAAATACCGATTCACTATCTTGACTCCAAACGAATCAGTAAGGATGTAGTTTCAATGCAAAGCTAGATCAATCTCAGGACGGACAGTAGCAGAGTGCTCATGGTAATATATCTTGCACGAGTACGCCACATTCCAATAAACTGCACTCAGAGCTGAGTAGTGCTATATGGTGGTGGGATTGTGGATTCGAATTGCAATAACTGATAATTCCGTCTGAATCGATACCTTTGTCTAATATCCTTATTTAATCACGCCACGCTATGCTATAACCCTCGAACGCCAAGTTATGCATGGAAAATCAGGCCAACAACATTTAGTCATCATCATTATCCCAGCTTTCATCCACATCTGCCCAACCCCATCCTGCGCGCATCGAGTTCCCATCAGTTGCAGTACGCATTGCTCTCGCCTGTGGGCCCTCACGCCAAAGCCTTGCTGAGTGGTCATCGCTAAGAGTAACAAAATCTCCGTCATGTGTCCAGCTTACATCAGTGACTTCGCGACTATGGCCTGCGATGAGAGCTGTCCCAGGGGAGTATATAGGTATACTATCTCTCATGCGTGCGCTGAGACCAAGGCTAGACGATGCAGCTCGTCGAAGGGGTGGCCGTACAGTTGATAGAGGACTAGACGCTGGACCAACGAGTGGTGTATTCATTCCAGAAGGGAGTAGCACAGGTTCCGTAGAGGGGAAACTGGACTCGTCGGTAGGGAAGAGAACAGCACATCCGTCCGCACTGCCAACGGCCAACATCTCTACCTTGTCATCCTTGGCAGGTCGAAGAGCAGCCTTGACGTAAAATGTTGACGCATGTAGTTTCGGATGCCGTAGTCCGTAGAGTGGGCCCAGCCCTTTGCGGCTGTCGGCCATAGACCGCTGGTGTTTTGCCGTAAAATCTCGCTCAAGCTGCGGTGCATGGCCATTTATGAGATGCGCCGCGCTGTATGCGTATACGGTACTGTCTCTACTCAAGACAAAGATTCTGCTTCCCTGCTGGTTGAGGAGGAGAGACGTGATGCCAAAATGCCGATGCCGAGAATGCGACTCCGGCTCAAGAGTTGTCGAAAGCGGTGTTGCTGGGCCACGCCGTGAATATCTGTTCCTAATATCCCACAGACGTAGCGTTGTGCTTGCTTCTGAGCCCGATAGGAGTAAATGTGATCTGCCAGGAGAGTTCAAAAATGCCAATGCTGTTACAGAAACGATACCATTTCGCGATACTGCCAAAGTGGATGGATCCTTGCCTGCCGCATCTCTTGTGGATGATGGCACCTCATCAGCAGTTGGGTAGGGAGAAGAATGCGCTGCCAGTATGCTATTATATGGGCTGGCATTGAATGCTTTGTACTGTTTAGTAAGTAAACTAGCCATTGTCACATGAGTTGGTCGACTAGTCTCTACGATCAGAGTTTCGCTCCCTTTGCACCGCAAGTCCCAGATGTGAATATCACCATCCCGACTTGAGGTAGCCAAGACATTGTCATTGCCAGGTTGAAATCGAACTTGCTTAACAGAGGTGGAGTGAGCATGCATTATGTATTTGACCCTTTGAGTATGCATATCTATGATTCGGGAAGTCTGATCTCCAGACGCTGTTGCCAACATAGTGTCGTCTGAAGAGAAGGCTAAGTCCATAACTGCATTGGCGTGCGGCTGAAAGGTCAAATGCGTCGCTGAGAAACCATGCTTGCTGTCCTTAGCGGTATCTATGATGCTAATCGTGCCCGTCTCATCACCAACGGCAATTAATGAGTTGGCTGGGGGAGGGTTAGTCCGTGCGCGTTCAGATGGCAGTAGAAGAAAACGTACTATTGCAGCTCGTTGTGCAGTACGGCAAAGCCGAACCAGTATAGAGATGTGCATCTTCGGGTCGTGAGTAAAAGTCCGCTGCATGAGCTTGCCAATCTAAACCTCCGATCAGTCTATCCATGCTTAACGTGGGCTGACGGAGCACTTACATGTGCAATTCGGTCTCCGCCTTCCTCTCCCTGTAATCTTTATGCCTCCGAATGACCTCTCCAAAGTTTCACCGCTAATATTCGAGTTTGAGATATGGCGTATTGGTCGCGGTGGTAGCCTAAGCTCAGGGCTAACGCTTCGGTCCAAGAGCACTCGATTATGTCGCACATACTCTGGCGGCGAGCTTGGAATACATTCCTCTATGTTTTCTTCTGGACAGGTTCTTTTGCAAGGAGATGAGTCAAAAGGTAGTGACTCAGGGCTCAGGTATGCCTTCCTCTTTTTCGACGACATTGAAGGAGTAACAACCGCATTCTGAAGCTGATCTATATCTTGGAACACGACGGTCTTTCGAGGTGATCTGCTCCTTGAAAACTTGGCTGACTTCGCATTCAGCCCTTGCTGAGTGATTTCTCTCAGTTGTCGCCCTGCCTTGCTTGGTGTGGTTTTCGTGACTCGACTGATGGAAGAGCGTGGCGTAAAGAAACGTGTGAAGCGTTTCGGGGTGACTGGAGGTGGCTTCTTCGGCTTTCGTGAGCCATGGCGCAAGATTTCTTCTGGAACCGCATTTTCCTTGTCGTCCATCGTCATTTGAACTGAATGGCGGGAAGAGCTTTAGGTGGAAGTGTGTTCCGGTCGGGAGTTTATGTGGGGAAGGGAGAGGTTGATATCGCGAGCTTGGACCAGCTCGCGTCGCGACTTTACAATGACGCAGTTCTCTTTTCGTGCCAGATTCGTGTTCCAGGAACACCAACCTCCTCTTTTTACAGCCTCGCATTTCCCCTTGGATTATACCTCCGCAGGCGCGACTCGATGGGCTTCTTCTCAAATGCTCTACCGTTCCGAAGATCCGAGGTTCGCAAGACGCGGTGATGCGCTGTTACCCTTCAGCGTGCTACACGTCGCTGCGTTATTTCTGATGGCTTTGAACGCTAAAGCTTCACCACTGTAGGAAACCCCTTAGCCCAAAGCAAAATATAAGATTAAACTATTTCTATACTCTTGCAGACCTTCTACGGTCCCGAGAAGAAGTGAAAAACCCAAAAGGATTTGAATTATGCTGGCATCTTTACGTGTCCCCTCAATGACCTGGTCGTATTATAGGTCGTGTGGTGCATTCGATAAAACCGCTGATCTATCTCAAGGCCCCTTCTCTTCAATTTAGTCAGCTGCTACATAATTCTCCTGTTTGGCGGCTTCCGTCCTTTTGCATCGATTACTTTTGCTGCCTCAAGCATATTCACAATCCAGTTGTATTTTACGTTGGGAATGTTGCATCAGCTGATATGCTCCCGGCTTGCCTTGAGCAACTGCTCATCACGTTCTTTCGATGCCCTAGAACGATCTCTTAGATTTGGAAAGTTGCTGTGTATCCTAGATTCCATTTGGCTTCGCCGCCTTAAGGCCTTAATTAATATCGGATCTTAGTTGGAAACGAACACTAAACACCGCAATATGGAGATGAGGTCCTGAAAAATGGCCTCATTGTGCACAAGTTGTGAGTTCCTATCGTATCTCACCTTAGTACCATTGGGCACAAGTTCGATACTTTGACATTCCTAGTGCGTTTACTTTGACGATGTTGGGCGCCCGGTGTGTCGAAATGCCATTATCGATGCATTTTCGGCCCATGGTCCTGTTCCCATGACCTCCATCTTTCGCATCTCTTCTAGCCGTAAGATGTAGCCTAACGGACGCTGACCGAGTGGATCTATCCACCTACTTGCCAGTGCTTTTTCAATTGCCTTGACAATTCCACGAGAGTACACTTCCTCTATTGCTTCTAGGCCGGCTAGTGCCCTCTCTTCAGAGCCAACGGCTTTGAATTGTTGTTCTTTTGCCCTTCGAACCAGGCATTGCCAGTCTGTAAGCACCCATTCCGACAACGGTTGGGACTTGTGGGCAATAGGGGCCATTTCTTGACTTTTTATGCTCAATAATGATCATAAAGTCATGGATTCATCTTTCATACTTGCCTTTTGATTAAAAACCATGAGAAGGAGATGTGATTTTTATCCGGGATGGGTACGCCGAACCAGCGTTTGTGAATGACTCCTAGAAGAGCTCTTAAAGAGAGGAGATAGGATATTCTTATACTAATGACATTTAGTATTGAAATAATATCAAGCAAGATATATAAGCGATCTTATTGAGTGGCAAGGCTAGAATGTGCTCATGAATATAGAATCGACTACAGTGTCGGATCGGAAGACCATGATCTCGAGCACAACACCCAAATGAAGATAGATTTAGCGTAGAACAGCTATTTCTTATATTATTGCATCTTAGAAATATTACAAAGATTAAGTGTATGGATGCCTTTTCAGCCATTGTAGATGTATCAAGCCGAAAGTGTGTCGGAGCTTGGCTGATGACAATACTTTAAACATGTGTTGTTCTACAATGATCGAGATGACAAAAACAGGCGCATTCATCGACATATACAACGCTAGATAACTATTCATGTTAGTACACTTGACTCATTAGAATTCGGATTAGAGTTCTTCTTCACTTTAGTGACATTTAAGCGTCACATCGGCTCCTTTGCGTGTGAATGCTGAGCGAGCAGCAAGACTTCATTTTTAGCCAAACAAAGTTCCTCTTCAACAGGTAGCAATTGAATTGCACGTGGAACCTAAAAATGTTGAAAAACCAAAAAAAGAAAGAAAGAAAATTACGGCACAAAGTCTCTGCTGCCGTCCAAAGTCCGCAAAGGTGGCACTGGTAGTTTGCCAGGGGCCGAGTCTTCTTTAGCAGCGTATACTGGACTTAAGTTACAGAATGACGCCCCTTATCCTGGCACGACTACCCAGCGCCTTCCAGTTCACAGGCAGTCAATCAAATCTATTCACGCAAACGGCGCGTAGCCTGTCGTAAATCTTCACGCCATGAGTTTACAGTGCCAGCGGGTGATTAAGCTTGTATTTCATTTTTACCTTGACCGCTAAACAAGATGCCTGATCTGGGTCTCTGGTCATCCAAGCATGCGCCGTACGTACGCGCCAACCGCTCGAAAGCCAAAGAGCCGAACGGTATGAACGGTGCAGAGCGCGCGCGGGGAAACGAGCCCTCGGTCGAATTGGCACGATTTCAGCACGCTGTACGAAGGCTAAAGTGGAAGCTTCCGTACTTGGCAGACTCGCATCGTAAAGCTACTTGTATGCTTGACGACAACGGTCTCGCCGAGGACGAGAAGAAGGAGATCGAGACTATGTTCAAGCTAGATTTCTACGAATACTATACTGTCCTTGAGAAGGCGTTGGTCCATTTGCTGGGCGTCTGGGACATCGCCGTCGAAGCCCTTAGGAATGACCTGTAGGTCGAAATGCGGAAATCGTCGCTCTTATCTTGTTGCTAAGCGTCTGAAGGACACACACGTATCACGCAGCTATTCTTACGACCCTGCAAGCGCCTACGAATCCGCTGTACAAAGTGCTTGGTTGTCAACCAGTGTTCGGCCATCTGCTAGCTGCAAAACAACTGAGGAACAGATGGAAGAATGCCGAAGTTGCAGGTCAGGACGATAGTCCACCACCGCTGCAGGCTTTCGAGATCGAGCAAATGTTGCTATCTATTTTCAACGCCTTTGACGAAGCGGAACGGTTGGCGCGAGATCATCTCCGCAAGAGTCAGAACGACGGCGATCGGGGTGGAAAGCTAGATGAGAAGGAGATAGAATTAGAAGCCATAGAATACGTTGATGAAATGGACTGGGAATAGAGCATTTCGAGGTCAAACATCCATGCATGCAGCCCTCAAAATCCACAATCATGTCTGCTTCGATCAAATTATCCAAAAGCTCACGTAATTCGATTGGCACGTCTACTTTCACAAGATCGTGCCAAAGCGACCACAAGAGCCGATTGGGCAAGCTTTGCGAATGACGGGAATTTTTGGTGGTAGTTCTTCTCCTGCAAGTATCCGGTCTCATGTGGCAAGAATCATCGCAACAAGTTGCATCGTCTGACTATTCAAAGTGGATATATTTTGATACCTGAACGGCATTTCTCCAGCTGATCGCCGATTCGTGCCCATTGAACGAAAATACACTGCTTGAAAGCGGCACAAGCGACGACAAAAATCCGCCGCAGATGGTTTCATAAGCGTCCCACCGAACTTTGAGCGAGTGTCACGTTCGAAACACCCGGAATTGTCGGCGGGGTTGGCGGTTACTCTGACCGAACAGGGGCAATTGAAGACCCCATTGATTGTACAGCTCGCCTGCTGCTTGTAGTTGTGTCGTCCTTGATTACAGCAGTGCGAAATTCATCACCAGCCATGAAAGACATAGCAAAGCATTGAGATTGACTGTGAGGCCTCTATCTTTGGCGTATAAAGACGCCTTGCGTAATGTGCGTTCACGCGCTGATTCACGGCAATCGAGAACATGACAGATCAAATGCTATGCCGCAAATATATCTGATTATGAGAAGTCCAGCCAGATTTGTGGGGATTTGGCCGGTTACACTTCAATCGAAACTTTAAAAACGGCAAGTAACGAAATTGGGCCCCCACTCGGATACCTCCTGTCTTAATCCTGGAATCGCCACAGGTTGCGAGATTGACCTGAGTTTCAAGATTGAAGTGAAGGGAGAATTCCTGGAGTTATCTTTAACTGCGGCCAAACCAGGTTGGACTGTCCTGGTGTTGACTAGACGGCGAAAATGAAAAAAAAGCTCCTTGTCTTTACGATAGAATATATCGAAATATTATGTTCGTAAGCCATAAGCCTGCCAACGGCCTCAGCAACATTCGTACATAATCGCAGACATGATCCGCAGCCGCCGTGAACAAAATGAAACCCACGACCCAAGACCCACTTAACAATGGGTATAGAACGCCCAAACAATGAGAATCTCAATCAGATCTATTCCCTTCCCTCGTCCATTATACGACATTTCATCAACAAATCGAAGGCATGACAGAACGAAACAGGCTTATTCGCCAAGAACGCTCTCGTTCTCGACTTCACCCCTAGCGTCAACATCCATTCCATCTTCCTCAACCGGCTTGTCGTCATCAACATCCTCGATCGGATCTTCGTTCTCACTTTCGTCGTCCTCAACAACAATCTCGGCACTCTTTTTGCTTGCCACTGGGTTCGTCATTGGTTTTGAGGACACCTTCTTCTTCTTCTCCTTCTTCACTGTGGCTGGATGCTCATTCACAAGCTTATCAATGATTTGCTTGTAGTTCGGCCCCAGATGCTTGACATTGCGTTTGAGCCGTTCCTCCACCATACCAACTTTACGGTCGTAGAATTTACGACTTGGCTTAGTCTGTTGTGCGACATCTCTCTCCTCACCATTAGCTTCTGGAGCTCCCTCGTCGTCCTCCTCGTCATCGAACACGCCTTGCTCTTTGCCATCTAGGACGCCGGCCCAGATACCGAGACTGAGATGGCCGGCGTATTCGCACAACTTACGTTCGGCGAGCAGAACTTGCAGCATTCTCCTTTCTGCCTCACGTGACTCGTCTTCATCGCCATCCGCAGGATCATCGTCTACATCTACAGGGTCGTCGTCGACATCCTCCTCAAGCGTTTTCTTCGCCTTCTTCGCGTAGCTCTTCTCAAGTTTGACAAAAATTTGCAAAAGCGTGTTCTGCATACGCCTTGGCATTTCCATGGCCATAGCAGTATGAAGTTCCAGATCGATATCTTCGCCAGCTGCAACCTTCTCTCGTGCTGCTTGCGCAGCTTTGCCTTTGGGTCGGAAATTGCCCAGCGCGCTGTACACGAGATGAACATCGAGGTACGCCTGTGCGACTGCGATGCGAACATCATCGACTCCTTGGCGTCGTCGAGTGACAGCGACAAGCTTGTCTTGAAATTCGTCACGGAATTCAGCCAAAGTAAGCATCATTTCTTGTGGAGCGTAGCCGTTCGCTTCAATGAAAGCCTTTGCTGTTTGCACTTTCCACATGAGGTAAAATTTGGCCACCTGTACTGCTTGTAACACCAAAGCATCTTCGCAATCATTGGTTTCGGTATCGAGGTCCTCAGTTGGAATTCCGCGATCGATGATGGCGAGAATAGACTTGATCGCCGGTGTAGGGGTCATTTGAACCTTCTTTTTTGTCTTTGGAGGGGCCGGCACCTTTTCCAAATACTCTGTCGAATCGGAGATCATTGACAGGTTTGATATCTTTACCACAGCGTTTGACAAAGCAGAGAGTACATCGTCAGCTAAATTGCCTCTTGTGCTGAAGTCTCTCGTGGCAGCCAGGGTGTTGAAAGCGTTGACACTGTCCTCCCACAAGCCCTGTAATTTACCATCGGTAATTTCCATGAGCTCCTCGTTGCTGCGGGCATACAGAAGTGCTTGACTGGCCTCCTGTAATACACGAGCATTTGCGTGAGACACGAATTGCTTCTTGATATCTTCCAGCAGTTGCTCATACTCGCTCACGTCACGAGCCAGATTTTGGAAAATATCCAGGTTGAGAATATGATACAGTCGAAGAACACTCGAGGTAGCGTCGGGTGCGGAGCCGAATTTATTGAAGAGACGCGGTATAAGCAGCGCCAGATGGCGGGCAGCATCCTCTTGGGTTTGTTGCGCTTCCATCTTTTGTGCCTTTGTCTTCTTACCCTTCTTGTCCGCGGCTGCTTCCACTGCATGCGTCAACGTCATCTTGACCGACGCGTTCAGTACCTCCAGAAGTAGCAATTCTTCCTGCTCGGTAAGCTTGAATGCCTGTTTGAATTGCACCTCCAGATCTTCTGATACGCCGTTCTGCTCCTCTGGAGGGGTTTGTGAGTGATCATACAACAATAAACCAGACAAGATCTCCCATTCGTGAAGTTCCTCAATGCCTTCATAAAGCGATTCAGCGACCAAAGCTATGCGGGGTTCGATATGTTCAGCGGTATTGATGAAGTTATCGGACGGCCCAACTCGTTGTATGCGAAGATCATCGCCATCGGAGTCTGCATCATAAGCATCGTAGCCTTGCAAAACCTCCGCTATGCTCTTCAGCTTGATCCACTCCAGACGAGGAGACTCGAAATCATCATCCTCGCCGAGGTTAGGCAATGCCTCCGTCAGGGATTCTTCACCCCCAAGATCGCCGAGCTTGGCCGTATAGAGCTCATTGATGGTCTCAGCGAGGAAAGGTGTGACGGCTTTTCTAATCTTGGACTCAACTTCAAAGATGCAACGGCCAACCTTGTCGATGTCACTAGGCTCGAGAAACCCAGCTTCACGAAGGGTGTCCAACAATTGAATAACTTCCACGCGAACATCCTTGTCGCTGTCCATTGTCGCCATGTCAACCAAGCGCTCCCGAAATCGCTCCGTAAATGTTCGCAGACCATTGAGCTTCGTCGGGTCGCTGTAAAGTAGTTTGAGGGCCTTGACAACTTCGTGACGAGTCTCTTTTGCAGAGTCCGACAAGATCCATCCCAGATAGCGTAAGTATGTCCCTTCAAAGAATTTGTCCGGGAGCAACATGATCCACTGCCCGAGAGCGCGAACGCACTCGTCTCGGATTCTAGGGTCAACGTCCCTATACCTGTGGACAAAGACAGCGTCGAACCAGGCTTGCAGCTGCTCGCTTATAGTTTCTCGCTGTGCCACTGCTTCTTGCACCTTCTCGTCTAGGCCGGATATCCTACCTCTATTCTGGGCATTTCTGCCACGCTTCTTTTCACCCTGCGCCTGTCTCGAGGTCTTTCCGGCCATATCTGCGAGATCGTGGCTTACCTGGCATAGAGCTGTCATGATTGTCAAGCAAGCAACCACGGCGGTGTGGCGGAAAGGTCTTGACGGAGCCGACGACATGGTAGCGAGCCACGAGCTCAACACGTCGTTGAAGTTATCATTTGTGAAGAGGATGTTTGTCTTTGCGACCGTCGCAATTAGAGACGAGAAGATGCCGGTGAAATTGTCTCTGAACGTGTGCATGCCCTTTGCTCGAGAGATGAGTGGATACTCATACACGCCCTGTGCCTCAAATTCGTCTTGCAACTCGGTCAACTTCTCCGTATAATGGTCCGTATCCTCGACGTCGTTGCCGTCCAACTTGGCGTCGCACCCGGCGCATTTGAGGACGAAATTGAAGAGGTCGGCCATCGCTTCGTTCTCGTTGTCGTTGAATCGTCCAAGCCACCACGCAGCTGCGTCGTCGAGGGATTGATCGCGTGCGAACACTTCAGCTATGGCGTGGGTAAGAACTCGGTACACAATTACCTGTCATGCATGTACCCACCGTAAAGTCCACCTGCGCTCTCCGCCTCCGCCCGCGTAGCTGGCAGCGGTTTTCTCCTCTTTGAGGCGCTCTTCGCAGGCCTGAAGGCCAAATTGACGGCTTCGCCATTGACCGCCTTAGCCTTCTTCTTAGCTGGCGCTTTCGATTTCGCGGAATGGCCCTTCCGGGCGCGTCTCCGCTTCTCTCTCATCTCTTCCTCGTCCAGCTCGCCGTCGCTCTCTTCACTGCTTTCGGCGTCCGACGCGTCGTTGCCTTCAGCATCATCGACAGCGGCATCGCTGCGCTTGCGCTTCGCAGGTGCTCCAAACGTTTCCGGTTTCTTGGTCACGCGTCCTGACTTGCGACGGCCACCGGTCGTGGTCGCGTCGGGCGCGGGCGAGGCGGAATCCATTGCGATGGCTCGCGCGGGGGAGAAGAGTAGCTGCAGACGAAGCAGGCTTTTTACTAGTATTTACGCGTAAAGGCGAGGCTCAACAATGTCGGCGACCGACGATGGTAACGCGTTGCGGGTTGCTCTAGTTTGGCTAGCGGACTACGCGCCACGGCGAGTCTTCAGATCATGTGACAAAGTGAGCGGAAAGGAGGCCGTGACTCTCCGTAAGGCCAACAGGCGGGGCTAGATGGTTGGGAACGTTGCGAAAGAAAACAGGAGGAAGGTTGGAGACGAAGGCAACGTGCTCGCTCGTGTAGGGGCTGGCCATTCTCGCCAAAATCTACTTCCACATTCGAAACTCTGCATAACCATACGCGAGCGGCAAAGTCAGTTCATGACTAAGCGGTTGTTCTCAGGGTTTGGGCCAGTGCGATTCCTCCAGGGAAGAAATCAGAAGCAAAAGATTACCCCGCCCTGGAGCAGAACATAAGTTATTGCAATGTAAGCCGCTGGTTTGTGTAGTTTACGCGCACATATGTTACCGCGCTAGCCAAACACGGGACCTGGTACGGACGCCTGCAGCTCGACTACTCACATGCTGTATGTGCGGCTTGGATCAAGTGCTCACGCTAATCATTCACACTCTTTCACACCGTGCCTCTGGCAGAAACTCGCGCCCGCCTCTTGAAAGATCCCTTCGCTAGCAGGTCTTTGACTCTGCCGGTACTGACGTGTGCACCGTGTTCTCTTTTCAGAAACGGTTCTTCGACGCGACCGACGTTCTGACGCCAGCGATTGGTGTTCACGTGGCAGAGTGGCTTCTCCAGTTCGGTGAAAGCAAACCCCCATTTACAAATCCTCAGACTCCTTGAAATCCTCGCCTTGGGCACGAGGCAATCGTCATCATGTCCTCTTCCAGCAGTCGCGTGGAATCCCCGCCTGCAAAGCCAACATCCACATCTAGCGATTCGAAACGAACGACAGTAGACGTAGGTCTAGGACTCTCCAACAACCCAAGCACTTCACACACCTCTCAACCAGATTCCTCGTAGCTTTCCCTCTTTTCTACGGAATGCACTTGTCGTTGTCCCTTTTTCATCATCTGACAGCACATTTCCGTAAAGTGTTTCCAAAAGTGCTGATTAAGATGTTCATCAAAGCGCTCTCAAAGCCGCTTGTCCGACAGATCGTCAAGATTTCAAACTTCATGTACAAGATACTGACGGCTCCTTCCCCACAGGCAACGTCAGAAAGCAACGACAAGGCAACGGAGGAGCTCAGTGCCGTCATTGACGACCTGTTAAATCAGCTAGGCACCAAGTTCAGCAAGATCAGCGAGGAGCTGCTTGGCAAAAGTGAGTGTCCATCGATCTTCCTTGAGGACTCTGCTAATGCACCAAGATAGTGGACGAAATGTCGCGAAGGCTAGATAATCTAGAGGCGGCTATCCAGGCTGGAAAGAGCAATGACGGCAAGTGAACAAACTTTCTTAAAAGGCGAGGGCTAGTTGCGGCGCCTAACATCGAGAGATTTAATACTGTCGCCGTTGGTTGTACTGAAATTCATGCGCCACGGCGGAGACATCACGCAAGTGCTGAAATAGAAGAACCATGACAGCGACTATTTGTGCTTTACCACCAAATAGAACCCAGCAGTACTAGTGTACGAATAAGTTTTCACGTTCTACTCGGTAAGCTTCGGATTCAGGCACGTTTACACCATCATAAAGGGTGTGTCCTAATAGTGTAAAATGAAATCTTTGCCATGCAGAGCAACTATAATCCATGTCGAGTCATTTTAAAATTTGTTTGCCTAGCGGCTAAAACAAAACACATCATGCGAAGGTATCTGCAAGTTTGAAGGCTTCTAGAATGTTTGGCCATAACATGTACCAGCAAAAAAAAAAAAAAAAAAAAGCGACTTGGACGGGGTCCATCACAAAGTCCAACATGATTCAAGTGGAACATTCGTCGATCTTACCGTCATTTTCTTGCGTGCTTCGACGTTTCTAGACTTGGCTTGACCGGCGTGGATTGAGACTCAAGTTCAGTATCGGGACTCCAGGTGTGGAAGGATGGCCCAAATTTCAATTCAACATGTTCGTGTCGACTCTTGACATGCTTGGATATAGCTAACTTATGGAAGAGCTTGTCCTTAAGAGAGACCCAAAAGCGAATAGTCATCATGCAGCCAATAAAGCTGATGATGATTAGTCCAATAACAACACCAACAATGACGTATATCGTGATCTCTCTATGCGATGCTGTATCCAAATTCGTATCGTTAGGTCGTACTACCCAAGACGTTGACGTTGCAGGAGTGCTGGGTCGACCAGTCGACCCGGGAGAGTAAGGATTGGAAGACGAACCTTCAGGGTCTGCTGGAGACATCAAAGACAACGTGATGTTATTGTTGACGGCGCAGACTTTGGTGGCATCATAATCGGGGCAGTTCTTTGAAAATCTCTCGTGTGCATCAGGCTCACTAGAGTTAAAGTAAAAGTGCGCGTGGGAGATCGTTATGTATGTGTCTTCGGCTGGCGGACCTGCGGACCAGCCTGGGTCACCGTTACTCCAATGGTTGAATACCATGTGTCCTCCAGAGTTTGGAATGCTCTCGTTCATAACATGCAGAAGCTGGCCGTCGGCGTAGAATGCAACCTGGAAGGGGGTCCAGTCAAAGCGGTACTCGTGGAAGTTTTCATCGGGACGGAAATTCAAGTGTGACAACGCGAAGCCTGGTGTATAGATGGCGTTGAAGCCAGCGGCCTGCGATGCGGGAGATTGAATGACGAGATTGATGTTGCCGCCGTCCGTTTCGTTGAATTCCTTAGACAGAAATTCCATGTCAATCTCCTGCGTATTATTCCGATACTGCACGGCAATTCATCAATATAAGAGCGTAAGTCGATCTTAAAGGATTCAGCCAAAGCACTCACCCAGAACATCGCACCGCACGTGCCGTTAACAGAACCCATCTTGGCCCTCATTCTGAAGCTGCCGTACAGCATGTCCGTCCGCTCTGAGTCGACCTCTGCCATGGGTATCATATCATTCAGGGGTGTTCGAACCCAAAGCTGCATCCCTTCAGTAGAAAGGATGACATTCTTTGTGGTTGCATTCTTTCCGTAAGGTCCTCTAGCGATTTCCTTGTCAATTGTCCATTCTTGCGGTACCCAGCCGTCTAAAGAACCCTGCGTGAAGTCAGACTCGAGGTATTCAGTGAAGATCTGCTGTTCCTGGCCGGAAATTGGGTTGACTGAAAAGCCACATGGACATCTTTGAGATGCTACTGCCGTTGTGGCTAAAACCGAGAGCATGGCAGTGAGGCGTCGTAATGAGATCATTATACTGTGCTGCAAAGTCGTGCCAGTCTGAAAGTGTGCAAATGTTGATCTATGCCAAGGTCTTTGTATGGAGCTGTCATGAGACAGGAAGCTGATTCGTGTAAGTAGATGTGATGATTGAAGTATCAAATCAAACAAGCAGCGTAGACATGTATCAACTTTCACGTTGACGCATGAAAATTGGCTGGCGCGCCTGCCGCACTACAGTTCGGCTGCAATCGCTGATCGTGCCAAACGTAAGGAAGGATCTGGCTATGCTCGACACTGCTCGGAAAGAGCTCATCGCTTGCGGAAGGATTCCCCTTAAGGAGCCGTCCATTGTGATGCTATGCCGCCTTAAATATAGCGCAGCTTTGTGAAACGTAGCACTGCAGGTAAACAATTGCATTCCTGGGCGTTCAACAAGAAAGTCAAAGGACACATTACAAGTTAAGGGCTTCACGTTGTTGGACGGAATCCGCCTTTACTTGCATCTTTCTGCACTTAACTGCGACCTATACGTATAAAGACTCCAAGGAATAGCCAAATACACATCCCTTAGATAATATATTTCAGATGATGACTTCTGCAAAGCTTTGGAAGTACATGACATGCTCGAGATCGTGGAATTCAACCGTTCGATTGGCCATGATTATGATGTTCAAATACTGAACGGATTCAACCCTTCGATGGCTAATACCATTCCACGCGGCGGTCTTCTTGAACTCAAAAGGTTCGGATATGCACCGATAGTTGAGCGTTATCATTAGGTCACGAAGCTATTGAGGAGAGAATCCAGTTGATGTTCCAGATATCTTTAAATTGCATTCACAACATGAGCGACGTCAAGTTCGACGGGTGAAAGCAAATGTTGATTGGGCGGTAGGTCTTTTAGGTAGATAAGATCGCGATAATCCAAGTCAAGACGGTGACCGGCCTGGTCAACAGCAAGGTACTCATCCAGCAGCAGCGGGCGAAGGCAGAATGCGCTAGGCATGTATGTGGAGTGTGGACAACGACTACTGAATCCAGATGCATCTCCACAGCGACAGTTGGGGAGAGCCCAAATGCAAGTCTTTCGCCAGTGGGCCAAGGAATGACCGTCATTGGCGATTAATCGTTAAGGAGGGTGGATAACTAATGGGACGGTTGTGCTGCTCCAGACGCGGTTCGAAATGCGGCCATTGGCAACAAGAACGGGGCAGCAGGACCAATCGATGAATGGCTTCCCGGTTTCCTCCTTTCCGTTGACATCAATTGACATGTACAGCAAAGCTTCAGAGCCGGCTCGTTTGTTAGTCCCTTGATACACAACATGGGATCCTGAAAATTAGTAAAGACGCCGTAAGTCAGTGCTCGTTCGCGCAATGTCGTTGAAACTGATGTCTTATCACTGGGGAAAGACTGGCAAGGGAATTTGATTCCGCAACAGATTTCAGCCTTTGGAGCGTATGATTCGAGTTGATAACGCCCCACCTCGAAGCTCGTAAGGCGGACTTCGACAAGAACTTGAAAGGGATGAGTAAAAAGATAAATATTCGCGAAAGATGAGGCCGCATGGCTTGCTAGCCAATACTATAAAGGAGGCAACGCTGCCACATTCTTCATGCTACACATCACTCAACTCGCCTCGGGAAAACAGAGCATTTTCAACGTGTGAGGAAGTTAATAAGGTCGAAGCAATGAAGAAAAGGAGCAATGAGTTAATGTCAGATCATACTTTGTCTAGTCCCTCATATTATACTAGTAGCCTTGTTTCCCAACTGTCACAAACCAAGGCAACGCAGAATCGGGATGCCCCTCACTCGGCCCGCGGAACTTTTTGCAATAATGGTATCGATATCAAGTGCCAAATAGGTAAAATGGCTGGCCATAGTCCATCGAAAGGAAATAAATCGAAATGAATGTACGACTATGCCTATGAGCAAACAAAAGCTACACACGCTCAGCTCTCGTTTTCCCATAAAGCAAGAATACAAAAAAATGGATCGAGAAAATTTCCATCGCTAATGCTGCAATCATTCATGAAGTTAATTGTAAACGCGTGTGAATGTGAACAAAAATCTGCGAGAAACAACAAATGAAATGGTGGCGAGCTGGCCAATCCGTCGATCGTCGCTGCCGTTCAAGGGCAAACTTGATCGGATGATGAATCAAATGCTTCTCCATCGCTGCTGAAGGAAAATAACGCGCATCGCGTTCTGCGCTTCGGAGAATGGGACGCTGACGCTAGTAGCTGCACACTCGATGCGCCTCGCTTAACACTGCGTTTCTGTGAGCAAAAGTTTCGACAGGTACAACATGAGCATTCGAGAATCGCGACTCACCTCTCAAAACATTGCTCTGTCTAATGCCAGAATCGGCAGCAACCTGAAGCGTGCCGCCATCATCTCTGAAGTCGAGGACAACACTGTACGGCATTTCCATACGCTCCATGTCAGGCGAGAATGGTGGAAAAAATTGGCTGAGGTGATATCGACGATCGAGCTTGTCGGCACGCGAGCCATGCTTGGCTTTGTGCGTGTCATGAGGCTTGAGAATAAGGTAGCCTTGAGTATCGACCTCAAGGTAGCGGCGTTTCCAAAGCTAGTATGTCATCAGCATCAGCTGCTGGGATGAATACGAAATCGAAAAGCTTACTAAGGTATCGGGGAACTGAACGTTCATCTCTCCCAAATCGGCGCCAACCCACTTCTCCTCCTCGACGGTCGGTACGACCGAGGCTGAATGAGATGCCGCACTTTCATTGCCATTGTTGCTACTATGCAATATCGAGCTCATACTGTTGCTCATGCGCTTAAGCATCCTACTTGTCCTGCTTCCTTTCCTCTTGTGCTCACTCTCATGGTCCATTGTCGCTGAGGACTCCAGGCTCGAAGTGGACATGGTGCGCGCAAAATGAGGTGCGGAGTGAGCCGACCCGCTTGTCATTGGGCTAACAGGCATTGGAGAATAGCGACCGATTGACGGACTGCGAGCCTCGCGAGTTACGGAAGGGCTACGGCTCAAGCTGGCGCTGGCACGCCTGCGGAGGGAGCGAAGGCTGCCAGACATGTCGAGTGACGTGCGAGAAGATCTCCTGCCGTCTGAAAGGACAGGGGACGCCGGATGTTCATTCGTTTTCTGCGGCGAAGATGATCTGATGCCGATCAGACCAAGAGCTGAGGAGATTGATGATCTGGCGCGGCGATGTCTCTGCCTCTCCGTACTGGTTCTTGCGGGACTCCGTGGTTCCTCAACGATGACTGAAGTTCGCGGATGAGCGTAATGAGGCTCTACTGTCGACGCGGTCTTTGGCGGATCTGCATCCGCAGACGCGTTCTGTAGTCCGAGCCCATTAGTTTCGCGCGAGCGGTCCGTATCGGTTCGGATAATAGTCGCCTTAACCTGGATGGTATCTGGCTTCGAACTGACTTCAATCGTGGGGTTGTTGAACGTTGTGAAACGCTTGCTGTCAAGTTTTCCAATGCTACTACTTGACTTATTGCGTGGCGGGGTGCTGGTTCTGCTTTCGAAACTGCGCATCGAGCCTTTGCTCATGGCTCGGCCGCGGAACAGATGCTCATCGCGGAACTGAGAGTGTGCGCTCTTTGGCGGTGTGGCATCAGCTGAGTCCTGGATCGAGCTCGCACGTATGGAGACCATGGATGATTTTCTACTTGTGGGCTGTGCAAGAGGTGGCGACGTACTTGAGCCCTTGGAGAAATTGCGCTGAAGATCGGCAATCTTAGCTGCCACACCCGTTCCTAAGTTGCGTCTCTTATGAACAGACAGGGCATCGTCTCCTGGTGTGTTGAGCATTCCGGTTGATGAAACACGCGACGAAGACACGTTCGGCACGTCTGCGGGAGACTTATCACGGGAGCTGAAAACTTTTGCTGCAGATGCGATGCGAGACTTTCTCGCAGCTACCTTCTCAGCTGCAGACTTGCCGGTCAAGCTTGACTTTCTTCGGGGCAGCTTTTGCGGGGTGACTTTTTCGTGCGGGTCGGCTTCTGAACATGAAGGCTCGCGTGTGAATTCCACTTCAGAAATTTGTTCCTGGCCATGCTCCAGGTCCCGCTTTATATCCATTTCCGGACTGGCGACTTCCTCAGTCGATGTAGCCTCCGGGTTCGACTCCACGTGTCTTTCCGTTGTGGAAACCTCTTTGCCAAGGAGATTTCCGCTCGTCGTCCTTGAAACAGTCGATGAGCCGGCTGGCGCAGCCTGCGTTCGTTCCACGCCTACTGGAAGTGGGGAGGGCAGAGGAGAGGAGTTCACCTTGCCGTTCACGATGACAGACGCCGGAGAATTCGGGGTAAGCGCGCTGCTCGGTCTGCGCTGGAAGAATGGAGTAATCGGACTTTTGCTCACGGAAACGCTGAATGCCTCCTGGACTTCGGCACCATCCAGCTCGTCCATTAGATCATCGTCAAACGAGTGCTCACCATCCGTCTCGCTCGGGTTCGCTTCTTCTGCGGGAATGACGAGTGGAGAAACCGCAGCACGTCTCTTCTCCTTGTCGTCGGCAAGTTGGTCTTTCTTCATCACCGCTGGTGCAGCGGTCGGCGTTGAACTCTCACTATCCTGATCATCTTCCGCAGTGGCCTGGATCGGCGTCTCCACGACGACTTGTCGAAGATCCCCTTCAGATGGGACAGACTTGTCGTTGTCTCCATCGTCTGACACGCTCGTGGCCCGTGTCGAATTCGTCAGCTCCGAAGAATCCATCAGCGACGTGGGCGAAGACGTGGGCATGGTCGAAGTCGAGTCGCCTGAAGGGCCGAACTCGTCAACTCTTGGAGTAGCCATTGGTTCCTTTGGCAAAGTATCCGCTTCCTCTTGTGCGAGAGCCGATGTGTCTGAAGTAGAAGCACGTATAGAAGTTGGCATGGTTGGCTTCTCAGCGAAAGTTGCGATGTCGTCTCTGCCAACGGTCGGCGTGTTGGCAGCGGTCGTTGGCACGGACTTTGTCATTGTGCTCACTTCGGAGATGACTGACAAACGTTGCGGGAACTCTGCTTGCGGGTTCGAGATGGTAGCACTCAGCTCTGGCATCTCATCGTCCTCGTCAGCGGTCGGAGAATCCACCTTTTCTGCCTCTGGCTCAGGAGGTGCAGCCTCTTTGGCCGTCTCCTTATCCTTGGCTCGCTTGTTCTCTTTTTCTTTGTACATTTCTCGAAATTTCATTAGCCGCTGTTTCTCTCGGGTCATTCCCGGTGATTTGGGGAGGGTTGCAGGTAAGGACTTGACACTCTGGCCAGACGACCTGGGCCGAGGCGAAAAATCTAAGGTTGATGATTCCGGTATTGGAGGAGGCGGTGGCGCTTTGAAGGCGGAATACGTAGAATCGCGAGATTTCGGACGCAAACTCGGGGGTCTCGAAGACCGCAAGCCCGATGGCAGGGGTGCAGAATTCGAACTTTTCGACCCAGGTCGAGTTGCCGTCGCAGGACGCGGTCCTAGTTTGACTTTTGGTTTGAACAAAGACTCGAAATCGTACAGAGATTCAGTAGCGGTTGAGGGTCGTCCACTTTGACTTGATAGTCTCCGCTCGCTCATCTCATGCATGGAGCGAGAGTCGGTGGAAGGTCGCCTGTCCTGTTGCCATGCATTGGACGAGTCGAGGACTGACGAGTTTGAGGTGACGGGAACTAGAGGCACGGTTGAAGCGTCCTTGTAGGTTTGGCTCAGGGACTCTTGCAGCGCAGCGTTGGTGGCATTAGTTTTGCTGATGAGGGCGGATATACGCTGAGAGTGATCGATGGTCGTCTCCGCACTGCTCAGTGGCGACACTTGGTGATCCTCATCCGTCCGAGCAGCGAGACTGTTCTTGCTCGAGACAAGCGGCGAGACCTTTTCCTCTGCGCCCTCTTCGGATATGCCATCCAGCACGGGCTTCTTGTTCGAGCCTGCAGAAGATCGCCCGGAATGCAGTTCCGTGTGTGCGGTGATGTTGGTCTCGGTCAATTGGGAGGCGGAGGTCAGCTCGAAGACGCTGTCGTGGGTGGGGAAGCGCGAGGTGACACTCGCCCAGTGCACTTGCACTCTCGCTGTTTGCGTGACAGTCAGTAAGGGGACGATTCGCTGACGAGGGCTCACGTGCGCGCTCGGCAACGACGAGGACGAGTCGTGGAGCGCAGGCGGACAAGCATACCTTTGACCAGTCTAGATGTCTCGTCTGGCACGAGCTTCAGCAGCACTTTGCGGCGTCGAAAATCGATCATGCCATACAGCGGACCCCTGGTCGCCTCAGTATCTGCGTCCGTGCGATTGTAGTACTTTTCGGCGGCCTCGCGCAGCTCGGCGACGCCCTTTGTGCCTTGCGACAGCACATCGACGGAGTCTCGTGAGGTGTAATGGATGAGGAACCTGTACAAAGCAGTTCGTCGGTCAGCAAGTGGACGTGTGGATGCACAGAGCATGCGCTTGAGGACGACATGCGGGCGCCGAGACGGCGGCTAAAGGGGGTTTCCTGAGCGTACCATCCTCCTCGACCGTGAGAGACAGACTGCACAGCTGCTTCCACAGCTGGCGAGTCGAGGCCGCTCAAGGACATGGTGAGTCCGGGCTATGATGACAGCGTCGGTGAAGGTTAGGAGTCGAAGTCGGCTGGCGCGGTGTCACATCCCGAGGAAGGGGGAGACATGTGGGATCGGGGGTGGAGGAGAGCGGCGCAGTGCTGTGGTGGACGCGACCAACACTCAATGGACAGAGAAGCCGAAAGAGGGTTGCAGGCGAAGATGGCACAAAGAGAGTGATGCGACCGAAGAACGTATGCCTTGTGAGCAAAAGCTTTTTGGCTGACGTTCCTCTTCTTTTCTCGTTCCTTGCAGGTCTCCTGCTTGGCGCTTCTGGTAGTGAAGATCGCGGCACGGACCACGCGGGCGCGCTAGGCACGGGAGTAGACTGGACGCTAACCAAAAGGCAGACAGGGCCAGCCGCAACGGGGGCAGCCCGTCTTCTCATCGGATTCTTGGCCAGAAGACGAAGAAGCAGAGGCTGAAGAAGGAGAAGGGAGAGGGAGCAAGGGGAGTGGGCACAGTACGAGCCAGGACGAGCTCTGGCGCCCAGCGTCCTTCGTCCAGCAGCAGCACCACCACCACCCACCGACCACACCGATACGAATCCTAAAAATTACGCAACGTAAGTTACAGTATCGTCGCTCGCCCAAGTCGCCGTGTCGATGTATCGTAACCGAGACCTCTTGCCCGCACGTTACGCCGGCAGACACGCACAAAAGGCCGCCTCTCCAGGTCTTAACCATTCACCCGCTCACCATTCACCATTCACCCGTTTACCATCCACCTTCGCCCGTTCACCATTTCTCCTTCGCCCATTCGCCATTCAACCAGCCCAACCGCCATGTCATTGCCGTCCCTCGTCCATCTCCACCCGTCCTCGCCGTCACCACCGTCCGCTTTCTCCGATGCACCAGCCAGGGGCCGACTTCTTCTGGCCATTCCAAGCGTCTCGCGTTTCGCTTGCACACACGCTCCCACAGTTCGTCCCCTGTCCCGGCCTGCCCAACTTCTGCCTCTGTCCTTGTCCTTGTCCTTCGTCTTCGCCCTCTGCTGCTCTTCTCCTTTGCAGTCCCCTTCAACAAGCAACTCGCTAATTCTCATCCTTCTCCTTTCCCCCTCTTCACATGTGCTGCCCCGACCCTCGTAATTCTCCTATTTGGCCATGACTTTGCATCTTCCTCTGACACGGAAATCCCAACCTCTGCTTCCCGGACTCGCCACCCGCTAACCCTTTCTTTGTTGCTCTCTCGTCTCCGCGACTCACTTGCGACGGTCGGCCGACGCAAAATTCTCCTATTCGGCGCGCCGCCACTTAGCCTTCGCTTACCTTTGTGCCCTTGACACACCTCACTTTACCTCACGCCATTGGTGCCTGGTGCATTTTTTAAAGTTGTTCTAGAAGCGTGTTCAGGCACCCGTCGACTTAACTCAGACCTCATGCGTTTTGGGTTCCAGTTATCCCGCACAAAATCGTCGATAGTCCACCCGCACCAGCGGCGTCGCGTATCGACATCGTCGTCTCCTGTCGTCGATTTTCTTTTGCTTTCCCTTTATTAAATTTTCCACATAGGAACTCTGGACCGGCACACTGCTGCCGCACATATTTCAGCCACTATGCTACCAGGAACGAATCTGCTCTTGCTGTCTTGCCTCGAAAATGCAGGTCGTGATTACCAATTTGCTAATGCTCTCAAGTTTGCTTCTCGAGTTGCCTCCCTCTGGCTGTCTTTCCACATCGGCTTTTTTTTGGGACCGATGACACCCGCAACATGCTGGAAGCAAGGCGGCGCCGGAGTCCTTTTACCACATCCCTGGACTTGGATTGATCCGTCCCCGTTTTTCTCTAACTAAACTTGCTCAGCACCGCACGTGATATTACCTCCCCGAACGAGGGTAACAGATCCGATCAGTTGCCTAGAGTCTGGATTGCTATACGTCATGTCCGGTCGTATTAGGATCCAACGTCTATGCGCCGCGTGTTTCAGAAGCCTTGGAAGTTTAGAAATCGCTTCGTTATCTTCTTAAGGCAATATTCGGCAGCCGGTCCGGCATTCGGGAATGTCACCCGTCAGTACACGCTGGTGCAACTGCGAACCTTGTCGAAACATTCCATGAACGCATACCTTGACACAAACTGCCGGATCTCTATTCTACTTGGCGTCTCCAAATCTAGATCGTTCTCGATTATCTCTGGATCGCTGTTTGTGCGTATCAGCATATTAGTCTTATTTCAAGTCGAGTCGTAAACAGTTGGCAGACGTATCACTGGAACTAGAAACGTAGATGACGCGGTCATGGTGTTGCTCTGAAGCCATCAGGTGGCTATGCCGCCCAGTATGTAGTCTCATCCAGAGGACGTATCGGCATCTTGACGCGGCTGCCAAACTTCGCCCTTTTTATAGGTCATCTTGGTTTGAATGCATCGTAATCACATTCATTAGTACTATCCTGGATTCTCGCTTGTGGTCTGACAATTTCACAAGCTGGCGGGAGGAACCTCACGCTTTTCCAAGCTACTTCCGTACGTGACGCGGCGAGCAAGTGATAGTCGGCGGTTTGTCATACATGCCTGGCCTACCGCTACAAAATCTCATACATAGCATGTGTCAGCGAGATGAGGCTCTCATTGCTTTCCCAAATTCCGTTGAGTTCATCATGCAGTGGATCTCTTGAAACTCTCAATGGACATGCCCATGTAGGATTGGCCATGACTTCAATTCCGCACGACGATGACGACGGCAGTGACGGTGGAAACGAACGAGCAATTTTACGACTAGAGCTCACGTCCAGGAATGGTGCTTTACGAAGTCTATTGTCGAGGAGAATGAGAACATGCAGATTGCCTGTCACGGCACCGAGAACTATGCCTTTGTGAACATTTGTAGACATCGACAGCACAGACCGTTTTAAAATCGTCAACATCATATTTAAAACTTTGAGTAGCAGTTTCTTCCGTTCAAATTGAAAGGACTCCCTCGCCACCCAAGTGAGTAGTAATTGAGATGTAGATGATGAGCATGTCCAGCATCACGCCGCTTTCCTTGCAGGCGATCAGAGAGCCTTTAGATGGAGCTCGACGGCTACACCCCCAATTTTACTCATCTTCGGAGGACTATACAGCCCCTTCAGTCGTGTGATCAAGCTTTCATCATGCCAATACTTGGATGAGACTGCATCCGAGTCCGAGCACATTTTAAGCTTCCGCTGTCAATGCACCCTCTCCAATGGCAGAGAGTTTAGCAGTAAAAGGCTCAAGTGTTCTGGTTGATGCGCATAAAACTGGCACATGTAGTGATGAGCCATGGTCCATGCCGAGGAATTCGGTGCAAATGGATTTTCGAACCCTCTTCCTCCTTTTCTACTGTTATGATCGCTGGCAATGCTCCTGCAGCCTTGATCGAGGCCTTTCTAACCGTTGCAACGACATGTTCTGACTGGTCGAAAGTGTCTGTGTGGGGCTCGACGGCCATAACCGTTGCTCCAACCCTGACTATCTCTCCATCAGCAAGCGCACCGCCAGCTGAAGTAGCGACTGTCACGGCATCGGGAGTGATATCATCGAATCACCATGGAACAAGCCAACGTTCTCCAGGAAAGGTCGCTGTAGGTGTAGTAGCAAAGCTCATTCTCTTAGCACCAGGCTTGGCCCTGTATGAGGGGATTTAGAGTTCGGAACAGAGACTAGGACTCTAATTAACCTAATGAGAAGGGGAAGAGCGGACCGTATTTGGGCGAACAGCAGCGACGTATGTGGGCAGTTTGACCTGGTTTTCGTGATGTCTGCGACGCGAGCAGTTATCGAGAGCCTGGGCATACAATATGAGGTATTTATATCGACGCGGTAGCACGGCGTAACAAGCCACGGTATTTAGGACAGAACATTGTTTAGATTCTGCCTGGTCTACCCAACACTGACACTTCATTCAATTTTACTGACGTCAATAGCACGCTTAGCTGAAAAATCTCCCCTTGATCCCACATTTCTTATGTGCTGAGAACAGAATTTGCTAGCGCCTTGAATGCGTCGTTGCCCTAGATATGCTGGCTGCTGCGAAACGGGCAGGTCCAGCAATAAACATGAGACCTTTTGACTGGGACTGGTCCAAGTCCGTTTGTTTCTGGCAATTGAGGCTATGAAGACCTTTCTGGCCATATGACGTGGAAGAGAAGCGTGCACTGCAAAATCACACCCATGGTAGCAGTAGCAAGTCCAGCCCCGATTCGAATTGTTTTCAACCGGGAGAAAAGCTGCGTGATCGAAACACATATCAGGTCGAAATGATCATTTCCCTTGAACACGAATTTGTTTCTCACACGAAAACTAAGCAGCAAAACACCATGATTGTGAAAAAGGATGGACACGACCGTCCCTTTGACTACTGCGAAAGTCATCATGGTTGTACCATGATCGGACTGTGATAGGAACATGCGTGTAAGATAAATGGACGCCGTGCCTGAGCAGTGGATCCGCGGGTTTTTATTTGGGGAGTCGAGAGAATTACTCCGCTGACCTCATATATAAATTTCCGTTGCCGTGTGCCAGGCTTGCCGCCGCCACGAAACAACCCTCTAATTTCTCCACATCTGCGCCTGCCGGGCGACAGCTTCATGGCCAGATGCCCACCGCAAGCAGACTTTGAGCAATATTCTCGTTGATTCTGCAAATCTCGGGCCAGTTCTTTCTCTCGGTGCCAACACTGCCGCCTGGGTTGTGCTGCCACGATTGAGTGCGAGGGGGATATTCCCGCCCGTGCAAGCATCCAGCTGCTCTGAAACGACGAACACGCGGTGGAAAACTTTTCCATTTCCACATGGCCATTGTCCGAAAACCCTCATGTTTGTACTTCCCACCCTGGATCCATTTAACTCAGGTTTCAGTCAGCGATGACAGCTCTACCGCCGTGCAATTCCGCTCCACAGCGCATGGGTGTCCTCGGGACAGTCCCACTTCACAACCACCCTAAGTGCCTAACAATAGGTTCACATCTCATGACAACGAGTGCCACCCCCCTGGAAATGGGCCTTCGCTACAGATGCGATATTGTTTCCCTTCGGTGCTAAGCAAATAAGCGAGAATGCTTGATACCTCATTTTGTTTTTTTATTTTCTTCGGGCCAAGGACTGTCGGTGAAACATGACAAGAGCGCAGAAGTATAAAGGAACAAGACGCTGCACGCTGACGGAAAGAAAGGAGAAAAGAGTACCATTACCAGCTGGCACCTGACCACAAGTCGTTCATTTGCTAACCTTCTTCTCCTGTTCGTCTATCCCAAGATTTGAGCAGTGCTCAGTTTCGTTCTTTTACTCTGTGCAGCATGCGTTATACAACGGCCTTTATGCTCGGCGTCGGTGTCGCCGCAGCCGCATCTTGCAAGTCCAAGACCACTGCGCAGGCTGAGTGGCAACAATGTAAGAGCGAGACGGAGAGAAGCGAACCAAGAATCGACTAACCGGCTTCGTCAGGCGGCGGCATGAACTGGACGGGCGGCACGACGTGCGCCGCAGGCCTGACTTGCGTCGTCCAGAACCCATACTACTCTCAGTGTCTCGCAACTTCTGGCGTCATCGCTAGCAGTGCTGTAACGTCGACACCGACCGCCAACGCTGTCTCGGCCTCTTCCCCTGCTGCGGTCGCTTCGTCTGCAGCTTCGTCTGTGGCACCTGCAGCTTCGTCCCCAGCTAAGGCAGCCTCCTCCTCTTCCGCCGCGGCAGCCTCGCCTCAGGCCAGCTCGAGCTCCTCTTCGAGCTCAGGAACCGGCCCGATCTACAAGGCATCGTTCACACACTACGGTGCCGGCGACTCTTTCGGCTCTCCCAACTGCAACACCAACACGGCCGCTTGCGGTTTCTTCACCCAGCCTGGCTTCAGCGCTGCCGTGAGTCAGAACCTCTACGGCGTCGGCCCTGGTGCGGGCGCAGGTCCGGAGTGCGGCACTTGCTGGAAGCTTGTTGGTGAGACCGACTCTTCCGGCAACCCCCTGACCAACGCTGGCACGTCCATCGTCGTGATGGTCAACAATCTCTGCCCCGCCCAGGGCAACCCGCTTTGCTCCCAGCCAACCTTGCAGGATACCAACCAGTATGGAGCCAACGTCAACTTCGACCTTTGCTCGGACTCCGGCGCTCAAGCTGCCTTCTTCGGTAACGACGGCGTCGGCCTTGCTGTCGGCACCGCTCAGCAAGTCGACTGCAGCGAATGGACTGGTACCGTGGTACACTAAGTGCCCAATTGCAAAAAAGAAAAATGGGGGGAGGAGGGAGAGAGCCAATGTATCAATAAACCATGTGGCAAAACTTTTGATTCCTTGTACATACTCTTATCCTCGCGCTGGCAAGATCTAGCGGCAGTTCCAATATCATGCTTTGGCATATATAGACGTTGTTCTTCGAGTGGCCCAGTGCCTTCGTGTTCCCTCCTCTAAGCAACCTTCGATTCGTCTCACCCTTTGTCTCTAACTTGATCAAGGGGCATCGGGTGCCTCTAAAACGAGCAAGGGAGCGAAGATGTGGACAATCGCCAACACAAAGCGTATGTCTAGAGCATCGGCCTCCCAAGTTACGACTTGTTCCTGTCTTCTGCCCCGCTAGGCCAGGCCTCGGCAATTACTCTCGCACCACCCTTGGCTATTTGCCAATGCTTCAAAGATTTAGTACGTCCTTCGCCGGACAGTACGCTGAATCTTCATGTTTCTCAAGTGAAAAAGAAGGCGCTGCAATCGCCATGGAATCCGCGGTCAACCTCGAGGATCATATCTCTCAACTCCTTGATGCGTATATCGGCAAGTTCAATCGAGGCGCTTATGAAGAGGCCGCGTCGTACTACCACGAGCCGGCCACTGCCATCTCGTCAAAGGGCGTCGTCGTATACAGCACGCGTCAAGACTTTGTCACAACCATATCAAGTACCGTGGGCCGTTTGCGCAGCGACGGGTGGGATCACTCCGAGTGGGGCGCGCCTAAGAAAATAATCGTCCTGGATGACAGCGGCCTCGTATTGGCGAGCTGCCCGTGCAAACGCTTGAGGAAAGACGGGACCTCTTGCGAGGAGTTCACGGCTGCGTACACCCTCATGAGGACGGACAGTGCCTGGCTGATCACGGCGATCCACCACCTGCCGTATGGCACTGCGCTAACGATATCGACGGCTTGAGCAAATGACGGAACTCGAATTCTGGGTTGCGTTCTCCTGCTTGATTCCATGCATCTATGAATTGGCGAAATGGCAGCGAAGTCCTCCGTGCTGTTTGTCCAGAAATTCGGGTTGGCAACCTTGTGGTAACTTAGATGTTAGATTCCGAGCTCGCCTTTGGACCTTCCCGTGACGATCAAAATGTCAAAAATAAATAAAACGATCAATCGTTACCCGTTTCCCTTCATCGTGACCCGAGTTAATTCTCGTCATAAAAAAAACCATGTGTGCGACAGAGCGAGTTGATTGGACGTATCTAAGATCTGATTGTCGAGCGTGGAGTTTTCAACTTGTGTCGACTACCTACTTACCGTAACTCTGGAGCCAGATTGCCGGCCTGCGGATCGTGCACGGTAAGTCAACGCAACAACTGACTGCTAAGTCTGGTCCGCAGCATACGTTCTTGCTGCAGCGGCATGCTCTCCATTTTTAGCGTTAGGGCCGTAGGGTTGTGACAAACACAAACTCTTATCACTGTTTAAGCATTTCTGTGTCAAATGCCTAATCCCGATAAGCATCATGCAGGCCACATGTGCACAGTACAGCATGGAAACGCATTCAAGTTCCTCGATTTGGCCCTGTCCCTGATTTTGAGCTTCACTGCTGCTTTGATTCCTTTGATGCGGGACCTTGGTCGCCTTTGGAAGTCATGTCTGAATCAGAAGAAAAGGCCGACCTCTACAATTATGGCATTGTCTTGCCTGTGGACGCAGCCGTTGGACCTGCCCGCAATGGACTATCCGGCAACACCCTCCAAGATGCAAGAGATATGGAGCGACTGGGGAAACAGCAGTTGTTCAAGCGCAACTTCTCGTTCATATCTACCTTGGGCTTTATTTCCATTTACATGGCGACGTGGGAATTCGTCCTGGTCTCGCTCGCTCTCGGTCTCGTCAATGGTGGCTTCGGTGGCCTCTTTTGGACCTTCATTGGTACCGTCATCTGCTACAGCACGATCGTCGCCAGCTTGGCTGAGATGGAGTCGATGGCGCCGACGTCTGGCGGCCAGTACCATTGGACAAGCGAGTTCGCTCCTGAAAAGTATCAGAAGTTTCTCAGTTACTCGTCGGGCTGGATGTCCACGCTTGGGTGGCTAGCTAGCACAGCTAGCAGCGTGTTTGTGTGTAGTACATTGATTCAGAGTCTTGTTGAGGTTGCGAATCCGGACTTCGTGTTTCCGAATTGGCAGTATACACTTATCGCATTGGCCTTTCTATTCGTTACCATCTTCTTCAACACTTGGATGGCAAGGCTATTACCCGCACTGGAGACCGTCAGTTTGATTGGCCACGTCTTGGGATTTGTGGTTGTGCTCGTGCCCCTATGGGTAATGTGCCCCAAAAACAGTGCTGCGGAAGTCTTCACAAGTTTTGTGAATAGCGGTGGTTGGAGTAACATGGGAACCTCTTGCCTGGTGTCTCAAACAGCGGTGCTGTACTGCAATCTAGGTACGTCTTCACACTTTGCGCCAACCCTCCCCACTAACGTCATGCTCAAGGATCCGACAGCGTAGTCCACATCAGCGAAGAGGTTGAAGATGCATCTCTTACTGTGCCTCGTGTCATGTGGTGGTCATACCTTCTCAACTTGCTCCTCGGCATTGCCATCTTGGTCACCATGCTGTTTTGCATTGGCACCCTGGACGACGCCCTCAGTGCATCCGTACCATACGTGGCCCTTTTCCAGAACACGGGATCTAACGCCGTGGCTCTAGTTCTCCTTGTTATAATCTTTCTACTCATCTTTTCAGGTAACATCACCTGCCTCGCCACCGCATCACGCGAGATGTGGGCTTTTTCGCGCGACCACGGGTTTCCATTCTCTCACTGGATCTCCAAAATGAACGACAAGTATCAGATTCCATTTAACTCAGTCTACCTTACGTCTGTCCTATCTGGTATCTTGTGTCTCATCAATTTGGGCTCAACCCTGGCGTTCAACATTATCATTTCACTAACTCTACTCGCTCTCCTTTCGACATATACCATCTCCATTGGCAGCGTTTTTCTTCGCCGTCTTCAGGGTCGCCCACTTCCTCCTGCACGATGGTCACTTGGACGATGGGGCATATGGATCAATGGCTTTGCCTTTTTTTACAGCATATTCGCGATAGTTTTCGCATGCTTCCCCAGCGAGTGAGTCTTTCTACCAATCAAATGGTTAAAATACTGCTAATACTCTTTCAGATTACCGGTTGATCCAAGTACAGAGAATTGGGCGCCCGTAGTTTGGGCTGGTGTTATATTGTTGAGCATTGTGTCGTATTTCCTGCACGGCAGGACGCATTATACTCCACCAGTCCTATTTGTGGAGGGAAAACGGGTTGGCGCTCTTCAAGGAACAGCCTGAAGTTTTGTAAGGCGAGGACAGTTGTACGAGCAGGTTCACAATACCAAGCCTGTGCTATTCAACCCCAGGATGCCAAAGGCAAGATAAAATCTCTTTGATCTATACTACCCAAGCGTGCACTTTTTGTTAACACAGGGGGCTGCGAGAGAACCACAAGCAGTCGTCAGAGATCGTTTCAAGAATGTTTTTAATATTACCGAGGCAAAAAGCACTGAAATGCGCAAGCGAAACGATTCATGGTCATAGGGTAGCAAGCGCCGGTGAAGGTCATTTTGTATAATCAATTCTCATCGCACACATGCTTATGTGCATGTTTGATATGCCCTCAGCAAATGCATGAAAGTAGCAGATTCCATACGCCACCCTGCCATGATCATTCCAAAACCCCACGTGGAGAGTCCTAGTTCACCAGCTAGTATCTCTTGCCCTCCTTGAGCACATCGCTGTACTCCTCCAACGGGCTGCGCTGCAATTTTCTGTCGGCCCACAAGTTCGGTGTCAAGAAGCCGTATGTGCTGGTAACCGCAGTGAAGGTCGCCTTCAGAGTGTTCTCGAGGGTCTTGGTAGAGCCCGAGGATGCCGAGTAGGCGTCCTGAACACCGGCAAGCTGAAGAAGACGCTTGACGGCGGGGGAAGCGACGATACCGGTACCACGTGGCGCTGGGATGAGACGGACAGTAACGGAACCGCACTTGCCGGACTCCTTGACGGGAAGCGAGTGTGGCTCACCAAGGTTCGTGCCCCAGTAACCACGGCGGATGGGAACGACAGAAAGTTTAGCAATGATAATGGCAGCACGAATAGCAGTTGCAACTTCTGTACTTGTTATTAGCCTCCAATTGCGGACTTGAGGATTCAGATAGCGCACCCTTGGAGGTCTTGATACCGAGACCAATGTGGCCCTCAGAGTCACCAATGACAACGATAGCCTTGAAACGTGTGCGCTGACCGGCACGGGTCTGTTTCTGGACTGGCTTGATCTTCATAACCTCGTCCTTAAGCTTGGGAAGGAAGAAATCGATGATCTGGTACTCCTTTACGGGCAAGCTGTGCAGATAGATTCTGTCACTCTGTCAATTGCCGGCTCCAACCCACATACGCACGCACATTTCACTTACTCCTCCATAGACTTTATTTTGCCCGCCTTCACGAGACGGCCAAGTTTGGTCCTTGTCCATAGTCAGCGAACAGTTTTGTACATCGGAGGAGTATGAAGCGTACACTGGCTGCCATTCCTGTTATTCTCATTAGCATTTTCCATGATGCGCAACTTGAGGCTACGACATACCTTCTCACCAGAGTCACGGTTACCACCTCGTCGGCCTTTTCTCCATCATCAGCAATGCTAGGCGTAATACTCGTGCGGCAACCATAACACACCTCGTCCACGGCCACGACCACGGCCACCACGGTCGCCACCTCGTGAGCCAAATCCACCGCGAGCTGCGGATGCCGATGCGTCAGCCATGTTGTGGGATTATTGTAGGGGTTAGGAGGTATTCGCAGCGACTGCAACTGGTCACTTTTTCATGAAGCACGAAAATCGATGCAAAGTGCGGCCAAGACTTCGTGCACGGACGCACTGTAACTGTCAGCAACTTAGGCATCAAGGCAACAATATGTGGTCTCGCTTCCACACCGAGAATCGTCGACTAACCGGTCTTTGCAAGCTCCACAACGCTGTTGACACGAACGACATTTTATATCGCACGGATGAATCGCTAGACGAGACAGTGTTGAAATTGCCTTCGCCTCCATTTTCTAGACAACAAAATCAATATTGGCCATGGTACCGGGAGAACGTGAGATGGACGTAAAATGAGTAGTAAGAATGACTTTGCACAGGATGAGTGCAGCAGCGGTACTGAATCACCCAGAGGGCACAAGCCTAGTGACCAATATGCACAGTATGAATGCGTTGCGAACTTTCTCAATGGATGTCCCCGGCTCAGAGCCTTCCTTGTGAAATAGGCAACTCTGGCCAAAGGGCTGGCTACAGCTCAAATACAGTGTATTGTCTTTGCGCAAAGCTGCAACTTATGCCTGAGAACATCTCAATCCAGATCTGTGAGTGATGTACGCTTGAGATATGTCCTGCGGACTAGACCTTATTTGCTCTTGTTCCGAGACACCTGAACGCTGAGATCTGGCTCATCCATCGTCTACATGATCATCCATGATTTTGCAGGGCAAGCAAATCAGTCAAATAATTTAACGAGCATCAAGAAGATGATAGCGAACTGATCAAGCATTGATAAAGAACTTTCGCGCGCATGGTATATGCCGGTGGGCAGAATGTCTACGTCAACCTTAACCGACGATCGAAATAAGCCTGTGCAGTCAGCAATCATCTAGCAGAAATAAGACAAAACGATGCTTGAAAGCTAAAGTGGTGTTTGTCAACGTGTCTCAGATCTCCCAGCTTACCTATATTCAACGGCATAGTAAAAGCTACGTGTTTCCATTTACTGCAAGCCACGAGCCATTGTCGACAATGCGAGTTGGTCAATCATGCAAAGGAAACTGTCATCGCCATTCAGCGCTGCTCTTGCAGCAACATCAGTCGTTGGATTCAAGTGTTGAGCTCTCATCAAGCATGGTTGAATCGTTCAATATTTTGTAGAATCTTTAATGGCTTTGGGCGAGTCGATCCGGACACATGAATTACCCGGTGCAAAGAACAAGGAGATTCTGTTTTGAAAGATGCTGAGGAGCGCTTCGCATTCAATCCCCTTTCTATGCACTGGCTGATCCATTGCTGTGGCAGATTTGCTGAATTGTATTTCACAAGCATGCCTTGGAATGTTCGCAATGTGCCCCTAAAGCTCTTTCCCGATCTGATTGCGCTCGCTTGACTGCTAATGGTCAAGATTGGTGCTGTCGGATGAAAAGCCTGCGAGGTTGCTTCCATCTGTTCTCTGCAATTTTGTACACATCGCGCAGCCTCAAAGCTTTGGAGACAATAGAACGGACCGCCCTGCCAGACTGAGGTTGTCGGCTGTCGTTCTAGCTGTGTTCTAAAGTAGTGCCACGGTTTTCACACTTGCAATAGTGGCATGTTCTTTGTCATTACAGCGCATCGACTTGGGTTTTGGTATATTAGAAATGCTCAAAGTGCTATACTTGTCGCTTTGGAGTGTACGTCTTGACTCCCTTATCCCGGTCTGAGTCGCTGGACTCAGTTGGAAAAACAACACGCCTTCTGCATCTAGGTCACCGACTTCGCAACAAACGTCGGGATCAACAGCATTGCAGTGTTCACACAGTTCCACACGCAGTATACTGCATCGTTTAGGCAAACGCAGCTCGAGCGTAAGTGAACGACGCATCTGCGAGAGGCGAGGCCAGGATAGCACGACAGTGACTTGTCATAGCGTCCGTACTTGTCACAGGGTTCGTGCGACTGGGCAATTGCTGATCAGCAACCAATTACGGCAGCGCATCGAGTCAGAGTTGGAGCTGTTTCCTTGGGCTCCTTTGACGAAGGCTCAAGTTAGGCAAGACAAGAAATAGGAATGGTAGATGAGGCGTGCGCGGAGGCAGAATGCCGCAAGGCTGGACTTGGAGCCGAGACAACGGGTCGGCAGAGCGGCGGCGGGCCGTTCGTCGCGTCCAAAATGGGTGTTCTTGCGCGTCAACGGCGATGGGCGAGGCCGAAGGAACGCGGCGAGGGGGAGGTGAGCGACGACGGGGTGGTGGAGGGAGATGTAGGAACAGCAGGCGAGAGCAGCGGCGAACGTGGCCGCGAGCAAGCAGGCAGACGGCGTGGTACAAGCAGGACGGGGCACACGACAGAGAAGGCGGCGCCGTCACTCGCTCGGTTCTCGCGCGCACGCAGCAGCAAACAGCACCCGGTCGTGTGATGAGGAGGCGACGCATCAGACTGCCGACGGGCGGCGCTGCGATTGGGCGACGGCGTGGGCGTGGGCCTGGCTGCCCCTTAGAATGAAACTCCTTGGGCCTGGCGGGTTTGCGGCCAGACCCGGTTTAGCGTCAGGATTTTGCTTGCTCTCGCGCAACCTCCCACGGATACTCCCTCCTGCTGCGCACCTGGCTTCGCTCAACCCGCATTGATTCCTGCTCTTTGTTTCCCCACTCGCCAATCTTTTGTTCTTGACGAGCCAGCCCGCCCCCCGAAAACAGAGCCTCGAACGCGGACTGTGTCTCGCATGGCTTGAGACCGACCCCAAGGACGGACGTGTGCTCACGTCGGACCCAGTCTTCTCGCTATCCCTAGCCTTCCTTTCGCTCGCCATCCGCTCCTACTCTCTGTGCCCGTACCGCTCGGGCTCTGGACGTGACTGTGTGAGGTCCATCTCGCCGTCGCGGTGCCTTCACTGTGTCTTGCGTCGCCAAACCCGCCTCAGGAGGCAGCCCGTCCACCTCTGTTCGGCCCCTTCCCCGACGCCGTTGCAGTCAATTCGCGCCTCGTTTCGAAAGGGCTACATAATCTGACCTGGCAATCATGACACGCCCAGGAATCGTTCGTGCAGGTCCGCTAAAATCCTTGCCTACGGTCCAATCCTCACTTGCCCGGCATTGAGCTGACTTTGCACGCCAGACACGATCGACCTGCAGTCCCAGAACGCTCCCTCTGCGCAGGACCACACTCGCAAGCAGCATAGTGCCGCGTCGACCGCTCCCCATCAGGCCGCCGAGCTACGGCATGTGCAGGAGGAGCGACATAGCGAAGAGGATACACTACCAAACGCTTGGCAATCAGCCAACGGGCTTAGCGACGAACCCCCCGACGACGACGGCGACGACGACGACGACGACGACGACGTCATGCGTGACGATCAGCGCGCTGCCCAGCAAGATGCCGCCCAGCGCAATGGTCAATCTGAAGGCACGGACGCAGAAGGAGATGCGGATATGGATGACGACCTGATGGACAAGATTTCGAGTTCGCCGTCAATCAGCGATGGTGGGTATTCTCATTTTACTACTCCTACAAAGTCCGCACCCTATCTTTGGCCTCAGCGGTCGTCTTCGTTGTGCGCTGCAACCCCATCGCTCAGTACATCGGTATACCGAGACAATCAATGTACCAAATCACCCATCGAGAACAACTTGAATCCGTCGTCGCCTTGTATTTCCCCAGCGGCTCAAGTTTCTACGCTGAGACCAGCAAGCCCTTTTCCATTTTGTTCAGCTTTCAGCAAGTCGCGATCACGGCGTCCATGCACGCCATCGTGTGAAGAGACGGAGCTGGAGTCTGAACAATCATCTTCGCCTTTCATTGAGTCACCCGCACATTTTCCTCTTCATTACGACACTATCAGCAAAAAGGTACAGTTACAAGGTCATCATCATAATCAAGAGGTCGCTGAAGCCGAAACTGTTCACGTCGAGCAAGGTACAGTATGGACTGTTGGGAATCATGGCAAATCTGGCGAGGAAACCGGACACGGGATCAAGATTGGAGCTGTTGTTCCGCTGAAAGATGAAGAATGCGAATTGCAAGCGCAGAACTTTTTTCAGCAGCCGTTGCTTGAGAAATCGGCATCGGATATCGAATTAGAAACCCAACTTCTTCCTATTGATGATCCGCTATTAGACGACGACATCCTTATCGAGCCTCAAAAGTGCAACGCAACTCACTTCGACGTAAAACATGACGATGAAGATGATTGGGAAACGGAATCAGATACGCAGTGCTCGGATGACAGTTTCGACAGCGAAACCTACGACAGCGATGATGATGAGACTTGCGACTGCAAACTACCTGCTGATGATCGTTTCATTGAATTTGGCTGGAGCGGAAAGTGCTTACGAGAAATAGAGGATATCGACTTCGAATTCGTTTACGCGCTACATACATTTGTCGCCACTGTTGAAGGACAGGCGAATGCTCAGAAAGGTGATACCATGGTGCTACTTGATGACAGTAACAGTTATTGGTGGCTCGTCAGAGTTGTGAAAGATAGCACCATAGGTTAGTATTTGACCCAATTTTGGCATCATCAATCTAACCCTACTCCAATACTAGGCTATCTTCCTGCCGAACATATCGAAACGCCTACAGAGCGGTTAGCACGGCTGAACAAACACAGAAATGTTGATGTGAGACAAAATGTGGGCACGTGACCAGATGCATGCTGACAGGACTAGCTTTCGCAAACAATGCTCGGGGACGCAACCGAGAAGACCAAGAATCCATTGAAAAAGGCTATGAGACGGCGCAATGCAAAAACTGTGCAGTTCACAACACCGACCTACATCGAGCCTTCCGAGTATGAGTACACGACTGATGACGACACGGATGACGACATGAGTCTTACGAATGGGAGCTCTGGAGGCCAGGTTGAGCAATCCAAGGAGCAAACTGCTAGCGATTCTAAAAAAGACGAAATCGCGACTGTAGCGCCACTCAAAGTCAAGGATAAGAAGAGGGACGGGTCGCCCGAGAAGAAGGCCATCGCAGACGACGAAGAAGGTGATCGAAGGAAAAAGATTGATGAATCACGGACCAGTGACGAACAGTTTGATCGTGAATGTACGTGTTTTTTTCTCTCTTCTCATGGCATGCCATGGCACTAATCTATTACAGACAATGCCACTGCACAGAAGCAGTCTCGTAACGGAACACCTCGGAATACAGATTCATTCTTCCGCGATGAAAGCATTGAGACACGGAAGATCACACTTACCCCTAACATATTACGTGATGACTCGAGCAGCATAACTAGCCAAGGTAAAAACTCACTAGACCGAGGACCAAGTCTAGAGCTTTTGGAAAAGGATCCAAAACCCGGAAAGGGAGGCAAGAAGGAGAAAAAATCCGGTATGCTCAGTGGTCTCTTCAAACGAAAGGAAAAGAAGGGCAAAGCGGACGATGTCAGCAGCACAAAAAGCAAACTGTCAGGAGAAATCCTCCGAGAATCACCTTCTTCTGAAGAAGCTTCACCCATCGAACGCCCAGGCACTGCTGATGGAGCGCTTTTATCCCGGAGTGCGAGCAAGGGCAAATTGCAAAAAACCCCCCCCAGTGGGAGCCCTCCTGGCACACTCTCACCAGATGCCAACTCCGCGCAAAAGAAGCCTAGTGCAGAGTCAATGTCTGCAACATCATCAACTCAGTCAACCCCACGATCAGGTTCTCCAACCAATCATGATTCAAGTTTGCAGAAATCATCATCACTCCGCGCGCGTGCTCAAGAGAGCATTTCAAGCAGGCTTCGAGCGTCCTCTACGTCTGAGGGAACAAAGCCAACGAAAGTTACTCGCGCAAAGACGAGGGAAGCCTTGGACGTCGATTCATCCCCGGATGAGGAAACAAACGACCCATTTGCTGATTCTGAAATGGTCAGCCAAGCTGACGACAGATTAGCAGTGCCACCAGGCCCCGGCAAGCTCGGTGCTATGAGTTCTACAGAGCGGTTGTCTGAGTCGCCCGTGCACATCACGTCTGCGGATGCCATGCCGGAAAATGAACCACCTGCTCTTGTTGGAGACACTTCATCAAGCTCCTCTGACGAGTTAACATCTCTGCGATCATCCCCGTCCCCACCAATGACTTCTGATCGCCATCTCTCCCCACAAGCGTCCTTGGACAGCATGACCTCGCCCCCGCAACCGGCATCTATTACATTCGCCAAGCAAGTCACCAGTCCACCAGCTCGACAACCGCCTCAACAGCCGGCGGAAGCAAAGGATGCAGCGCAACGTGGATCATCTCCGACGCGGAACAATAGCACATCTACAACGAATTCCACATTATCACCTTCTACAAGCAGCAGCACTCCCACCTGGAGCGATGCTCACTTAAGGGCGTACATGGATAGTACAGACGACATAAAGGATTTGCTTGTCGTAGTTCATGACACTAGTGGAGTAGTGCCTGTCGGGCCTGATCATCCATTAATGAGCAACTTATTCGTAGAGGAGCGAGGGAAGGTAAAAGAGCTGGAGACTGCATTAGACAAGATGCTCAATCAATGGTTGGCGAAGAAGAGGAGTATGAGTCCAAATGGACTAGCGAGAAAAGGAAGCACTCCCACCCAAGGAAGCAGGCTAGTCATTCAACAGACCAACTCATGACAGTAAAGCCAAGAGCCTATTTGGCAATCTTTCTAACGACGCATGGAAATGAGCATGGAGTTTGCAGGGTGTTATGGAAAGCACAAGCTATCTCAGATCTCCTTTGTATGGCGCAGGCTTCGCTTCTTCTTTTCACTTCGATCAGCATGAAGCTGTTGTGCATTTTTTCATGCATATTATACCATACCTGCCCTAGCTGGCAGAGCTTTTTGATGTTTTTTTTTTGTGGGGGGGGAGTTCCAGCAGAGGACATGATTGCATGATTGATCCACATGGGAGGTCATAGTGCGAGCAAAACGCAGTGTGCTGTGTATCATAATCAAGCGAGCAAGCGAGAGAAGCACAATGAAAAGGTGGTACTGCGCCGTGGTGAGAGATCGTTTCATCTAGATTCCTTTCGCCTAAACGCGACGCTCATCAACTATTCCCATATCTATGTAGACTCTTTTAGTCGATCAAAGTACTTGGCAAGAATCCTTTGTCTGCAATCGTTCTTCTCTTTTGCGAAGAGACCGTTGTAGTCCTCAAACAATTCGAGTCCCCGTCATCAATGCCTCTGCACGAAAGTAAGTAGTGTCTCCCTGCTCTGACGGCTTTGTCCGAGCTACATCATAATCTCCGTATATGCTCTCCTCGTATTTTGACACTCAGCGCAAGTATCTCAGCTCATATAGACCATTGCGATCTCCTGCTCAGCCGGCTTTCCACGCTTGAAGAAAACGCCACTCTCTCTACAGAATCTTGATCCTTTAGGCCAATCCGACTAGCAAACCAACTTTAGTCGTCGTTCCCCTGTCAGGTCATTTCCAAAATGACGAGCTTCGACGATCTCGCTTTGTCGGTACGTGCTCTCGCTTGGGTCACTATTACAAGCTCGAAATCTCCTTTGCTGCCACTTTCTCGGCCAAACCTGGCCGGCCTAGTTCTTTGACTCCTCAGACGTTTCTGTCTTCAGAAAATGATCTGCCTGAATCATTCATGACAGCGCGACATGGTTCGACTCCTGCCGGCTGGAACAGGAACCGTCCTATCAACACGAAGCAGGTCGATGAAGAGGTTCCACATGCGGTGACGAACACAATAGCAGAAGCAAGATCACTTTCACCAACGCACGACTGGAGTATCAAATCATTGGCAGACATGAACACGCATCGGACAGCGTCTCAGGCCGCAAGCCCAACCCAAAAATTGCCTGTTGGCTCTATCACGTCGCCTGCGACTGCATCTCCACCGAAAAGCTCGGTTCTCTGGCAGCAGACCGTGGTTTCCAATGGGGGCCACAGCGGCGCCGTCTACTCGCGTCCCAGCACCAACTGTCGTCAGGAATTCAGAAGCAACTTCATCTTCAGGGCACAGCTCTTGTCACCAGAAACCGTCAAGCACAAACAAAGGTTGGCTGCGCTACCTTCAGATCTACAGCTGACCCTTCCACGGGTGCGCGCGCTCTTCGTATAAAAGAGAACGTCGTCGTATCCGTAATGGGTGGATTTGTTTTGCACATACAAGGATCAGGTAGCGAGTAGATACTTTGGAGCAGTGATTTATGATTCAACATCCTCCGGAAACAAGCGAGGAGTGCTCGTGTGCTACCTCCATCAGAGCGTGTCGCATGTCGATCAAGTGAAAAGGGACGAAATGTTTGGCTTCCGTTACTTGAAGTCTCAATATCGAGCTCGACACATGCTCGGATCGCTCCAATGTCCCACGTTTCGAAACTTTGCCAAGTTCTCTCCCCGTCGTTGTCATCGGCGCGTTGTCCAATTCCTTACAGGTTCATCGCCTCATTCGGAAGTTCTAAAGCACACTTCATCTCCCATCAGGCTCTTGTCATAGTCGAGTCAAACTTTCATCAAAACTCACCCACTCAAGCAAACTTCGGTAGCTGTTTTGATATCTTAGCCAGCAGCCTCCAAGCTTGACTGCAACGTTCTGCAGATGATTACTTCTCTCCTTCTCCTCTATCATCATGTCTGTCGCCATCTCGACTATACTCCACTGTAACTCAAAGGGAATCGCTGCAAAATCCCGAGCAGACTCTCGTTGTGACATAAAGCCGCATTGCAATCCTGTCTGATTCAGTCGTCTGTTTGGCCAGATTGTGACTGCAGAGCATGAATGAGAAGAAACGCGACTCTGATGATGTTTTGGATAATGATATGCGTCTATATTGGTTTCTAATAATTCCGGTGATGAGATACAATGACACAAGGAATCTTGCGCATCACATTCCAGTTAAACATGCTTGAAGTTTTCGGTCATAGATGCTGAAGGCCGGTAGGCTCCACAAAACCAATATTTTCCTTTCTCGTGTGGAACTTAAAACTCCGTAGAACAGGCATATGATGGCTCTTACGAAGACAGATCTTCGAATTGAATCAGTGTGGATATCAGTACATGCTGCAAGTGCATATGCAAAGAAGCTGCAGCCAATGTATTCGAATTTCATAACTACTGTTCTACAGCCTTGCTTTAGCCCTTCTAGCTTTACCCGGTCGTTTTTTTGCACCTCCAGCGCCTTTGAAAGGCTTCTTCATGTTTTTCCCCGGAAAACTTCGAGAATCCATGGTGCTTTCTGCGTCATTGCTTTTCGAGAAACGCTTTTTACCGCCAAAACCAAATTTCTCGTTCTTCTTTTGCCGCTTTGTCTTAGGCTCACCTTTCGAGCCACTTGCTGAGCGCTGCTTTCGCGCTATTCTATCATTCTTCACCGTTGTTTCTGCGTCTTCGAGTTCAATATCGAAGAGGTCTGGTTCATTCTCTGCTGAAGGCAATTCGCCAGCACGTTCTATATACGTGTTAATGAGACTCTCAAGCCATTCACGAGCATGGAAACATACTTCTCTTCAGCGCATTGATCCTCTCAAGTGTTTCCTTCTTTTCTTTGGCCCGCTCTTGTAATTTCGCCACCTGGACTTGTTTTCCGAATTTCTTCAGGTCTCTCTGCCGTCTCGCTTCTGCAGCAGCCTTCTTACTTGCAGCTTCCTCTCGCAGCTTGTCTTTCACACGTCCCATGTGCTCATCACTCTTCACCATCTCGGCGAAGTAATCGTTTGGCCGACTAAATGGGACGCCTTCCTTGATGAGAAGAGCCCTGCCTTTCTTAACTGCATCAAGTGACTGCGCATAGAATGCCAGTTCGCGCTTTAAATCATCGTCGATATCTGGAATGGAGTTTGCGGTGTTGGTTTGAGATGTGATAGATTGATGTGCGGAGAAAGGAAGTTTTGATAGCGGGAGTGCTATTCTTCTAAGCGCTTTTTCAAGTGCCGCTTTGTTGTTGATTGTTAGTCGTTGGTGAGGTATGAGATCTCCTCGCTCCTCTGAGGCCAGGGACTCAATATCTGAAAGCGGAATGTCTTCGCCGTCTGTTTCGTCTTCGTCAACCCCATTGGATTTTGACGTGCCATTTGTAGCCTCGGTAGCATCAAGGTTCTTGTCATTTCCCTCTTCCTCATCGTCATCGTCGTCATCGCTGTCACTGTCTTCGAGACGCGAAAGATCAATCTGTATGACGTTCGTTAGTTGTAGAAAGATACTTGTGGGAGCAGAGGGCCTACTCCTTGATCTTCTTCATCACTTGAAGCATCTTCTGATTGGTCGCTGTCTTCGTTTTCATTCTCTTCGTCATCTATATCCTCGACAGCACTTTCCCATTCGTCTTCCTCCTCTTTGTCCACATCACTGCCACTTTCAATCTCCATTAACTTCTTCTTGTTTCCAAGGAGCTCCCTGAGCTCTGCTTGCAGCTTCTTCTGTTCATCTTCGGCAATTTCTGTACCGATAGCTTCCTCATCAATGAGAACGCCACCGTTGTCCTCATCTTCGCTCGCTTGCGCATCTTCGAGGTCATCCCCGTCAGTTGAAGCCTTGGCTACCTGTTGTTCCTTTTCCCTCTTTCGCTTCTCACTAGCCTTTCTCATTTTCTTTTCCTTGAGCTTTTTATAGTCGACACCTTTGTAGGCGTCTAATGCGGCCTTTAGCTTACTCTTCGCCATGATTTGTGTATAAAGGATGGACTTGTCGAGAGAATGTAAAGACCAAGATATGGAATTGGGCTGCTTCGAGCCTCTCTCGAAATATTTTCATAAACGAGAGAGCAATTCTTGAGTAAATAAGATATGAAGCTTTGAGATATACGCGACTGCCACTTTTGAAAAAAAAGTTTCGAGATGCGGGAAGGCGTTCGCCGAGGGTCTTACACTAGTCCTCATTCGTCAACCGTCCTTCACTCGATCTTGCTCACTTGCACTCCGATAGTGATTGAGCTGTTGTATGACCTCACAATCAGGCCAGTTATTTTGGGACTTCCATGTCCAATCCGTTCCTAGATTCCACGTCAAAATCTGGCTATGGCGAGATCACACTTGCAGCTCTGTTGCCGAACACGCCGCGCCTCAAGACATGCTCTTATCAATATCCGTTGAAACTAGTCGCCCCTGAGCCATTGCACGCAGAAGATGGGACGTTGGTGCATACAGTCTATTTACTATCTTATGGCGGAGGGTTAGTGGCCGGAGACGCAATTAATCTAAAAATCAACCTAGACCCAAACGTCCGCTTGATTGTACTCACGCAAGGCTCCACCAAAATTTTCAAATCACCGGAGCCCAAGATCATCACACGACAGCGACTGGACGTGAATTTAATGAGAGGAAGTTCTTTGTGCTATCTCCCCGACCCCGTTCAGCCATTTGCTCAGAGCGCCTTCGAGCAAACCCAGGTTTATTATATGCCCGCATTAAACCAGACAAACCTTTGTTTCTGCGACTGGGTATGCCGTGGACGCGCTGCCAGAGGGGAGAACTGGAATGTCTGGAGGTATACGAGCAAGAATGAGGTTTGGCTGAAGCCTGAAGATGGGGAACGACAGCGCCTTCTCTTGCGTGACAACATTCTTCTCGAGGATGGCGCGGCCAATGGATCTTTCGCAGATCGATTAGATCAAATGGGCGCATTTGGTAGCCTGATTATCTACGGGCCTATCTTTGAGGCCCTCAGCGAGTTCTTTATGCGGGAGTTCGAGGCGATTCCTAGAATCGGGGCTCGAAACTGGGATGGCGAAAAGCAAGATGATGAGCTGAACGAGAGAAAGCAGAGGGAATCTCGGGAAAAGAAAGATGCGCTTTTGTGGACTGCTGCGCGGATTCGAGGCTTTGTACTGGTCAAATTTGGTGCGAGGGAAGTAGAAGGCGTGAAAAGGTGGCTGCACTCGATGTTGAGGACAGAAGGCAGCGTAGAGAAATTATTTGGCGAGCGGGCATTGCTTTGCTTGCGATCTTGATTGCAGGCATGAACTACTCCATGCGTGATCCGAGCTGTAGAAAAAGAAGCAAGTTCCGTGTTATATGGTAAAACTGATGGTTAGAATAATCTCTGTTTTGATTGTCATGATGTAGAAGACTTTATTGCTCTTACTCCTGCCCTTGTGCATCGTTGGATTCATTCGTGTTGAATGAAAAGGGGCCTAATTTGCATTTCTTTGGAATTACTCTATCTAGAGAAGGTTTCTACGAACATCTTCTGAGCTCTGTCATGATCTCACAAATCTGGTACGGTCCTCCGTAATGTCCAAGCAGCCCAACGTCTTCTAAGTTTCTCAGATGTGTGAGAAGTTCTCAGCTTACTTGGGAAGATTACCAAATCTCCTCTAGGTCAGTCTCTGCTGTGCCTATACCCTAATTGCTGCCTCAACTTCACTGCAAGGGATGTGAGGGCGCACATATATGGCGTCGCTCTTTTACAAATGCGCGTCTTGCTCCAGATTCCTGAGGCCACGATCCTCTAAAGGAGCTTCTATTTGTGACCTTGGCTTATGATCAGCCGATTTGACTTCTCATACGTCTTGGTTATTCGTCGGGGGGGTCATCTGGATCTTCTGGATGGTGCGAGTGGTAATGGTTGAGAATGACTGAGTCGAGATGGGGCTCGTCCAAATCACGTGTCTATGCGTACCCGCAAATGGATTAGTCGCCAATTCCTGTTGAAGCTCGGACCATTCTCATTTCGACATTCTTATAAAGGCTCGTCTTCTTCTTATCCACCTTTTCTTTTCTTCAGCTCTCTTGTCAGTACCCAACCCTCCTCTATACGTTGCGTTCTACTGACTCTCCTCAGTGCCTTTTGGCTTAGATCAAGTGTAGTATCTGTTCTTTTCAGTTTAATCTCTGAAACGTCGCTACGGCGACACTTCAAGATTAATCTAATTTTTGTACCCGGTTCCCATACCTCTGGGCTTGCCTATGTTTGGGGGCACAGTGTCGCTCGTATTGCACTATCTCGAGCTGACGCGAATCTTTTTTTCATTGATCAGCTCATCTGCGGATGGGGGATTAAAGAAGAAACCAAATGTTGTTTTGCAAAATTTTGTGAAGATTTGTACATAGAAATTAGCCCCACAAGTATCGCGACAAGTGGTTGTCTACGTATAGTGATATAATTCGGATTCTCCATGTAGTTGTGGGGATGTTCCTGATGCTCCATTGCATGACGCACAAGTCGCATGGTCGTGAACATGTCGCATTTCTGCTGCTGTATCTCCTTGCAAATGTTCACATCAAAAACTTAGCATGGCAGCTCAACAGGGAATGGTCGATCCAGCCATCTTCGCGCACCTACAGCAGAAGATCGATGAGGAGACTGCCTTCCGAGACGTGCGTAAAAGCTGCAACATTGCTCTGATTGCTGTTCAATTGCTAACAAGGCACGGCAGAGCCTCCGCGAAGTCATCCAGCAACTAGAAAAGCAGAGTGTGTGCCTTTGCAAAAGCCTGGTCAACTAGATCTAACACACTATAAGCAAGAACTACTCAGTCAATACTAGCACGAGCCCACTCAACGCCCACAGTGAAGAGTAAGGTGACCTTGTAAAACATCTGAAATTCCTGAGGCTGACCTGCATAGTCAACGAAGTAGTCACTGCCGCCGAGGAAGCTATTCGTGATGAGATCGCAACCATACTAAAGCTCTCCGAGCTAGCATCACAGCAGCCGTATTACAAGAACAACTTCATGTGGACGAGAAGCATGCAGGATGTGGTATGCTAGCAGTCAATGCTGAAGATCTTTGGAACATGACTGAAAGAGAAGAGCAGTGTAGTACGATTCTGTTCTGCAAATGGTTGAGTGCGCCAACTGCACCGGGCCCGGAAGCGAGTGATGCAAGCGAGCTTCTCACGATTGAGCAGGTGGGAGACCTAATGAAGAGTACGTCTACTCTAGTTGTGACTCCTCGCTATTATGCCAGAAACTAACTTTGTTTTGACAGTCCCTGTCAATCTCAAGGACCGCGATGCCTTTCACCTAACGATCGAAGAATATCTTCTCGCAATCGTATCCATGATCGAAGACCTCGCCCGACTAGCACGCAATTCAGTAACCCTTGGTGACTTCAGTCGCCCACTACGTATTAGTCGCTTCATCAAAGATGTGCACGCTGGATTTCAAATCCTGAACCTGAAAAACGACATATTGAGGAAGCGGAGCGATGGTTTGAAGTACAAGTTAAAAGAGGTTGAAGACGTAGTGTACGACCTGAGCTTGAGGAACTTGCTTCCGAAGGAGTAGGCATCGCTTCTGAGAGATAGTCTTGGTTGGGATCTTGAAAGGCAGGAATCTCTGCAGACAGAAAAGCTCAACCGGATGCTTTCGACGCAGGAAAATATGGATAAGATCTCGTTATATGGGGCAATCTCGTAAACCTAGTGAACCTAGTAAATCTGAACTATTATATCCACGTAGTTCTAAACTAAACTCCAATGTTTCGCGCCCTTATGCTCTGTGTTTATTGTTCAGTGCAAATGCATTACGAGAATAGAAGGCTGAGGCCGACGTCAGTGCGCAGTAATCACGCGTTGTATGGCGGGTTTCGCTCCTCTACAAGTTGAAACCCACAGTCGTACGAGACCAGTATCAAGTCACCTCTTGTTGATCAAATGACTTTGGGACGATCGAATATCCACAGAAATTTCAGAACAGCTTCGCTGACTGCTACGGACGTTTATCATGAGCGCTTCAACCCCCTTGCGGCAGCAAACTAAGCTGCAGTACTCGCCTGTCAGTCTCCTTGACACGGATGTAGCCCGTCTGTACGCGCATATTCATCCTATAACGTTGCTCTCAATTTATTTTCTGAGCTTCAAACTCATTGTTGCCGATCCAATCTCAGCCCTATCATCATTGCTACTGCCATTGGCAACGCTACAAGCTGCGTACGTTGTAGTTTGCTTCCCACCCACTGGCTCTCACGCAGTTCCTGGACACAAAAGCGGCGGACCAGCAAAGGGAGGCGCCCTCAAGAAAGGAGCAAAGACCAAGGGAGAGATTACGCTTGGAATGAGAGTCATTGTAGGCATACGCTTAAGGAATGCATTCTGTTGCTGAAACATTTTGCTAATGTCTTTGACCAGCCGGCCTTGATATCACTACTCCTCTCTCTTTCATTGGGAACACCACTCTTCCTCTTCCTCACAGTCTTGTTCGGTGCTCCGATCACTACCCACATCCCACACACAGTTCTGCTCGCGGCACACCTCTCTCTTCTCACCGCACTTCCAATCATCTACACACGAGGCATTGATCGAAGTACGTGGCGCGCTGTGGGAGCTCTTCTTCTCCCCATAGATGAGACGTTCGGCGCAGCTGTAGGCGCTTGTCTAGGTGCTTGGGTAGGCGCCGTCCCCATTCCACTAGATTGGGATAGAGACTGGCAGCGATGGCCGGTTACAGTTCTAACCGGGGCCTATGTTGGTTGGGCGGTTGGCAAGACAGTCGGGGCATTCCTCTTCAAAGGCGCCATTATCAATCTTGGGCCCTGAGCTTAGTATTCACCAGATTATGGATGCCTTGTTGATCTGGCAAGTCCTCGCCTGCAACACCGCTTAGAGGAAGTGCAACTAAATTCCCAACATCGCTGTGGGTGACGGATAAATGCGAAGCTTGTTGCGGAATGCTCTTGACACACGTCTTATCTCAACAAACTCCTGTTTTGAGCAGGTCCAATCGCGGAAGACTGAAATAACCTGCCTTGTCGACATATTCAAACAAAAGTGGCATCGAATAACACTTTTTGCCTTCACATGAAGAAAGGAAGGGTCGATTCAATGTTTAGCAAAGGACGTATTATTACACTACCCAATCGACAGCGCAGGACATTCTCATGACCTTAGATCAGGGGCCATGTTAAACAAAGACAAGTTTTACCGTTCATTTACTTCTTGATCTTCACGTTACGCAACTCTCCAAAGTGAAATAGTCAGTAGGCTTATTTCAAACGACTGAGCCCCTTTCGGTACCAAAGCGTGGATTAAACGAATGAGTGCATTTTTTGATTTTCTCATTTTATCTAATTTGGCAAACTCCGGCCAAGCGAGGAATATCTCGATTGGAACGATTGGTGCTCTCCACGATACGCTAGAAGACAAAGACTCAAGAGTCTAGCTGATGGGGTCTATCATAAGCAACACCGGAGTCCATTCCCTTAAAGACAGGTCGACCTGTCAGCTTCGACATTATGCCGATGCCTTAAAGTGCGTCAGTGTGCTGAGTAGCATACACGGATCTCATCTTCCATGGGAACCGATGGGAAGACGTGCGGATGTGCCGGATGCTTGTGGAGCGTACGTGCTTGGCCAAAGCCTGCTGTAGACTGGCAATTGGGCTTTGTGTAATGTATGGAACGGCGGACCGCTAGGATCTATCCACGTACCAAGCGAGACTGCAGAACAGCATCTTAAGAACGTACTGCATCTTGTCAAAAGCTTGTTTTACTCTAATGCCTCCAACACACCTATCTCATTAATCCTTCGAGTAAATCCTTGCATCCGCCCAGCCGGACGCTGTAGAACCTGGTTGACCACATTGTTCACCCGCCTTCAGCCTGTCGTGATTGACTACGGCTACATGCAGCAGTACACGCTGTCGTAGCCTAGACAAGGTTGTAGCTTCTTGCAAGAATAGAAGCAGGCCAGGCCAGCTGTTTTTGCCACAGAATTTTCGTTCGCGATCGACAAACCAATGCACATCATTGACTTGAATGGGATATGAGCTTCTAATCATGCAACGCGAACGGACACTGCGAATGTTGAGCGCTCGTTCTGCTCGTGTAATCTAGTTTGACATAAGTTTTTCTCATTCTCGATGCATGATGACTGCCCAAACCCCCTAGAATATCTTCAAGTCCGACCAAGCAGAGCCAGAAAATAATAATGCGTCCATCTTAAGAACCAATAGCCGGCGAAACAAGCAAGAGGTCAGGAGGCTCTCCGTTTCTTGCAGAAAACCTGGTGGAGGACAACACGGCCCTCGCAGATCTGCGTGCAAGCTTCTCGTGCAGCTGTCTACGTGCGCGAAAGCCGATCGTTCGGCAGGGATTTACCTCTATGCGCCATGCATGCTTTATTGTTTCATGAAATCTCTTCCACTGGTGAGTATACTAGGACGTCACTCCAACCACACATATTGTTCGTTTTCTGAGAACATGTGACGTGAACACGAGTGGCAAGCCTAATGCGGTCAAAAGCAAGAGCTCGCCAACGGCAGGCTGGAAAGTCGTCTGCTCACTCTTACAGTATACATTTTGGGATGACTTCTCAGTTCGTCTCGTTTAGGCGAGAACAAATTGACATGAGATGAGAAAATGCGCTTTTCTGGTTTAGTTTTGGATCGAGCAGAAAGGTGTTTCTTGACATTATGTACTACTAAATTAATCATTAAGGAATGTCATCCGCATCTCGTGGGAGCATATGAGCGGCTGCTCCTTTTCGATACGTGATAAAGGAAATCAAGAAAACGCCCGATCCGTCCCGTATTTTCAGCCCGATGTCTGCTACCCAATACCGCCGAATAGATTGTTTTTTGTTGACGAAAAGGAGGGTGTCTATGTAGCCCACCCATGTGAATGCTCGCTTAAGGAAAGACTAGTGTTCCAAACAAATGTTTCATGATAATGCTGGATGAGAGTGGGAAGTTCGTGTGAAGGTCGAGATATTCCAGCTGATTACCAGCCGCCGTTGGCCGAGTTGCCCCAGCCAGAGTTGCCCCAGCCACCATAGCCTTTGGTGATAGTAGCGCAAGTAGTCTGGGTTTCAACCCACTGTGTCGTGTAGGGAACTGCAGTCTCCTCTGTGCAAACCGACACAGTAGCAGAAGAAGTGACCTCTGGCACCTTGGTCTCCTCTTCGCAAACAGTTGTGTATGGCACCTCAATACAGGTCTCGTACGTGACTGGTTGCCAGATGACAGTGGTGACAGGCGTTGAGGTGACAATCTGAGAGGTTGAGGTCGATGTCAAGGTCTTGGTATATTCAACCGTCGATGGAACCCAGGTCGTGACAGGGTAATACACTGTCTTGGTCTCGTAGATCTCAGTAGTCACTTGGTAGACGCTGGTTTGGGTACACAACTCCGTGGAACAGGTGGTCTCGCATTCCTCCTGACCACCCCATTGATCAGAACCTCCACCAGGGGCGGCGAGTGCAGAGGAAGCAGCAAGAAGGGTGAAGAAGATCTTGGAAAGCATTTTGAAGTGGGTGCAAGAGCTTTTGATTGGTAAAATCAAGTAACGACTGGAGCGAGTCAAGTAGCCGCGAGGCAAGAGCGAAAGACTTGAGAATGTTTTGGTGATGTGAAGAGAAGAAGCTCGTTGGTGATATCCGGAGCAGGAAGGAATCAATGAAGTCTTTATACCTCACCGGCCGACATCAAATAGCTACTAGAATGGCTATGTAGAGCGTTACAGGCCATAACATGCTGATTTCAGATGCAGGCCGTTGGCCCATATCCCATGGTTCGGAACCATACCGTACACAACCAAAGTCGCTGCGCAAATGTCAATACGGTCGTGCATAAGCTCACCAACCATGTGAACTACGGAATAACAGGCCAGTGGTGACATCAGATGGGTATGTGTATGGTCTGTGTGTAGGTAATTGGATCCGTGGTGCAGTACACAGTATGCACGTTCGCTGAGCAACACTCACGCCTTCGAGGCCATGGGTACAGCCCTTACCGGCTTGGCAGCGAGGCTAAGCAAATCGTGAATAGGTCAAGAATACATACCCTATGCATGTGGATCGTTGCTATGCCCTGCGTTGTGAAACATTTACAGCGGGGCTCTGCTATTCGCCCAGCCTTGGAGCAGTGGAGAAAATCGGTGCTTGTTGGTCTACGCCGGCCTGGAGAGTAAGCAATAGATCGAACGCTAGGAAGTTAGGCCACGTTGGCCCCCTCCCAAGATGCCCAAAGATGCAAGCTTTGTGAAAACGGGCGGAAGTTCGGTTGGGGCGCAGCGAGGACATGGAAGAGCGTAGCTTGTTCATGGTTTGTTGCTCCACAGTCTTTTGCGCTGATCGACGAGCCACTGCAGGAACCTGCGGAACACTGTGAGCACCATGATGGTTGGCAGATGTTATGCGAAGAACAAGTATACGTCGAGGTAATTGGCCGTCGTGTTGTACCAAGACTCGAGCTGCAATGGAAAGCGTGGTTCTGAGAAGCTAGATTGATTAGGCCAGGATTGCAGAAGGAGAGAAAAGCTGAGCAACAACCAAAGGTACGACAAACTTGGCAGCAGGGGCCGGATCCAAGGACTTCTTCCGCCTGCCACGCTGACGGACGGTGGCAATCATGTCACGTTTCTGAGCAAGAAGAAGACGGGGCGAGAAAGGCAGAGCTGCGGCTGCAGCGTGGATGCTAAGCAAGGTTGGAAAAGTTTATTTTTAGACTCCACTACGGCCGGCGATTGAGCACCACTGTGCGGAGCGCGACCGAAACAGCGCACGTTAGGGAGAAAGGGAAACAGTTCCTCCCTTCCCGCGGCGCAAGAACGTGTTCGCGGTGAACCAACTTCTCTTGATTCGAAAAGGCTTTGTCTGTTGAGTTTAGGCTTTTCATTCGTCGATCAATTTGTCTAAGAAGGTTTTATTCTAGAAGTCTTGGAAGCATCAAGACAGAGCCACTTGCTGCCCCTAGTTGCACCGTTGAGAAACAGGCTCCGTCACGACCATTCTGCCCTTGCGTTGCACAAAGGCCGTCATGGCTCAGCACGTTATCATGAGAGCTGAACATGTTGTCTAACTTTCTCGCGACGTATCACTACCGCGACTTTTGCGCGTAGAGAAGTTGATCCCGCATCAACCTTCATGCGTTACAAACTCGTCTCGCCCACACTTGCAGCGTTGTTCTTGCTCACATGCATTTTCACCCGTCGCTAGAAACGGTTCGCCGGAAACTTTGGAAGGAGAAAGTTTGACCTTTGACAGCACGGATCGCTGTCACTGGCGAAAGCTACTTCGAAAACGCGCAGTTCGTGTCGATGTTACTTTGATCCACTTCGTCATCAGGCTCACTAGGCTTCGACTTTTCGTCATCGAAATCGATTTACCGTTATTCTTCGTCAAGATCCCGAACAATCGTAGGAGTAAAATGGCTCCGGAACATGCTCCCCGAGCATTTGGTCCTTCAGTCTTCGGTGATACTCCGTAGGACCACGCATCGACTTGATGCCGACTGGCACCTGTGTGGCGCTACGTCAGGAGAAAGAAAAGTGTCTCTCCTCATCACTAAGCTGTCCGAAATCATCCCGTATCCGAAATGGCATGATATCGTCAGCTCACATGATCGCTGAGTCGGCAAAGGTGCTGATGGGCAATGTCTTACTTGTCCAAAAAGCAGAGCCGTGATGGTCAATGTCGCCCGTTGCACCCGTGTCTCGGCGCTGCTCACCTGATCGCTACAAGCATGTGCTGGCCTGATCACTTTACTGCGGAATGCAAAGGAGCGAGTCTTGAATGCGGCACTTTATTAAGTGGAGACTTTGAAGCATTACCTAATAGAACAGGATGCCGAGTTTTACCTGTATCGAAAACATCTGCAAGTGAGACAGGCGAATGTCCTACAGTATTAGCACCGTCTTGCGATCAAAGTAGCGGGGGCAGATGCTCCCATTCCGAATAGCTCTAAAATTGCTCAGTGCCTGGTTCGGCAAGACATCCCTGATCCTGATAGGCATCCCGTGCTCTTCTTGAAATTCGGTTGTCGATTATAGAAGTATTAGACACTACTGTCCAATGGCCCCTCTGTCGGCCAGAATATGCGCCAACAGCTCGTGTTTATTAAGGACGCTTCATGAACGTGGAATTCGGCGACATACTTAGGTCTGACGACATCCAACCCTCATATTATAGATCTTTGGAACAGAAGAGGGCAATGCAATTGCTTTGATGCGTGTTTGACGGAACGAGGGCAGCAAAGGACGTTCAAGATTCTGTCACCGTCGCCCGTCCATCCTTTTTTCTTCGGCGACAAAACTTGAGAACGAAGAGCCTAATATAGTGGTATCAATATAAAAAAACCTCAGTTCTGCCCAGTCCTGTATTCTAACCAGGCTTCTAGGCCATGAAGAAAAGTGTATCCAGGAAGTTCTTCACTGTTATCATACGACATGCCATCTCATTATGTCCCAAGCTGTGCTTGATCGGTTTCATTTCATTCCTCCGGAGATCGACTCGCGTCCTGCAAAATCTTCGATCTCTTGGTAATCGTCGTGAATGCTGCATTTATGAGGCTTTCTATCATTCAGTAGAATCTCGCTTCTCGAACATAGAATGAAACTTGTTATGTTTCGATTCTGCCCATCGTGCTCACTTTTACGGCAAGGCTCCATGCGGTACACAACATGATCATGCGACCTTGTTATCCGAAATTCTACATGTTTAGGTCGACATCTTGTCTTCATCGACCAATGCTTCCTATTGAATCATGTAGTGGCAATACGACCTGATTCCCGTCCTTGCTTTCTTCATTGTTGATGAAGATGAAGGAGCCGAACACGATCGCGGCACCAAGCCAGTACCAAATGCTAGAGTATTGCGAGTCCAGAACCATCTGGCCAAGGAGGGCTAGAGGAATGGTCATGCTTAAGCCAACTGTGACTATCAAGGGGCTCGTAAGCAGCATTGAGTACGCCCAACAGAAGTCAGAAACAAGAGAGCTTAAGGAATTTACCTAAACACTAATTAGCTCATGATCATGTTGGGGTTGGAGAATTTCGCATACGATGATAATGGTCAGAACTTTCCCGCCCGGAGGTAGTTCCCAGGTCTCAATTCCGGTCAAATGTAGTATGATGAAGCAGGGCCAGAGCAGAAGGACATTGAAAAGACCAACTAGGCCAAAAAACAACGGCATGTTGACTCTTCCCTCGTCGCCAATCCTCTTTTTCATTACTACAGCGTAGAGACCGTACAGAACGGCGCTGAACAGTGCCATTGTATTGCCAATCGCCATCTCTCCTGTAGATTTGTGTGGGAAAGTGCCACGGTTCTCATCGCTCGCCCCGCTCAGGTCGATACTAGAAATCAGAACGATGCCGGCGAGCGATGCCAGCACGCCGCCTAGCTTCTTGACAGAAAAGCGTTCAACTCCCCACATTGTGCCAATGAGCAAGGTCCAGATGCTGCTTGTGGATGTGAGTATGGTGCTGGATGCAACCGTAGTGTACTCGAGACAGGCAGCCATGAAATAGTTGGCTGCGAACCACAGAAATGCAAACTCCAGACTCAGCCGTGCCGTTTCAGCAATGCCCAGTCTTTCGTTAACCATTTCGTCGCTCAGAACATGCGAGCCGACAGGATCGTCATCCAGAACCATATTCTCTACAGCAGAATCGGAGCGTGGTGCATCTTCGTGATATGCATCACTTGGCCCGTCAACTGAATCACCGTCCTCTTCACATTCATCGGTAGGTTTGACCATGGAGTAGCCAGTGTAACCCCCCTGGGTCGGTATCAACTCTTTCAAACTAGCTATTTCGGCCGGACTCTCGTACAGCTTCCGTATCATGATTGGGATGAGCGGGATGACGAAGAAACTCGTGTTGACATAGGTGACGAAGAACGGCTTCGAGTACGTGTCATCGGCGAATATTGTGCTCGCGAGGAAGTTGCTCGCCGTCCAAAGGAAAACGGTGCACATTAAGAGGAAAATGCCCAACGTGTGTCGCCATTTGCTATGCCTCCATCTCTTTGCGCTGGAGAGATCATCTCGTAGCGTGTGGATCGAGGAGATGACAGATTCGGCTCTCGTCGTCACAGGCTCGAGAAACGCGGGACTCAAAGACCGAGCGATACCGCCGCTATTGTCTAGAGAAGGCATGTCGATGATGACTCGGCCCTTCTCCCACGCTTTCTCTCACTCTCGCACACACATACACACAACACACACACACACACGCTCTCTTTCTGTCTCTCTTCAACGAAGAGGCACTCTGTCGCTTGCGTTCACCAAGAGACGCAGAGGGATATCATATCAGGAATCTCGTGTCTCCAACTAAATTGTCTTTCAGAACTGCAGACTAGAGAGCAAGTAAGAGGAAAAGACCGCGCTGCGCATAGAAAGGGCTGCAAGCTCTCGTTTGAAGTAAACGTTCGTGAGACGACGCTTCGGTTTGCCGTTTGATCAGGACCACCTGATAGGGGGATACCGGCATGTGAGTGGTTCGGGGTTTACCCCTGCGAGAAACAACGCAAAGCCACTGATGACCATCACTCGATGCTACATTCAATGCGCGCGTGTTGTGCGCAGCAGCAACCATGGACCATGATTGCATGCTAACATAGTCATAATTTTCGTTTGAATACAGGTTGAGACAAAAATCTATAAGCTCGAGAGCATTTCGTTGTTTGGACCTGCAATGCGGCGAAGCTTCAGATTGCGACTCTACAGCAACACAAAATCTCACCTCTTCCGGTGGATCCGAAACCCTTCAGTGAAAGCCTGAAACTCCGTATGTGGTATCTGAAATGTGGTGGAAATAAAGAATCCTTATGTACACGCAAGAACCCCAACCAATCTAGGCTGCATCGCAGGTGGACTTCAGCAGCAATGTCGACTACACCGTTGATATATGCGCCCCTTGATTGGTACAACATCGTGAACGCGGATGGCTGATTGTTGGAACCACCAAACCTTGCTATTATCCAAATGTCAAGACACTGCTGAGTTGCAGTGCTTCTTCCTAGCAAGCACAACTGTCGTTCTCATGTTCTGCACGAATATTGATCGGCTCAGGGTAGTCGTTGCTAAAGTCGCCCGCCTCTTCCTGTGCAAGAGCCTGCCGTGCGATTACTGTGGTCTTCTCAGCAAGTGGCTTCTTCTGAAACGAAGATTGATTTTACCTTCGAATGCCTGTTCTACGTTGATTGCTTCTTTCGCACTCGTCTCAAAATATGGTATGCCGCCTTTTGAGTTACAGAAAGCCATGGCTCTTTTAGCAGAGATCTGTTACCCGTCAGCACATCTCTCCTTGCAATTGAGGTTTTCCAATTTCCTGACCACTCGCTTCGATTCATCTACATCCACCTTGTTGCCTAGAACAACCTGTATGCAATCAGCTTCCACTTCGAGAAAGCCCAAATTTGCACACGCACAAATGGAAACGTCTCTGGATCCATAGGGCTCGCCTGTATTAAGAACTCGTCGCGCCAGCTGTCTAACGTCTCAAAGCTCTTTGAGTTGTTCACGTCGTAGACAAGCACGCAGCAGTCAGCGCCTCTGTAAAAGGCAACACCGAGTGACTGGAACCGTTCTTGTCCAGCTGTGTCCCAGATCTACATTCACAAATCAGCCTCTTTCGCATCCTCTCCGACAGAGAGAAACATTTGCACACCTGCATCGTCACAACGCGATCGTCTACTAGGACTTCTTTGGTGAGGAAATCAGCACCGATGGTTGCCTTGTAACTCGCCGAGAACTTCTTGTTGACATATTGGTTCATCAAGCTCGTCTTGCCCACACCTGAGTCGCCGAGGATCTGTTTTCGATATAAGTAATTCGAATGGTAGGCGAAAAGTACTGCCACAAGCACATCTGTTGTTGCGACAACGGCGCGATGATAACAGTGCCTTTTCAGTGGCTGGTAGCAGGTCAACGTACAATTATCTTGAGCAGAACCTTCTTTCGAGACGCCATGTCGTAGGATTATTTGCTGTGTAACGTTTGTGGGCGGCGTTGGAATGTCTGTCGGCGCTATCTGGTGGCTCTTTGGATCTCTGAAGCAACTGTTGCTGGGATCAGAGAGAATGATGTAGGCTGGCATCCTTAGCTTCCTTACCCGAACCCGAGTCGCGTGGTCAGTGCGCTTCAAGCACGTGAGAGGCTGAGTGTTGCAAGTCATCGGCAAAGGACGGTAAAAATCCAGTCATCGGTAATGACATCAGGACCAAAAAAAATCACACACGATGTCTTTAGAATTCGTGAATAAGATAGTGGCCATTTTCCATACGTTAAAGTTCATTTAAAAAGTGGCAAAAACAGCTAAGAGACGAGCATTCCCATCGTACCGTTTGAGCAGTCTCAGCGTACATTTACATTCATAGTGTATATATGCATACTGTGATCAGTCCGAAAATTAGTCTATATACATCTCTGACATAACCAATGTATGCCAAGTTCCTGCTTTTATCAAGGACATCAGGTTTTCCCAAGGCCAGCTCCAAAATCGAAAATGCTAATGTGGGGTATCTTCATGGCATGATTAAGCCGAAGTGACCAGGACAATCAGACAGAAACAATCATGTAAAAGGAAATCGTGAGTCCGTCGTCGAATCGCTTGCGATTAGGTGCGGTTCATATGAGCTGCATCCGCAATTTGTACATCATCTTCCTCCTCTTCCTGTGGCTCGGAATCACGACGCTCGGGGGGACCGGATAGAAGATCGTCAGCAGAATAAACAAAGTGAGCTCGTGCAGATTGCGGACCACGTTCGGTCGACCGTGAGCGCGGCGGTGATCTCGTGCCCGAAGAAGACGCGCCTGTGCTCAAGAGCTGCTGCGTGTTCGGGTCCAGATGAAGCTCTTCAATTTGGCCACCCAAAACATTCATGTCGAAGTCCGTCATAGATGCATAATGAGGGGGAGACTCCGGCACATCTTCATAGACAGGAGGAGTTTCCTCGTCCCAGGAGACGCCAAGGCCAGGGCGCTCCGTGAGCATGAGATGGAACTGTGTTCGTAGTATGCGTGCAGCACCAGTAGGTGTGACCTGATTTGGCTTGTTCCGAGGACACCATTCCTCAGCAACGACCATTTCGACTACGAGATTGTGAGTAATCGACATGCCGTTGTTGGCCTCAGCGTCGCAGACAGGCTTCTTGTTCGGGTTAACGGAAGCGTAAAAGATGGCTTCAACATCGCCGGCATCCAAATTGTTCTTCCAAGGATTCCTGCGTTGATCAATCTCTCCCTCTCCAATAGTGCGGACATCTTCGTGCTTGATCCCCCTGCCTTGACCACCAATCTTCTCTGCATGCTTCGGACATGCGGGTGAAATCATCCTCTGTGTTTCTTCGATCCGCCAGTTCATCTTCCTTAACCGCCAGCGATTTATCGCGTCCTTTTTCTTCTCGGTCATACCAGATAGCCTGAGGCTTACTTCAAACTCGCCTATAGGATGAATAACCGGGTTCAATGTCACGCTCGCGGTGAGATTTGTTGGGGGGAAAATTCGTATCGAGTGTTTTTCATTGCCAGGAAGAATGGAACGGGACAGCTTGATTTCAAATCGATCGTTGGGCAAAGGTGTGAAACGACCATCCGAGGTCCGCTGGCACAAGCCAATGGTTTCGCCGGTGACAGTTTTGGCTTGGGCAACGAGGAAATACTCGACGGAGACAAGCGTACCTCTCGTGGTTGCGGGTAAATGGCCTGGAAATAGGTAGCTGATCGGAATCGGATGATCACCACGTCTCAGCCGGAGCCCCTCCTTGGCGAGATTGATCTTCTTCAGCTCCGTGACTTTCGTACTGCATTCTGGACAGTGAGGATGCACCGGCCGCTTGACCGTGGTCACACAGATGAAGCGCGCTTCCACGGACTCGAAGGTGAGTTCCGAGTCGGTAACATCGACGTGCAGCTGAGCTGAGAACAAGGCTCCAGTCGAGTTGGCTGGGATGTTGTACGCTACCTGAGCGCAACTGTCAGCAGCCGGCAAGGATGCAAGATTAGAAGGGCGAATGGATGGGACTCACCAGAGGCGGCGACTCGACGGTCAGCCAGAGCTTTGCAGGTTTGCTGAGCGCAACTTTCTGGGCGTTGGCGCTGGAACGGCGATCTGGCATCAGCTTGCCGCCAATGCTATGACGTTTTGCTGCATCCATGTGGTGCATATCTTCGACGTGGCCCAAGAGGCCGGACTGAACAGACAGCGTGCTTGTGGAGGGGCCTTTGGCAGCAACTTTGCGCAATTGATCCTTTATGCTGGCACCATCGCGGGTATGAGAAGACCTTCGAGCGACGAAGCCGAGCAGAGGCATTGTAGATGCGACAGGGCGCCAAGCGATAGCGGCACACAGACAGGACTGCTGTTGGCCAGACGCGCAGAATCTGGGGAAGGTCGGCAAGCGCCGCAGAGGCAAGGTGACGCAATACTGGGCGGCGAGACGACGTGACGGACGATGCAGTTGAAAAGGATCAGAAAGGTCGAGCAGCGGAAGGACAAAGACAAAGAACGGCTCTTCTCGTTCTTTGCAGAACGCGTGCCTGAGACAAAAAGGTTTTCGTGAGCTCTAGAAGGGCGACAGGACGCACCAGGGACGGCGACCCTTTTTCATGCTTTTCAGTCACCCGGCGCGCTGGCGTTTTCCATCAGCTACGGCTGGAAGGCTAAAGCGTTACGAAAGAAGAATTGAACGATTCGATGGTCCAGTTCGCACGCATGCCCCGAAGATCCACACGCGCGTCGAGCAGCCACCTCGACTCACTCTCACCGACATGCAGCAAGGCGAGACGACTAGCCTGAGCCATCCCCGCAGTCTTGTTTGTCCTTTTTTGCTGGTCATGAGGCGGGCCAGGGTGACGGCCAGCCATGCGGCGACCAGAATCGCGTCGCCTGATCTATTCTGGCGCTCGTGGGCAAACAAGTGCAAACTCGAATCGAGGCGTGCCCTCTGTGCGAACCAGCGCCGTCCGCTTCGGCGTTCGGTGCACAGCAGACGACTTTTGTTGTGGCTTTCTTCGACTTGCACGCCCTCACACACGCACCACCTCGCTTGCAGTCTGGCAGCACGTTTCCCTTCGCCTGTGCGGCTTCCCAGCACCGGCCTGCCTGCTCCGTACATGTACAGATGTCTAGATGTGCAAGACGCCGTCCCAGCCCTGCGAGAGAGGACGAGAGAGCAAGAGGCAGAGAGGGGGATGCGTCCACAGGATGCTGAGCGTCTCGCTTTGAGAATGCGCGCCAATGATGACAGGTCGGCATGGCGAGTGCCGTGCTGGCCGCAGGCGAAACTTTAGGCTGAGCATTACCGCATCGTGTCGCTATTGTCCATCGAGGTGTCGCCATCGTGATTACGGGTCTGAGGGGCTCAAATTTTTTTCCTCCATCTCCGAGGCCGCTAGGGCCAAATTCGGCCATCTCGCGCTGCTCTTGGAAATCCGTGACTAAGCCTTCGCGCCTTGCACCACCAGTCCTCGCCCTCGAGTCTTGCACACCTTCTTTCCGGTGGCCACGGCTTGCGATCGACTTTTCATCCGCGTGCAAAATTTCCATCCAGGGGTTGGGGAGCTCGCTCAAGTCCCCTAGCGACTACAGGACGGCCTCGTACCCAGCGTTACGCGATCTAGAAAATTCTGGAGCCTCTGCTGCACTCAACGGTAGGATCGTAGGATCGTTCCGAATATAGCATGACGCACCGTACCTGATTTGCGTTGGTCCAACATTTAACAGTGCCATGGCTTCTTTTTTTTTTCTTTCTTCTTTTCGCATCGAGTAATCATATCCACTGCTCCTGGCAGCTTCTGATTTCTGTTACTCTATCACACGTTTCATGGCCCAGCCTCGTGGTATGATCCAAAGCGCTGAGCGGCGATGTCCGCCATATATCTTCCTTCTCTGTCGCTATATATTCTACTTAGATTGGGTCGGTGGCGGTCGCGATCTCTGTGGGTCAGCCTAAAACTTTCCACACACTACCCTAGACCTTGAGTCACTCCTGCTTGTACTAGAGATCAACCGTCGAAAATTTTCTTAAGGCTTGGTGCTCCGGATGCTTTCTCCATTCACGACGTAGCGCTTCGAGTCTTGACTTTGTAGGGTCGAAACGGGCTTTCGCAACTACGCCTGCTGAACAACACGCGTCTCGATCCTAGGCCTCTCGATCACCGACCCTGTTTTACTCTGCGTCAAAGCCCTGGCAGCACTGAAAAGTATTGCATCTGTTTGCGAGAGAAGAATAGGAGCCGAGTGGCTTTCATTGTCACGTTATATGAAGTTCAATTGATGAAACAGAATCACGCACTTAACACCTATTCGCAGTGTATCCTCTTGTCCGCAAAGAAGAGTCGAATGCTAGAGGAGGACGGCAAAAATTTCGAGTTTGCTCCTCTATGCCTGTGCCCAAAATGATCAATTGCAATCCTAGTTGGGATCTCGCCACCAACATTTCAGTCTTTCGCACCTTGTCTATAGCCCGCATGTCCTTAAAAGTTTCTCTCGACTCGCTGGGGCCTCTGGTCGTATTATTCTGTTGTGGATTCTTCTTAGGCATCAGCTCAGCGTCTGTCCTTCTCTTCATTTGACTGCTTCATGTTCAGTCGTGAGTAAGACTCACTTGAAAATTAGACCTACAAGATTCCTGAAAATGATCGGCAATTTTCATGATACATCTGCCATGGATATTTACGCGAAATATGCTAGGAAAGCATAGGATCTTGGAAATTACTTCAACGCTACGAATGAAAGCAAGTCGCGGGCTTTTAAATGGCCCAAATTAGTCCAAAGGTTGTAGACTTGATTTTAGCTAATTCTCGAGCCAGGAAATATTTTGCCACGGTAAGAAAGGCCAGAAATTTGTCTACTTTGTTTTGCGCCGGAAGATCGAGCGCGATGTGTCCTTATCCACCCAAGACTGTGATACGGTTTGAATATCACGTGGATAAATTCATCATATACTGGCATTGTCAAGAACCCCCTTTCCCATGTATTTAGCATAGGATTCGATTTTTACGGTGTGACGCTTAGCATATGGTGCCGATACTCCTGTGTTACTCAACGCTGGGCAAATGATAAACTGACCAAAGATGTAAAGACATGATCTACGGAGTATGCAGTGTGATTCAATCTGCAGACGTCAGGCTTTATGAGCCTTCGATGTTTTCCCTGTCTAGTTCGCACAGCACAAACTGTCTAAACTCAAAGCCAATGACACTTCGTTGGCCTGTTTCGACGAATATGGACTACTACAGATCGATCAAGTATCAAGACTGAGTAATACACCTAGATACAGTACCATGGTCATCTACGTTGGTGTTCCAAGTTATGATTGTTGAGTTAAGATCAAACTCGGCTCTATCGTATCAGGCGCAATACATTACAGGACGGTTCTCCAAGGTCTGACTGCTGACAACATCATTATTCGAACCCAAGATCACCTTCTCGCCGCACACTTGTAGGTATGAAACACTGGCTCGTCCACTCTCATCTTCCAGCGCGTAGAAGAATAAGTCTAACAAGGCTTAGCTATCCAGCTCGGAAGGATGTTGGAAAGACATGAAACTTTATGTTTGCAATATGGTCTCGACGTCGGATAGTTGTCATAATCCAAGTTCCTCTGACAGATGCTGTACCACTGGGCAACTTTGATCAAAACACGCAGTTGGACGCTAGTGCCAAGCCGAGGCCAACGGACAGGGAAAACCAAGAGTCCGGTCGCACCTTGGGTTGTTGGTCCGTTAGGTATGTAAATTCAGATAGACACTGCCTTTCGAGTGCCGACTCCAAAGACAAAACATGATACCATTGGTCGAAACCGTGGAGGTCATTTTCCTGCTCCGGTGGTCGCAACACACGAGATGACTCTGCTAAAAGATCCTTAATTCTCAGACATCAAGCAATGGCTGTTCAGGTCCCGTTTCACAATGGAATGCTGAGGTCCCTTGAACATAATTAGGCTGTTCAATAATGAGAGACACCGAAATTAAAGTTTTACGAGCATGAGCTATGAAAGGATGCGCAGAGTCAAGCCTTCGCAGTGCCATGCCATCAATGTGGCAGAAACTGAGCAATATAAAGAAAGCATCTTTGCTGCACCCAGAGAACGCCAAGGTAAAACCCATTTGACAAAACCCTGTTTGACTGATACTACGTGATTTTCTATTCTTGACGGAGAAGACATCGAATGCTGAAGTTTTACGATTTCAAAATGCATCTGCGCCAGTCTTAGCAGCTGATATTCAAATCAGGGTCAGCGTCCTAAAGGTCAAGGAGATTGGTCCTCGCACAACGTTGGCAAGCGCTCGAAAGACGCCACAAGCTGCCTACTCGTGTAGGATTTTCAGTCCTGCCATTTCCTTGTCTAGTTGCATATCTAAGCTATCTAGACTGGACAAGCGGCGCAATCAGAGCGAGCAAATCGTGAGGGGTACTGGTTTCGCGACAAATCCCAGCTCAAGGCAGCACTTTGCAGGCTAAATGTCTCCGAACTTTAGTTCTAATACTCTTCAACCATGGCACGTTTGGCCCCCCCAGCGTCCCGCATCACAGCCTTTCGACCTCAGTACGATCAAAAAGTTACAACATGACAGAAGCCAAAGGTGAAGGGCCGCTTTACAAGGGTTCTTGTCACTGCGGGTTTTTCACGTACGAAGCCCGCATTGATCTGCAAAGTCCCAAAAAGAGCTTTAATGGTAAGCAGATTTCGAAGTGCAATTGCACCATCTGCCACAAGGTATGGACATATTCAGAATCGATAAGCCAACTTCCCTGAGCTGAATCCTATCAAGACCGGGGCTCCATTGATTGCGCCCGAGGATGGGACCTTCAAGATCATTTCTCCGCCCAAAGGCCGCGAGGAATTGACAGAGTACCATTTCAAAGAAGGCAACGTCCACCATTGGTTCTGCCCAAAGTGCGGCATCAAACCGTTCATCGAGGGCAAGTTTAACTTCGGGGATCAATGGTTTGAATTTCAACGTGTCAACGTGCTCACTATCGACGAGAGGGCGGATGGCAGTGGTATGGACGACTTACGAGAGCTGACCATTGGTTACTACGCAGGAAGAAGTAATGACTGGAGTCTTCCGGTCGCGGATGAGCCGTATCCAGGTGGCATCCGGTAGGACACGAGGCGAGGTGCAGATTACAGGATGCATTTGCGGCAGCCTAGCTTGATAGGAAGATATAGACAGACTCGGTTGGCCCCAAGGGATGTGTCCGGGTTGCCACAAAGCCAAAATATTTACAGGCTTGCCAGAGTAAAGGCCTACGTGCTGTTTGAAAAATCGCGGTGCAATATTTCGTACCATTCTGTACTCCTGATATCAACTCTAACACCCCGCCCCCCTGGAGTGATACAGTTGAACCATACTCCTACTTATCTCCTGGAACAAAACACAACTTTCCGTCACCGTAAGTATCTGTTACCAAACATCTGGACGTCTGTTTGGTTCCCAACGTGCCGGTTTTTCTCTTTTTTTCCAGTCATTATGCGAATCCATTTCCCGCCTTCGGAACAGAAAGTTCATGCCAATTTCAAGTATGTCGAGTTCAGCGGCCAAGGAGAAGGTAACGTTCAGGTCGCCAATGGATTATCGAGGTGAAGGTTTGCAACACTGATTGAATACGTTGCGTCAGCTCTTAAGCAACCGAGTTCCCTTCTGTATCATGGTCAATTGCAAAATTGCCCGACATCTTGATTCCTCTACTCCTATTTCTGCATCCAGGATAAGATCCCTAAACTCCACGGAAAGCAAACGTCAGGAGAAGTCCCAGAGTCTACAGACACGAAGGCTAAGCCCTCGGGAAATTGCGTAAAGAATGTTTGCTTTTGCATCTTCTGTGCTTGAGATCAGTCGCTGGTCACGTATGAAATGGGATTGCCTGGCTTGAAAGTTGCCACATTGCGCTTCCGACGAAGTGGACGTCTGCGCAGCCAACGTACGTGAACACACACGCAAGTGCAACTTGCTCTGATATGCTTTCACGACCAGGCAACCTGGTCTACACACGCGCTCTGGTCCAATCTACTTCTAGTCGGGATGGCAAAATGACCGATGGTGCCGTGTGCGCAACTAAACTCTGTTCGATCGAGTGATCCAGGATATATGCTTGATCCTTCAGGCTCAAGCTTCGCTACATCACCGGCGTGTGATAGGTCTGGCAAATATCATAGTGGTCTTGGTAGCTGGACGTTATTATTTACAGGAAGCCGATACATACGACGTTGAATTTTATGATTGGCGCCAGCATTAGTGACTCTACACTAAATGCAAGCCGTCAGTCGTCCCAAAAAGAACGGCTTCTAGAAACCATCTTCCAGCAAAACGTCGGACATTGTTCTTGTCAGATCTCTATTGCCGGAGGAGATGTTTGGGAAATATCGACTGTAAAACTATCGTCCGTGAGAAAAGATGTGGTTGGCGACCGCATGGACAGCTAGGACGAGACAGATGTAGAACGCGCAACTAGTCTGACTGAGTAAATGAGGTAGAGAAAGAAAAATCCTGGGACAGTGAACAAATCGGAAGAGCTTTGACTAGTGGCACATCGGCTCGTCCAGAAAGGAGTTGGCATTGCTCTTCATCTTAACACTTCCGGCTTGCAACAGTGCCAGCGGGAGGGTGCCTCTGTGCAGCACCACACGTCTACGTTATGCTCGCTTACCAAAGTCACAAAAAGGAATGGCTCAATGCGGAGCAAGAAAAAGTGGCGGTTCAACAAGCTCGATAAAGGGAACATTGGTCAACCCTCCCTCATCTCACCAGCGATGAAAAGAACAGGTCCGCCTCAATCCAAGCGCGTAGTCAAAACCTCTCTGAGAAATCCTGGTGTCGTTCGCTTAGACGAAGGTGGACGCGAAACGTGGGTCGTACGCTGGCGGCAACTAGAAAGGGCTGCGGCTTTCCCTAAGGTGTCGAGATGTGGTCACTACAGATCACGAGTCTTGTGTGTTGTGCTGCTTATATCAAACGTGTTCTTGTAGAACATCCCGGTATCCGGCCCTGCTCGGCCACTTATGGGGCTGATTATGATGCCGTATCTGTCTGTTCAATCTAGGAGGCAAAAGTAGTCAACAAGGTTTCACGAGATGAGAGTTGAATCGATGCGGTCGTTGAGCTGGTCAGATTTGAGGCCTTTCGTTCGAGAATGACGTTACCGCTGCTTTTCCTTTCGGGTGACATATGCCTAGCAGCCGTGAGAGAGAGAACAGAAATTCTACGTGCTACTCGTTTTGATCTCAGGCAGAAAGGTTTTGTGATCACACGACATATAACTTATCTTCAAATCAGGTATAAACCGTCCCTAGACTTCGAGTGGTCGCCCTCGATGACGTTGTGCCTTGCTTTCGAACGGCAAGGGGACATGTCATTTTCCTTTGTCACATCTTCCGACTCGCGTGCACTGAGAGGTCTGTTACACGAGAAGTCGGAGCATAAGCTAGCCAAGCACAGCTGACGCAATTGGGAGAAAAACATCGTGACGAATGTAGTGCAACGTTCGGGCCCGTTTGCTGTCACATCACGATTTGCCCCAGTTTTTGGCAACGTATACCCACAATGGTGCAACAGAAGGAGGACTATGCAAAAAAAGGAAAATAATGTATATTGAACAGTGCTGTCGTATCGAGATATATATATTTCGGAAAACCAGAACTGCACAAATGCCCAGCCCAATACGGTGAAAATAGGGGGAGTCGCTGACTACACTCACACACACACAGACACACACAGAAGACACACACAAAAGCTAAAGAAAACTAGATAACCAAAAAGGACAAAAAAAATCAGATACAACTCTAGCTCAAGCGTGGTTGCCCTCAGCTTTCATCACCAGAGAGCACCATGCGCAAACAAATCCAAAATTGCACGCAAGGAAGCCTCCATGCCGCAAAATGTTTTGTGATCGCAGACTTCCAGCCGCGCTCGACCAAAACCTTCGAGGAAATCCAAATATCGCTCGATCTTGCGTGCGCTGTTGTTCTTCCCTTTGTCCCAAACCCGGCCGTGACGATCTGTAAACATCTTGCTGCTCAGCATTTGCAATCAAAAGATTATTAACGCCTTTATGCGCCCTTAGGAACCGTCCCCCCTCTCAGATCAGATAAGTCGTAGCAGTTTTGCATCAGATGAAGAGATTCGCGAATGTTTGACAAAAAAAATGGAGAAGAGATATTATCAGGTTTGCCCGCCTATTGGGCGTCCCTGGTATCGAGCTTTCGAACCTTGTTTTTATTTTCTCGTGTACGGTGTGCTGGAAATGGCGACTATTTGACGGTCTGGCATTTTGTCGAGAGACAGCTGCGTTCAAGGAAAAGCGCTGCAGCGTATTTACATTGGGTGAGGAGCCAATGACGAAGGATCGACGGTGCTGTAGCCCACCATGGGGTTCATGTCCAAGCCCGGTTGCTGCTGATCATCGTGCATTGAATTCCGGAAAGGTAATGTCATTGGCTGCTTGGATGACATGTCCAAGAACATGCCGTCATCCAGTATGGCGCTGTCCTGAGGTAGGTGATAGATATCCGCTGAAGCACTTCGACCCATGGAGTTCAAAGGGGGCGATTGGTTGGCGATCACGGGGTCTGCCGAGCCCATGCTGTGCATAGGAGATGGAGCTTGCGCGTGCAGGTTGGCATCTGGTGGCATTGGGGACATGAATTGCGGGTTGAAGGAGGTGGCCATGTTCGACGCGGGTATATTTTCCGGGGCGGGGCCAGACGTGAAAAAGCCCGGTGTGCCAAAGTCTGACGGAGAGGGCGCTGTCGTGGCAGACATTGGGTGGAACTGTTGATTGAAGTTCATGCCGAAGCCAGCCGAAGTGTCAATGCTCAGGGTAGGACCCATAGGCGACGGGCCATTATGATACTGTGGAACGGGTGCGACAATTTCCGAATGCTGAGGCACGTATGGCTGAGCCGGTGGCTCAGGAACCAAAAAGGATGGCATAGGATGCCGGAGCATGGAGAAATCGATGGCGACAGGGACCGAACGACTTCTCTGTCGTTTGTGTCCGCGAGGCACATTGAGGCCGACTCCGACGCCAAAAGGCGTGTCGTGGAACATGCCCATCGGATTCTGAGCAGCATGGTGGTTCGGCTGAGATGCCGGGCGGTGGTTGATCGGAGAGACCGGGGCAGACACGGCCAAGGCGTTGGGGTCGAATACGTGATGCCGGTTCTGGAAGGACTCTAGAGCAACAAGCTTCGCGAGCTGTCCGCTGAGGATTTTCGGATGTCCGCCCAGGTGGTGTACCAAGCAGTGAGAGGCCTGTTGATCCTCGGTGAAATCTCCACACTGGTAAAACCCACCAGATCCGGACGAGTCCATGAAGAAGTTTGGTGGGCGAGTAAGCTCAACGACGAGTCCTCCAGGTCTTTGCGCAGCGCCCTCTGCGTTGGTTGCTGGGTCCCCATTGTCAAGTGTGATGTTCTTGATGTATGCAAACGGGTACTCAATCTTGTAGCCTGCCGAGTCGTTGTTGATGTAGTACGTGACACAGCACTTCTCGGGCGAGTAAAAGATGACAAGATCCATGGCACTCTGGCCGATTCTTCTCCACGTGCCAATGCTGAGCGAACGACATGAGAAGTGATGGATCACTGCGTATCAGTCAGCTAGGCGAACCCAACGTGGACGCTGGAAGGTTTTCTACTCACCGACTTTGCTTGAGCTGGAGTCGGTGTTGAGGAGCATGCCGCTACCATAGGCGAAGGTGCCGCCTCGTGAGAGGAGGCCGGACGCCAAGGGTTTGCCAGATTCCATGGCCTGAAGCGCGAGATAGCGGCGCATGGACTCTGGAATCTCGTTGCAATCCTCCCCGTTCTCAATGCTCTTCTTGGCGATGTTCTTTATCTTGGCTCGCCTGCAAGCATGTGATTAGAGGAAAGAGCAACAGACATTGACTTGAGGATGGGTGAGAGAAACGCACCTGTTCTGAAACCAAATCTGAACGGACCGCTCGGTCATGTTGATCTCCTCTGCAATTCTCTCCCTGACCAGGGCAGTGGGCGTAGGGTTCTTGTTAAACTCTCTTTCGAGAGTCAGCAATTGATCCTGCGTAGCTCGCTGGCGCTTCTGGTTCTTTTGCTGCTGGGTTAGGGTGCTCTTGCGAGGCGGTCGTCGGGAATTGTTGGCAGAGGCGGTAGTGGTGGTGGTGGTGGTGGTGGAGGAGGTGGTGGTTGCGGTGGCACCGCCGGGAGGGGGGATTGGGGTTCCCATGCTGGTCGGTGTTTCGACGGACTCCTCCATGATGGGCTCCTGCATGACTGCGAAGGAGACCCGTCGTCTAGGTAGGAAAGAGAGCTCGGTGCGACTTGGAGGAGGGTCAGCGGGCTTGTTTCAGGTAGCGCCTGGCTGTCTTTGGGCCCGCCGAGGTCAGCACGAGGATGTAGGATCGAGCGTGGTGTCGTCAAAGAAGTCGTCAATATCAAAGTCAAAACGAACAAGAGGGCAAAAGGGGGTAAGGCCGGAAGGATGCGGCGAGCGAGCGTCGGGAGAGGCTGGCGCGTTGCAATGGGCGTGGACGATCCAAAAGAGCGGACGACAGAGGGCCTTCCAACGCGGTGAAGGTTTGAAAGTAGAGGCAGCGGCGGTAGGGAGAGAACGGTTGTGCGAAAGGAATTAGCTAGCTGGTAGCTATCGATCGACTAGAGCGATACGGTAACTGAATCGAAGCGGTGCCGAAGCAAGGAATGGACGGCGTTGAGCCAAATGAAAGTGCGTCGGACCCGATAAGGAGTGACGGGTTAACCGGGAGAAGGACGTCGAGACGACGGGGATACTTCAAAGGAATGTGGGAGGGGGCTTTGCAGGAGGAGCCGGGAGGTGGCAATGCAAAGAACCCAAAAAGAGAGCGTAGAGAGAGTCTAAATAAAAAGAAAAAGACTGTGCGATCGAAAGGAAACGAGGTCGACAGGTGGAGAGAGGGAGAGTGAAGAGGGAGAGGAAGGGAGGGAAGAGAGGGACGGATTTCTGGCGACGGGGATGGGGGAGGGAAAAGGCGGCGAGCGGAGGGAGGAGCAGCGGCGGCAGCAGCAGCGGGCAGGAGCAGCAGCGACAGAGGCATGCGTCGCAGGGCAGGGCAGGGCACAGGAGAGAGCTCTCGCGCAGCAGAGACAGGCAGAGCCAGAGGCAGCGCCCGAGCCGCAGCCCGAGCCTGAGCCAGGCAGGCGGGGGGGGCGAGCGCCGTCTCAGAGCGAGGACCGTGCAGCCAGCGCGCGCGACTCCTGAAGCCCTTGGCACGCTGCAGGCCGCCCAACCGGGCTTAGCCCGCCAGCACCTGCAGCCCGCCGGTGGCCGCCAGGAACGCGCGCGCTGGCTCTGGCGTGCTCGTGGCCGTGTCGCTGCTGTGCGACGGCCTTCGCGCACACGTAGCACGATAAGCGAGCCGACGAGCGCGCCGTCGCGCTGGTCCGTCATCCAGCACACACAGGTACGCCCCCCACTCGTCGGAACGCGTGCAAATCCACGACCATGCACGAGCGCAGCCGCGCTACGGTGCCGGCTGCTGCTGAGCGGCCGCTGACGGTCAGAACATCGCGACGAGCCAGGCCACACGTCCACCCGTGGACCGGCACTTGCGATCTGGCGCCTCACGACGCTGCTGGCCACCGATGCATCTGCGACGCGTGAAGGCAGGCCCAAGGCAGGCCGCCAATGACGGGGCCTGGCTCGACTGCTCTCGCCCGCTCTGCCGCTCGTTTCCGCCGGAAGCTGTGGTCGTTCGTCGACGTGTAGCAGCAGTCGTGCCGTTTTCCAGGTGTGTACAATACGTCTGCGCGCTGCCTCTCTGGCCCGTCCTGCCCATGCGCTTTTGCTCGAACCAGCTGACCGCCCCCGACCGATCAATGGCGCCCTCCCCCCGTCGCGCCGCGAACGGGTTGGTGGTGCTGGCCGTTGTTTCGCCCGACCCGTCGCCTCGTTGGCTGGCTCCTTGTTTTTTCTTCACCTGCGGCTCACACCGTTGCGGCTGCTGTGCCTGCTTCGGCCGTGGTCTTGCTGTGTCCCCACTGCCGCCACCCACACCCGCCCCTCGCCCCTACTGGACGCACGCTCTCGTCCTGTCCTCTGCTACGACGTGAACCGCGCTGTACGAGCTTCGCTTCCTGCACCGCCGCCGCTCCTCTCTCCCTCATTCCAGTCCCCGGACCAGCGCCACTCTGCCCACACCTCCCCGAACCCGCCGTCCGCTTCCCTCTCGACGCCGTATCCGACCTCGCATTCTCCGTTCTCTGGTCCCCGTCGCGTGCACAACCCTGCCTGTTGGCCTGTCTGTCTGTAACACGGCCCTCTGCACACACCGGGCGTTCCCTGTAGGCCCGCTCGTCGAATCACATCCAGTCTGCTGACTCCCCTTGGCGACATGTGCTGCAAGCAGTCCTGGCGTCTGTTCGTGGGTTTCCTGATCGGTTCGCCCCCGTCAGTGCCGATCCCATCCCCTCGTCGTGCGCTTCCCATTGCCTCGTTCATGTCATGGCCAGAACCTGTCGTTGCTGTACCTGCAGACGCCGCGTTCCTACGACAGTCTTTGAGCTCTTCTCCTCCACATCACCCACCTTTCAGAAGTCCGTCGGCGCGTCCCGAAAAGCTCGCCTGCACCTGTCGCATATCCTATCAGCCTCATGATTCGACCGCCAACGCAATGCGATATGTCCACTGCCCGGCAATCGCCTTGCACGGCTCTAGAAATCTTCCCCTTTGAGCCTGCTCGTCCGAACGCCGCTGAAGACGCCATTCGGCATCCTTGCTCGACTTCGCACCCACGGGAGCGGCTCTTACCTCCTCTCGCTCAGCGTGTGCGCCCTGGCCCCCGTCGTGAAACCCCGACAGCGCCGCCCAGCCCATGCACCCAATCGAACCGCCCCATCACCTCTCCTTTCTCCATGAACAGCCGTCCATGTCCTTGCGATCGGTCTCTGTTCGACAATATTCTCTCCGAAATCTCCTACGCTTTCTTTACCCGATCCTGCTCTGTGCCGCATTCTGGACGTTTTCTTGTCGTTGTGTTGGTGCCACACTTAAGCACAAGCCCGTTCGTTGTGCGCTTTGAGCCGGTGGAGCCTTGCCCACGCGCAAAGACGCCCAACGGCCGCAAACAAGCAATGTCAAGCGGGTCAAAAGTCCTCCCTTTTCGGCTCACTACGCCTCGGATGGCCGCTGATCTTTCAGACCGCACGAAGTGGTACATCTCAACCCCTTTAACGCCAAGAAGCCCCGACCTCGACGGCCACCTCCCCCTCACCCACCCCAAGAGCACACACATACATATACAAACGTACTTGTCTGTTCCTTCGTGGAGAAATCCACAGCGGTGAGTCTTTCTCTTTAATCTGACATCTCTCTTCTCAACGCGAGCGGCATGTCGCTCCTTATGATCTTCGAGAACGGCACATGGTCCTCCTCGCCTTTCATATTTGATCGTCTTGAGTGTACATTTAAAAGTCTACCTTTGTCTAACACGTCGACTATTCCCGATGGGATAAAGAACATGGATCGCGTGTAGGGCTAGCTGCCTGAAGTTCCGTGCTGTCGATAGCCTGCACGAGTGGATCAATAGCACTACGGGCTAAAATAAAAAAAAAAATCACCCACCGACCTTTCTCGAACTTCACGGCTGGGGAACCTTCCAACCGCCTGACAGGGGTTTATACAAGTAAGATTGCGTGTAGATCCAAAAGCCTATGCAGCTTTGCGTCGCTCTTATCGATCCGTATCTGACATCTGCTCCTCCCAGGATGGATGGTTGAGCCATTCACCGTAATGCGAACCTTGCGGGACTGCCTCTGGTGGACGATCGGCGCGGTTGATTCAAGACCACTTCGCATTGCGAAACAAGTGCCACGAGTGTCTCTCCGAAACGACCGCGCAAGCGAGCTGTGTCACGCTACTGGCTCCCATGTAATGGATTTCTACAGCGAGTGACGGCGTGTTCGCATCAATGTCTCTTCTGTCGCTTGGTTAACGCGCGGCAAATGATTTTTTTTCCAACCTGATTCATCTGTATGTCCTTACCAGTACCCTTACCACGTCTCTTGTTTGAGCGTAGGAAGGATTGTCACCAGTCTAGGGGCGCAATCCTTTTTGCTCATCTTCGTTGCGACAAAGCCTCGTACGAATCTTCGATCTTCCTTTGGTATGTGAATTACAATCAACCGTGCAGTCGACTTCAGTCAAAGGATCCGACTACCGCTCAGCAAATTCGAACATCTCCCTAATGGCATCTATGTGCGGATCATTCTCCATCGGCAGACATGTTCGACAGTCACAGAAATCCTAATTTTCGTGACCATCGTCCTAATTACAGTGAAGACTTGTCCATCGGACTCGTTTGACATAAAGATTACTGGTTAAAGGCTGCTATATTAACACCTCGTTTTCACAGGTAAAGGCAAGAGGGTTCGATCGTCCCTGTTCTCCAAGCGGGGTCAACTTTCATTTTCGCACTCCCATGATACATCAGCATCGTGGAGGCGCCCCTCCAACGTTAAGGCTAGCTTTTCATCACAGATGCCCTCTGCATTGACCACGTCTCATAGTTTGGATCAAGGTCTTCCCAAGCTCAATTTTCTGAGAAAGCATGTCGGCTTGAGGGCCAATACGGATCATATCTTTAAAGGTAGCAGGACGGTAAGAAGTCTTGTGTCTAGGAGTTAGACTTGAAGAAAACAAGATATGATCACCAGCGATGTTTCCAATCATTTCCTTATGTTTCTCTCATAATCGGCACGTTGAGTCCTTCTCGGCAAGAAGAATCTGACGAAAACACGAAACTTTCACTGAGCGATTGTAAGATGACCTTTAGTGCCCCGCCCCGGTAACTACAGGACGTGCATCTCCCACCACCAAAGACTGTTCAATCGTCGATAAGCCTTACGCGAGTCCAAATAGTGGCCAAAATGAAAAGCGTAGAGCGCTCAAACGAACAGTGTGGTCACAAAACTGCATTTCCAGTGGTTCACTTTAATCAACTTCCTATGCTCGGATCGGCAAATTTGCCTGCGCGTTTAGCCACCCCTCCAATAAAGCTTGCAGCATCCACCTTCCGGTAGCTTCTCTCAATAACCACCAAGATAGGCGTGTCATCGATGTCGCCCTGTGTATAGGTGGCGTATCGAAATGTACCTCCGTGGAAACGGCTCCTGACTCCTTGATCTTTTGCTGTAACTACTACTGTGCTATTGTTCTAAGTTGTACCATTTAAGTTCCGCTTTCCGATCAAGTAGAAGACCCGTCTACGATCACTACTGCTGTCCAGGCCAGTCTTTCAAGCAGATACGCATAGTATGCTTCACACGTTGACAGGGGCCTTTTGGCTCTGCCCACAGCAGAGAAGTACCCAATTTGTACAGCACAATAGATCACTGCGACGAAAGAAAAAAAAAAAAATTTTTTCTGTAATTCTGGTTTAGTATAGTAACTTGCATGGCCGCTTCAATTCATTCTGTTGCAGCATTTGGGATCGAGTTGCGTGATGCCTATTGTAAAGCTTGAGAAACATCAGTGCTCGACGATATCGTTCCGACAATACGACACGATTAGTAATACACAATGCTTGTGCCTTCGCTCGCGATGGTCTTTGTATCATCATCATATCTGAACGATTCCAGGTACACATGAAATTCTGCTCTTCAAGAGGAACGGTCGTGGCATGCTGATGTTCAAAAATGAGGATGCCCATGCTCTCGTCAGGTAAACCCTTGGAGAAGCTGCCGCAAATGAGATCGATGGTCTTGATTTACTGTCACTCCAGGATTAGGCGTCGCCGTCGACGAAACCATGAGTTAACTCGGAGGAAGAATGCAATCCCTGGCGGCATCGTCGGCAGTAATTGGGTATACATAGTTGAGAGAGTCAATGTGAGAAAGATCTCATGAACAACTTCGGCCCTTTCAAACTCCGTGTGGAATGCTGTCGACAGATTGTTTAGAATGCCTCTGAGTTTAAGATCACAAAGTCATGACAAAATCAAAATCAGAGAGCTTTCTTCTAATGTTGCTCTAGCAGCCACATCAATCCGTCAACAAAATCACGTACTGCTTTCTTTGAAGCATTGAGAGTCGGTGAAAACCCCCAAAAACTGTGTGGAAAGCCCGGATACATGTACGTCTTTGTCTTCGTACCATTCTCCTTGAGTACTCTTTCGTAAACAATGCCATCATCTCTAAGCGGATCCATGCCACAAATCCAGAATGTTGTGGGTGGCAAGTTCTTGAAGTTCCATTCCTCCTCGGGACCAGCAAACGGAGTGAAAAGCTTAGACGTCGGATCGTACGCATATTCATCCAAGAATTGATTCATTATGGCCATGTCAAGAATTGGCGCGTGCACGTTCTGGTCGTACGCAATCAGGTGGGGCCTAAACTCAGCTGGAGGATTACGAATGTCGAACACGAGTGGGATCGATGCGGCGACACCTGTGAGAGGTGGTGATAAGGCAAAGTCACGAGCGAGATGGCTAAGAATAATGGATATGCTCGCTCCGGCTGAGTTCCGAAGAGAATAAAGCCTTGAGAGGTGTCGGCTCCGAGACTCGACGCATTCCGTGCCGCCTGTATTGTGTCATTAAGCACCGACAAGTACAGGCTGTCATGGAACTGCCCGTACCCACTGTAGGACATCCCATGAGTCGTTGAGCGCTGTAGGGAACTTGTATTCGGGAGCCAGCCTGTAGTCAACATTTACGCATACGGCACCTAGGTCTTTCACGAAGTTCCTGCAGTTCAGCTCCTCATTCTGCAAGTCACCTAGACAAAAACCTCCACCGTGATACAAAACTATAAGTGGAGATCCGCCTTCAGGTGGATCCTTTGGCTTGTATGTTCGCACTGGAATTAAATAACCGTCACGAGCAGTCACTGTGATATCCTCCTCTTTGATGTCCAGTGGTGTTTCTACAAGGCCCGCAGCTGCCTGCTGCTTGCGTTTTGCTTCGGAGAGTTGCTTGCGCAGCGTTGGTATATCGCCTCGCAATTGAGGCACTACCGGCAGCGTCTTCAAGAACTTGGACAGGACTCAGCACAGGGACGATGACACAGCTGTTAAGAGAGGAAAGAAATAGAACATGTACATACTGCCTCAAACTCCGGGTCAATCTTGGCCAAATCTTTAATGTCTTGGCCTGCCATTTTTTAAGATGCTGACGTCGATGCTCCTCGTTCTCGTCTCGTAGTCGTTCAGAGCTTAGACGTTGATACTTTTTTAACTTGTTGCGAGGTCGTTCCTCAAGGCAGACCGAGTGTCTGTTTCCGAGAGCATCCGGAGCCATGGCTAGGCTGTTTGAAGGTATTTAACTAGCAACAAACATAATGATGCACGGCATGGTGGGGTACACGGGTGCGATTAGCCGGAAATCCACGGACTCGTAGTTGTGGTTTGTCAGGCCGATATTTCAGCGTTAGTGAACTTGGTCTTGATCGATTGTCTCATGAGCAACCAAAGAGAGGATGTTCATTTTTGACAGAGTACTTGTTTCGGTCTTAGACTTGAAGAGCCATGCAATGTTAATAAGCGTGTCTACGCAGTGATCGCGACCTGCGGCAATATTCCGTCTTCTCGAAGCTCGCACTCATATAAAGCGACTAAGACTTCAAGCAATATCGAGGTTGTCTACTATGATTTTAATATGACATTTAGAGATGCAAATTATGGTTGGATGACTTCCTGTCCAACTTTCTCCAAGTCCATCTAATTCAGAAGTCTGGCGCAAAAGCACACTTAGAAGCTCCGCCTAGCCTACAGAAGCAGTATCAAATACTCGAGGCGCAGTAGGAAAGGTTATCCATATCATAAACGTGATTTATTTATTATAAATCAACTTCACGATCTGGACTACTGCATGATAAGAAAGCCTCGTGCCGAAGAGGGACTTCGATGGAAAGAGACTGGGGATTCCAGTACTTGTATGAGGTCAGTGCCAGTATCGATTGCTTTGTTCATAATTTGTCCAATTAGGTAGGCCATGATTGACTTAATTAGAAACGGGATACACACCGATATAGGCTTGTCTTCTAGCTAAATTCGTTGAGTTATGCCTGAGCCAGTACGAGGTGACTGTGTTCTAAGTCGTAGTGACCGTTTGAAATATCCTCATCAAGGTCTTCTTCTGTATGATCGCATTCCATTATCTCTCCGTTTTGCCTTGATACAGCAAGTTACAAGGCTGGAAGCGAAGCTTCGAGGACGTCAAGATGCCTTGAGCTCGTTTGGAGTTCAGAGTCCCTGTGTTGCTTGTATTGGGCCGCTGGAATACTGACCCAATTGCAGTTTGAAAAACACTAATACATTATATAGGTCTGAGCACTTTAATACCAATCACGATTCCCTTCACTCGCCCAAACTGCTCCTCATGGCCTGTATCATGGTGATACATTCGTGTTTGGCCTCTTCCGAAATGCACTGCCAGTCTTTGAATGAAAAATCTCCCTCGCTCTCTGCAAGCAGCAGCTGATTTTCGCCGCTAAAAACGAACACGTGATATGAGGCTGATAGCCGCTTCGCTATGGCTGCATATGTCGTTTCCAGTGGTATAGCACCTGAGATTAGGGCAAGAAGAGATGCTTGTAGCAAAACCGGGAGTCCTGGAAGATACTGTGTCAATGTCAGAAAGTAATTCAAACCCAAGAATGGGTAGAAGCTTGTACTGAGGTCGAGGAAAGTCCAGGTATTCTCATCGATGTCTGGTCAGGAGTATTGATCATTTGAACCGTAATCTGAATTAGTGTTCTCGGGAAGTTCTTCGTCAGCACTACGCTTTTTAAGGTTGACTGGATAAGGCTTTCCAGATGTCGTTCTCTCGTGCCTGAAAAGTTGGTTAGATCCTTGAGATGTAATTGCTGTTTAAACACCAACTTCCAACGCCGATCGCTGGTCTAATATTGACCTCGATAGCAGCTTCTTCCGGTAGCTCATCTCGTCTTTGCACTTCCAACGGACCATTGACTGCGGCAACAGCGGTGTAACCATCGGCTGAGTAGGTTGCTGAGCCGTCTGCTCGATGGAGCGATGCACCCATCAGGTATTACTTTGCAGTATGGGAAATCCGCGTGGAAGTTCACCTCGCGCAAAGCTCATAAGGCAGAAACTGAAATGACCAACAATTGCTCTTACGCTTCTATTGGTGAAGCAAGAAAAGAAAAAGAAGAATAGAAAAAAAAAACATAATCGAAAGCTATCCAAAAAGGGCGCTTTACACACATACCTCGGACCAATGGTAGGGCGCCGAGCTTACAAACCTCCTACGCAACATTCACCTACATCAGTCGCGCCAGCGTTCACAATCCGTCTTCATATTCTGAGCAAAGACATCAACGATGTCTTCAAGATCAAAAGAAACGCGTACAACAAGCAAGCGCCTAATTCAAGAGCTCAAAGATTATCAAAAAGATCCTAACGAGGCATTATTATATCTTGGGCCAGCAAGCGACAATGAGCTTATGGAGTGGACAGCTGTAATGAAAGGCGTAGAGGGGACGGCCTATGAAGGTACATTAGTTATTTAGCTTTCATTATGTGTATCTTTCGAGTATGCTAAACTTTAGATGACTCAGGTGGACGCTGGCTTCTTCACATTTTGATTCCGTCGAACTATCCGCTCTCGCCACCTACTATCACATTTTCTACACCAATCTGCCACCCAAATGTTCATTTCAAGACGGGAGAGATATGCCTCGACCTTCTCAAGACGTCATGGAGTCCTGCATACACGATATCGTCAACTCTGACGGCCGTACATCAGCTCCTTACAAGTGCAGAGCCGAATTCTCCTCTAAACATCGATGTTGCCGTTCTATTAAGAGAGCATGATCTTGCCGGCGCAAATAGCTTGATTAGATACTACACGAGAGTTTTTAGATATGACGGGGATTTAGGAGGGTAGCAGAAGCGAGCTGCCGTGGTACCGTGCCACAAAAGCTCAAGTTGCAAAACCTAAACTTCTCATTATGGAATTCAAGCATTTGGCTATGTAAGCAGAAAATATTGCCGTACATGATTGTTATACATGCGCATTAAATTTGGCGAGAGAACGGATCAAGCAAGTAGGTTATAAACCGAGCATAATCTTTACAACCCTGTCTCTTCATTCCAATATGGGTTCTTCTCTTTTGGCACGCCTATCCATTTTCTCTTTTTCCCGTATTCTAAGCCACTCGGGTACAAAAGCTTTGATTTTCACCCTTCCATTTCCAGCCTTGAGAGCAACGTTAAATTCCATGCCAGGTTTGAACGAACCGCCTTCCGCGCTGACTCGCAGGTCTGTCATATTCTCCAGTCTACATAGTGCAAGTCCAATATTACCAATACTTGTCAAAAGCTTGCCTACTGGTCTCTTTCCTCCTTCTGCTTTAATGTCCGCACCAGATTCGACCTCTGGCCCCGAAGGCATGTAAGACAACATGGATGGCGCGTCGGCATCATACAGCTGGATTGGCAGAATCCGTTTACGAATGACGCCCGTATGCTGCGTGCGGATCGTGAGCTCTTGTCCGACATAACAACCTTTGCGGAAGTCTATTCCATTTAGATAATCCATGTTGCTCTCCATCGGCAAAGCGCTCTCCTTAATTATTTCATGTTGCCCCTCCGGGACCCCCTGCAAGTATCTTCTAATGGTGTATGACTCTGTGGAGGTTTTGGGAAGAGTGCCATAGAATTCCGGGAGTGCTGCAGCTGGGTGATTGAGCTCTGAATTGAGAACGATGCGATGACCAAGGGAGGGAAGTCTTGGATCGACAGTGACAATTGCTCCTTCAGTTGCCCCAGAACCTTGTTGCATCTCTGCCACTGGAGATATTCCATTACTTGACCATGCAGAAAATACGTGCCATTCTTCACTTGCGTCGCGAATTGTGACTTGACTCCGCAGCTTATGTCTCTTCAAATGTTTTATAAAGCTTCCAACCTCGTCTCTTTCCACTTCTACAAGATAAACCTTACCGCATTCATTGCTACTGCGGTAGGGGTATATAATAACATCCCAGAGCACTCTTCCTTGCGCGCTCAGAAACCCAGAGTACCAAGGTGTCTCGCGTGATGGCTCGACATTATTTGTGGTAAGTCCCTGTAAGAATTTCGGTGCATCGTACCCGGATAATAGAACAAATCCTCGATGTGGAAGTTCGGCGAAGGCAGCCACTGGATTGGGAGTGGTAGCTAAACCTAGATGTGCTGAGGAGAAATTGCGAAAGGAGAATGATGTTTTGATTTGATGGATAGCTCTGGAAAAACATTGTGAGCACACGGAGAACGGCTGCAGTAAGCTCTGCATTATGTCACGTTGGGATATGGGACATTTACGGAGTGTTTAGATGTTCTCATTCTGAAAAGATTAGTGTCATGCGACCCTTGCCCCAGCCGCTAAATCTGGTTCTACAACGCACTTATTATTTTTGATTCGTGTAACGCAAGTCAGGTATCCATAATGTTTAGCTGCCTTACTAAATTCTCCTTTATAACTTAGGTAGTATTTATAGCTTTATATCAGATATAGCACTCTATTGTTAATCTAAAACGTCTGCTGTACTGGGGATGATGGTTTATCCTAGAGTGTGGCTGTATCACGTGGTAGGGAGTCATAACGTAATCCACCATCAAGCGGTCACCACCATTGAGCGGTCATTTTCTTCATGCCTTATAAAATATATTATGACCTAAAAAACATCACAACAGCGAGAACCCGGATCATTGAAATTAAGTAGTACTATCATATAGACGTATTACTCTGGATAAATTAAGATTATTAGCTTTTGCAGTGTGTCACCTAATGTAAGGGATTTGTGAGGAACTAAGTGGGAATATACTGTTACAGGGTAACATGGGAATCACGTGAAGAAGCGATCATGTTGATCATTTATGATTAAGGTGATTAACTTATATAAGTGAAGGATTGCGATTCACCTAAAGAAAATGGATAAATTAAGAATATAGTCTATAATCAGTCTAATTATTGTTACGGCGTACTTGTCAGTATGGTCAGAGTAATATGGGTCATTGCCTAAGTGATGCCAAGCGGCAGTCTTAGTCTTAGTATATGAGACTTTCTGCACCAGTCTTAGTCTTAGCAGATGAGACTGTATATATAAGTCTTATCAGGAGCAATTAAGACTTGGTTATAAGGGATAGAGAATAGATCTATATAAGGAGGGCTGAGCCTAAACCTACACTCATTATAATTTAACTGTCTAGTTTACCTAATAGTTAGTTTGAATATATTCTTATACTCTTAAAGCTTAGATTATTCTAAGTTATAAATATAACTACCTTATTATATTCCTTCCATAATAAGCCCTAGTTATATATTGTTCCTCTGCTCTAGGAAGCTAAACCCTTCTAAAATAGCTTATATTAGTAAAGCTAATCAGTATTAGGAATATATTCCTAATAAAAGTTAAATTACTAAATTATTAGATAAAGTAAGGAATAATATCTTATATCTACTATCTTTAAGAGAAGTAGTGGAAGTTAACAACAGTCTGATCTACTAAAGAAGAAGGTTAAGGTGTTAGGAATACTTTCCTAATACCGACTAGCTTCACTAATGTAAGCCACTTCGGAAGGGTTCAGCTTCCTAAAGCGGAGGAACAATGTATAACTAGAGCTTATTATAGAAGGAATATAATAAGATAGTTATATTTATGACTTAGAATAGTATAAGCTTCAAGAGTATAAGAAAATATTTAAACTAACTACTAGATAAACTAGTATTAGGAATACTTTCCCGATACCAACTAGCTTCACTAATGTAAGCCACTTCGGAAGGGTGTAGCTTCCTAGAGCAAAGGAACAATGTATAATAAGAGCTTGTTATAGAAGGAATATAATAAGATTATTATATTTATAGCTTAAAGTAATCTAAGCTTTAAGAGTATAAGAATATATTTAAACTAACTACTAGATAAATTAGATAGTTGAATTATAGTGAGTGTAGGCTTGAGCGTAGCCCTCCTTATATAGACCTATTTCCTATTCCTTATGACTAAGTCTTAATCGCTCCTAATAAGACTTATATATATAGTCTTATCTACTAAGGCTGAGACTGGTATAGAAAGTCTTATATACTAAGACTGAGACTGCCACTTAGTATTACTTGGTAATAACCTATATTACTCTGACTATACTAATAAGTATATTATAATATTATTCCCCTCCTTAGTAAACTTATCCTAAGTATTAATTTATTTAAATATTGTTTCGCCTATTCCTTAAATCTAAAGATATCTTATTCTATTCTTCCTTTAAAAGATTTTAGTAGGATCTTATAAGTAATATACTTCTACTATAAAGTAAAATAAGTATATAGTAAGATTGAGCTCTATAGAGATATAGTAATTATAATATATTAAAATTATTTTGAATATAGTATCTATTATATCTTTATATCTAGAATAAAATTAGTAAAATGCGCTTTCTGCGCCTTGAAAGGAATTTCCTGTATTAACTTATCTTAAGCTTCTTTAGATAAGACTAGAGAAGAGGTAAAGTTATAAATAGATATTAACTTAATAGAGTTGGAAAAGATTACTATATACCTAAGGAAAAATTAAAAGATTCTGAAACTGGCTGAAGATTATATAAAGGTAAAGATAGTTTATCTTCTAGATAAGTTAGAAGAGGAAGAGGAGATATAGTATATGAAGGATAGTAGTCTATCTAATACTAAGTTAGAGGAGTTATTAAGAGACCTGGTTACTTAAAATAATATTCTTTTAAATAGTCCCCCTATCTGGAGTGCCTGGGATCCTAAGTCTCTTAATTACAGCTTAAAGTGATAAAGACTGGATAACTTATCTTCTAAGGATCCTAATTTAGATTTAGCTTCTATCCTAGTAGTGGAATATAGTCTAGGTATTCCTTATAAAAATATTATAGTTTAAGTAGATAATTCAGGTTCTTATAAGGTTCCTAAGTATTTTCTTCTAAAGGATAATCTTTCTACTTAATAAAGTAAAAGTACTGATATCCTTAAGTTCTATAATCTAGGATTTTCTCTACTTTATATTTTAGGTCTGTTAGGTCCTTAAGGTTGATTTCTTTATTAAGTGGGGTCTCTAGGTCTGCTTTTTCTAATAGCAAAATATAGAATATAGGATATATCTTTATATTTTTTAGTAATTATAGCTTATAATTTACTGATCTTATAATCCTTTTAATTTTAAATAATCTAATTTTTAGAAAGTTAAGTTTATCACTTTGGTATTTGGTGCAAATATTTCATTACTAAAGATAAACTTTATCCCCCTCCTTAAGGTCTGGTTCCTTAGACCTTTTTTGATTTACTTGGGAGATTATTCTTTGGTTTAGGAATATAATATTAGATTATAGTTAAGTATAAAGTGATTACAGGTCCTTTATAAATAGTGTTACTTCTATAGGCAGGTATGCTAATATATTAACTATTAATTTTAGTTCCTTTCTAAAGTTCGTGTAATACAGTGATATCCTTATAGTACTCTATTTAGTTATATTATATGCTAGTACTGTCTGTGGTAAAAGCTATACCTAATTATTTTATTTATTATTAATATATATTTATAAATATTACTTCAGTATTTGGTTTACTTATTCTATCTAGCTATTGCTCTGTAGATAATATACTATTAATATTCCCTATACTATTTATAATACTTAGTATAATTCTTTCCAGAAATAAGATGTAAATATCTTATCTTAATCAGAGATAATCTTTTTAGGTATACCAAATTTCCCTACTTCTCTTAAGAAGACTTTTACTAAGTAAGAGGTAGTGAATTACTAAGGAATCGGGATAAATATTATATATTTAGTTAACTAATCAACAGTAACTATAATATTTTTATACTCTATATTATTTTTATCTCTAGAAGGTGGTAAGGGTCTGATAAAGTCTATTAATACTTCTTACTAGGATTCCTCTAGTGCTCGGTTTGGCTAAAGTAATCTATAAGGTTTATATTATTTATATTTGGCCTTTTTACACAAATAGCAGCTCCTAATCTAGGTAAAGACCTTTTGTTGTATCCTAGGGAAATAATAATTTTATTATAGTCTTTCTAAGACTTCTTCTACTCTCACATGTCCTTGCAAAGGTGGTTTATAGTATCTAAATATCTATTCTTTCTTAAGATTTAGAGGTAATATAATTTTCCCTTTATATATATAGATTTATAGTTTATCATCATAGTCCATATATTATCTGATAAAGTCCTTTTTTGATTATTTGGTTTAAATCCTCTAAATCTCTAGTATATTAATTTTAGCTAAAGACACTACTTGATATATCATCGAATCTCCTTTTTATTATAAAAGAGTATATCTAATCTCTATTCCCCTATTATAGTTGGTTCTTCTATTTAATATATCTATATTAGTATTAAGTTTTCCGCTCCAATATTTAATCTTAAAGTTGAATAATAATAGTTTATATAATTATCTTAACTGCTGATTATTTAACACTTTAGTAGTAGTGTAAAGGATTTAGGCTGACCGCCACTTCAGGGGGTAGGACACTCGATGTCAAGGCCTTCCTGAGGGTGAGAAAATCAAGAGGGAGAGAGAAGCCTCCCACAGATGGGAACTGTAAAGAAGCTTAGAAGTAGGATAAGATAGTTAGGATAAGGGTATAAAAGAAGATAA